ATGTATACGCAGTCCTTCAGCAGGCCCGGCATATATATAGTACACAGAAGAAAGCTTGAAAGATAAAAGAACGAAAAAGAGAGGAAAGGATCCTGAAAACGCCCATCGTTGTAAAAAGCTCAGGTGAATAGCTAACATCAAATAAGTCTAAACCTCGTGCTGAAAGAAAATATCCGCCACTTGTCTATATAAAAAAATCCCCTTCATCTGTCTTCCGTATGTAGGTCCCGTTGCCTGTGTAGTCTGTATAATCCGTCATATCGCGTTACAAAGTTTTTGTCTTTTCTTCCTATTTTCCCCCTTTCTTCAACCCTCTTTTCCTCTCTTTTGGCCTCCTTTTGAACATTTTCTCCTCAGTCAAATCACATGGTGCCGCATTGTACAGCATACCCAACTAGCACGTTTGGGTATGAAGGTCTTCATACAATACTGAATCATTCTTTAGTGGCTCTTGATACCATTGGGTTTCGACACAGCCGCCTCGACATGGGGGTGCTTGATCGTCAAGCACCAGATGTCAAGATAATCGCAGATGGTAACAATGACGTCCACAACAAAGCTTCCATACACACCAACAGCAGTGCCAAGCATGAGGAACACAAAGGCGGTCTGATAGATATCGTCGCCCAGAGAGCTGGGCCATCCAACGCCATAGTTGTTCAATAGGACCGGGCCAATGGAATCAACAACGCCAAAGCCGATGAGCACACCGAGGACGTTCCAGTAGGGGAAACGCATCTTGGTAAGGTGAGCAGTGATCATCTGCCCGACGCTATAGGCATTGACGAGGCCGGCGAAGAGGGAAAAGGGAATCAGGTGGTGGTGGAGGATGTTTGGCTGCAGATAGAGATACGTAACGATGAGGGACCAGACAGCGAAGAACGGGACAAGGCCAAGCAGGGCACCTCGGGAACGGTCACCGCGGGCACGGCGAGCTCGGATGACGTTGACAGACGACTCGAAAGTGTTGAAGCTGGTCACGATGGTGCCCTGAACCATATACCACTCAGTAAAGGTGAGCTCATAGATGAATTCGGGAATGCCCAGAGACGCGGGAACACCAATGGCGCGGAGGGCGCTCTGCTGCCAGATGTGCGCGCCTCCCATGAAGCCGGTCAGGGCGAAGACAGAGGCAACAATGAGCACACCCTCAACAGGTCCATTGACAATGCCGAGAGTAAGAGTCTTGGTGTGGTACTCGTCCCAGGTCTGGACGTAAAAGGTAAGGAGAGCTGGTCACCTCGGTTAGCATCTGATTGTTCCTCTTCTGATTCACCTTGCAGATTTGAGTGGGACTCTTGGAGGGGAAGTGGAAGAGGGGCAGAGAAGAAAAGTCTTACAAGCAAAAAGAGTGGCCACAGTCTTCCAGCCCTGTCCCATGTTCTGGGATGCGGCAAAGATGAGGACTTCCAGGGTCGTGTTTAGAGCGTCGACACCGTGGTCAAAGAGCTCGCCGAGGGGTCCGGATTGCTTCGTTCGTCGTCTGCAGAGATTCATCCACCACACATTAGTCTTTGCTGCTGTTTGACTCGCCAGATGTCGTTGAGAACAGGGAGAGAAAAAAAAAAAACTCACGCTTGAGCACCGTCAACGGCGTCAAATGTCTGGTAGAGCAGCAAACCAATGGCCCAGCTGTAATAGACCCAGCTCGGGCAGTCCTGATCCAAGGTGGGGTTGTACCACAACATGGTCAAGAAGTTGAGGACGACGAACGAAAACCCCGTCAAAGTGATGAGGTTCGGCGCCATGTTCATCGGGAAGCAGTGGATGACAAAGTTGGTGTAGAAGGGCTTGAGAATGTATTTCGACACCAGGGAGCGGTCCACGGCAGAGTACTTGTACTCCTTCAAGGCCGGGAGGTTGTGCTGCCGCACGTACACCATCTTGACCGGATGTTTCCTGTTATTGTGCTTCTTTTCCTGGTTCTTTTTCGTGCTGTCGCAATTGTCAACACCTCCGTCTCGTCGCGGTTTCGTTTGGTCTCGGTCGGTTGGGTATTAAGATTGCATCGGCTTAGATCGGGCGGACACGAAGCTTGCAAGAGAGAGCTTGCCTGGCTTTGATATTGTTGGGAAGATGCAAAAGGCCAATTAACTCCAAAACAGGCTGTTGCTGCGACAAAGGGGAATCAATGCGAGAGGCAATGACGCTCTCGAGAAAAACAAAAGTTGGGCTAGAGACCCGTCTCCTTGGTCTAGTCGCGTGTCCTGTTGTTAGTTCAAAACGACCAGGATGAAGTAATGGCTGCTCGGAAAGCAGAAACAGGCTGTCACGAGGATTTTTTGGGCGCACAAACACCGACGTCAATTTCGTAGGCGGTTGCGCCCTAGTCCGTTCTGGGGAGGCTAGAAGCAGACTAGCGCACAGCATGGAGGAAAGGAGATTGGCTGTGAATCCTGCTCGTATGTTTTGCGAGGAACTCTTCTAGCAGCTGCTGCGAGACATTGCTATTGGCTCTGCCAATATTAACTCCGTTTATAACTCTATATCTCTATTTGTAGGTACAGCCACTGTATGTAACAGTGCTTTTGAAAGTAGCAGAGCAAGAAAGCATCAAATATTCCATATAGGTATATCTCTCTTGTAATTCCTTATCTAAGGCCATGTGCCTAGGTACTTAGAAGTCATTGGTTGATACCTCATGGTTCCTTCTGTTCGAGTGTCAGAGCTAAATTGGTATCAGGCAGTTATTATCCTTGACGTCATTGCTGCGCGTCTCCTAGTTGCTGCGTAGAACATCTCTTGATCCTCGCCTGCAAGAGACCAACTATCATTGAATCAGCACATTAATACCCGTGCATCATCCGCTGCAGCCAAAGCAAATAATCTTCTATGTAGCAGTGAGACGGCTAAATGAGTATCCCATCGGCTATATTGTGATTATATCGGCGACTTTTGGGGAATATGTTGGTCTATATCTCTCCAGCTTAGGTTTTTCAATTGTATGCATCCTATACCTCTGATTAAGGTCCTCCAGTCAATGATAGAAAGACGGAATTGGCGATTATGCCTAAACAATTTGCAATGTTTTCATTAACGTCCATAAGTGAACAATAACCTGCACGTATGTACTGTGTATTGAATACCTTCCATGTTGTTCAAACGTCCAAAATGAAGTCGCAACTATACCACACGGCTCCTGCTGCTTACAATGACCGCCAGCGCCCGTAAGACACCAAAAAATACCCGAGATCGCTACCTGGAGTGTATTTCAAGTCAACTTTCTCCGTCTACATGTAATGCATTATTATCGTATTTTATCTCGTTCGACGTAAGCTTCGCCAGGCTCGTGCTCTGACATCTTTGCTCTCTTCGCGCACCGGCGTTTCCTTTCAAGCCATTCACGCTCTTGGCAGAATCCCCGAGCCGCAGCGAGTGCAATAGATTTTCACCACATCATCGCTCTTATCCCGGATTCAAAACAGCTTCGGAAGACGCTTTCGTTCCAAGGAACCCTTTTTTCCCACGAGTTCAATGCCAAGGTATCTCCAGTGTCTATAATAGATAGACAGATAGAGGCAGCATGACCCATTGCGAATGGCGTGCGACAGCGGCTTCAACAAAAAGCTTCACTTCAGGAACCTTTGAATCCGCTCGGTCATCATGCCTCCTTTCTATCTTCATTCCCCCTTCGAGGCGCAATGAAATGCTTCTTTTCCCGTCTCTGTCCTCTCTTCCTACTAACTTTTCCTCGCAACGTGGAAATAATCCTTCTGCTCCGCAATCAGCCCGTCTCTCCAGGTCAGCAGCGACACCCCCCTCATCACCACGGCATCTCCCCTCGCGATCCCCAACGCAGGCGAGCTCTTCCTCGCCGTGCACCGCACGTCGCACTCCCATATGACCAATTCTGGCGTTCCACTGATACACCGGGTCACGAATTCGATGTCGCCGTTTGACTCGAACAGGTCGGCGTAAAACGCCCGAATCTGCACCTTGTCCAACCCCACTAGCTCAAATACTTGAGCAACACAAAAAGGTCAGCTAATAACCCACCCCGAGCATCGTCCTCCAGGGAGCAAAAAAAAGAGCTCTTGCGCAAATCAACTATTTGCTTCAAGGAGAAGGGAACTCACAGTGGGCCGTCAATTTGGCGTCGTCCGCATACAAGCTCAGAATACTGTCCAGATCCAGGCTGTTATACGTCGACTCCAGAATGGCAATGACGCCGTGCGCGGCCGTCATGATGCCTCAGCCGCCCTCCCGATTTTTGAAGAAAGGAGAAAGGGAAAAGAATAAAGACACGACGGGTTCGCTTTTTCCCTCCCCTCCTTGGAAAAATGACAAGCACCAAGAAAAAAAAGGTCCCCAGCTAGCTTCAGCCCGTCCGCGCCGCCACAAAGCGGGAAACCATCTTTTCTTTATATCGTCGTGCCAGGAATTCACGGTGGCCCTCAATCCCAGCAGTTCCCACTGCTTCGTTGCCCGATTTATCGATAGGATGCCCAGAAGAGACAATGGTCCTGGTCGGAATTTTAACAAGCCACGGGCCGTATTCCCCTTGTAGATTTTCAACCTTGCGGCCCCGTTCTCATCGCATGTTTCGATGCACCAAATCGGCCATGCGCTTTGGAATCAATCGGTCTTGAACCGCCGCCATTGGCCCGCTCGGCAGTCGCTGGTCCCATATTGGATTTAGTAATGCTACTCTACGGCCATTGCTGTCCCGATTTTTCGGAAGAGCCTGTAAGCATATGCCTACCTAGGTAATAAGAATAGGTGAACACGCCGAGATCCACTCGAATGACAACGACGCCGTATTGCTATTCTGATTGATTAATCGACCTGCCAAACTAATATTCTAGGATCTCCATGGCATGGACTCAACCCAGCGTTCCGTTTGCCCTTTCACGTCGACTCTCCAGCCTTGATCCCCTTCATCCAACCCTCAGGAAAAAGAAAGAAAAAAAAGTAATGAAATAGGCTATCCGATCCCAAAAATGCGCAATCATAACCATAACCATAACCATAACCTGCCGTAACTGATCCGCATCTATCTGGTAATCTTTATACCAACTCCCCATCCTCTTGGTAACAATCAGGCAGCCCTGCTCAAGACCTGGTCCAAAAGCGCGAGGCCGTTCGTAACGTCGCTGTCGACAGACTTCAATGACATGCTTCTCGATGACCAAGTAGCGTTTCTTTGAGCAGTGGGCCTTTCCTGTCCAGTTCGGCTGGGACGGCCCTCGCCAACTGCGCCGTAAATATTCCTTGCTGCCGGTGGGCTAACATTATGGCAATCAGGCCGGGAGAGCACTTGAGCCGCATCAATATCTCCCAGTAAACCAGTTCCTGCATACCACATAACGTTGAGTCGCCAATTGTGCTCATGAATCTCCCTCGCGGTCAAGCGTCCTGGGTATCCCATGCACTGGGGGAACATCGGGCCAGTGGGCTCGTCCCATTCTTCATGAGCACGGTACATTCCCGAGCCAACTGAACCGGAGTAATCTTGTCTCTGAGCACTAGAATTTGCAACGTTAGCTCCCACCTTCTCATAAACTTGGCAGGTACACCCGCAAACATACTCAGCGGTGCATCTTTGTTCTGGGGTCCAGTCGGGGTCAGAATTGATGGTCAAGTACAGCAGAGTGTCTGGAGAAATCATCGGATTCTCCTCATACTCAGCGAGCGGGCTCTGGGAAAGTGCCGGCATGGTGTTGGACGCCATGAATGACGACTCAGGAGCTGACATGTATTCTTCGTCTTCTGCCACGGACTCTTGAGGAGTCGATGGCATGGTATTGAACACCTTGAAAACAAATGAAGGACGGTCATCGTCAGCTTCGGCGATGGAACCTTGAGAGGCCGCCGATCGGGTCGTAAGAGCTTTGAATGTCGATTCAAACGTTGAAGGACGATATTGGCGTTGTCCAGGAGGCCCAGCCGTCAAGGGTTTGGGCGCACCTGGGCCTGTGGCGAGATGCATGGATGCTAACGGATTGGGATCCGTGTTGTCGCTGTTTGTAGAGGGAGTCGAAAGCCGCGATTCAAAGGCGCTGTGATAAGTGCCACTTGCCCCAGCTTCGGATGCCATCTTTCGAGACCTCCATCGACTCTCCTGGGTTCTCTGGTACAGAATGCCGGGTTCCGACAGAATAGGCCTGAGTCCCATTGAGACTTCTTCACTTGAGGAGATTCGCGCTCCACCTTGACTGTCGTTGCGGTATGTGAAAGGGGTGCTCAGCCTGGATGGGCCACCGCTTAGGCTGTTGCCGGCCTTTGGTCTTGTCCCCCGAAGGAGCGCCTTCTGAGCGTTCTTTTGGTTCGGGTTTGGATACGAAGCCAGGTTTTGGAGAGACTTGACAGTCATGTTCATTAGGGCACTGTTGACGATATCGTTCTCATCATCACTGGAACTGTCATTGTTGATCTCGACTGCCTTCCCCTTGCCATTATCAAAGAGGGAGAGTGATGGCGAATCAGCTCCAGCACGGAGGGACGTGTTATGCCGTCTGAGGCCCTGAGATGACATTCTGGGTTCTTGGTGTGGGCTAACAACAGGGCTAACAGCGCGATCATAGTTTTGCTGTAGAGGGCTGTACTGCTGAATAGCTGTAGGGGCAGCCGGCACTTTGACGCTGGTGTCGGATCTGAACTGTGCCTCAGAGAGCATAGTTCTGGGAGTGCCAAACTTTGTAGCATCAAGAGGGAATCCGCTGGCTTCGGAGTTCAACTTGAGCAAGCGGCCACGGCGAGCGGGGGGCTGGAGTCGCTGTGAAGAATTGGGATTGTAGATGGTCCCCGCAGTTGTGTAGGTTGGCTGAGACGAGGCTGAGGATTCCACCAGAGGGGTTGAGGAGAAAGTCTGGTAAGAAGCGTCGTCGTCCTCCGCTGGTCCACAGGGCTCTATAGTCTGGGTCATACTGATGAACTGCTACCTGGCGAAGATGGGAGGAGGTAAAGTGCGATAGAAATTGCAAACTAAGGGAAGGTCCATGTTAGCTGCGAAGCGAATCAAGCGAGAGGCGGCAAAAGTATAATTTCGTGAAGTCTCTCTGGAGATCGGAGCGTCGATGGTGAGCTCGAAAACCAGCAGAGGGTGATCAATGGGGAGAAAGGGTTTGGGTTTGATATACGATTCAAAGCCAAGGAGGACGAGCTCAAGTCCAACCAAGCTGCGGCCACTTTATCGACAGAATTAGACAGGCAATCGATTGACCAAGGCCTGCTTTCTCTCCAAGATCTTGTCCTTGCTCCCAAGGTGTCCAATGCAACAACTGTGAGGTGGAAAGGAAAGGCTCAACGAGAAAAAGATGCCAGAAATCCTGGCAATCCAGCAAATCTTCGGAGAAGGTGAAGAAGGGAAGATGACGAAGGAGGGAAGAGGGTATTTTGAGGAAGGAAAAAGAGAAGAGAAAAAAATGGCGAAGCGAGAGCGAGGGGAGAGAGAGAGAGTGAGAGGCAAGCGATGGGCAAGTCGGGGAGAGAAGTCCTGAGGCACAAATTTCTGAGTGCTCCTTCCCTCCATGATCAAAGGTACATGGCGAGCAACAAACAGGAGTGACATTACTCAAAAAGTACGCTATGGAACAGTTAGCTCACCTGGTAATTTCCAAGAGGAATAGCTTTGATGAAGAAATAGAGAGATGCGTCTTCAGCTTTCCAAGAAGAAAGAAGATTATCGAAGAAGACGAAGACGAAGGAAAAGAAGTTCAGCGGAGGGAATTTGATGAAGATGCCCCTCACAAAAAAGAAGGATAATGGGGGGGAGGGGGGCAACATCAAGTGAAGTGAAGCCAAAGTGAAGCCGGCGGGTCAAACAAAGGGACAGCCGCCAAAAGTGATCTCGACAAGTTGTAATCTAAAACTCAAAATCCGAGCACACGTAGCTAGGTCAATAGCCCTGCTTCTTCAGCACCCCATAAAGCATCGTCAGTGAATGGGCCACGTTTAACCTCCGAGCCCAGAAGGACTCAGCTAGCCAAGTACTACAGAGCTACCATGGCGTTCTTCACAAGCCATTCTTGGGATGACTTCCTGATTGTACTCTTCATCGTCAATTCCTCCTACGGTGAACTTTGCCTGTCCCCACCAAGGTACACACGATGGCTTCGCAGAGTTTGGAAATGAATCAGTAGCATGGTATAGTACATAGATAGGCGCTCAGCCCAAGTGACAAATCATGTGTACGTCAATATTATTCTTCATCTGCTCACTATCGTATCCTATAGCCACGCGGCCTACATAACATGTCCAATGCCAACAGAGAAAAAACAAGCCTCGCAGGTCTTGATGCTTTTTTTAATTCATTCCTGGTAAATCCTCCCTGGGTATGATCAAGGCACGCCTTCCCGAATTATCAAACATGAAAAGAAAGAAGAAGAAAAATGAAACGAAGCCTATGGCAAAGATAGCCAAATCTTCCAACAAAAAGCCAATCTTCTGGTCTCAGGGCCGAGACCGTCCGCCTCCCATAAGGTGGGTCATCCGTTGCATCATTGTGAAAAAAAAGAATAGTGACTCACTCCTCTCTCCGGTTCGATTAGAGCATCGCAATGTACATATAAATGAAACACGTTCAAGAATGGCGCATCGATAGCGGTGTATAGCCCTCCAAGGCGCAAGCGCCGCGAGGTATGCCGTATAGAGGTAGATCAGGCCAAAAATGCCATCATCAGGAGGAATATGAGAGGATCACACTAAATATTGAAGTTGTAATCAAAGAGTAGAATCACTCAAAAGGCTGAGTGTAACTATGTGAGAAGAAAAAGGACAAACGTTGAAGAGGAGAAGGAAAGAGGAAGGAATGCAGCAGTGGCGAGCCCATCGCCGGGTCCATCTAAATTCGCATGAATAAAAGTGAAGTGATCGAAAGCGGCGCTGTCGTCGAGGAGAGAAGGGGTTGACAGCTTGTACCGCACTACATTGGGCGATTCGGATTCGGATACGCGCTCTCAGGAATCATCCCCGGTATTCTTCGCTTTCCCGCTGCAGTCGATCGACCCCCGGGAAGTCTAAAGTCGGGATTGTCCAGAATCATGTCATGACGCTGCTGTACTGGTCGGCGTTGGGGCATTGGAGGCTGTGGGCTCCACTGAGGGTTGATACCACGCTGCGAGATGGATGTAAAGTTGGAGTGCTCCGACTCAGCAGGGCTACGAGTCCCATCAGGACCACCTCGCATGTCGTCGTAGCCAACTTCTTGGATATGAAGCGGCGGCGGTGTTTGGCGTGGCGGCGGTGTATGAGGTCTCTGGTCAAAGCGAGGGTCGACATCTTCATAATAGGTTCCCTTGTCCTTGATACCAGTTGCCGATGGTGCAGGGCTTCTAGAATGATCAGGCGTAGGGTTGCGCTGCGCGTTCGCTAGAGGCGCTACAAGAGGGGAATTTCTTCCCCCTTCTTGGTTCCACTGGGCACGAGATGGGACGTATTGCCTATATTATTGAACATGGTTAGTAAAGTCCTAGTGTGGGAGATGTAGCCAAGGGTGATACATACTCATCTTGGGAATACTTGCTCCCGTCACTGGCAAACGTCTCTCTCCGCGCAGATGAAGGCGGCTGGTCTTGCTGGAGATGAACCATTCCGACAACATCTGGATCGCTATCCGTGATGTTGCCATACTGGCCAGCATTGTTGCTTGCCCCGGCAGCCGGCGTCGCGTCCATCTCTATGGCCTGCCCAACTGATGAAACAGCAGACTCGGTGGCTTCTGGTAGCGGCGGAGGTGATTCTGCCCTAGGCAAGTCGAGATCTGGGCGGTACGGCACATATCTGTTGCTGCCGCTGTTGCTTCCGCTGTTGCTAGCAGTACCACTCGGTGCACCATAGTTTATGGCAGCGTCTGATTGTGGTGGCTGCTGCGCACCGCCATAAGGTGTTCCCCGACCGTCAGCAAATCCTTGCCGCGGTGGAGGCTGCCGTCTGTTGCTGTACTGGCCACCCACATCGTCAGAAGAATAATTCATTGGTGGCGGACTACGTGCTCCGCCTCCGTTGTAGTAAGGGCCACCGCCATAGCCGGCACGAGATGGCGGTCCGTATCCTCCTCGTCCACCGCGCGGTCCGTATCCACCTCGACCGGCAGGGCCATAGCCTCCTCGTCCTCTCATAGGAGCTCCGTAGCCCCCACGGCCACCGCCGTAGCCGTTCACGGGGTCAGTTTCTCGTCTGGTGGGCCCCCGGCGGCCATCATACGGCTGGCCAGCCGCTCCGTAGGCGTTGGGAGGCATGTTGCCATAATTAGTGTACGAATCCTGCGTTGCCGATCGCTGTAATCCGCCTGCGCCATAGCCACCGCTGATTTCGCTGCTTGCAACGGCGGCCATATCGACGGCCGCGGGCTGCCTTCCATTGGATGACCTCTCAGACGTGGTTCGCTGCGTCAGAGGAATGCGTTCCTCGCTCTGCTGGTCGTCTCTCGGAGTCTCGTATGTGGCGAATGCAGGCAAAGTGTCTTGGGTGCCGCTTCCACCGCTAACGGTTGGCACCGTGGGCTGGGTGGTCATGGTGAAGTCGGTTTTTGGCACCTGGTTCTCCCGATTGTAGTAGTTTTCACCACTCATCTCTGCATTCTCCGCAATCCTCCTCTTTCGGTCTTTTCTGCTTACCAGAGTACGTCGCATAGCGCAAGAGACTAGGGCACTCAGGAAGACCAAGATAGTTCCAGCGAGGACAATGTAGGTGCCCCACGCCATGTGAGGAATGAAGAGTAAGACATCGATGACGAAAGCGGCAATGCAGACGAGAAGGGTGATGAAATTAAAAATGAAGAAGAAGAGCAGATACCTCGACGAATGAGAGGCAGCGCGGAAGTGAGCAGCAATGGCCATGAAAAGCATGACCAGCGTAAGGAATGCGGCCACAGGGTGAAGAATCAAGATGGAGGAGAGCGTATGGCGAACACCACTAGGCAGATCAAAGGCCGAATTCTTTTGGTTGGGAATCACGCTGCCTATTCGCACATGTTTGGTTAGCTGCTATGTCATTGTTTTGATACATGTAACCGGTACAGCCAACTGTTCACGACAGTGGGGGGAAAGGGAGGAGCAGGGGCAAGTAGGGGAGAGACAGGCAATCGCGAATATTCTCACCAATGTCATAACCGATGCCAACGCTGCTGCAGCCCGAGGACCGGCAGAAACCAAAAACTCCAAACTGAACATCTTCAAAGCTACCGAGGGGAATGGCCGAGATGATGGGGGCTGACAGCACCGAGAGGAGCAGCAAAGCAAAGGCGAGGCCAAGCAGGACTGTCAAGGGCGTCGCCGGTCGCAGCATGCTGGCGGTGGACAGAAATGGCCCAGCAACAGCAACCGTCGACTAGGCGACGCGAGGCGAGGGAGAGAGGAGCAAGACTCGACAGCGGCGCGAAAGTCTTTGGGATTGACTCGAGTACCGGAGAAGAAGACGAAAGGCGAAAGAGTGACGTGAATAGAGGAGAGATAGAGAGAGACAAAGAGGGTTTAACGTCGTCGTTGTTGCGAATTGTGCGCGAATTGGCTGAATGAACGAATGGGTCCCCCAAAGAAGCGTCACTGGGTTATTGTTGTTGTCCTCCACATGATCCAGAATAAAGCTCGACCGGTAGTAATAGTACCAAGGCAGTAATGGTAATAGGCGATTCGGCGACGGCAAAAAGGAAGAGGAGCAAGAGAATGGCCGTCGAATTGCTCAACCAGAACCAAGGAGCTGGACTGGACTGGACGAAGAGAGAAAAAGAGCGAGGTTTCGACCTGTGCGGCGCTCAGATTCGGTGTTTGCACCAGGTGGACCCGCCGTCTGGGTTGAGATTTGCGATTTGCGAGTCTTGCAACAAGCAAACAAGGAGCGTTGGGAAGGGGAAAGAGATCAAAATTGGTGATGATGCCGGAGGGGGGTGGAGAGAGATGGACTGTCCCCGGTTGCAGGCCAGAGCATCAACATCGAGCGTTCAATGAGAGACACAGAGCGCCCACAGGCTAAACGTTGATGGCTGCAGCGCTAAGGTGCCGGTCTCGTAGTGCATTTAGCGCATCACAGCCAACCGAAGTGCCCCCCACAAGGAGCCCAAGCCCAGACAAGAGGGAATCCACAGGCTGTTCGCGGCTGCTAGGCCCCGGTTGAGCATAGCGCTGACCTCTGGCGCAGACAAGAGGCTTGTAGCGCTGCACGCAATTTAGCAGCGGGGGATACATGTGCCTGAGGGTGCCTGTGCCTGTTGAGATGAATTTGATGCAACCTCCAAGGGAGTGAAATTGAGTTGGAGGCGCAAATCTTAATGCAGCGCTGGACAATGCAATACGAGATGCAACAAGCCGTGGCGTTGGAAAAACGAGCTCTTGCAATGAAAATCTAATTATAAAAATCCCACCTCAACCGTCTGTGCAATTCGAGTTTCTATCTCACGGCGCACAGAGTACAGTTGCGGTGGAGGATTAGAATTTGATCGTGCAATCAATGGATCCATGATCCAATGGCAATCTCCAAGTCCCGTCGCATTGACCACCTCATTGTTTTGCTGTTACGCGTTCCTGGCCTTGTCTCCCCGTAATTTAGTGGTGCTGTCCGCTAACATCTCTGTGTTCGGCTTCCAAAAAGAACTGGGCCACGGCTCCAGTGATTTTCCTTCCAGTGTCTCGCTCGACCCGCAATTGTGCTGCAGGTCCCATGAGGCGCCACGCAGATTTTTCCCGTGCCTGAGCCTCTTACTAAGACAACTTGAACAACCCATGGGCTTTTGGGGCCGCGCTATTGAAAATGTTGCGCAGAATGTCATCCGCCAAAAAGCCCCAGCTAGCAGCAGAGAGTTTTGCATGATGCTTTCACACTTACGGAGTACGAGTCCGTTAGCAGAGGGGGAGAGTGACCATCAAACTAGACTTGTGTGGCTCAAGGCCGAGGTGGGCTTCTGATAAGGACAGAGACAGCTTGGCCATTTCGAGCAGGTCGGCTCCAGTACTTGGTTGATTGCTAAAATTGAGCAGCAGGGGATTGTCACTGCAAAAAATACCTAGTAGATCCAACGTTTGGTCGAGAAACTCGCGACGTCCAAGACTGTATGTACCCAGATCAGGCGCTTCGCCGCGACATCGAAAACAAGGATACTGGCCATCTCACACAGTAACGACGTCAGCGTGGGCATTCCATCAGCGTATCCCGACCAGCAGACCAGAGAATTCTCCTTCAGACCTTCAGAGGTCAAGCACTCTGAGTTTCGCCACTGCTCCAAATCGTGTTGCGCCTCGAAACGGGCCCCCTGTTGTGCGGGTAGCGGATGGGTCTGGCTCGTGTCGCTCGCTTGATGCTAGTGGGAAAAGGGCGAAGCCAAATAGCCCAGTTAATACTCCGTAGTAGTAGTTGATGGTGATTCAGTACATGCTCACTATTGACTCTCAAAAAGCTCTGTAGGCGCATAAAATCAGGTTCAAAGCCGAATTACTGTAGTGCAGCATCGAAGTAGATGACGCAAGAATGTGCTGTTTGCTTTGTGCCCCAATATTCTGGTGCTGTACGTACCTCTTGACTCTTCCCCGCATAGTTTTGACTCGTACTCGTATACTTGAACACGAAGTAGGGGAGCCTATCTTATCGCTTTATCTCGTCTGTGCGAAATGTCGTCATCACCACACAGGTAATGACCAACATACCCTAGATTACCAAGCATCTTGACGAGGTCAGAAAGTGAAATTGTTTGTTTTGTCTGGGTAAACTGCTGTTACGTTGAATTGAAAATCTATCATTTTCCCCTCTTATTAAGCCATTGCTTCGTCCAGTGTGATATATAGATCTACATTATAATATGAACGTTGCATCGTGCTCCTCGGTGGTAAATTCCATCTAGTATCCAATTAGGCACCTTTCCAAGCATCATCTAAATGCATACGTAGGAAGAACATTCAACAAGGCATGAAGCAATGCATGCTCGTACTGAGGACAATGGAAGGCCAGAAGGAGCAAAATGATACCCAAGCAATTCTAATCGTTCCCTTTCCACCCCATATCAGATTATATATCGTCCGTCCTGATATGTAATCTCAAGTGGCCAAACCTCGGAGCAACCTCTTAGTCGGCACCGATCGGAGATCCGGGAGCCACAATATGCCGGGGAAATTATTCAAGCTGCCCGCCATCCCACCAAACACTCGCCGACAGCTTCCATCATTCCAACCTCGTCCGAGTCCTTTCTTCTTCTCTTCTCCGAATGACGCCGCGGTAGAGCTCTTCCATCCTCGACAATGCTCGGCACGCTTTGTCGCAGCGGCCTGGGCCTCCCCAGACAAGCTCTGCTGCGAAGTCGCGTGCCCTCTCGGCATGACGTCTTCGTTCGGCGCATCCAGAACTCGGGGCCATTCCAACCTCTTCGGCCACCGTCTCCAGCATCTCTGGGGGCTCCACGGGCGGCTAAACAATATAAAGGGAGCCGGAAATGGGGACGTCGAATTTTCATCACGGCCGCGGTCGGCGGTACCATCTATGTCGTAGACCGAAATGTCTACGCCTCCAGCATTGGGCGATCGCTTCGGACGTTTGGCACCGCGCTGGTCGCTGCCCTCGACTACAAAATCAATTTCCGACCGGAGCCGTGGGTTGGAGGAACTGTGCCTGATCTCCATATGCGCAATGCGGAGCGACTCTTTCACTTGCTGCGGCAAAACGGCGGGCTGTACCTCAAGATCGGCCAGGCCATCGCCATGCAGAGCGCGGTGCTGCCGCCCGAATTCCAAAAGATGTTTGGTAGAATGTTTGACGATGCGCCGCAGGACGATTGGAAAGCCGTAGAGGCGGTTATTCGACAAGACTTTGGCAAGAGTGTCGAGGAAGTGTTTGGCGTCAGCTTCACCGGAAAAGAGGGCTACGGAGTCATGGAGAGAAAAGCTCGCGCAAGCGCAAGTGTCGCCCAAGTTCACTGGGCAAGGCTCCCCGATGGGAGGGAGGTTGCAATTAAAATCCAGAAGCCTGAAATCGCTCTTCAGATATCATGGGATCTATGGACTTTCAAGTGAGTTTTTCGTCTCCGGGTAGTTTCTACCTAATCACAAGATTCTGGTGTTGACTGTATACTTCACAAGGACCGTTACCTGGATCTTTTCAAGATGGTTCGACCTACCCCTCTACACCTTGGTACCGTTCATCTCCGAGCGCCTAGAGCTAGAGACCGACTTCTTGTGTGAAGCGAAAAATTCAGAAACCATGCGCGAGCTGGTTAATTCGGAGAGCCGCCTGAAAGGGCGTGTCTATATCCCCACGGTATATTCCGACCTCACCACGAAGCGAGTCTTGACGACGGAATGGATAGAGGGCATCAGACTGTGGGACAAGAAAGCCATGACGTCGAGATGGCTGGGCGGGTACGGAAAAGGCAGCCCAGGAGCGGGCACTCCCTTGCCGCCGCTGGACATGGATGTTGTCCGCCATGAGCTTCGTGCAAAGCCCTACCAGGAGAAGATCAAGCCAGAGCGCCAGGAGTGGAAGGGTGCTCGTGGAAGAGGAGGCCTCGGCCTGACTACTAAAGAAGTCATGACCACCATGGTAGACCTCTTTTCTGCTCAAATCTTCAAATGGGGCGTCGTCCACTGCGATCCTCACCCGGGAAATATCTTCATCCGACGTCTCCCCAACGGTCGCTCGGAGCTGGTTTTGATTGATCACGGCCTCTATGTGTACATGTCGCCCAAGTTCCGCCATCAGTACGGTAGATTCTGGAAAGCCCTCATGACGTTTGATAACCAGACCGTTGTCGATATCACAGAACAGTGGGGTATCAAGGCAGCAGACATGTTTGCGAGTGCGACATTGATGAAGCCGTACGAGGGCGGCGAGTCCACCATGCAGAATGACATCAAGGCAATGGAAGGTCTCAGTCCGGCGGAGCGACACTACTACATGCAGCAGAAGATGAAGCAAGGTATCCGCGACATTCTTGCTGATGAGGACAAGTGGCCCAAGGAGCTCATCTTCATAGGCCGGAACATGCGCATCGTCCAGGGCAACAATCAGTACTTGGGGTCGCCTGTCAACCGCATCAAGATGATGGGCGAATGGGCAAGCCGCAGCCTCTACGAGGACCCAAACCTCCCCTGGATGCAGCGTCTGGACAATGCATGGCGGCACATCATATTCAAGTCTGTCATGACACTGACAGATGTCGCCTTTTACTTCTTTAAGCTGCGACAATTCCTTGGTCTAGGCGGCGGGATGGAAGATGAGATGGAGCGTCGTATGAAGAATATGGCGCACGAGTACGGCATCGAGCTGCAGCACGAGGTATTCGAGGGCTGAAGAGGGCGGCCGTAAAATATTGATGGTCTATTGTTTCATTTCCACGTTCTGTGCTCCACGACATTTTGGTAGAGGCGTTGGACCGCATTGATTCTTATAGAGGGGAAAAAAAAAGAAGGGCAAAAGAGCGTTTGGCATTCGGAATCCCCAGTCAGCCTGGTGTATGTATTGATATATGTACGATTATAGACGATATACCACTCATTGAGACGGCAACCGGCAGGTCCCCTTGCTTGCCATGTCTGCGTGTGATGGTGATGCTCTTGGCGATATCCGCTGGATGCTGTGTGTTACTCCGTACTCGTCGTACTGCGTGGTGTATTGTACAAATGTGGCCAGATTAGTGGTAGCTGTAGATACTGTTGCCCTACCATCTTGACTTTGCTCGTCCACAAGTCAGTACAATGCTCGTAAAGAGTTGTTGAGCACGAGTAATCCAAAACATCACTTGCTCCGTCTTTGTAGAAATACCTTCTTGTCTCCATCGTTCTATTGGATCCAGCGCCAGCCTCGCCCTGTGGCTAGCTGGCGGGCTCTGTGGCGCCTTGTTGAAGCTGGTTTCATGTTTCCCACGCGAGAAGACGCCAATGGAACCAATAGCGATGCATGATTGGTGCTCCAGTAGCGTGACGAGGTTGAATAGCGAATCGCAGCGGACCTGCAATTTAAACGCTTGCAGGGATCGCAAGGGGACGGTGCCAAGAATTGGGCAAAGCTCCGCGATGAGACTTGGCTTGTTGTTCCAGCTTCTCTCTATCAACAGCTCGTACAAACAGGACCGGCTTTTTGGATGGGTTCAGGCCCCAAGACAGATCCGACATGGTATTGAAATCGCCGCCGAGCAATCACCGGCATCGAGAATATTCCAATTTTGCCTCATCCCATCATCTTTTGGGAGGGTATTCTTGCATCGTTAATTAGTCTGCTCCTTGCTGGTTTCAAGGACATCTCATTTGAGGGGCGCATGTGAGGTGCGGAGGATGCAAGTGTGTCGCAAGCCAATGACCCCCGTCTGATGCGTGTGCGGGCAAGCAAGGCATAGAATACATTCTGGGGCCAAGCCCAAGCCTGCAGAAATGGATGTGCTATTAGCACTTATTAGCACTCGGTACTACCTGTACAAGTACGAGTAGTGGTAGGTAGCAGCATTTCGTGTTCGGTAATACTTAGTTAATGCTTCATGCTCCGTTCGTACCTTGCAAAACCCCCCATGCCCATGAGCAAACCAGCCTGTGCGCGCAATGGGTGTGCGGCCAAATCTGCAGCCAACGAAAACCAAGATGCTACTGTAGATGCCACCTTTTAGAAGTCTCTTGTCCGTGTGCCGTGGCTAAGATCTCGAAGCATCGCGTTGAATCAAGAATCTGCTAGGGAGCTTTAGATGCCGTGTTTCATGCTCGCCAGGGGTCGCAGCTTTGGCCAGCAGGAGACTTCCAATCGCCATGACATGATGGCCTGGCCAGGGCTGGTTAGATGGGCTTGTGGAGAGGCGAATGGGGCCGGGGGTCACCTAGCATCACGAAAGTAGGACCTCGATTGGCGCTCCAACAAGCACTTGGGGTGGCTCCCCTGAAGCCCAAGAGCTGGTGCAAGGCCAGAGACGGACGAGCACAAACGCGCAAGCTGTTGAGGCCGATGCGCGCTCCCTCTCTCTCCTCTGTCAACGCTTTTTCTCCCAGAGTGTCGAATCCTCGCTCGCTCGCTTTCCTTTCCTCTCTGCCATCGCCACGACCTCTTCCTTCTCCCCTGGCTTCTTCGGCGCTTGACGCTGCCGACAGTCCTTGTTATTTTTTTTTCTCGCTCGTTACCGCTGTGACATCCGTCCGAAGAGGCTGTAAGCCGCGACCCTGGCCCTGGTGATACTGTACCGCAAAAGCTTTGGGCAAGTTCACGAGCTGAGTCAAAGCGGTGTCGAAGCTCCAGCAAAACCCCCGGCCCTGTTGCCTCTCTTTCCATTTTCCTTTCTCAATCCGAGTCAAGGCAGGAGCCCGCGAACCACCTGCGATTTGCCACGATCAACTTGACCATCTTCCCTGCGTCTCGGCTGGACCAAGAAAAAGACACAATTACAAAATCACCTAAAAAAACAATAAAAACAAAAAGCTCCTTCAAAACAACGAATCATCCAATAACGCAATTGTGAGTAATGAGAGTGGTTCATTTCGGTCTTTTATCCTTTTCTCTCTCTCCCATTGGGTCTTATCACCGCCATTTTATGCGAAAACATCGCCAATTGCCAAAAACACCGCTGCTACGAGGTTGAAGCAGAGTTCGGCGACTGGACTCATGTCTTGCTTTTATTTTTGCTTCTGCAGGGCGATCGTGGAGTGGCGTTGCGCTGGTGACGGCATTGGCTGGCTGCAAAGTTGCAATAAGCTCACTCAGCCTTGCGTCAATACAATCTCTCTAGTAATGCGACAATGTCAGATGCAGAATCAGAGATGGAAGCATAGCGCTGCTTTTTGAGCGACAAGTGCTCGGGTTGCTCAAGCTTGAGCTTGGAGACAATCGCAAGAGGCACTCGTGGGCTGTTTCAGTTACCCGCAAGCTCCCGGTCGCATGATTCTGCAGCTGTCGACTCTTTTGACACCCCCCCAACGCGTCGGCTGGCGACCAGAACCCTGACATTGCGCTTCTGAATGGATGCTAATCGCCTCCTTTTACCATCTAGTGACGAATTGCTATCGAATTGGAATCGTCTCCGCTGCAGAAGCCCCGCCTCCCCGCCTCTCTGCCTACGTAGCTGATGCATTAGACCTGCATCGGCATCTTGTATATTTGGGTATGCGATTTTCTCTTTTGTAACGGCCACGCTTTAGCGCCTCGTGTTTGCTTTGACTTGCGCCTCTGCGACTTTCTTAGTGCGTCCCTGGCGCAGCAGAAACCAAGGCCGCAAACAAATTGTCCAAGTCACTTGCGGATTTTCTTTTTTTTCTGACCCTGGAGTTGAGCAGGAATCTCCTAAATCTTACCTCATCCAATCCGGCGTTTCAGAAGTTGATCACATCCGACCAAACTTCCGCTTCCGTCGTCATCATCGTTGCGACACAATACCCGATCTCTGTTAATTGCAATAACGGATCGGCTAAGCAACGGCTCTCCCATCTTTTTTACGAGCCCTATCCAGCAATCTATCGCTGGCTAAACAATGAGTTCGCCTCGTCGTTCTTCTAGTTTCGGAATGCTTCTCAAGCGGACAAAAAGTGGTGATTTGGGCAAGGGCAATAGAAAGGCCCAAGCCGAGCCCGATCGCCAGCATCAGCCCACTCCTCGAGCTGCTCCCAAGCTTCCAGAATTCTTCAGCGGCGCCGAACAGCTTTCGAAATCTTTCGCACCCGAATTGCAGTCGAGTTCCGTCATGCCAAGCAGCCGTTCTGGCCGCGAATCGTCCAGTCGCTCCTCTGCAGAGCCTGCTCGTGCCGTTCCTGCTAACATCCCAATCCCTCCCATTCCCAGCAATGCCTTTGATCCCTATGCTAGATCAGAGAGCATGACGAACCGTGGTCGCTACAGCTATGCCAGCAGCAGTGCTATGAGCACGATTAACAATCCAAGGAGAATCCGCAGACGAAAGGATCCGACACCATTCAAGTAAGCCGCAACCCAGCTGCTACACTCTTCCTGTCTCCCTTTCACTTGATTGAACCTCAAACTACAAGTAGACTAACTATCCCGTTAGCATTCTCATTCTCGGAAGCCAAAACGCCGGCAAAACCTCCTTTCTCGAATTCCTCAAGACTGCCTTGGCACTCCCACCGAAGAAGCAGGCCAAGAGGCAGGACGAAGACGTTTTCCAAATACCTACTCCACCCGTTGGCAACTTCATCCCACACTACCTGGAGACTGAAATTGATGGCGAGCGAATTGGGCTGACCCTTTGGGATTCTGAGGGCTTAGAGAAGAATGTCGTTGACCTTCAGTTGAGAGAGATGTCGTCTTTCTTGGAGAGCAAATTCGAAGAGACCTTTGCCGAGGAAATGAAGGTTGTTCGCTCCCCGGGCGCCAAGGATACCCATATCCACGCGGCTTTCTACGTCATGGATCCTTCTCGCCTTGATCGTAACATTACGACGGCGAAAATTGCTGCTTCGCGCAATGGCATTCCTAATGGGAGCTATGGCCATGCCCGAACGCTCGGTGCTCTCGACGAAGATATCGACCTCCAAGTCCTCCGGACTCTTCAGCACAAGACAACCGTCATTCCCGTCATTTCCAAAGCAGACACCATCACCACAAAGCACATGAGTGTCCTCAGAAAGGCAGTCTGGGACAGCATCAAGACGGCAAACTTGGATCCTCTGGAGTCCCTGGGCCTAGATGAAGATAGTAGCAGTGTTATCGAAGAGGAAGCTGAAGAATCTGAGGAAGATGAAGCAGCCGAAAAGCCGACCGCGTCACCGGGCCATTCCAAGAGGCTCTCTACAAACTCCATCCGCAGACACAAATCTGAGGATGCCAAAGAGGAAGAAGCGCCATTTCTTCCCCTTTCCATCATTAGCCCCGATCTTTACGAGCCCAGCGTCATCGGCCGGCAGTTCCCTTGGGGATTTGCCGACCCCTACAACGAGGAGCACTGCGACTTTGTGCGTTTGAAGGAGGCCGTCTTTACCGAATGGCGTGCTGAGCTGCGCGAGGCCAGCAGGGAGCAGTGGTACGAGGGCTGGCGAACAAACAGACTCAAGCACCGTGATCTTCCCCACGCGCGATAGAGCATTGCATACAGCCTTACTCTGACAAGGCCAGACCACAGCGTCTCTGTCATGACCCGTTGAGCAATTTGCAGACAATATGTGTGGACCCTGCTTTTGTTTCAACCTTTTCGCATACCTTATCCTCCGAGGCCCCATTTACCTTAATTTCCGCTTCCGATTAGCTCATGGCATACCCTGGCCTCGCCTCCGCCTTGGGGATCCTTTTTTCAGCGAGACAGGCCTTTTTGTTTGTACTTGGGAGCGCCAATGTCAGACTCTTTCTTTGCATTGTCGAAAAAAAAAAAGCCAACATCATTTGAGAAGCCTTGATTCAGAGATGTTATAATTGTGGCTCTGAGTATGAGTGATTAGGGAGAAGCTACATATCCCTGCACTTTTCCGGAGTTGTTGACTGTCTCTACTGCATCTTTCCCGCCCGCTCTCTTGTTCAGGGCGATTCTGCTACTCTTGACAGAGAAAACAGGTTGCTGGCGCGATGGAACTTTTTCTTTTTGTCTCTTTTTTTTTTCTTATTTCTTGATACGCAAATGACTTTTGATTCCCCCATCATTCCTTTTGATGTCCTTCCTCCCTCCCCATACGACGCCTCCCAAGATTGCGCCTTGGGAGACCGAATTTGGAGCTGCGGAGACGGCGACGACGAATGGTAATTTCTTCTCTTTTATCCCGCAGCCTGGTGCGAAGCAGTATGATCGATACCCGATGATGGGAAACTTATTCTTGGCGGCTTTTTACCTTTGTTTCCACCCCCCTTTTTTGTATCGTTAGCTTTAACAACAAAAAGAAAAAAGAGCAAATGCCCCTGGATAGGTATCTATGAGTATGCGCGGAAAATTGCTTGGACAGATGTAGAATAGGATGAAAGAGAGGTCTTTTCTTCTTTTGTAGAATCCTTTTTGAATTTGAACTTGACCACCTTTTTTCTTTTTCTTTTCTTTTACGCTGTCACTCCTAATTGCCAACCGAGAATAGTACTAATAAAAGATGCCATAACTATTAACAGGTATCGTAATATGAGATATGTAAACTAAACTAATAAGAAGCCGGCAAAAGTTTTGTTTCCCAAACCCATGGATCTTGATATTCCTTGATTTAGATGACACCGCCGTAAACAAAACCCCAAAAGCGAGCGCCCTGATAAAAAAAAAATAAAGTGGCCGTTGGCCATCAAAACACAAAAAAACCGTATGAACAACTAACCCACGCACCCATGCTCTTAATCCTCCAACCAGGACATACTACTATCGGCCTTTGTATTCGTAGGCCTGCCGTTCCTGTCTACATCACGCTCCCGCCTGGCATGATTCTTGCCCAACTTCTGCAGCCGGTCAATTTCCTTCTTGCTCAGCGTGACCTGGTCGAACCCCCGTGGCAGAATCGCGTCGGAGATGAGGAAATCGACCTTCATGTTGCGAGCTCTGTCACGGTAGGCCTGTTGGTTCCGCGGAAGCTCGAAAAGCTGGCTGTCTTCCCTTTCAATGATGGCCCAGCTGGCAGCACGGCGGGCAACGAGGTCGACCAACGTGGCAGAGTCGCGATCGCTCCAGCCCAATCGTTTTTTAAGAGACTTGGGCTGGCTCAATCGCGCATTCATGCGAGCCTGATCCTTGACCCGTTGGATAGCGGCAAAGTCTGGGGAGGCTGACGGAGGAACGGATGGAGGCGACCGCGCGGTGGAGGTACTAGCAGTAGGTCGACGATATTCCACTTGCTGTTCTTGGCTCTTGTGAACGGGGGCGGATGAGGGAGCTGTCTTGCTCCTTTTAACAGGCCTCTGCTCCTCTTGGGTAACGTTATATCTGCCATCGTCGCGTTCCGTCGGCAACTTTCGATGCTGATGTACAGCGCTGGATGAGAAAGTTGCCTTGCCCCCTCTATTAGGCCGAGAGTCCACTTCAAAGTCGTCCTCTTCCTCTTCTTCTTCTTCCTCCTCTTCGTATGTTTCTTCCTCCTCTTCTTGGCTGTCACCAGAGTCGTCGACCTCACTAAGATCTTCACTCTGCTGATATGATCGCTTGCGCGAGGGCCCCGAGGAAGGTAGTTGGGTAAGAGATACACCACCGAGTAGACCAAGTAGCTGTCTGCCCATAAATAAAGAGCTGCTAGAAACAAATGTTAGCGATCAAAGGGGAAGAAGGGTGGAGCATATTGGACTTACTCTCTATCTCGGCTTTTGAACCGTTGTGGCGGCGGCTCTGGCTGGGAGATGTTCAGATCTTGGGAAGATCCGCCAAGAGAATCGTGATCGGGATAACTGTTCTCGTCGCTGAGGGGTGGAAGATCTAGGTATGTTTCTTCGCGGGCCCCTCTCTTGTCCGCCTTTCGAGTCCTGTCTTGTCGAGTTTGCCGCCCCTTCTCCTTGCGAGCTCTTTCTTGTTCTTGGGCGCGTTTCTCTCTCTCGCGGGCTTGTTTTGCTGCTTCTCGAGCACGTTTCTCTCGCTCCTGAGCTTGTCGGGCTTCTTCTCGAGCCTTTTGCTCCCTCTCTCTAGCTTGCTGTGCTTTTTCTCGAGATCTGAGTTCTTCTTCCTTGGCTCGTTGCTGCTGCTCTCGAGCTCTATGTTCTTCCTCAAGAGCTTGCTGCGCTTCCTCTCGAGCTTTTCGCTGCTCTCGGAATAGCCGCTGCTCTTCGGCGCGCCATTGCTCACGTAGCCTCTCTTTCTCCATGGCGACTTTCTCTTGCTCTGCCCTGTTCAACAAATGTGAAACTGTTGAATATCTGTCCATGAGCCATTCTTTGAGGTCTTTAAGCGTCTCTTTGAGGGAGTACTGAGCTCGGATGCTGGGCAGATCCACGGGAGTCCTAATCCCTCTCTTGCCGCCATCAGACATTATCTTCCACATGTTGGAGACTCTTTGCGAACAAACATCTACCAGCGATTGCTGATCGAGGTCCGCTAGAGGCTTATAAGGGCCTTTGCTGAAAAGACTGCCATAGTCGCCCGGGGCGTCTGGGGCGTTCATATTACAAAACGCGTGGCCCAGCATGCCGCGCAGGTCTGTAGCCTGAGGTGACCTTGCTATGCTCTCGATGGCTCTCTGGGTGCGGATTTCTAGAGACATTGACCTGTACTGCGTTTCTTCAGCGGCGAAATGCAGAGGAAAGAGGGTGTCTACGGCCTCGAGAAAAGGCACAGGATTGTCTCCTTCAGACTCGATGCTTTCTATTTGCATGAGAGCGGTGGCAATGTTTGCCAGCTTGATAGAGAGCGGAATGGCTGCATTCTCCGTATCCGGGATGTCCTCTCCCGCCTTGCCTACCCAATCCCAGTCGAGAAAAGGGGATGCCTGGTGAGAAGCCTGGAAAATGCTGCGAGACGCCTTGAATGACTGCAGTTTCATGAGGAGCACCTTTTCGTAAGACGGCCGTGACTTGTTCTGCAACTGGCCGATGAGGTTTTTGGCATCCCGAGCTAAAGAAGGCACAGCCTCGAGCTTCATCTCATGCTCAGCCTCTTCAACATCATGCTGGACCACTTCTTCTTCCAGCAGCTGAGCTGTGGATTTGGGTTCTGGGGCAATGCTTTCTTCGTCCTCGTCGTACTCGTCGTCAGTGTTGTCCCTCCTAGGGTTTGTCGCTATACTGCTGACGCTGAGATGACGAGGAGCGCCACGACGCGGCTTTGGATCAAACACAATGGAACCTTTGCGTGGCACAGATGTTAGACCTTTTGGAGGTTCTATGCTTGGTAGCACAGGGGACGAATGTGATGGGGTTGCTGGCGGAGGTGGCCGAGATGGGAGAGAAGAAGAGGGAGCAGCAGGAGGAGGAGGAAGGATGAGAGAAGTCGTCGGTCTTGTAGGCGAAGAGCTCGGAGGAGGGCTAGGGGAGGAACTAGATTCCCTGGCGACGGCCTCGTTTCCACGCCGCTTAGTCGCTCGAGGTGGGTTTCTCCTGATGGGCTGTGGAGGAGACGAGGATGGCGGAGGCTCGACGGCCTTTTTGGACCGCCGGGTCTGCATCTTGGACTAGCTGCAATGAGATCTGACACGATGTAAAGCGGGACAAGGTGCCGGACAGCGGAGCAGGAGTAGGAGAAGCGGAAACAGAAGCAGAAAGCAGAGGCCGTGAATCAGAACAAGAGACGAGGAGAGAGAGAGAGGAGAGACATCAACAACAATAATAATGGAAGATAAGAAATACAATGGACACGGCTCCTGCGACAGAATCGACTTATGATCTCGACTGTCAAAGAGAATTAGAATTAGCGGCTCGCTTTTGCTGCCTTTGTTTGTTCTTCAGCAGCGTCTGTTTGCTTGCGCAACGCGATGGACGTCCAAACCTTACTTAGAAACCTAACCCTACTCCTCTAAAAAGTCGGGAATCGTCCCCTGCGCGCCACGATGCGCTAGGCCGGATGCGGCGACGTGCTGTTTCTTTGCTGGGGGCAGCTCCACAGTGGAGGGGACAATGAAAAGTGACGGACTTTGTTGTTCAACGGACCTGGACGTGCCTGGACTGGAGCACAGATAATCAGCTGGCCTATCAAGAGCATCAAAGTCGGCTTGTTGACCTGATTTTTCTCTTTTCTTTACGAATTGAGGCGTCAAGAATCATTCAGCATGGGACAGTACGCAATCATGGCGCAAAGCTGTTGGGCCTGTGCGACTTGTGTAAGACTGTAGAACTGTGAGCCGGGCAGGTACTGTGTACGCGGGACATGGGCTGGATGAAGCTGAGAGAGATATTGCCAGATTCACAGAGCTGAGAAGCAAGCGAGGTACCGGGTACGAGCAGGAGGCACTTGAAAGTTACTCAAAACCGCGCAAGGTAGATGGCTGAAGCTTCTCAGCTGATGGAGATACTCAAGCAAAACATGTTTTCTAAACTATGGAATCTATTCAAGTGTGGAGTACTGTACAGTAATGTGCTGCGTTGCCTTTGTACGGTCTATCGAAAGAAAGAAAAAACCTGCCATGAAAAAAAAAGCACAGGAAATATCTGCATGACAAAGAGTCTAGACCAGAGCTGGCGGCGTCTGTTCTGTGCAGTCAGACTGACCAAGACAAAGCCCGGCGAGTTTCTTGGTCATTGTAGTTGGGCGAGCCGTGAGCCCCACTAGACCGAGAAGCAGAGTATCGTGCTCGTAATACCGCAAGTATGCACTTGGTGGCGTACAGGGACGGGGCCAGAGGTCATGGCATGGTCATTAGTGACGAGCAGAGATCATCTGGTTTGGTTGAGCCGGCTCTCATCATCAAACTCGTACGTACTATAGCTCCTTGGCCTTAGTTGCTCTTCTTCTGGGCCGGGATGGCGGCCGACACATGTTTGTCTGGGCCAAACATGCCCGAGAGATACGCAATACGCGTAAAAGCAAGAAACAGCTGTAGAATCAAAAACGCACGATTAGCTGCAATGCCAACAAATGCAGTAAATGCAGCAGCACTGCTACTCAAGCGGCAGTTGAAATCTGCCCGGTCTCAATCTGCCCGGTCTCAATCTGCCCGGTCTCAATCTGCCCGGTCTCGTCTCATATGCCTGAGCATGGTGGATAAGATGTGGGCAAGCAGTGGAGGCGGCGGCTGATGGAGACCAAAGAAAAGAAAGGCAAACCGGAGGGTAGAGGGCAGATGACAAAGGGAGAGGGAGAGAGAATCATCAAAGTCAAGTGAGGGGAAATGTGCGTACCGTGGCCCCGAGATTTCCCCAAGCCATGGCGTTCCACCCAGAGACGTCTATGAACCTGTCCCAAGACATGCCGTAAATTGTGAAGCCAACGTGGCCGGCATCAGCAATCAAGAGGGCGATGAGATAGTTGCGGACGACTCTGGCCTCGGATGTTGTCCAGAACAGGGCCAAGCCCACCATGCACATTCCAAGATACATGTTGCCCAGCTGATGGGCCATGACGATGCTATTCTCCGAGGCAACCAGAGGCTTGTCCTGAGGGATCTGCTGTGCCACGAACCATGCCGGGTCGTATACAGCGCCGGCGAAGCCTGCCACGCTGTGATTTACTCAGGCCCAGGTTAGCCGTACTCGTGCTGTACAGTTACGAAGTGATACAGAGTCTCTCTCGCTTGCCATCCTCGCGGCAGTCGGTGGTTTCTTGCGATTTCGGTGGGTTTTTTGGGCAGAGGAGGAGTGATTGGGCTTTGCTGCCACCCTCCCAAAATCTCGTCAACCCCATATTTTATGCATACATAGTAGAAGCTTAGGAGGAGAGGAGAGGGAGAGATGGGGAAAGCAGAGAAACCGAGTGGTGGGCTGTCTCAAGTTGCCGCGATTGGGCAAGCGATACATAGTCATACAGCAGCAAGTGGGCTGGGCTTACAGCGACAAGGGCTCGAGGACCGTAAAGACGAGGCGGGGGAACGGCGGCAGAGAGGCGGCCATCATGTGCTTGTGCGATGTGCGTCTGGAAAATGAGGGGGGAAAGATGAAGAAGAAGCAGAAGACGGAGATGGAGACGGAGATGGAGACGGAGATGGAGATGCAGATGGGATGACGAGTGGTGTGAGCCGGACGATGAGAGGCGGGAGGGAAGTGGGAAGCCAAGTGACCGAGTGAGTGAGAAATTGGAGGCGTGGAGACGTTGAATCTTGCAGCAAACCACCGCGATAATTTGTGACGATGTTTGGCTGATTTACGACGAGGATTGCATGTTTCCGTCCAACCCAAACAGCAGCCCCTCGCCGACTGTGAGTGAGGGCCGATGCTGCAAGTTCCTCTTTGGGCTCGAGATGCAGATGCAACTCGTGATATAATTTGAAAGCCTGGGGAAACCAACCAGGGAGGAGCAGCTCCAGGGTACCGAGCATGTAACACTCACCCAATCTCATAGAGCGAAGGCGCCTCGGGCAGTAAAATTCAGCTGAGACTTTGGGTCAATTCCAGCTGTTGTCATGGCGCTGACGACCACTGTGCGGCTGCACCGCCGGTACTGGCACCTGTACCAGTACCTGAGCGCCCCTTCTTCGCTCGGGTGTCTGTGCTAGCATTCTGAATACACTGCCGGTACTGGGTACGGCGGGGGATGTTAGTGCCGAGCATCAGTCAGCTGCAGCCGCAAACGTACGACCAGAGGAACAAGTGAGAGGGCAGTTCGGCATAACTCGGGGGTTCATTTGGACAATGCCTGGGTGAACCAACAGCGACAGCATTGAGACCAAAACTTGCTTTGCAGCTGCATGCGACCATTTTCTATTTTGGTTGGTTTTGTATCCTTTTCCTTTTATTACAATGATCGAATCACTGCTTAACGTTGCATTGATACCTTGGTACTACGGAGTACCATTGGCAAAGTTCTCGGGTCGACGGAGCAGCAATGCGTGGACGTGGACATTAGCGATTATTACCAATGCCGAGACTTAAAGGTACACAGTACTCCAACTCCCTACCCTTGACGTCACATTTAGCCTGTACCGAGTACGCGACGTTTTTTGCTTTTTTGCCTTTTTGCTTCCCCCTTCTCCCTCTTTTTTTCCCTCTTCCAAATCATCACCCTGTTTGCCGGCTGACGCTTGAGGTTAGCAGAGGCACTAACTCGCCTGTACATGGACTGTACTGTGCTCTGGCCCCGGAGGACGCGCCGCCGTGCTTGCATCTAAAGCCGAGCACTTGCTTTGCTGGTTGCTTTTTTCCTCGCATTCTTTTCGTTTCTCTGCCCGTCTTTTCCTTTTGCTTTTCTCACCCGTTGCTAAGTAATTACTAGTAATTATTTACTCCCCGTATTATAGCGCTTGTCTCGGCTTCGTCTCCCCGAGCACTAAACCGCATTTCGCGAGTTCAATTCCATGCCTCGCCCAAGCAGCCAAACGTGAGCGCTTCACGTGCTGACACCACTCCAGCTTTGCTCTTCAGCTCTCCCTCTCTCCCTTCTGCCTGTCCTGCTATATCCTGTTCCTAACCAATCCCCTTTTATGATCCCTCCCGCCCTCCCTCTCCCTCCAAATTGGTCTCCAGCCGCAGCAGCACCAGTAGCATTGCATTAGCAGGGCTGCAGCTAGACAAGCAAAAACGCGGAATTCCAGCTCCTCGCTCGCCAACTAAGACAAGGAGGGACATGTCGAGGCCTCACTGTGCGGAAGTGCGGGAGAGCATAGCATAGGCACATCCGGTCATTTTCTCTTTCTCTCTCTACCCTCTTCTCTCGCTCTTACACACTCTTACACACTCTTTCAACCAACTCCCACTCTTTTCTTCGTCCTCTCCCTCTCCTTCGTTTCCCATCATCCTCTCTTCCACCCATCACGTCTCTCTCTCCCCTTGGTCGCTCTTTGATCCGTCTTAATCCAAATCTCGAATACCCTCGCTCACGTGTGCCTCTCCGTCGACCCGGCAACTTGCTATTACTACTCTATTATATCGTTCATTGCTCGAGATCCACCACTCCGGATAACTCGCCATGGCTACCATCGAGCCGCGTCTGATCCACCTCTTGAACGACGATCCGACATCCCCGGAGCTCCCCAACACAGACTTGCTCCCACTGCCATCGCTGCCCACGTTACAGCTGCCGCCCTTGTCCGGGGCTCGCGATGGGCCTCTGCCGCCGCTGCAGCTCGAGGGCCTTCGGGCAGATAGATTCTTTGGCAGTGCTGGCCGGAATGCCGTTGTTCCCGGTCCTAGCAGCGGAGCTCCGTTGGCATCACCATTCATCGGAGATCAGTCGAATGCCTATTCAGATTACAGGAGAGACAACGACTTCTCCAAAGAAGGCAAATATGCCGGGAGCTCGGCTCTGTATCCGCTGAGGCTTCTGTTGAGCGAGGTCAACATGCCGCTGATACCCACGCCGCCAGCTCCTTCATTCACCAGCATTCTCAACGAGGGTCCGGATTTTCAAGATGATGCTCCCTCATCTACGTCTAATCCCACGTCTAATCCCACGTCTACATCCACATCCGCAAACACAACTACAACCACAGACACAACCACTTCTATGTCTGCATCCGCGTCTACATCCACCCCTTTAGACTCTTCCTCCTCATCTGCATCATCATCATCTTCTTCTTCTTCAAATACCACAGCCGCAACCGCCGATGATCCCCCTTCTTCTGCCAACAAGAAGCGACCAGCGATCCATATCAAGGATGATTTTGTGCAGCTACCACAGCCCGCGAAGAAGCCAAAGGCGCACCAGGCTCCCTTCATGCCACCCATCATCAACGGCCTTCTTGAGCCGCCGCCCCATGTGGCTCTCTTCCCGCCCATTGAATCCAGCGCCTTTGACGACACCGATGCCGGTCAGAGCAAGCTCCTCCATGAGCTCAGCTACAGCCCTCCGGGCCCCCGCCTGTCTCCGGAGCCTGACCAACCTGTGGCCAAACCAAGGGCAACAAGGAAGCGTTCAAGCAAGCCCAGGCGGAAATGGACAGAAGAGGAGACGAACCACCTGCTCAAAGGGGTCGATCGCCATGGTGTGGGTAAATGGACCAACATCTTGGATGACCCTGATTATACATTCAACTCACGCTCTGCTGGCGATCTCAAGGACCGCTTCCGTACTTGCTGTCCCGAAGAGATGCGTGTAAAAGAGGTTGATGAAGTCAAGGCTCGTGCACGACGACGGCAGCTCAGGAGTAAGCCAAGGCCCAAGTCGCTTTCGCCAAAGAAGAGTCCGGGGAAGACAGTTCAAGAGACCCAAGAGACTCTGCTAGCCGAAGGCGGGCCTCTGTCGGGCAAGGACCCGGCCGCCTCTATTCCGTTCGAATTTGATGACATGCCCATCAAGAGGAGTCGTGCTCATCGGATGAAAGTGTCGGATCTCGCGGGGCTCGGCATCACGGGACCATTCAGAAGGGCCCGGAGGCGGGAGAGAACTGCCTTTTCCAATCGAGACGACCAAGAGATTCTGCAAGGCCTTGAAAAGTATGGCGCGTCTTGGTCCAAGATCCAGCGTGATGAGCGTTTTCACCTTGGCACCCGGCAGCCTACGGACCTTCGAGACCGGGTACGGAACAAATTCCCCTACATCTTCCAGCGCATTGAAAAGGGTGTTTTCCAGCCCAAAGATGTCAGTGTTACAAACATCCTCGAGCCAATGGTCAGCACCACCATGGTCGGCTCATTCAAGTCTGCGCCTGCTCCGCCACTTTCATTAAAGGGCAACCCTGCAAAAGCCTCGCAAGAAGAGTTACCCAAGTGGCCGTTCCTGACGGCTGGCTCGACGGAGCAGCCTCAACAACCGGCTCGTGACACTGACGAGTCTGCGTCCACAGCAGCGGGTGGCGAGATGGATATTTCCAGGCTTTTACTAGACGATGCTCAGTTGGCACCTGCACTCTCCTAGAAGAAGAAGCAATAAAAAAGAAAACAAAAGGAAAGAAAAAGATAAAGACAAGAACCATCACAACTCAGATTACCACTACATCGGGCTACTGAAACCATGCACAAACTCTGGATCTCTCGCATGGTAAGGCTCTGGCTCAAGCGCACTCAGCGTCACCCGATTACATCTCTCTTCCCTACTCCTCCATTTACGTCTCATCTCTACGTACTCTTACTTCATGACAATGCCGCGATACGTTAATTGTGTTGCCTATGATACCACCATCTTTCCTTTGTCACAAGCCTTTTACGCTTGATACTTTACTTTGAGGGGCTGCTATGTAAGCTCATGCATGGAAGAGGAACTGGCAAGGATCATAATATACCCCCCACATTAATGTTGCACATGATGGGATGATAATAATAGCAAGCAAAAGTTGATTTAATTGAATTTTTTATTCCGTCATACTTGACAGCACCAAGCCATCATCGTTGTCCTTCCTACCTACTGCTCATCAAATCCATCTTGTGAAGTTTGTATTATGGAGTATGGGGAGCGACTGTTATCTTCTTATCGTAGAAAGGTGGGACTCTGGAAAAACAGCGGCACTGTGGAGAAATTCTATCACGTGATTTACTCCAGTCTCTCCATGCCTGTTTTGGCAATCACGGCAAGCCTTAGGGCAAGAAAGCCCCCACAATTGGCGCTCACGAAGCGAGAAGAGAAAAAAAAAGGTGTGCCGTCAATTTACTTTTCTGCTTCTTGATCCACGCCCAACTTCCGTCGTTTTCATCACCGTCGAGAAAACAGCCAGTCGTCACCATGGCCCGAGGAATGTGAGTATAATCAATGCTGAGAAGTGTTACTCTCTATTGTCCAGCAGAAGAGGAGAATGGGATTGGTGCTGTTTGCTTCAATTCCCCTCTTCGTCTCTTGATGCTGTTGACGATAGCTTCAATTGCAAAAAAAAAAAAAAAACAACGAAAACGCGACGACTGACTTTTTTCCTCCCACAGCAAGAAGCACCAGAAGCGCCTTAGCGCCCCCTCCCACTGGCTGCTGGACAAGCTGTCCGGTCTCTATGCCCCCAAGCCTTCTGCCGGTCCTCACAAGCTCCGTGACTGCATGCCCCTGATCGTCTTCATCCGCAACCGTCTCAAGTATGCCCTCAACTACCGCGAGACCAAGGCCATCATGATGCAGCGCCTGGTCAAGGTTGACGGCAAGGTCCGCACCGACATCACCTACCCCGCCGGCTACATGGACGTCATCACCATCGAGAAGACTGGCGAGAACTTCCGTCTTATCTACGACACCAAGGGCCGCTTCACCGTCCACCGAATCCAGGCCGAGGAGGCCGAGTACAAGCTGGGCAAGGTCAAGCGCGTTCAGCTCGGCCGTGGTGGAATCCCATTCTTGGTCACGCACGATGCGAGAACGTGAGTTCTGTTAGACATCATTCAGCCGTTGGATCAAGCTTTGGTCGATTCGGGAAAAAAGGAAGGAGAAATATTCAAAAAATTCACCTCTCCCTTGATTTGTTTTCTTCTTTTCTTCATTTTCCCTCTTTTCACAGAGGAAAAAAAGGAAGAAGAAACAGAGACGACGACGATGGAAGCTTTATTTGACGGCTGTATGTTCCCCGTTTGCCCCGTGCGAGTGCTAATTATTCTTTTACAGCATCCGTTACCCTGACCCCCTGATCAAGGTCAACGACACCGTCAAGATTGACCTTGCCACCGGCAAGATCACCGACTTCATCAAGTTCGACACTGGCGCCGTCGCCATGGTCACTGGTGGTCGTAACATGGGCCGTGTTGGTGTCATCACCCACCGTGAGCGTCACGACGGAGGCTTCAACATCGTCCACATCAAGGACGCCATTGACAACACCTTTGCCACCCGTGAGAGCAACGTTTTCGTCATTGGCCAGGAGAAGCCCTGGATCTCCCTGCCCAAGGGCAAGGGTGTCAAGCTCACCATCGCTGAGGAGCGTGACCGCCGACGTGCTCTGGCTCACTAAATGGAGAAAAATCGGTAGTACTTTTTTTCTTCTTTTAGTGGACGATATCAATCAATGGTTAAAAAAATGGCATATATGTGGACTGGAGTCTCGGATTTGATGTTTGCTTTATTAGGAGGGGGTTTCTCCTTACGTGATCCCCCTTTTCCCTCTCCTATGGAGATAGCCGGCCCTGAGGCTAACGACGGAAAAAGACTATTAACATATTGAGCCCAAGATGCTCTCTGTTCACAGTGTTACGTGTGCATTGCTCCTCTTCATTCTTGTTCAGTGTGAATGTCGTCTTGTGAAGCCACCCTTTTATTGGTGCGGTCATGTTAATGCAACTCTTGTTGTTCATTATGTGTCTTTACGGAACACGTCGATGCAACTATTGTTCACCATGTGTCTTTCCAGAGCTGCCAGTGTACCGCGTTCTCATCGGTTAACATGTGTATTAACTCTCATCTAGTATCATCCTTTTATACCAGTTCATTCACTGACAATGATCAGTCTTCATCATCAGTCTCGAAATAATGTACCGCCACAGCAGGGTGCGTGGCATTTCCATTCACACTCCCGCCATACTCCAAGTATCCCTCCACATATGGATGCTTGACTTTGAGAATATCTTCCGCATCGCCAAACACCCAGACCGTCTGCATGCCCATAATCATATGCTGCAGCGTATGGCAATGCATCATCCACACGCCTGGATTTTGCACACGCAGCCGCCACGCCCGCCATCCCCACGGCTGGTCCGGCTGCACATTCGTCGTGTACCGGAACAGCATCGTCGTGTCTCGCCTGACCGGGTGCGTGCCCTCAAGTCTTTGCTGGGCCACCTCGGGATCGTACACGCCGGGTCCTCCGCCAATGTCATAGAAGTGGTCACCGTGGGCGTGCCATGGATGCGTGTCGAGGCCGCCTCCAAACCTGCTGTCATCGGAGCGGGCACCGACTTGCTGGAAGATGATCTCGATGACTTCACCGAGCTTGGCGGGATACGTGTTTGTTTCTGGGTTGAGGCCATAGTTGGCCATCGAGGCATCGTAGTCGGGCAAGTACTTGGACGTGTTCTTGTATAGGGATACTAGGTAGGGCTCGGACGGGCTGATGGTGTAGGTCTCCCTGTCGACGTTGTCGTCGGCCCAGGACACGCCGTTATCGGTCCAGAAGACGTATTTGTCTATCTGCTGCTGAGAATAAACAAAGATGCGGCGACTCACCTCGTCAGACGAAGGAACGTCGTTTGGAACCAGCGGCTCCAGCTTGTAATCGAGGAAGCCCTCGATCGTCGGAGGCAGATCAATGGGCCTCTCGCTGGGCAGAGTCGTCGTCGGGGCCTGACGACCGTATAAGTGGCGATGCTGCAGCGCACTGCAGGTATTCGAATACCGCAGCACAGCGTAGCTAGCAATAATCCTCGGCCTATCGCGGGACTCCATCTGCAAGTAAAAGTCGAGCTTTTTGAACAACGCCAGTTCAGCGCACGTCTTGGTCTTGAACAGCGAGCTGAAGCGCTGGCCCGACCCGATCTGCAGCAGCGGCGTCGAGTACGGCTTGGTGTACTCGCCGTCAGCCTCGATGATTTCGATATTCGTATGGTTTTCAAAAGCCAGCGCCGCGTACGACAGGCCCGTCGCGCCGACGTAGCGGAAGCGATACGTCTTGCCCGGATCGACTTCGATGACGGACAGTCTCGCCGAGGCGGGATCGACGACGGGGTAGTTGGATATCGTGTTGCCGTTGATGAGGAAGCCGCCTGTTTCGCCGGACCAGACGAACGGCGCCGCGCGCAGGCCGTCGGAGATGTCCTTGTCCGACTTCTCGAACAGCTCCTGGATGTGGATGACGCGGTCGCCGTCGACGGGATACGGCGGCGGGCCCGAGTCGTCGACAATCAGCGGTCCGTTTGCGGTGCTCGTCTGAAAATCGATGTGCGAGTGGTAAAAGTACGTGCCGGCCGTTCCTAGAGGCGTCTTGAGCTCGTAGTCAAAGTAATGCATGGGCGGGATCGGCCACTGGCTGCCCATGGGGGCGCCGTCGGAGAAGGGCGCGGCTGCTTGGGCGAGGCCATGCCAGTGCTGTTGCGGTGTAAGTTATGTTATTACTTTGCTGAATGTTTATCTGTCTTGGTGCTTTTGGCTGTTCTCTCACCATGGTTAGGTTGGCGTCGCTCATGTCATTGTACACTCTGATCCAGACAACTTGGTCTTCGGGGATATGGAGCTCGGGACCTGGTAGCGTGTCATTGATGAGAGTTGTGTATCTTTTGATGCCTCCGATGCCAATTTCTCTTCTTGTGACTCTGAGTACTCGATCGGGGATGAAGGTTACATCGTGGATTCGAGGGCCGCTTGCACCTCTCGCATGGCCGAACAATGAGATGAAGAGAAGGACACCATTAGATAGCATCCGGCACATGTTGACCGGGAAAGTATCACGATATACGCAGTTTTATCTCTTTCTTCCTGATTTCGAACTTCTGTAACAGTTCGAAGACAAAGGGAAAAGGAACTTTATTCTTGTTGACGCTGCCTAACAATATCTCAAACGTTCAACGTTACAAATCCCGGGTATCTACATATATCTGCCTCGAGATGGCTCTACGACGTTCCCCCTATATCATTTGGGGTTTGGAATGGTCGTCTTTTAACAGGGGAATCTGACAATAGGGTAGGATCTATCGAGAAAGAGGAATAGATCCGCAACTATGGCTTGACTATAAATTAACCTTTTATTTGGCACCTGTCTAGTATTCTGACCGAACCAGGCACCGAAGAGTAAAGTCCAGTATGGTGGTGGGCTTGAAGTGTAAAATACACTATAAAACTCGAGTTTATTTCCTATAGAGTGATTCTTTGGAGTGGCCGCGTGTATGACAGCCCTAACAGCCCTGGCAGTCGGCCATTCCAGCTCCGTGTCGGATGTCAGTCAAGGGGTCAAATTAGCCATTATATCATCTTTACGACATGGAATGATGTTCTTGATTTTCTCTTTTATGGTATATTTGTATAAAGTATAAAGTAATATACATGACCCTTGGCTTAAGCCTAGGGTGGCTCGACTGGACAGGGGGGCATGGGAGGAACTCGTACGGTTAGAGCCAGAAAGATCGTAGCCAAGGGCCCTCAATGCAAAGAGACCAGATCAAGGCAGTCTAGAGAAAAAAATATGAAACGAGAGATCAGAGGAACAAGAAAACTGCCAGAGTCTGGGGGCATCGCTCCTACACACATGGAAGGCCTCGTAGCTCATCTCTCCCTTGTTAATAAGAGCTCGCCCAATCTTTCAGACAGCCAGTTCCACTTTCGCCTTGCCCCCCTCTTTCTTTCAGACAGACATGGATATGAACATCCAGGCACCAATCGTTCTGTGCTTGTGCAAAAAGATTTCCGCCTCACTCTTCCCAAGGTCTAGAGCCTTCCTGTATCAGAAATGCCGTCTTAGGCCGACGCTCTCGAAAGTGAGCGGTGCCGATCTTTCCCAGTATTGATGTCACTTTTCGCCTAATCTTGCCTCTTTTTTGTTGTAATCAGGCATCAAAAGTGATGCCCAACAAGGTTCATGGTGGCTTTTTTTCTTTTCTTTTTGTCGTGTGACAAGGCTATATGTAGGGCACTGAAGTAATCACCTGGAACCATGGTACATTATCCTCCGGGGAAAGCAGAGTGCTTCCGGGAGACTGCATGAATAGTGAATACGCTCTAATGCAGGCTGGCAAGCCACAACTACCTAGCAATATTTCGTTGAGCTCAAGTTATTACGAGAGGGGCGAGGAGATTGATCTGTCTCTTTCAGAGTGGTCAACAAGACGGGATAGAAGGGCGTGGTGATATCCGGCTCGAGACAGGCATGGCAGACCAGAGGAGCTAGATGATATTGTGGTACCGATAGAGAGTTATATGCAATATGAGAGATATAGCGGCGAATAATCTGTATATACATTTATGAGGAAAGATACCCATAGAGAGATGCCCGAAGAACGAGTCTGTTGGGTGGAGTGAATGCAGTGTATACTGCACTCATCCTCCCGCAAGGATGTGATGAGCAGAGACATTGGTTGACCGAACCACTTACTCGCCCGACACTTTGTCTTGTACATGTGCAAAGTTATAGCGGCCCATGACAACGCTGCTTTTCTTGGATGCCCATTGACCTTCAACCCATGCCCCAGCACAGAAAACGAATACGAACAGGCGAATAGGAGAATACGAGTACATGAGCCTCCATCCAATGTATCGGCACTTCTGGCTTCGATATCAGCATCTATCCAGGATGATATGCCGGGGCCATGGCGGCTGAATCTAGTCAGCCTCTGAAATCACGTCAGTTTTGGAAAAAAGACAGGGGCCAGGGTGTATTAGACGAGGCGTCTGTGAATGCTAAGGCGTCTCAAACTAGTCTATTTGATACGCACAGACGCAACAGGATCCAATACCATGCGGCTGTAAGTAATATACATAGTATTTGTACTTTCTGATTCAGTCCTCCGCAACTTTACGGGAGAGCCTGATTCAGGTCTGCCTGAGTGGGTGGCGGGCAGATCGTGACCAGGGTCGTCGGCTCCCCAACCTCGTGAGCGAGAGAGTGGTGTATGGCAGAATTTGGAGATAGGGAACATGGGCAAGTCTTGATCCGATGGTGTTTATCATCGGCGATTGAGCGCATGAACCGGGTTTTAGCAAAGGCGGCACGATGGCTCGGTAGCTTGTGGTGGGCTGAGACTCCATATGCGACCTCAGGGACATATCATAGACAAAGACAGGAAGTGACTTGTGACAGGAAGCAGCAAAAAAAAAGAAACGAAACGAAAAGCAAAGAGAGCCACCTGCGTCATATCGCATGCCAGACATTGGTTGCCTGAATTCTGACCAGGCCTGGCCCGAAATATAGCGCCCGAAATTCTTCGGGATTCTTGCCCTTCGCACGGCAGACCAGGATGAGAACGCCGACCAGGAAAAGAAAGATCGTGCACGGAGGCATTTCTGTCTCGGATGTCCATGTTTCCGGACAAGGGTTTTGGTCATCGGGCCGCGCTGTCACTTTTTAGACGTTCGAATTGCCATAGACGAGTGGATAGTTGAGGATGGAAGATGGAAGTCATTCACACCAAATCCAGGCGCTCGGTTGTTTTTGCCCGAAATTTCGGAGCGGAGGATCGACTGCGGGCTCGGGAAGGCTCGAGGCTAAAGGGCTTAGCGGGAGCTGGGGCCAGATACAGTGATGACCAGCGGGGTCGCGGCTCGTTCCAGCGCTACTCTGGCACTGAACATTTAGTGCTCCAGTGTATTAGAACGAGGACGACCATTGATGCATTATCTTGCGTCCTTAGAGGCACAAGGACAATTTGCTCTTGTACAACTCATACTGCAGTGCATAGCAGCGCAGAACAGTACCCGCTACTGCACACTTGCTCGTCTCATTTGCGGTACGCCTGTAGTCGAGCTCAGCTGCCAGCCCTGGCGGCACAAAGCGACCAGGGGAGGCTTACAAGCTTACAGGTGCGCATATTGCACAATCTGTGTGCGCGTTATTATGTGGGTGCCCTAACCAAGCCTGTGTCAGTTCAATCTTGCCTCCACACACCACCGCTTCTACCGTACACGCCCCCAGGCTAAACGCCGGGAGACAACAAATGAGAGAACAAGACCTGGACAAAAGAGGAAAAACCACAGGGAAAAAGAGACGAGTAAGAAAAGCCAAGATCAGGCTATGCACACCGCTGTTTTTCGCGATCAGAAGCCCAAATTTGATCGCGCTGGATCGGGTCAGCACAAATCGAATCGAGTTGAGTCGAATCGATACGCGCGCTCCCCCTCCTCTGGCTTGTAGGCGTGCGATTCACCCGACAAATGGGCGAAGCCACAATCGACCAACCGGATCATCGACCCTGAGACCAAAATATGGAGCAGCAAGAAGAAGCAAAACTACAAAGGCAGAGACAAGAAGGGCCAAAGGAGCACATGAGTACATGAAGCGTCAGTCAGAAGAAGCGCTGCTACGAGGTACTGCTAGGTACCTACCGCCACTCTACGCGAGCTGAAGACAAGGGTTTCGTTTGACATTTGCCCAAGACAAGGCGATCCTCCTCCAGGATTAGCTGGCACCGAGTACCCGTCCAGCAGCTTCTCCAATATCATGGCCACTTCCTTACGCACTGACACAAGATTGTTCATCTCAAATGGCAATTCTCGAATTCTCCTTGTTCGCGGTGGGCGTGATGCGGGTAGATTGCAAGACTAACAAGTCCAAATCTAGATGATCGATCTCAATCGCCTGGGGTCCAAACCTCCATACGATCATGGACCAGGGAACAAGAAGAGAAAAAGAAAAGACTGCCCACGCCACACAAAAGCCACACGCAGCATCCAGAGGCGGCAGAGACATCAGGCCACTTGGGCACTTACGAGTGCAATCCAGGCTAGCATGTCTCAGGACGGCACAGGAAAGATCGCTCAGATGCAAGGGACGCTCAAATCTAGCTAGCTACTCTCAAATTACCACTAGCAGGCCTGCATGGGATGAATCTAGCAGAGTCTTCTTGCTGGCTTTCATCAGACTGTAAGCCGCCTCTGACTACAGACGAAATCACCACGCCAAGCGTCGCGATGGCCATGATCATGTAGAATGACTTAGAATCGTGGCCTATTGCCTTCTCACCTGATGGTCGATTGCATAGTTGTCTTTGATCGCAAATCAGAAACTTTTTTCAAATTTGCTATAAAGAGGTCGCTACTTCGCATCTTCATCGATTCCAAACTTTCTCTCTCGAATCCAACTTTCTGTAGTTTTCCATAGCCTCCACTAAGAATTTCAAGCTCTGCCACCTTCAGCTAATCAGCTAGCTTCGCCAAGGTCCTTCCTCGATCTGGCATCATGTCATCGATAGTGAGTGATCCGTCCTCTGGATAACCTCTTCTCAGCGCACTCTAACATCTTTCATTCTCAAAAGGGAGAGCCTGTCATGGAACGTGGAATAGCCATCCCTCGTATCGTCAGAGACAATGGATTCTGCCTCACCTGTCGTCGCGCGGGGAAGCAATGTGACTCGACGCTACCCATATGCCGTACTTGTCAAGAGGACGGGCTCGAGTGTATTCAGCCAATCAGTGCATACCCTCGAGCACAGAGCATTCCTGCAAAACGTCAAAGGGATAGCTCTGAATCACCGGAAGAGAGGCCCCGGGCTAGGCTCCGACCTGCGTCTGTGTCTCCGGCTGCAGTAGAGCCCACTGCCGAGTCCGAGCCCGAGTCCGGGTCTGAGTCTGAGTCCGAGTCTGAGGTTGAGGCTGAGTCCGAGTCTGAGGCTGAGGCTGAGGCTGAGGCTGAGGCTGAGGTTGAGGTTGAGGCTGAAACTGACATCTTGAACCCGTCTACTCCTGAACCTCAGTCCGAGGCTGAGACTGAAATCTTGACCCCGTCTACACCTGAGCCCCAGTCCGAAGCCGAGACTGAAATCTTGACTCAGTCGGCACCTCAACCTCTATCTGAGTCTGTTCACCAGACTCAGCCTCAACCTCAACCCCAGCCACAACAGCAGGAGAATGAAGTTGATGAAAATTCTACATCTGGGCCTGAGTGGAGCGTGTTTATGAATGCTATAACACGAGAGATTGATCAGGCTCAGCAGAGCTTGCTACGACAGACGCAAGGCCATGTGCGATTCTCCATGGTTCTTGACCCACACAACGATGACCCAGACCATGATTATGCTGTCTATTACGATTACCTATACGACCTCGACTCTGACTCTGACTCTGACTCTGACTCTGACTCTGACTCTGACTCTGACTCTGACTCTGACTCCGACTCCGACTCTGAAGATGGAGATGATGCAGATGAGGACGGAAGTCAAAGCTCTGCCCCCTCTACCTCGGAAACGGCGGCTCCTACCCCTCCTACCGTTATTGTGTATCAGATCAGGGATACTTGGACAGGACCGGGAGCGCCTCCTCTCGTAGCTTATCTTCACGACTTCATTGACTATATGAGCCTTTGTCACTTGTCTCGTGCGCCATCTGACTCTCTACCACTTTCCTTGCTGCCGGCAAGTGAGCAAACTACAGCCGAGACTCTCAGATACTATGTTCTGCGCCCAATCAATCGCGGCACGAGGCCTTTGCCAGATATTAACCCTACCAACCCCAAGGTTGTTGACTTGGCATATTCCAACCCTCTCGCCCTGCAGCTCATCATCGCCGAGAGGGCCAATCACCGCGAGGTATCCTCTGCTAGGCTGCCGACGGGTCAGATAGCTGAAGAGTTCTATCGTGCTGCCATTGGCGCGTTTGCTCCCAAGATTCAAAGCTACCTCAATGGAAACGAAGAATCTATGTTGTCTCTGACAATGGGAAGTCTCATCCTGGCTCTCATGGAAGTTAGTATTTGTCCTGTCCCTTCACCACATCCCTAGAATTAGAATCTCATGGTGTTGATCAAAGCTAACACAACACCTACCATGAAATAGAAAGCTCGGTTGGACAGGCGTGGTCGAGCTCCCAATTATCCTGCAGCCGCCGGCCGCATTCTCATCATGCTTACCACTCTTCCCCACGAGGAAGTTTGCAACAATCTTCCAGATATCTTGGTTGAGTATTACATGCACACTGCCATGTTTGCTTGCCTCGCAGCCGATATTACCACGGCAGAGACGATCCCGTTCGTGAGCAGTGCATTTCAAGATGCCGTCGACAGACTGGCGGCCAGGAACTACAACGGTACGCTCTGCGGAACCTGGTTGCCGATCATGGTTTCCATACATAACATCTTTACGCTGGGCATGTCCATGCGACCTTATGTAAATGGCCCGTTGAATATCCCAAGACCAGGCCCGTCAGTAGGCTATCTGGCTGATCACTTTGTCACCTTTGGCCGGATTCAAGAGAAGCTCTTCAATTTCGCACCTGCCCTGGACGAATTCAGCCCCGATTTCGAGGCGGCCGTGGTGTGGAGAAATGCGGCCATGCTGTACCTCTGGAGCCTCTTGGAATGGCCACACGCTCCGAAACCCACCGGGCCTTATAGTGAAATGATTCACAACGCTTTTCACGACGCAATTCGGCGGCTGCGGCAGATAGACAGGGAGCACGAGGTGAACAAGACCATTTGCTGGCCCCTAATCGTCGTTGGGTGCTTCGCAATGGAAAAGAATCATCAGGAATACATTGGAAGCCGTCTCCTCGACATCTCGGCCCGCTTCAAGGTTGGCAACGCGCTCGAGACTTATTTCATACTGAAATATGTCTGGACGCAGCCCGCTGTGTGGCGTAGCCCCTGGCTATTGCGCATAGCGATTCGAGAAACGAAGAGCTGGGGAAATCTTGAGCCTAACACTTTCCTTTAACTGTTGAGAGATCTCCCTGCGCTTTTTTTTTTTTTCCCCTTTCTGTCTTTCCTCTCTCTCCTCTGTCTTCATTTCCTATCATACGCTCCTTTATCACTCTCCTTCCCCAGTCTACTTCTTCTTAGTCTAATTCTTAGCCTGCCTCCTCTCAGGCTCCTTGTTCTCAATCTGCTTTTTCTTACTCTCCTTATGCTCTGTCTCGTTTCACACTCTGCTTTTTCTCTGTTTCTCTTTTCTCAGTGTGCTTTTCTGGACCAAGCGCCCAGACCAGCCGTGACATTGTGACCAAAATGCCAGCAAAGACCCGCGACATCAAAACTACTGCTGCTGCTACTGCTCCGTACAACCATGTAGGCTCGATCACCTGCTATTTCTTTTCTCAGTCTGCCTTTTCTCGGTCTCTTTCGTCTGTGTCTTTCCTTTGTCGCTTTTGTCTGTGTCTTTCGATTGTCTCGTTCGATTGTCGCTTTTGTCTGTCGCTTTTGTCTGTCGCTTTCGTCTGTCTATCGCTTTCGTCTATCTATCGCCTCCATCATTTTCCTCACCATTTCCCTTTACTTTTTATTTTTATTTCCCCCACTTTGGCTGTCCTCCCCCCCTACTCTCCTTAATCCTTGGTCTGTTACTCTGCTTTATCTGGCCTTCATTTCGTTTGTAACAGCCTCAAGGGCATTGTTTCGGAGGACATAATAACGATCAACACGTAAATACACGGCGCGAGTTGCATAAATGGATTGGTAATCTTGGTCTGTATCTCTTTCAATAAATTCTAAACCCTAAAAACAAAGATGCGCCTATTCGTTTGAGCCATGAACCACTTCAGCCTTTACTCTACCCCCTCTTTCCATTTCCCGCTGTCGAGAAAGAACTCCATGATCCTGCTAGACAAACGCACTCCGTCGTGCGGACGGTCGACACGCTTGATGGCGTCCTGGAATGCTTCCTCGCCAAATATGTTGCGCTCCACGTTGAGAAGCTCGTCGTTGATGGGCTCGTCGAATTCCGGGTGCCCCTGGAAAGAAAGCACTCGCCCTGGCTTGTAGAGAATCTGGATGGGACATGTAGCGCTAGAGCCGAGGTTTGTGAGTCCAGACGGGACTGTTAGGACGGCATCGCGATGCATCTGATGCAGCGCCTATGACATGGTGTTAGTTCCTCAAAAGAAAATGCTGGAATAAATCACCAATTGGCTGAATCTTACCAGCGACGGAGACCCAAGGAACTTCTGGCCCTGCTCGTTCAGATCAATGCTTCCGACGGAAAGCTCCCAGCCGCCTGGACTGTGGTTGACGTCGGCCCCGAGTGCGCGACCGATGATCTGGTGGCCGAAGCAAATGCCGACGACTTTCTTGTCTGTAGATTCCAAGGCATGCTTAATGTAGTCGACTAGAGCCACGATCCATGGAACATCTTCAAATGCCGTGCCGTCTGTTGGTTATACCATATATAGAACCCAAGTCAGCCATTTGTCGACGACCAATAGTGCTAAGAAAGATGAAGGAAGATGAAGATGAGACGCACAGCTTCCAGTCATGACGATTGCGTCTACGTCCTCTATCTGGGGATATTTCCCGTTGATCACATCCCATTTGCTCACTTGGAGCTGCACATTGGCCGCCGCATCGCCGAGGTTTTTCAGTCCAAGCCTAAAGAGATCTTCAAAGATGTCGCCGTATGAGCCGCGGGCGGCCTTGGCCTTGGGCAAGGTGGTTTCGCATTCTAGAATGCCCAATCGCAGTACTCGAGCCATTTTAGCCGGTTCTTTGTCCGGTTTTGCTCCGAGTTCTCCGTAATATTGTTCATACCAGGATCAAAGAAGGTATCCAGGAATATATACCTTAGGTAGGCGTCCCCTTGACCCCAATGACTCTATTTGATACCGAGAAATCCCCAGGTTCAATTAGATAATAAATTAAACGTAACGCCATCCTAGCCCACGATACTCTTAATAATTAGAGCACATGTAGTCATGTGGGTTTTGCTGCTAGTTTGCTGCCATCGTGGATCTTGGGCCGCTATCATCGATGAAATGGGGCCGCTGCCAATCAACGGCGCCCTTTTCATTCTCAAAGTAGAAGTACAAGTGCGTGTTTCGCATATACTTGGCGATAAGGGAAAGACGCGTTTCTACCAAATCTTTACGGATTCCAAATCGCGGGCGATGGAAAGAAGGAATAAAATCCGAATTGATTTAATGCTTCAATTCAGCTGTATGTACAGAGGACAGTGGGTACTTTGACAGGCATGCATCTGATAACGGATGGGCACGTGGTGATTAGCACAGGCAAACAGAGTGGAATACAGCAACACAATTCTTAAGAAGGAATCATCAATTCGTTTCTCGTTTTATTTACAAGCCAAAGTGCCCTCAGCACCTCAGCCGCTTCATATCTACACGAAAGAAAAATGGCAGCCCGGAAGAACAAGTCGACCTAGCTTAGGCAGAGCCTCCAATCTGGTGGCCGGTGGCGACGGCGACGGAGAAAGCGGCAAAGTTGCCGTTGACGATGGTGGCAGCAGTGTCGCGGTCGTAGGCGGCATAGGGGATCTCGCAGTCGGCAGTGCTGAGAGACACAGTATCAGCAACTTTGTCTTTCCTCTTTCTTTCGGTGAGGGTTCGTTGACTTACTTGTAGAGAACAACGGCGTGGCCCTCGGCGACCTTGATGGACTGGACGAGAGGGCTAGGTGGAAACCCTCGTTAGCTGCATGTATCAAGAGCTTACGGCGAGAGCAGCAGGTAAAGCTTACAAGGTGGCAACGGGGTTGCATCCTCCAAGAGAATCATCAGTGCCGCTGATGGTGTAGCTGACACCCTCAAAGTTGGTGGCGGAGAAGAGAGTGGCCTATCGATGCGACAAATTGAGCTTCAATTAGTATCATTCCTCATTCTCGAGACTTCAGGGGCCCCAGCCAACACTCACCACATCCTGAGCGGCGACAATGCCGGCAAAGACCAGGGAGAGAACGCTGGAGAATTGCATGGTTGCGGTGGGGAGTTGTCTTGGTTGACTGGAAGAGTGTTGAGGAGATTGTTGCTTGCTGTTGATGCTGCTTGTTGTTGTGAGGAGATGTTTCGAAAGGGGGCATTTCCTAACCTTTATATACTTGTAAGTTGCCCCCCGAATTATTGCCCGAGCCCGTTGCAACGACAATTGGCGATTCCAGGATGTTTGGCCCATCGCCTTGTACAAGGATCATCCCCAGCTTCGCATATACGGATTACACAAAGACAGCGGTATGCTTACTCGTGCCGATACATACAGTACCTACGATGAGATCCAATCCCAGGGACAGACCAGCCAGAATACGACGACGACCCTCTTGTTCCACCTAGATTTAGAACAAATCCATTTCGAATGGAATAGCGGATTCCAAACAGGAAGGCTGAAGAATAAACCCAAAAGAGGCATTACTAGATGACAGCATATGTGAGCATGTTTGCGGGAAAAGTAAGGTCAGATCGCACACACCTCCCACACCTCGTAACCGGCACAGACACGGAAACAATTGCTGAGAGACTACTAATACTCAGCAATGCATAAACGGCTAACCAACGCTAACCAGTCAATTTGTCCGCAGGCCTGATGATCATCCCCATACTACAGGGCTAATATATCCAAAACGATGTGTCGTTGCATGAAGAATACGGAATGACGGCAGGGATGTTGGCTAGTGACCTACCGAAATAAGCTTGATCTTGGTACGATCCATGACTTGGAATAACCCCCCCTTTGGATTATGTCAACAACAGGCAGCAATGAGAGGCCACCGATTAGTATTTACATGAGCAAGATACAAGTGTTGGGCGCATCTTATAGCCGCTTACAGCAAGCATGCTACTCTTAAAAGGAAGTTGCAGCCCTACGCTGTCGTTACATTGAGCCGTCAGCCGGGGAGAACAGCCCATCATCAGGATATAGGCAGTCGGAAAGTGGAACTGCGAGTTGCGATGAACGGAAGATAGCGGAAAGTGGAACTCTCCGCAAACTCTGAGGAATGAAATCGATTGTTTCAAGCACGGGGTCATTCGAGGAAAACAAGACTTTGAACCTTAGATGGCTGGTGCTTTGATCCCAAGGTAGCTTAATGTTAGCCCCATCACGTCCATCCATATCTGTGTTGATCATTCAATGTGGGCAAGGGAGATGAAATGTAGCCCTTGTTGAAAGTATCAGAAAGAAATCAAAGACCAATAAACTGTTCCTTTCCTCAATTGTGTTCAGCACAGGTTCAGACAAAAAAATATGCTCGTACGATTACCTACCTGCGGGAGCGTAGCATCTGGGCTCGGAATAATTCCCTTGTCGGTCTGGATACTAAGCCTCCTGCTAGAACCAGACAGCGTAAGAAAATAGTATACATGTTGAAACCACCGAAGCCACATCACGCGAACTCGGCAGTTGTGTTGCTTGTATACGTTGGGTACATATTTTGTTGATGCGAGAATAACTCAAAAGGGAATATGACTGACATGGAGAGTTGATGGAATGATGGGCTCAGATCCGACGGTTCATATACAATTATCCTCGTCCCATAAGGAAAACAACACGAACTCGGATTACATATCAACTAGAACACCAAATAATTGCTACTTGTAACATTCTTAAATCGAGTCCAGTCGAGTTATTGCCTCAACATTGAATCGTCTTGTCATCAGTCACACCTCCCAGAGATAATGACCACTGCTTCTCCGTTTTGGCAAGGATGGAATACGAACAACCATCTCAATCGATCGAGTAGCCTACCCGGAACGGGGATTTCGAATTCTCATTTTCCCGTTGCCCCACCACAGCCGAGAGGCCGATTTTGTGTGAGATCTTTTTCTTTGGCCGGCTTTTCTCGGCGGCATGCCCTCTTAGTTAGTTGGTGGGGACCACCGCCAATTCTGCCGGTCAAATCACTGGGCGGTCAAAAAAAGTTGGCTCACCGCCCGCTGAGCTCCTGCTCGCTTCCTATAAAACTTCACACAGCTGGCCGTTTGTTTTGTTTTTTTCTTCTTTTCTTCTTTACGTCGACAATACTTCAGTATGTGCACCCCTAACTGTGATGGCCCGCTGTCTCAAACGGCTTCTAACCTTTGTGTTTTTCTTTCTACAGGAGAATCATTTCTATAGTATTCGTCTCTTGCTTTGGTTCCCAAAAGAGCCATCGAATCCACCCTGGTTGATGATTGTATATCCTCAGCACCCAAGAGTGAAAACTTTTTTGGTCCTCTCGCTCTGTTCGCAAGAATGGCGGTGTTTGCCTTGTGCAATTGCTGTATAGAGAGTTGTTTCTTGATGATCTCGACCCTGTTCGTGGTCTGCCCTTGGGCGCGTGGACAGGGTGGGTGTTGATGGACGTCTGACAGGCTTTTGTTTTTTTCATTGCAGATTGGGGCTTGCCCTGGGTGTGAAGAAGAATCGAATTGCGAGATTCCTGTGAATTGGCCGTGAAAATTTTTCTTGCGGGTAGGGGGAGTGGAAAAATTGCTTTTGCTCTCTCGATGGTTTGGCGGGGCACAAAAATTTTCCATGCGTCGCCCAACACTGTTTGTCTTCAGCCTTGTCTTCTTGTATATGCCGTCAATGATTTTTTCAGTTGTTACTCTTGAAGTCAAACTTGTTTCTGCTGCATCGTTTGCAGAACGATACCATCTTTGAGGAATCATGAGCAGCTGACCGCGTCCACTCCCACAGCCCCTTACAATGACCAACTGAGGGAAGGAGGGGGGTATACATTGGGAGACTCTCTTCACCTCTTCGGACCTTTGTTTACGAAGCCTAGTAGGTTCATCAATTATATCGTATCTAACATCCAAAGACTCAAGGGCCAGCTTCTTCTTTGTTGCCATGGCCCGTGGGTCATCACCAAAATACCAATTGTGTGAATTGTTGGTTGGAAACTGGGCTCAAGATTTAAAGACGACCCTGGACTTTTTTCTGTATGACAAAATGCCATTCTATCATATGCTGAGATCAGGTAAGTTGAGGTATGTGCATTGTCAAATAACTCGATCAATAACTGACTACATATAATCCATGTGACATAGAGGCTGTTTATTACACCTTTGATGTATCTGGTTTGTGTCTTCGCCAGAGAGGCCCCTCAGCCCCGTCGTTCATCCGTCCAGTATCAGTATAGCCACTTTGGCTATTGTTTTTGCGCTTGTTCTCTTGCTCTTTGTTGTGTCTATCTATCGCATCGTCTAAAGAGACTCGTTTGTTAGGCTTGTCGGACCCCCACCGGAATGCCACAATAAGAACGACTGAGATTACGGCGGCAGATATCACAACTGACATTATACTCCGTTAGCTCCGAACCACGAACAAATTTTCGAAGGAGGCAAAGGCAACTAAGCTTACACATATACATAATCTGCTCCCTCATACTCATCCAATCATTACCGGTCGACACAGAATTATTCATCCCAAAGAAACCGGTGAAAAACCCAAGCGGTAACTGGATTACATAATGGACGTTAGAGGTCGTTATTTTATGAAGAAAAGGTCGCGCCACTTACGAAAAAGATCGTGACGATTGTGAATGCCATGATGGCGCGGCCTTGCTGAACGCTTTCGTCTGCTCGTTCTAGCGCAATCCGGGCTTCAACAATGCTAGCTTCTTGCTGCTTAAGCGACAGAAGTGCTTGGAGCTGGAAGTATCGTCAGCACAACAAATCATTAAACGATTGAACTATGATGATTGTGTATACCTGCTCAGTTGTGCGAGTCACAGCTTTTTGAAAATCGGCTATTTCGTCAATGCGATTCTGTACCTTCTCCGCCAAATTGAAGGCTTCTCCCAGGTCCTCTGAAGTACAGGATAACCAGTTATCTGCGCTCTGAACCTCGTCGTGTCTACTCTTATCTGTACTCTGAGCCTTTTCGAGTCTACTCTTCTCTGCACTCTGAACCTTGTCGTGTCTGCTCTTTATGTGCTTGTGCAGCTCATTCACAACAGTTAATTGCTGTTTATAGATGCGCTCCACTTTAGCATAGGTGGATTAGTTGAGACACTCTGGTTCGAATAGATGATCCGCTCAAAGGTGAGACTCACTCATATTTAGTTCGTCTGTAATATCCTGCGACTCTTTCAGCAGGACACCCTCTGGATTGATGTTCAGGTATCTGAACGAGTCTCGGTTACGGCCCTTGGGGCGCTCTGGGTTAATTCCCAAGTGACGTTTTAACCACTCTTTGACACCAGTCTTGTGCTTTTCCTCCCTTTTCATGCTCGATGATTGAAGACTGACGTTGGCCCAGAAAAGACTGTAGGCTGATGTGGTGTTGTAGGCCTAATTCAATTAGCACCAGCAACTTTGACCACTTCGCCCTCATCGGAAAGGAGAGAGAGGTCTGTAATACATACCACAGTCCCAATCGCTTGAGCAAACAGATCCATCACCTCTGGGCGGTCATCTGTTGGCTGTGTCCTGTCAAAGAATACTTTTGAACACTGATCAATGATGAGAGTAGCTTCAAATCCGTTAGTAAATAGCATTCTTCACCGTAGAGTGTTACTTGCCAAGATGATAGATGGATCGAATGCGCTTCTTCTTTCCAAGAATCTGCCGGAGGCTCTTATGAACACCGGAGGAATCAGGTTTGTTTCTCCCCCAACGGCGTGGAAAAGACGTGATGATTGTGTCTACTATCCTGTTAGACTGTCGAAAGCTTCCAAGTCACCATGCCTTTAGTAGAGTTCTGTCTTACCCTCTCCAAGGATCCACATCCACAATTGGTCAACCATAACGACTCGAGTAACTCCGACCAATTTTGTCATCTTCTTTTTCTTTTGGGTAGCTGTGCCTGAGCTAGTAGTACTTTCAGGCCCAGTGCCAAGTGTACGTGAAACGGCGGTAGACTCAACGTGTCGAGTGTGCGGAGAAATCGTATTAATACTAGTGGAACTCGTCGCTGCTTTTTCGTTTTCTTGTTGCTTTTCATGCATTTCTTTCCTGGCTCTTGTTTGTCGATAGACTACTTGGTCTGTATCTCTGTCTACTGTATCTTCAACGACAGAGAAATATGACTGGTCCAGCGTTCGACGAATGTGCAGAGGAGGCTCCCATTTCGCATCAAGTGGTCTAGCCGTGACGGCATCCTGCTTTGTTTCAGAAAAGCTCTGCCGAAGTAACCGTTCATCTGCGTCATAATCCATGGCATCCCAGACCTGGGCTATGTCATAAAGATATCTTGCGACTTTGTTTTTAATATTTCCACGATCAAACTTTTCAGGGAGACAGTGAGCTTTTTCTCTCGCAGCCTCGAGAAATTGGGAGTTCAGAGAAGCCTTATTATCTTCGACAAGCTCCTGGACTATTTGCACCATCTTTGCCCGCCTTCGATTAGTTTCCCAGTGTAGATATGGGAGCTAAAGGGGAAAGACAGCATCAACATCTTCTTCTGGCAGCCAAAACAGGGAAGAACTTACAAAGAGAGAGATGTGAGATGGAGCATTGTGATCCGTGTGGTCTTTCATGTTGGACTAATTAGCGATTTACATCTTACGACACTCGCTGAAGTAACCAACCTGAAACATGGGCGCATCGAGGCCTCATATGCCGCAGGTGGAACAAATCCTTTCCTATGCCAGAACCATGTAACTGCCCTCGCCAGTGCTCAAAAGATAGCAGTTGGTTCTCATTCTCTTCAGGATCTTCTGTGGGAATTCTGTTCACGTCATAGTATCTTGTTATCGCTGTCTATGGGACATGTTAACTACCTCATCCCTGATGTGAGAAGTAGTATGACACTCACCTCTATCCACTCCATGTGGTTGGCCGGAAAGTGGAAATATTTGATGCTTTCTTCGTCGCGTTCAAAGAGTTTGCGATTTTTGACGGTGTTGGACAGTATGGTGTCCAATTTGACCTTTTGGTTAGGAAACTCCCCCGAGGACGAGTCGATGTCCTCATACTGCTCACCTCGCCATTGCCTGTCGTTTTCTTTCTTGAAATACATGATGCCGACTTTGAACTCATCCAGTGGCTCTTTTACCAGATCGCCCAATTCTTCCACCGTATCCACCAACTCTTTTGCCTTATCCGCCGGCTGTGTCACTTTTTGTGCTAGAGTTCTGACCCTATCCATCAGCTCTTTTGCGTTATTCATCGACGCATTTGCCTCATCTGTTGACTCTTCCACCTTACCCAATAGCTCTTTTATCTCATCTACTGGCTCTTTTACCTGATTTGCCAACACTTTTATCTTATCCACCAGCGCTTTCGTCTCTTTCCCTTGCCCATCATTGTCTTCTGCTGTTTCTTCATATATTGGACTGCGTTTCTTAGTCCGTGTGGACAAATGCCGAATTAATTCTGTCCGTGACTTTGCGACATTCTCGAGTAGTGTAGCCTTCTGTGGCTTGGCTTTAAATCTCTCCCTAATCTTGCTGATTCGGCTTTCTTCAACCTTTACCACGTTTAGGTGTGGCAAGCCGAGTCGACGATCTTTGCGATCATCAAACTTGGATCTGGCATAGTCGCGGAATGCTCTTTTCTTCAATTCACTCTCGGTTCTTGACAAGCGACGAGGAACGTTGTCTGATGATGCCATGGTAATAAGACCAGCAGGTGATACTGAGGCGATTCTCAATTACAGCACAACAGGTGAAGGACGGGTAATATATATAGAAGAGTATTTCGTATTATCTGAAGAGAGCTGGAACGAACATGGGCTTTATTTACATAACCCTTGTAGTACTTGTATTATATTTCGATATGTTCTGTATACAAGGGATGCATTTTGAGGCTGGCTGTCTCATCCCAACTGTATCAAAAGTGGTGTAGGGAAAAGTCTTACCATAGGCCGCGGCTGAGCGTTATCACGGCCCTGGCCACAGCTTATTGGAGCCAAATATGAAGGTTGCCAGCGTGGGTGGGACGGGCAATCTATTCTACCCCTCTTCCACTCCCAAAGAAGACAATGAGGGCAGATAAACATCCAGTAATGGGGTGGTATTGTGACCGAAATACGATGAAAAGTTCGGCCGGCCCCAATCCTCCGCTTTTTGCTCACCGAAGCCAGTTGTGAGTGGTTGAGGTACACACATTGCTACACTTGCGCTGAAATATCGGGATTAGATCGCCGCTGCCAAGCATTGAGAGAAGGCTGCCTTGACAGATACGGTCCGATCTGGCGGTGGAAAATACTAAGTGATGTGGTGAGGCTCTGCATTGTAAAGGATCCGTGGGGGGTGTTTGTTCAGCTCTTGCATTGGTAAACATTCTTCGGCAGTGTCGCAAGGCAGCCAAGCTGGATTGGTTGTGATGTTTTTAGCAGTATTTACCTACTGCCAATAAAGATTCCCAGCTTCACTGTGATTTTGAAAGTAATTTCAGATAAGATACAAAGCAAAAGCATGCTCTGTTTGAGCGGGCTGGATAGCCCAGGTTGGGTAGACCGTACGGTGTAGCCCGGATTTTGAGCAGTTCTCAGCGCTCAGCCGTGCCCAGGCTGCGTTCTCCAGCTTGTGCCTTGTGGACAAGGTATTATGCATGTGATTTTCAGCATATGGCTCAAAGAGAGAAAAAATCACATCAAACAAGTTAAAGTCACAGCCAGGTAAAACGGGTCCCTTCGCATGTGCCTCTGGCAAGTATGCTTGACTGGTGGTGTAGCAAAATGTTTGACAAAAAGTGTGCTTTATAAGGCAATTAGCATGACGGACATTCAACGAACTAGGACGTCTCGTACGCCCGGTTAGCTCAATCGGTAGAGCGTGAGACTCTTAAGAGTAACACATTCTGAATGTAATCTCAAGGTTGCGGGTTCGACCCCCGCATTGGGCTTTTCCTATATCCAAAAAGATTGAGAGAACGGAACGAGCGTTCATTTTTTTGCGTTCCTGTGAAATTTTTTCTTTCTTAAGCTTTTTGGTGGAGATTCATGATTTGCACCGAGTCATGCGCTAAGATGAAAGATCCCTGTGGCCCGCAGCAGACTGGGATTTCTCAGCCAATTATCTTGCGCGACTCTGGACGAAAAAGGTCATGGCTTCATTCACCTGGATATGCGCTTCCATTTTGTTTCAATAGCTGAGATGCCTTGTGTTTTTTACGATGAATTGAATTCTGTTCATTGCATAGAATATTAGTCATTGGAGTGCGGTAAGGTGATACTGACAGAAGTTGTCAACCTGTCACCTCTGCTTGCGATGATTGGTACCTATGCACCAGGTATGCTCTCCAATCTTCTTCGTCCATGTTTGATCAATTCCGCATGCACATCCACACCAACGCTTTTCCTTGCTCCGACACGAAATTCCCATCGTATTCTTCTAAGCTTCGCCCTTGCCTATATGCATTTGCATGCATCATCTCAACACTTCCTTCCTCTGCTGACAATCACGTGTAGTCACCTGACGCACCGACCGATCCTCCTTCGTCTGCCTCCTACTTCCCTTTGATATCATCTTTCTTCCCTTGACTTAATTCCCGTCCTATAACTGGTCACATCCCATTTCTCACATTGCGAGACTCTGTCATTGTTACGCTACCTGACCTGGCAAACTACAATCTTTCATCAAAAACCATGGGACCATTTTGCAGTCCAATTATCGTCTTTACGAACCCGAATAGTCATTGGGTCTTTGGCGCTTCTTCAAGAGCCAGCAAGCTGTTTCCGATTCTATCATAATGGTGAGTCTACTTCTCAGCCTCCGATTTATAGCAGACAACATCTAATGTAGACCTCCCAGAACACCTGGCTCGGACCATTTTGTGTACAAAGCATGGTAAAGCGGAAGCAAGCCTCTTCCTCACAGCCTTGCCATCGGCCTCACAACACGTAATATCAAGACAAGGCTGAGCCTGTCTTCTAGATTCGCCGTCTATCACAAACAGCACGATTGGCCCACCAATATCCGCTGTGCTACAGGATTCTTTGTGGTCTCTACTTGTCCCATGGTCAAAGGGCAGCCCGTTATTCTCTGCAAATCTCTGCTCCTTTTGCGGATGTCTCATGCATACTTGATGGGCTAGAATGATGGTGACCGAGGCACCTATAATTTGAAGGGAGTCTTCTTCAACAGAGCTGCCTGGGAGCCTCTTCCCGGTTAATTTCCCCCCTTACTCGGCGAATCATGCCCGAGATGTTGGAAGAGCTAGTCACAGAACAACGTATACAACAGATAATAACTTGCATAAAAACTAATATAAGAGACGCAAAAACGATTTAATTATTTACTTAAAAGAACTAACTTAGTTGCGATATATTATGGGGTATAGGCTTATACTAACTTTTACCTTAACTCTGTGTTCCTTTTCTATTTTTTAATAAATTCGAAGAAAGGGCAAGTGTCTTCTATTACAGTATAATACCTAACGTAAAATACGCCTCTGTTATCAACCAAGGACGTTAAGGTTATTAAAGTAAAGTAAGATACTAAAAAGCCTTTTAGAGATTCCCTAGTATTTAAGGCGGTAAAGTATATAAAATAATTCTTATATAAGGTTTTTAGTTTAACATCTGACTTAAATACTAGCATAAGATCCCATCTAGGCTAGACCGCCGGATTAAAGCTAATTCTTAATATCCTTCTTATCCTAGGGCCATCTGTCTATTAGAAATAGTTTAACTCCTTTTATATCTCTTAGAGATCAGGGGCTATATTTTGCAAATGTAAGTATGGTAAGATATACTGTAAATATACGTAGATTATTGTAAGGTATAAATATTATATATATCTTTGCTATTCTAATTATCTGGCCGGTGTGCTAAATATATTATCGAGATTTATATAGACGCTGTGTGAATTATTTAATAAGCTTTTACTATGCCCAGCGTAAGGATATACGATAGTTAGGCAACTAGCGTAAAGCAGCTGCATAAGTAATATAGGTTATTAAGTCTATAACATCTAAGTATACTATTAAGTAAGTATAATAGTAAATTAGCTTGGTTAAGCTATAGATTAAGTTAGCTAATTGTTAAAGATATAGTACTCTGCTGACTAAAGGGCGACTTGCCTGAAATTAAAGAGGTCTATTGTTAACAGAGGTTTTAAGATTATAGTATTATATACAGACTTACCTAAAAGGCTAATAGACTAAAGTAATAACTCTGCACTCTCTGTAGTAGCAGATCCTAGATCCAGGCTATAATACCGGGCAGCTGTAATAGTACTATCTCGTTAGGTTTACCTCACGTACCCCCTTAAAACCCTCTCTAAGACCTAAGTATATAATCGCTTGCTCTATAGAGAAATATAATTTAATAATACCTTTTTTACTGCTGTAGCCGCTATAATAGTAGATACCAGTGGCCCCTAAGTATAATATAGTAATTGGAATTAGAGGTTGTTTTAAGATTAGGTATCTGGAGTATTATATAACTTATTAGAGTATGGGAATTTTAGAGGTAGATCTCTTAGATCTATAGTACAGGGGCTGTTGGTAAAAAGGGAGTAACTATAATTAAACTTAAATACAGCCTATATTATTTTAATTTTAAGCTTACGTACTACCTATGCTATTTACTTAGCCTACTTTAACTAAGTTAGTACTACGTACTCCTGGGCTGGTCTATCTCAGCTGCTTATACTAGAACCTAACAGCTTTAGACTTTTTAGACTGTTAATAAGAAAGCTGCGGACTCCGTTCACCTAGCTATAGATGTTTTTATCGCCAGACCTAAGTAAATATACCTAGTAAAGGCAAACGGTGGCTAAATATATAATATTACAGCTATTTTTAGTATAATAAGTAGCCTGTTAATATTAGCATCTATATCTGCAAAAAATAATTATATATAGAAGGCTTACTATAATATTAAGCTCCGAGATATACCGTATACTAATATAATACGCCTGATAGATAACTTCGTTATCCTCGTTAAAGACCGCGCTAACACAAGCTATTACTCCAAGCACTACTATTAGGTATTTCGTAAACTTCTAGGTAGGAATATAAAAAACAGGCTGGATTTTTTACTACTTAAGAAAGTAGTTATCGATAAATTGCCTTAACAGCTTAATTCCAGGTATAAGGATAAGCTTAGATAGCTTTATTATCTAGGGAATATATGGTTCCTTATAAAGAAGCCCTAGGCTGTCTAATACTACTACTAGGGAAGCCTTAAGAGGAATTCCGTTAGTAGAGTCCTGCGAGGTACGTACATGGGAATTATTATTAATAAGCCTTTAGATAAAAGGCGTTTGTAGGCTTAAGTATGCTACTTTAAAGTCTAGCTAGCTAAGGCTAGCTGCTTGGATATTAACTTCCCTAGGAGTGGTTGATCTAGAAGATAGGCTGTCTGCCCTAATATTAATATCTATAGGAGGAAGTGGCTGGGGAGGAAGAGATGTAATGCTATCTATTGGGCTATTCGGTTGTAGCTAAGGGGGAAGGCATAGGATGCTATCCGTTAGGCTATTCGGGCGTGGTGTACTTCAACCAGCAGAAACATAGCCAGAGGCTGACCCTAGCGCTCCCTGTTAGATCAACGTATTATCTCTGCTCCTTTTGCGGATGTCTTATGCATACTTGATGGGCTAGAATAATAGTGACCGAGGCACCTATAATTTAAAAGGAGTCTTCTTCAATAGAGCTACCTAGGAGCCTCTTCCTAGTTAATTTCCCCCCTTACTTAGTAAATTATACCTAAGATGTTAAAAGAGCTAGTCACAGAACAACGTATACAATAGATAATAACTCATATAAAAACCAATATAAGAGACGCAAAAACGATTTAATTATTTACTTAAAAGAACTAACTTAGTTGTAATATATTATAGGGTATAGGCTTATACTAACTTTTGCCTTAACTCTGTGTTCCTTTTTTATTTTTTAATAAATTTAAAGAAAAGGTAAGTATTCTCTATTATAGTGTAATACCTAATGTAAAATACACCTCTGTTATTAACTAAGGACGTTAAGGTTATTAAAGTAAAGTAAGATATTAAAGAGCCTTTTAGAAATTCCTTAGTATTTAAGGTGGTAAAGTATATAAAACGATTCTTATATAAGGTTTTTAGTTTAATATTTAACCTAAATACTAGCATAAGATCCCATCTAGGCTAGACCGCCGGATTAAAGCTAATTCTTAATATCCTTCTTATCCTAGGGCTATCTGTCTATTGGAAATAATTTAACTCCTTTTACATCTTTTAGAGATCGGGGGTTATATTTTATAAATATAAGTATAGTAAGATATATTATAAATATACGTAGATTATTATAAGGTATAAATATTATATATATCTTTGCTATTCTGATTATCTGGCTGGTGTACTAAATATACTATTAAGATTTATATAGACGCTGTGCGAATTATTTAATAAGCTTTTGCTGCGCCTAGCGTAAGGATGTATAATAGTTAGGCGACTGGTGTAAAGCAGCTGTATAAGCGATATAGGTTATTAAGTCTATAATATCTAAGTATACTATTAAGTAAGTATAATAGTAAATTAGCTTAGTTAAGCTATAGATTAAGTTAGCTAATTATTAAAGATATAGTACTTTACTAACTAAAGGGCAACTTGCCTAAAATTAAAGAGGTTTATTATTAATAAAGGTTTTAAGATTATAGTATTATATATAGACTTGCCTAAAAGGCTGATAGACTAAAGTAACGACTTTGTACTCTCTATAGTAGCAGATCCTAGATCTAGGCTATAATACCGGGCAGCTGTAATAGTGCTATCTCGTTAGGTTTGCCTCACGTACCCCCTTAAAACCCTCTCTAAGACCTAAGTATATAATCGCTTGCTCTATAGAGAGATATAATCTAATAATACCTTTTTTACTGCCGTAGCTGCTACAACAGTAGATACCAGTGGCCCCTAAGTATAATATAGTGATTAAAATCGGAGGTTATCCTAAGATTAGGCATCTGGAGTATTATATAACTTATTAGAGTATGGGAATCTTAGAGGTAGATCTCTTAGATCTATAGTATAGGGGCTGTTAGTAAGAAGGGAGTAATTATAATTAAACTTAAATACAGCCTACGTTATTCTAATTTTAAGCTTATGCGCTACCTATGCTGTTTACTCGGCCTGCTTTAACTAAGTTAGTGCTACGCGCTCCTGGGCTAGTTTATCTCGGCCGCTTATACTAGAACCTAATAGCTTTAGACTTTTTAGACTGTTAATAAGAAAGCTGCGGACTCTGTTTACTTAGCTATAGATGTTTTTGTTGCTAGACCTAAGTAAATATACCTAGTAAAGGTAAACAGCGGCTAAATATATAATATTACGGCTATTTTTAGTACGATAAGTAACCTGTTAATATTAGTATCTATATCCGTAAAAGATAGTTATATACAGAAGGCTTACTATAATATTAAGCTCCGAGATATACTGTGTACTAATATAATATGCCTAATAGATGACTTCGTTATCTTCGTTGAAGACTGCGCTAACATAAGCCATTACTCCAAGCACTACCATTGGGTATTTTGCAAACTTCCAGGTAGGAACATAAAAAACAGGCTGGATTTTTTACTACTTAAGAAAGTAGTTATTAATAAGTTGCCTTAACAGCTTAATTCCAGGCACAAAGATAAGCTCGGATAGCTTTATTATCTGGGGAATATATGGTTCCTTATAAAGAAGCCCTAGGCTGTCTAATGCTACTACTAGGGAAGCTTTAAGAGGAATTCCGTTAGCAGAGTCCCGCGAGGTATATGTATAGGAATTATTATTAATAAGCCTTTGGATAAAAGGCGTCTGCGGGCTTAGGTATGCTACTTTAAAGTCCAGCCAGCTAAAGCTAGCTGCTTGGATATTAACTTCCCCAGGAGCGGTTGATCTGGAAGACAGGCTGTCTGCCCTAATATTAATATCTATAGGAGGAAGTGGCCGGGGAGGAAGAGATGCAATGCTATCTGTTAGGCTATTCAGTTGTAGCCGAGGGGGAAGGCATAGGATGCTATCCGTTGGGCTATTTGGGCGTGGTGTACTCCAACCGGCAGAAACATGGCCAGAGGCTGACCCTAGCGCTCCCTGTTGGATCAACGTATCATCTTGTGGCCCTTCTTCTTCTACCTGTTCCTGCTGCTGTGGAGATGTAGCAGCAGGAGGTACCGGTACAGCAGTTCGAGGAAACGCAATGACACATTCTGCAGCTTTACCATCGAGTTTGCACCATTTACAGGGAGGGGCGCCCTTGCACGGCATCTTATAAAGCAGACAGCGCGCACAAGCCTTTCGCTCATCAGTCTCCTTGAAGTGGTAGTCGTTGATGTGTTTTTGGAGCCTCTCGTCGCTCGCGTATTTACGCCGACAATGAACACACCTGTGATTGCGTTGTCTGGCCTTTTCTCGTTCTCTCAGCTTGGCATGTATCTTGCGGTGACGCTCCAGGTGTCGCCGGCTGGTGTATGACACCGTACACTCATCACATTGGTGCAAGGCGGTGTTGTCTTGTTTACCTGGTGCCATTATTACGTCGAAACCACGTTACGCCGGATCCGTTCTGTCTTTTTTGCCAACATTAGCAGAGAGTTCATACAAAGTACAACCTTGGGATGGTTCACAAGCAGAGACGCTCAAAGTGAGACCTCGGGATCTCCTTGCGTTCACTGGGGCAAAGCAGGGAGGCCTAGCGAATGGCAGAGGGGGAGCTGGCGAAGGTGCAAAGACGGCGATGTGTACTTTCAGTTGTCAAGCAACTAGTGAACAGAATCAAAGACAACAGAGTGCAGAAAGGAGGATGCAAAGCAAACTTCGGGCTGGGAAAGGAACAGATGTCGGGAACGCCTTGCTACCTTTGCCTACCTTTTATACGAACTCTACCTACTGGGTATCTACCTAGTGCTCCTACATTGCCAGAGCTGAAGCAGGGCACCGGTTTGGTCCATGGAAAGTCAGCCATGGCAACAGCTCTCTGCATTTTAGGTATGGATCGGTACCCTGCTCTTCTCTTCCTACTCACGCCGCACACGCCTGGTCCTTGACTCTAAACATGCTTGTCTTACTGGCTTGCCATCTTAATGCGTCTCTGTCCAAATCGGGTCTCAAGAGTGGCCGCTGTTGCTGCAATCGCGCGGCAGTGCTTGTACTAAGCGAAAGGACGTGGCTGCTTGCACGTGCGTTACTAGAGGCCCAAAAAACACCAGCCTCTCCGAGATTGTCTTTTCAGCAGGACAAGGTCAGGGCCTCATGCAGCTTGACAGTTCCTAGGCCTTCTTCTTGGGCTTCGGGGTGCCTGTGCTCGCATGCCACAGCAGCACCAAACGCATTCTAGAGACGCTGGCGTCGCATTTGAGCCACACTGTCACACCTGGGTTCCACTGACGTGCGCTGACCGGTCTGCGAGGTGCGGGAAGAATAGGAGGAATAAAACAGGCACACAGAGATATGCTCCTGGTCAGCAAGAAAGCAGCCGCTTTCCAACCTTTTCAGAGCCCGTCCGGATTGAGGTTGCTTCTTGTCTCACGCCAGAGGCGTAAACCCCTGGCTGATCTTTTCTTTTTTATCTTTTTTCTTTTTCTTTCATTGGTCCATTGTCAGTTTGCTCGGCTGATAGCTGAAAACCAAGCTAAGGAATGACAGTCCTCGCTTGTCAGGCTCCTCAGACAGCAATCTCCGCCGCTGCTGAATGATGAGTACGGCATATCGCTGCATAGACGTAGGATTGTTGGGCTGGTAGGTAGGGTGGTATCGATCCCAAGTTGCAGTGCTCATCGGCTTGGATCACTGACCATTAGCAGTGATCAGAATGACCCGCACTTCCAGTCTGACCGGGGTTTGTTACGGAACGGCTAGGGGATATTATCCTCTCGCTATTTTGGACCAGGCTCGGGTGAAGTGGTTTCCCTGCCTTGCAGTACGAGATCTCAACAGCATCAAATTCCCACGGCTGATGCCCTGCCGCTTCTATTTACACGCTCTACGTTGGTCATACTTCTACCATCAAGACAATATAGGCACCTTCACTATAAGAGACGACTTAAGGCATAACAAGCAACCCATCGTACTCTGCTAATCAGATCGGCCCCATAATCCGGTGCTTGCTTTGTCCATTGATAGGCTGCATTCTGGGCTCCTTCTAAACCCTGATGCGGTCCTATCACCGCCGTGGCTGGTCTGTTTAAACTAGGGGGCTCAGAGTAAGAGAAGACTGTATGCCGGAGGACTACAGAAATGGGACAACAACGCTTCTTCGAGATCGGAAGAAGGCCTCCTTCTCTGGTGAGAGCGCAGTCTGCTATATCATGACCCGGGGCAACATTAGCTATGCAGCAGGAACAGGGTCAAGAGCAGGAGCAAATACTCCCCGAGCGGCACCCCAGTCAAAGGTGGTTATAATCCCACTCCTCCTTGAGAGTGGCTCGCACGCTGGGACGGCGGTAAATCAAGCTCAAGCCCAAGACTTTCTGACACTGGGGAAATGCGAAATTACTGTTACACGCGACAGTATTTGCGTGCCTCTCTTGATTTATTCTGCGCCTAGGTTGTTACTCAAATCTCATTGCGACGGTCGCAGGCCCTGTCGTCAAATCTTCTTTCAAAAAGAGACGTCATAGACCAGACTATCTCTTGACACTGATGCTTTGTTGCTGAAGCGAAACCAATTGGCTCTAGGAAGTCACGATTATTACCGGATCTCACGACACCGATTTATGCAACATTCCACTCTAGATCTTCCTGGATCAATGGCTCACTTCTGCTCAGGGAAACTCCACAAAACATGCTATGTGGGCACAGTTCGCCATCCAGTGCCCAAGCTCACACAGGGGTGCATGTACCCCGATGAGATGCAAGCTGTAGTTTCCCCCCTCAACCGAACAGTTTTCGATACTACCTCCAGCTCGAAGAATTTTTCTCCCTTTAGATAGCTCCGGATGAATGCAGTATGAAGACCAGCGAGCCACAACATTGGCAATACACTGCTATCTGGTAGTTTTGATCGAACTCCCGGCTTTTCTTTCTAAGCAGCCGCACCAATGCGACCTCTATACCCAGTTGTAATAAATTTGTGCGCGATGCTGCATATGAACAAAATCGTTGTGGTACAGCTCTACAAATGAGAGCTACACAAGAGACCGTCCCCTTGTACGAAGCACAGCACCAACGAACTACTTGCCCGCCAACCAAAAACTATTGTTGCTGGAAGCCCCGGGGGATTGGGTTAGCAGCGTGGCAAAAATTGAGAATTGTGAACGCTACGCTGGGTCGGTGGCCTCGTAGCTGACCTCAGACTACAAGTCGCTAACGTGGTATCTAGAAACACTATCTCTCAATAACACAAGGGAAGTGGTATCGTATCTTATGCCCACTTCACTGAATTCGAATGCGTTACTCCGTACAGCCAGAGGAATTCATCAAGCAGAACGATCCTCTACGATGTCTGGCACTGCTTTGCTGCTACTGCTGCAGCTTTGAGTTTGCTCAAATCCACCTGCAGGGATGCAGGGCTCTACGTCGGCCAATTGGGTGGAATGGCCCTTTGCTTTGATTCCTACGCCTTTTACCATGAAAAATGGAGACCTGCTGCTATCGTGGTAGAAGTGAGCTAGAGGCAACATGCATCAATAACTACGGGTAGCATGCCTCACTATTATCAGAGCAGGAAGGACCACATAAGGAGAAGACACAGATTGGACGGCGACTATTGAATCCCAAATAGCAACCCGGCACTCTTCTTTGGACACCGTTTCATTCTGCTTTCGCCGTTGGCTCTGGACTCTTTGTCGAGGGGCCGTGGAAGCCTTGCTTCTCCACCTGGGTGCTTTGCAGAGGCCACCCATAGGTGTGATTTCGATCCTTTTTTGAGAGGAGATCCAAGACGGCCAGAGAACAATCGCCAAGTTGATAGACAACGACTCCATCAAGTCATATCATACCAGGTCACTGACCCGGGGAACCCAAGGCAACATGGTGGCAATCCAAACGATAGTGCCATGCAATCAGGGCTCTCTCTATGAAAAAAGAAAGTATTGTGTTATTGCAGCTGACCTGCAGATTTTGACTGGGATCCTTCTAACTAGACAGGAGCAACCAATATCCATCCAAGCTCTCAAGCCATTGTGCCTAGAATATGCGAATGACCTGGGTTGTTGGCCACCATCTGCAGCTTAATGTATGGTTAGGGGGCAGCCAAGAGTCCCGTCAGAATAGTAGGCAACGAATCACGAGAAACAGTATACGAGTGGAACAATAAAAAGCAATGTGCTTTGCGAGAGCCTGGATCAACGGCATAAACCCTGCATCTCATACAGCATCTCTCAGCCATCCAATTCTTTCGAATTTTCACACTGTCTTGGATATTGGTGGGTAGCAGGCTTGGATACGAGGACTCAGGCATCAGAGTTGGGCACTGGTGTACCGTACATGCAGCCAGAGTCTCAGTTGTTCATTTGGTTATGTGCTTTTGCGCCCTCGCCTTTCTTTCCCCGAGAACAAGGATGTACGCCACAGCTGAGAGTCATTCCTGGACTCAGATATGAGTGGAGACCGGCATCAGAGAGTGCTCTCTCTCAATGCTTTGTGTCGATCTTTTCCAGCGATGGTATTCGGGGGCTTCAGAGGATTTGAGCTTGAGCAATGATGCTTCGACTGCACTCATATATGAGATAAATGATATACCTGGGGGCGACGCTCGGAAAAGAGAAGCACGATTACATCAGAAGCTACGAGCTACCTCTGTTGGTGCGGTAACTTACGAGTACTCGCTTGAAAAGGTTTATCCCAAAGTCACCCAGACATGTCAGTAAATACAACCTACCCACTTACCCGTACAATGATGTGGGAGCAGCACTCGGCATCAAGTGATTAGATGCGACGCTCAAAGGAGATAAAAGATCGGTGAACGGATGAAACACCCATCTGTGAGGGGGAGGACAGAAGACAGAACGGCAAATGACACCCGGGAGACGAGGCCGGATCCGCAAGGGAGAATCACTCTCCATTAGCATACGAGTATTAGACATACAACTACAGACAACATGGCGAGAAGGCTTAATACCACTGGTTGGGACTATACGATGTCCCAATGAGGGAATGTTCTCCGCTGCGTGTACCTCATGGTACTAGCATCTGGTGAGCCATTGTATCCAAGCGGAGTAGGTTCGGAGATGACATGATGGGGGAAACTCTCGAAACAACAACTGACAGAGGCCGACATCCGGTAGCGGGAAGATGGTGCCGACGACCTGGTCATCCCGTGCCACGACCATGGTTTCTGTTCATTATGCCCGCTGTCTAGTAGTGCCGACTAATATTCTATTCCAGTTATATCAAGAAATTGAACCAGCCACGCCTATTATCCTTTAAGCGTAAACCAAAGCTACTGCATGGCGGCAGATCTACAAAATACACCGAGTACCTACCGGCTTGTAGGCCTGTCAACCTTGGAAAGAGGCGCGCGGAACTTGGACAGGGTTCTTAGGTGGTTGATCTCCCCCGAAAAGCATCCGATTTGCACCGATCTCTGGGTCAAGCTCCATCTAGGGTCATCGAGAAACCATCGATCATACGTTGATAGTGATACTCCATGGCATCGATAGCACCGACGGTACGAAACAGAACCAGCAAGGCACTGGCCGGTCCGTGTTCTTTACCAGGGTCAGCGAACGACCTGTCGGATTTCTGGCTCGTGTTAAGCGCTGCGGCTGATCAAGGCAAACTTCGAATATCATGTCCTCCAAGGCAAAGCCCACCTATGGATGGCTCTCCCAGCCCGAGAAATGATTGACGAGATGGACTCACAGCAATCAGTAGATATCCCATCAAGGGGTTCAGCTGAGACTTCCGGCCGCGGAATAAATTGCTTGCAGACCCGGAAAGACAATCAGATGGCCTAGCCTGGCAGTCTGTTACTGCAGTGTACTCGTCTAGTATTCAAGGCCACTGATGGGTGGATAAGAGTGAGCCGGCGAGACTTCTGATAGTGGTCGATAGGCCGCAGCAACCGAACCATGGGCAGTACTTGAGAAGCAAGGGGCTCTGGGTGGATAGTGATCTTGAACTGAGAACTCTGCCTGGAGAAGCCCTGCCATGTCTTTCTTTGGTGTCAAACCAAACCACGACAATCCCGTGCCCCAATTGCCGTGCTCCATGCTCCATGCTCCATGCTCAGTATTCGATACTATGCCTACTCTTGCTGCTACCTACCGTCCAACTGGTGGTATGCTTGCTGGAGGGGAGAACGCAGTCATACGAGCAGAGTATTGCCCAGAATTGGAAGAGGCGCCTCCATAGCACTGTATAAAAGTACTAAGGTATGCCTGGGGTCAGGCAAGGTACTAGGTAGGGATGCTTATGTTTTTTTTTTGCTTTTTGCATTGGCTTTTGCACACCGCCACCGGATTCAATGCGGCAGCTTGAGCGCTCCAGCACATTCGTACATGTAGCCCTGGAGCTCATTTACTGGTAACACTAGCCCGGGAAGGCAAACAATCAGGCCAGCCAGCTGAACAGCCAGCAAGAGGAGGCGGAGAGGCGGCGTGCCAAGCAAAGGATTCATTCACTGTTGGTGATTCGAACCGAACAAAATTCAGCTGGACCAAACTGGAACGGCTCATTATTGCTGGGGTGTTTTCTTTCTTCCCCGTTCCTGGTGACGAGATTATGCGCACACACACTCACAGCCGGAGAGAGACTCAACCTTGGAACCTTGAAAGTGTGGTTCGCGGTACCTGGAAATTGGATGTGGAAGTGGAGAGCAGAGCGGCCCGAGGAGATACTTGCGGGGCGGTACCCAAAGAGGCTGAACCACTGGTCACTTTATGGCCGTTTTCAGTTGAGTTGGGAGAGGGGCAAGACAAAGAGGAAGAGGGAAAAAACTTGGAGCTACGAGGGTCACCTACGTCATTCAGTAGATACTTGCGCCATTGCATTGACGCTAATAGTGGGATAAAAGAAAAAAAATACGAGAGGCAAAAAAGAAGGCAGAAAAAGGCAGAAGAGACAGACAGACAGACAGACAGAGGGGGCACATGCTCAATGAGGATTTGACGGTTGCATGGGTTTGGGTGCACAACAGTAAGTGTCTAATGCCTGTATACCAAGCTACGGGCATTGCTGTCTTGTTTCTTGTTTCGGCATCTACTAACTACCTAGTACCTAACCTACAAAGTGCCTTGCTGTTTTCTAGGTGCTCTGCTCTACTTTTGCAAATGGAAGAATTCATGTCGTTTGTCCAGGCGCTGAACCGGCCGACTTAGGTTGACTTGATGAAGCCGGCAGTCATGTGTCAATCATGTGTCAAGTACCGACAAGTACTACAGCTACCGTGCTAGCACCGCTCGGTACCCCATCAACCCATCGCAACCTTGCCCCATTGCGAAAAGCTTTCATTCAGCGCTTCTCTCATTCGACTCACTGCTCTCAATTTCCCCCTCTCATTAATATCTGAGTTCGTCTTGAATTACTAGCCGCACTCCTACTGCTGCTACGTGGCGCCCAACTAAACCCCGTTTCCCTTTTTCTTTCTTTTTTCTTTAACCTTGCGTCCTTGCGTCCTTGCGTGTATCGCCGACCAAATCACCTATCCGCGACCTCTCACTCGTCCGCCAGGCTGGGGTGCTAAATTGGCCACTCACTTCACTTCACTCACTCACTCGCTGTACGAGTACGGCGTCCCGCGTAAAATCTCCCGGCCTCGAGTCCAACCAAAGCTGCCCTGCTCCCTGCATTACTAGCATCTCATTAGGCGCGCATGGCCTTGCGCTGCACCATCCCGTCTCATGGCGCTGTCCACCCTCGCCTTGTGCCGCTCCTGGTGACATTTTTGTACTCGTCTCTCTGATCTGGAAGCTCAATCTGGGGCTCTGGACACTTGGACAAGCGTGGCAAGTGTGTCTCGGGTTGTAATACTCATCAGCTAGCTACCGGCTCGTGAGGTTTCGGGCTATTCAGACGCACGGAGAGCACCTCGTCACAGACAACGCACAGCTATATAAGAGCCTCTCGTCTGCCAGGCATTGACTGGGGAAATCTTTCTGCGCCAAGTCAGTCAGTTCATATACGTCCCAACGCCACTTTGTATGCGTCACTTTTCACCCATTTATTGTTCAGCTCTTCTTTTCCTGGTACACACGAAACCAGGCGTCATTTATCCTTGATTCCCCCGCTCTCACCTACTAGCTACCTAGTAGATAGACAACTGATACCCATTTTACCTACTCAACAGGGCAATTCTGTACGAGTACACCAATCACAGAACAAATCCGGGGCCTTGCCGACCAAAGACCGACTTGGCTTGAGGTTACATATTTGCCTTAGGCCAGTTGCCTTCTGTTTCTGCCTTTTTTGTTTGTACTTGGGCGTCTGCTTTGCTCTTGCACCTGCGTTGCTTCTGCGTCTCAGCCTGCATCTTCTGCGTCATTCCATACCATATCATATCATTTTATTTTTCCTCTTCATTCTACAAATCTCATACCTGCCTGGATCTTGGTGTTGGCGTTTTGAGAAATTGAGGGCTTCAAAATTCGCATCCCACCATTCGCAGTGGCCATATATACGCTCACAAATACAACAAAGCTTCCTTGTTGGTGTCGGTTATATATTGAGCCACTTAGCCACCGCGCACTGTCATTTCCGCTACTCAAATTACGGCATTCAGACACCGGACAAGGAACAGAAGCCATTCGCTGTATTCCAAACAAAGATCCATATCAACAAAGTCTGGCCACTGCAGCACTGCTATACTTTGTTCCGCAGGATCGTGCAACATATTAGCCGCAGCTTCTTGACCAAGTTTTCTCGTCTTGAACTGCTGAGCTAAGCGTCAATCCAATTACAACCAGACAAACTCTCCAACATCTTTGTTTCTCGGTCTATACCAAGCCACACCGGTTTGGCTGATATCCGCCCAAAGTATCGTCGCGCGAGTTTCTTCCTTGTTTAGCAAGCGCCGTCAAACGTTTTTGTTACCCCTGTGTTTAGATATTTCTTCCCAACCCTTCCGCCTTCATCATATCATTCTCCTTTTTTTCATTGCATCTTCCGTGTACTTGACGGCAGGCATCAAGCTTCCACCCTTCTTGTTCGACATGGCTGGCAGAACGAATCGACCCGTTTGGGACACCTCAGATGTGGATCGGAAGCCGCCTATGTTGCTGTTCAGGCCAAATCAGACAAGACGATCCCAGAGCGGCACAGACGCCTTCTTGCCTTCTGGAGCCGTCGAATATCGTCCAGATCCTGGCCCCAGCTGGCCTGCAAACGCCTATAGCACAATGAGTGGCAACGGCAGCAGCAGTGCAAGTGGCACTATCACTGGCAATGTCAGATACAATGGCAGAACCGTGAGTCTCGATACCGACCACGAGATTGCCGCTGCCTTCCGTTATACTCATGGCTATGACTACTACGACCACGAGGGCACCCCCCTACCTTCGCTGTCAGTATTAGCCGCGACGGATCCCAACTTGGGCACATATATTGCATATAGTCCTGCACGCCCTCCCGCCAGCCCACAAGGTTCATCAAGGGGACATCGCTTGCAAAGCCCCTTTGCCCCCGTTTATCCCCCGCCTACGGCTACCGTAGCTCCTGCTGAGCTCGATGCCGGAGCACGTCCCACGGTCTCGCCGCCACGCGCGTCAGGAAATGCTGCTACGGACTGTCATTGTCTCACTTGTTCCGATGGTACGCCGGCCAAGTGCCTCCAGTCTCAATTAGCTCCGCAGTACGAGTTATTAGACACAGTTTGGAAAGAGGAGCGCACTCGTTCTGGGCTGCTTTGGCAGCGTGTGGAAAGCATTCTTCGACAAGAAACCACAATCACAGTGAACTATTACCGTGATATGTGGGATGCTGAAAGGACGCAGCTAAAAGCCGAGAATGACTATCTCAGTGAGCAGGTTAGGAGGCTGGGAGATGAAAACCTAGTGCTCAGGGGCAAGCTCGCAGATCAGGTTCAAGCAGACGAGCCAATCATATACCAAGGCAGTTTTCGAGGCAATACGCCTCTAGTCGACGGCAGCCCTCCTTCGCCAGTCGTCGCCAGCCCTCTTTCGCCAATCGTCGGCAGTCCTCTTTCGCCAGTCGTCGCCAGTTCTCCTTCGCCCGTGGCTAGGCGGCAAAGCGGTGGCGCCGGTAGCTCCGATAGCTCCCGGGACAACCGCCGGATATCCGGGCTGCCGGGCTGCTATTCCCATCTTTTCGGCCTTGGCTTACCGGCGTCCCCTCAGATGCCAACACCTCGAAACCCGTCGCCTCTGGGTACAGCTGTGTCTCCTTCTCCTCCAGCTTCAGCGCCTCAAACTCTTCCATCTGCGCGCATTTCCATGTCTCCTCAGCCTGGACAGGATACAATTCCAATAAGCCCGACATTCTCTCCCTTCTTGCCTTCTTCACCCTCTCCAGACGCGGGGGCGGCAAGCGGTGGCGTCTCGACGCCGGTGAGAAGTCCCAAGAGGCCGCTTTCCGTCATCGATGTCCATGAGCTTGATCCAAAACTTGAGGGCATTTCTCTCAGGGCAAATACCGTCCGAAGAAGTACATTTGAGGAGGCTCCTCCAGATGGGTCTCCTCCTAGCAAAAGGCGGCGTAGCTTGTCTCATGACTATTACATCATCACCAATGTGCAGGGAGAAGATGAAGTAACGGATACGAAGAAGATTGAGTATGAGGAGGATGAAGAGCGACGACTCACTATGCATGCCGGATCTACTCCTCCCCCCTACTCACCCTCTCTTCCGTCTGAGATTTTGAGGTTGCGCAGCCAAAACAGCGCAACTCCAACTGCTTCTTCTTTCCTTCCTGACAGGTACGATTCCCTCGAGACAGAGGATCGCAGTGTGACTGCAACTGTGAAGGAAGGGGTAGGCGAGAGTAGCGGGGCCTCGTACCCCGATCTTTCCAGTCATCTCGGGCGAGCAGACTCATCAGGAGTCCTCTCAGCAGCTTCGGGCGATGCTCCCCTGAAGGGTCCTCTGATGATCAAGAACATTCCCGCTCAGGATGAGCTCTTTCTTGCTGCCTTGAACGAAAGGCTTGAGCCTATTAGCCAGGGGCAAGATGCCCTTCCGAGGGCCGTGCAGACACCTGTTGCAGTGCCGGCGTCGTTGTCGGCGGTGCATGGCGAGCCCTTTGATGGTGCTGACGCCAGCCAGACTACAGCGCCTGATAACACGGATATTTCGGGGACGCAGTCGGAAATCGACGGGGAACATGATGGGGTCCATGTGAAAATGGACCGGCCCGTTTCCCCCTGGCCAGCACCAAACAATCATGGCCAAATGAGTGATGTCCATGCTCAACCAAAGCGACCCGCGTATCGCATCAAATATCCTGCCGGTCCTGGCTATGCGTATGATGGCACTGCTATCAAAGCGGAGCCCACCGATTATCCATTTTCATACGAATATGATGATAGCGAAGATTTACCCGCCAAAGTTGAAGCATCCTCAACAGTTCCCCTCAAAACGGAAGATTCCGACGACGATAGCGATGGCAGGAACTCGGAGCCTGAGGTCGCCATCAAGTTTAGATCAACGAGCAACTTTGGGGCTCCTTTTGGGAGAAGGTAGAGCACTGTCCAAGGGAAGCCCAAGAGCTGTGTAGACAACTGCTGCTTTTTGGGTGATGTTTGGTCTTTGTTAGTGGCCGCGGCTATCTTTTGTATCACTAGCATCAGCATATACCTATATATATAAGTTGATAGATTGGGCGTTTTATTTCATCGGTAACGGGCTGGGCTGGGCTGGGCTTTGGACTACCGATGGGAAGAGTTGGGATTGGGTTGCTCATGGAACATTGTTGAGCTTGGTGGGATCATGCCGGGTTCATTTGGGTACATTTCTTTTGTTGGGTGTGTTTATATCTGCTTCGTACTTGGTACTTGTTGAAGTTGGTGTTTATATTGCATAAGTACCTATGATGCTAAATGAGAGGGACTACGGGCGCAATCATTCTTGTTTGAAGTAGTTTACCATCTCTCATGATTAATACATTTCGATCGTGGACTGACCGTCAAAAGGAATATCCCAATCAGGTTGTCCAGCATCATACCAACTACATCCACAATAGTAAGCATTTTATGGCAAGATGCAGAAAAAGCGTCTGCCACCATCTCCATCTTTCACTACCTAGTATCAGATGCTCTCTCACCTACAAGTACGCCATTCCGCGCTATCATTACTAAATTTAAGACACGGAATGCTAGATCACAACTTGGAGCGTTAGCGGGAAACTCCCATGTCAATTACAGTACTCGTACGCAGTGTGTGCCTCTTGGGTTGTGCAAAGACGCACCGCGAATTATCTACTGTCCACGATGCATATTGTCATTCTCTAATGCTATCTATAACAATGTGCCTTTTTACAGTCTAAATGCATCATTTTCCGCTGCCCAGCAGCAGTTCTTTTGGAGTTTAGCTTGATGTTTCAACCTGACAAGCAGGGAGAGGTGTGGCTTGGGCTTGTCTTTGCTTTGGTGTGTAAGTGCGGAGGCGGAAGAGGAGGGGAAATGGACTCTTCTTGTCTTGTATGGATGGCATGGTACAATTAACACCGGGCGCTCTGTTTTCCAAAGTACCACGACATGGAGTGGTTTTCCCCAAAGTATTCATCCATGACGCTGGGATTATCGGGTTGCATGTTATGTATGGCCTGTCTTTTTTTTTTTTTTTTTTTACGGATCTCATTTGTCGCTTTTTACCTTTTTTTTTCTTTTTTTCTTTTTCCTTTTTTTTTCTTGGTTGTGTCACAGGGGGCGGCAACCCCTCGAATCCTTAAAGAAGCAAAATGAAAAATAGAAAAAGAAAGGAAAAAAGAAAGAGAGGCAGCCCTGTTGTGCCGTCCATCCATCCATCCCGTTCCCCTAATACATTGCAATACCTAGCGTCAGGTGAAGTGAATCTTGTCAGAATCACGGCTAATGCAGGCTGGGCCGGGCCGGGTGTTGTTACCGCCATGATACTTTACAATCTGGGCTTGTATCTGCGAAAGAGAGAGTGTCTGCCCATCGTACCCGCGTACTACTGCTGTCACTGTCACTTCTGTCGATCTCTTTGGCGGGGAGCCGCTTTGGAGCTGGAGCCACCCGATCTCATTTTCATTTCCATTTTTTATTCCAGCGTTAGTGCCAATCAATCAATCCTGCGGGTCTCAGCTTGCAGTTTGCCCGGGCAGGCGGTACGTACCTGGTAGTACCTGGCAGTACCTGGCCGTGTACTTGCTTGTCTGGCATTGCTTTTTCGGTTATCAGGTCTTGCTTGGTCTTGGTCACGTTCTTCCCGTCTGTTCGTCTTTCCCATATCTGTTGTCTCTCTTCCAGAGTCTCTCTCTCTCCTCCTCCTCTTCTTCCGCAAGACAAACGGGAAAAAAAACCACAGCCATGGACATTGTCGTACATCAGTCGTCCTCGACGGCCGATGTCAACGATTCCAACAGCATTGTTTCTTGTTCTTCTTCGTCATCGTCTCCTTCATCTTCCTCTTCTGCCTCTTCTCCTACTTCTTCTGCCGCTTCATCTTCAATGTCTTCAACTAGCCGGCCAGCATCATCTCGAATTGCCAAATTGTCCATCTACGGCATTGCTCGCCAGCACTGCAGAGAAGAAATCATCACTAACCCCTTTCGATGGACTGCCCGTCACCTCAAGCTTCTACGATGCTCGTTCGAAAGACCGTTCCCTGAGCCATTGACACCAGCTACGTATGCAGTGACAGAAGCAGATTACACCGAGGAGCGTAGTGGCACGCCCTATCTACAGGAGTTCTTCCACTACTACTACAAGATCCAATTTCGAGAACAGGGCATCAGGCTGCTTTTAACGACGGACGGATGTCCCTTGATTGCTTAGTTCGTTTATCCTTACTTTCCCACACAATCAACTTGACTGACCATTCTCATCAGTGACGCTCTCGGCCTGTATTTCAGTGGCGGCGTCATCAAAAGGCTGGAATGTGTCAGCCTATGCCTTCGCAGCTCCATGCACAGGACACTTCGGTACAAACGGCCACTAGCAGCCTTTATTGACCGCGGCCACATTGAGTTGAGACGAAGGCAGTCGATTAGCTATCGACAAATGCGCTTCAATCCTCCCATCATCCGCTTGTTCAACAACAGATGGAGCAAAGTCTGCCCGCCTGAGCCAGTGTACGATCCCTATATTGTCACGCTCCTCATTGGTGTGGCACAGCAGAAACGGAGACATTTCCAAGAAATTAACTGCAATGGAGAAGTCTCAAAGGGCATGATCTTTGTATGTCACGTACTCCTATGCTCATCTCATTTTCAAGTGTCTTGAGACTAACATTTGTGCGTTTTCACCAATCCAGTCTCAGGTCTTGTCAACGTTCTACTCAAAGGGCCAATGTGAAGTCGTAGGAGAGGAAGCCTTCAATGGCTGGATGTATCTCTACCAGGCCAATATCCCCCTATCGCTTTTGGACATGTTCGACGACCCCAAGTACGCGCCATCAACGCCGCCATCCGTATCGGTCCAGGTCATCACAATACGCTACAGCCCACTAGCTACTTTGCGTGCTCGGCTGCTAGAACTTATGCTTCCAGAAAAGTTGGTCTCAGAAACTTACGGCCTTTCAGCGAGAGGACAGAAGCGAAAATACGACGGCCAAGGATATACTCAACCGGCTCCACGAGAAAACCTTGCAGGAGAAAATGCATGCTCAAGTAGCTGTGTACACATTTTGAAGCAGCCTTGATCAACCATCAGGCATCAGCACACTGAACACGCCTAGACCACTTCAGAGGCTCAAGCACTTGTCATGGGATGCCATCATCTCTCAGCTACCAAGCCAGCTGAGCACTGCCACCATCCGTCAGGACAGGAAAGCTTTTCTTCTTCTTCTACAATATATGTATATCATAGTGGGTTTGGCCAAGGTAAAATGGCCATATAGGAAGGATCGGAGCTCATGCCGGATAGATTGGAAGACCATAGGAGCCCCCCCCCCATGCACGGTATTGACCATTCCCGCCCGCCAATGAATGGTAAATTGGCCTATTTTTGTAAATTGGCCTATTAGCCAACAAGCCCGGCCGGCGGTAAGTCTCTACCAGATAATAATAATAAAAGTATGATATCGTTTTACTACCTGGACCAAGATGCCCAGGCTGAAGAGCTAGTCCGGGGTCCTTATGCAGGGCACTTGTGACCCCAGCCGCGGCCTAGCTTGACATAGTACACGCAAGGGAGAGAGAGGGGGAAAAGAAAAAGAAAAATGGAAAAAGCAAATACTACTTGGACAAGTAAGTGCCTCCATGCCCGCTCGCGAAATATTGCCCCATTGTGTTAATCGATGTCTCATGATGAATGGCTTCCCCCTCTAAGAGGAATGGCGCCGTTGCGTATCATTTGCAGTAGCCCAAGCATTGTCTCACGAGCTCCCTTGACAACAGCCCTGCGAACCAATCACTTGGCCAAGACTTGATTTGGAAAAAAAGAAACAACCTTGGAGGCGGCCCACGACGGCTCTCGGGGCAAGATGGAGTTGTCCCACGGCCGAGACAGAAAGACACTCAGGATGAGTATTGACCACTTTGCCGCACAACTACCGCTTTCCAACTGAACGAAGCTGGGAACAGAGACTGCTGACATGAGGTAGAGAAACAAGCTTCAAGGCTTTCTTCAGAGTATTGACTGATTCCGAAAGCTCGGGAGAGTACTGGAGTATGACCTCTCACTCATTGCGGTAGTAAGGAGCAATGGTGCCTTGATCACTCTGCCACCATGTCTCACCAGATCGGCACCGTCTGATAACGCTGCTAGCCATGCTCTTGGAAAGGCCGATGGCGAGATGCATCTTGATGGCCCCTGCTGGGCTGAAAGACGGGAGGCGGTCATGCAGTGGGAACACACCGCCGGTCTGCCACTATGATCTGTATGTGATACGCGGCGCTGTATTCTTTCCACCCCTTGGCGGGTAAGAGCAACAAGGGCATCGGGCGCTGGCACTCCAATCGAAAGTCCTACACTGGCCACGCCCAAAAGCCCTAGTGTTTCTTGCTTGCTTGCTTGCTTGCTTGCTTGCTTGCTTGCTTGCTTGCTTGCTTGCTTGCTTGCTTGCTTGCTTGCTTGCTTGCTTGCTTGCTTGCTCAGTGTATGCTGTTTCATCCGCAATGGTCATAGCTCAAAAAAGAGAAGGCCGTGGTTTCACACATTGTCCAATCGTGAGAAGCCTCGTTGTTTCAACAAAGCTGGTGGAGAAGCCCGAAATCGTGCAAGATCAGCCTCTGTCTATGATGCTGCCCATGGTTATCGCCGAAGGACCCCTGGTTTGCTGTCTTGCTGCGGGTCGAGATCGAGGTCCCGTCTGTCTGCCAGCATCCGGATCAGCAGCGAGACAGAAAGATGTGAATGCACAAGTATGGATACCAAGGGTCCCATATGATGTCGAGACTCTGTACATGGCACAGGGCGGTCGATCCATCTGACCAGGCGAGTGGGCCAGCATGAAAGCATTGTCCAATAGGTGAATTCAACGACTCTCCCTGCATAGTATCATATCACTTGACGGAATCTCTGTCCCAGATAAGTATGAATTTCCAGCACATGTATGTATGGAGCATGCTCCACATGTCGGCTGTACGAAATACCTACTTGTATGTAAACTAACTAACTTTAGAGCAGGAGGAAGCATACCTATTCGTAGTATACTGGATGGATTGCCCTCCCGCCAAAGTGGAGCCTGATGAAGAAGAAATGAACATTTCTATTACTCTTTGCTACCGTAAACACGATGACATATGGATAACGACCAAATATACCATCATCCCCAGCAATAACCCTCCAAAAACGCCTACCGCAAACGCATAAACCCAAAAAAAAGGCGAGTAAGGGAGTGAGATGACTAGATTAGAAGAAGCAGCGGGCTACAGCGGGTAAGCTCAAGACGAACAGTCATAGAACTCTTTCTTCCTCTTCTGCTCGGAGATTCTATTCATTGGCGTACTTAGACACCCATGGTGAAATCGTGCTCGATACCAGGCGTAACGCTAGCCATGAACTGTTGATACCCAAAGCAATTAGTATTGTCAAATCTTTCAAGAAAGAGGGGGAGAATAGCCAACGCAGGAACATGACTGGAAGAACGCACCTTTAAGAATACAACCAGGTACTGGTCTACTCGGATGGCAACCTCCTGGTCATCCACCTCATTCTCCTGCACCTCTTCCCACTCGTCCTTGTCAGCGGCCTCCTGGGCGCCCTTGACGTCCAGATGCTCCAGTTCGCTGGCCAGGCCCTCGACATCCTTTCCATCGCCCGAGTGCTTCTTGCTCGCTTTCAGCTTCTCCCTGCGAAGGCGCAGCGCAGCATCGGCACGGTCCAGCAGCGACTTCATGACGGGGGCGTGCTTGCAGGGGTGGACGCTGGCCATACGGACGTGGTTGGCGAAGAATGGGAACTCCTCGAGCGTGACCGTCTTGTCTTTGTAGTCGCCGACAATGTCCTCCATCATCTTCATGGGCGGTAGAGGGTGCCCGCTCGCCTGGTAGCCGGAGAGATAGAGACGCGGCGTTCGGTAGTAGGGCGTGTACATGATGTAGAGGTTATATGTACGTCGAGCGCTGTGAAGAAGAAGAAGACGAAGAGGTTAGCAAAATGGTTATGATGCCGATGGTGATGCCGGCGGTGAGTGGCGAAACTGGGGGAAACAAGAGAGAGCTTGAAGCTTACGTGTTGCCAGGCTCGATGCGAAGAACGGCATCGTCTTCCTCCTCGTCCTCCATGTCCGGAATGTCGTCGTCCAGCCCGTACAGGTCATCGTCACCAACGTTGCCCGAATCATCTACCGTCTTGACCTCGCGCGCCTTGAGCGGCTGCGAGCTCGCCAGGCCGCCGGTGCGCAGCCAGCCGTCGTCGTCAGCGGCATCGGCCTTGTTCTTGAAGTCGTCGCCCTCGTTGATGATGGACTCTTCGTGGGCGGCGTCGCCGGCAAAGTCGTCGTTGAGGCGGCGGTGGCAGGGGACGTTTCGCGTGACGAGGAACTGCTTGCCGGGGGGAAGGTAGCTGGCGCGGAGGGACTCGTTGTCGGCGTCGCTCCAGGACCAGGTCGGGAACTTGTAGACGAGGTAGTCGCCGGCGGCGACGAACTCTTCGGGGGTGATTTGGCCGGTGTTGCGGAAGGTCGAGGTGTGCGTGACGGGAGTGTAGCGATCCCTCAGCGTGTTGACTGTTGAGTAGAGATAGTTCATCGTGACGGCGATGGTGATGACGACGTGAAGCTGTCACTGGCGTTTGGACAGGATCGGAGTTGAAAGGTGACGTGTGGGTATTGAACAAATCTGAGAGCTAGTTCGATAGCGGGCGGGTTTTAAGACTCTGTTTCGAGGTATCGGTAAATTGTAAAGATGAAGAAAGAAAAGGAGAAACCCAAGCTGGGAGAATCTATGAAAGGCTTCGGAGACACGGCGAGAAAAGCACAAGGCAGAAGCAAAACGAGGTTATCGAGACGACCAGGGCAGTTGACCCAGAGCGAGCATGTGACCTGACAGGAGAAAAAGGGTTGATGACTCGAAGGGACCGTGATCGGGGTTTGCAAAGCTTGGTTAATTCGTTGTTCCAGTGACAAGGCAGCCTGCTGTGTTTTGGTTTTTGAGGGGCTTTGGCTTTGGGGATGCGATCACATGGCGGGGCGGTCGAGGCTGATGTGCCGGGAGTGGTCTAGCCTGATCTTATCGGTGACAGCATCGATGGTTAGGGGGAGCTTTGGTGGATGATGACATATGCTGGCGGTTTTGTCATTGCCACACAGTGCACAGCTACCATTAGGTACGTTTGTTTGTTTGTTTATTTGTTAATTAATAATTTGCTAATACACTGGGAGAATATCGGGTTTGCTTTTGGAATAATAGCGTGTGCTAATGCAGTGAATTTATTGTATGTAGGCTTTGCTCTGGAGAAACGGCTCCAATGCAGGAATCAAGCCGTGTCTATCAGCAAAAAGAGTATGTACCATTTTTGGTCTCTCTCATTATATCCTTCTTTATATATACCCAATGAACATTATCCATTCGTTTATTTCATTTCAGTTCAGTTCAGTTCAGTTCAGTTCATTCATCTTCTTCCTCCTCCTCTTCATCACTCACTTCTTGCCCTCTCTCAATGGCTTCCTGTCTCCTCTTTGCTGCCCTCTCCCGCTTCTTCTCCAACAGCTTCTTCAGTCTCGTCGCCGAGTTAAACACGCCATTCGTTCCTGATCCGCATGCCGCACATGTTGGATCTCTCCTGTATCTCTGAAGAGCGCAGGGCAGGCAAAAGTAGTGCCCACACCTTGTGATGACTGGCTCCTTGTAGGATTCCTGGCAGATGATGCAGGCAAACGGAATGCTCTCAAGAATCGCATCGTCATCCTCATCCTCGTCTTCTGCTTTTGATTTGTTCCGGTTGGCGCTGGCCACCACGGTTCCTCCGAGGTTCTTCTTGCCCTTGGTGACTTTTTCCCACTCCTGATCCAATTGCCATCCTGCCTTGAGATCATCTCTCGAATGTACGTACTTACAATTATCACCGTATCCGCAAAAACCGGTGATGCGGTAACTATCACGATATCAGTCAGTATGTGGTAAACGAAACAGCCAGAGGGACGTATACTAACTCTTTGCACGTATCAGGGGCATAGTCCGTTATCGTGACAGTTCTGATGTTTGTAGGTGCCTTGACGGGACCAACGGTCTTCCGAGGAGCGTCTGGGTTCTTCTGTATAAACGAAGTCTGGTTCGCCAGTCCCTTGTATGTGCCATCAGGCTGGTCGTCTTTTGAAGCTCGAGCCGAGCCGAGGAGGTTCTTCGCCGACAGCGCGTCCTTTGCGTTTTCGTCGTACCAGTTGCTCTGCTTCGTCGCGTCGTTGCTGTCGGCAATGGGCACGCTTCTGTCCGCCGTAAAGACCGCAGAGCCGCCGTCCTGGTTGCTGGGGGCGGCTCCCCTTGCCGCGGCGGTGACGACGGCCGTCTTCTTGCGCCGCTTGACTCTCTGGCCGGCCTCGTCTTCTGAGGATAAATAGTCGCTGTCGCTGTCGCTGGCGGCCGGGGGAGGAGTTGCTGGTCGCTTGCGCAGGTTCGCCTTGCCCTTTGCGCCTCGCTTCTTGAAGAGGGCGACTGGCGCGCTGCCGGCCTCGGCGTCTGCCATTGTTTTTTTGTGTCGGGTGTGATCGAAGACGCTGGATGATGAAGAAATTCGACGAATTATGTGAGGTCTCGTTTGAATGCAGACAGTTGTAAGGGTTTGGTTGGCAGCAGCAATGTTGGCAGTTGGAGATTTGATATCGGGAATGTTTTTCTTAACCATCACAGTATGGCTGGCCATTGCTGGCGTAGAAATTCATCGATAGAAGTGGAAATGTGGGGCGGGTTTGTCACCGAAGGAGCTCACCGATTGGGTAAGGCGAGTGGCAAAAGACATTTGACAGCGTCCGTTTATGTACACAAGGCGGAATCACAGACGGCTTAGACAGCATTCGGCGTTATTATATCCAATGAAATCGTTGGTTGAATTCTCAAATCATAGTAGACACTTGGTCTACATCTACAGAGTAATGAAAAATAATTCTAGCTGGCATCTGGGATAAGGACAACCCTTAGAGCGTGCATCAACGGTATAGGATCATGTATATCACGGCTTAATGTAAGCAGAATACTAAATCATTTACGGTCAAAACAATGTCTGGCTTTTACTACATCATGACCATTAGTTATTGGATTTATGAGGAGGGCATTTAGTCATTTAAATCTACGAGGAGAGCTCGGGATGACACGAAGACAGTTCCCAGTGAAATTTGTGATTTAATGAGTGACTCTACATACAAGCCTTATCCCGCTCGCAGATATACCATTAAGTCCTCCACCATGATCCATTGCCCAACTCTGTCCATCCAATTTCATCCATACCCATGGATTGCCATCCAACTCCTCCTATTTGCGAGCCCCTCGATGCCGGTGTTGTGAACCCCGTGATGCCGTGGACGGGGTTCACCATCCAAGTGCAACAGGCACTCTACTGGGCTCCAGTGGGCTTCTGGCAAAGGAGGCCCAGGCCGGCCTAGATACAAGAGCGCAATTAGCAGCTGTAACGGGATTTTTTTTTTCCCTTCGTCTCGCTCTGGAGGTACACTTACAACGGGAACAGTGCAGCAGACAGGCTGTTTGCCCTTGGAAGCACAGTGGGCCTGGAAGATGCCGACATTGGGTACCGGAACAGTGGCTGCCGTATACAAGTTAGCTACAAATCATCACCGTGACTTCCCAAGGTGGGGATAGAGACTTACGGGTGCTGCAATCGAGGGTCGCGACGCCGAGGACGTTGGTGGCACAGCAGAGCGGAACGGTGTTAGTAAGACCACCTGGGCATCCTTCGCTGCCCATTGGGCTGGCCATGGCGCTGGCGACGAAGAGAGCGGCGACGGCGAAGAACTTCATTTTGAATGTGGTGGTGGTTATACAACAAAGAGTTGATAGATGTATGTGTAAGAGAGTGGTGGTGATTGTAAGAGAAGATGCTGATGAGGATGAGGAAAAGAAGTTGGTTGATGATGGGGAAGAAGGTCGACTTTATACCTTTTTTTTCCTCCTTCATTGCCTCCCGAATCTCACGAGCAATGTCGCCGCCATGTCTTCCATTCGATCCATCTCGGACCAAAGTTGACGGCCGTGCTTGGATGTCAGTATGCAGGGAGAGGAACATCGCAATCTCTTTCGCGCTACACAATGAAAGGGATAGGTAGGGAGACTGGATCTAGTATTTCGGTGGCTTGGGTGCCGTGTCTTGGGCGCATGCCAGAGACACATAATACTACTACTATGTCCATGACGGCATGACTATATGAGAATGTTGCGTACGGATGGTCGGTCAACGGTGGTTGTTGTGAGCGGCTGGGAACAGGGCCTCGGGACTCTATAGAAGCCAGTTGGGCATGCGTGTTCCGACGTGAAGCTATTCAATAAACCTATATTCAGCAGATCATCAGGTCATCATTGCAATGGTGAGATGAAAGCATCACCATACTCTTACGGGCTACACAACACTCGTCCAGTCAAGGGAGAAGCTCTCTTTGATGCCCAAGATCCGGGTATGGCATCTCAGCTGCTATGATCCAGCTCTACCTGGTTTACGGCGCTCTTGTTTCTTTTTTTTCTTGTCTTACACATTTTCACAACTGCCCTTGTTCATAATTTCAGGGCGCAGCTGGATGTCTCTTGACGTGCAACCTGATTTGGTCAGATGCCGTCCCGGTGGAGACTTGGCTTGCTCGTTCATCTCCCTTCGGCTGAGGCTTGTCAGTGCATCCGGGGCGGTTGCGCAAGGTAACGCCGACTTGGGCCAATTGGAAGAGTGCCGCTTGGGCCGTTGATATTTTCGGTGAGCAGGGGAGAAGTGATAACTTTGAGACTTGCATATAAGTTGGTCATTGGGTTGCTGTTCAGCTGACAGGGAGCCAGTTGTGGCGAGGTGCTGTGCCGTGCTGTGCGTGTATGATGTTGTGAGGTTGGTGAGAACTTGAGCATGAATTGTATGAATATGTCTACCAACAACAATATTTATTCATTGAAACATATTGGAAAAAGACGTGGGATATCATGATTATAATGAATACCGAGTATCAAAACTGTATCTTTTCCATTGATGGCTTCCTGATATGAACATTGTTTAGCTCTCGGGTAAGGTTTAGTGACATACCCATACACAGAGATAACCGCCGACGATCCGATCACGATCGGCCTTTGACAGGCTTGCGGCACGGACATGTCATCCTATCCGCTTCTCGTAGTAATAGTAATAGTCAGAGAGTACATGCATGTGCCCGTCAGTACTCCGTAATACTTGCAAATATTACTACTTCACGGCTCGTGGCCTCCTGAAAGGCAGCGGTTCATGGTGAAGCTAGACGAAAGTGGTATGGAGAGGGTGCGCTGTCATATCGTGGCCCGACTTCCGAGGATGCCAAAAGTGACGGTGCAATCTCCCAGAGTCAATCTAAGATGATGGCTCCGCCGCCATCTTGCATGAGGGCCACTAGATGCAAAGCCGCGTCTTGTTGAGCTTTCCGGGCTGAAAGGCGGGTGTCCAGGGTCTATAGTATACTTGGCAGGCTGATTGTGTTGAGCTGTCAAAAGGATACTACGAATGAGCTCACTATGAGTGCTCTACATAGTGTTTGGATACATCCAAAATGCAGATGGATATCAAACTGCCCTGCAAGGCCCATTTCTGGCACTGTTTGGGGAGACTTTAACATGCAGCATACCAACTTGCACCGTGGATCCCGTATTCAGTATTATTGCCAGTGTCTTACAGGCTCCAGCCATGGCCTGCACGCACAGACGGCCTTGCCGGCGTCCGTACGAGTACGCGGACAGCGAATGGCCATGGAGCCGAGGCCAGAATTGATGCCCATTTGATTGACATGGGCATATTCGTACTACAGACCATTACGGGCAGTATTCGGCCCATGGTACCGACAGTGGAACTCGATCAACACGCAGAAAAAGCATCCATCAATCTGACAACTGGCGGTGTGCACCCATTTGGAGCACGGCATACGAGTACCCTCAGCAAGCGGCTAATGCAGGGGAAACGGTGCCTGGGCTCAGTTGACGCTGGGGCCGGAGGCTGAAAAGACTGGAGACCGTTGATGGAGTCGCTCAGTGGTGATGGTTTAAATTGATCTGGATTCAGCGTCCCGAGCTTCGGATATTATATGGATTCCAGAAGGCTCTCGGAAGACGGAACAGATGCTGCTAGCACCAGTACGACCAAGTCAAGAGCACTCGATCCGTTAATATGCGCGTAGTGCTAGAACTGCGTCAATCCGGAGCTCTCTTTGGCGCCCGACACTCTGTTTGACACGCCGGGCCAGTCCAAGTCCAAGTGGACGCTGCCCAAAGAAGGATTAGCAGCAACAGCCCAACCTGAGCGAATAAAATGAGCCGTTCCCAAGAAAACAATGAACAACAGCAGCCAGGCACCGGGCCAATCACGGCGGATAATCCCATGGGCTTGCGAGCGGGGAAGAGGCTTGCTAGCGGGTTGCTAGTCCGAGGTAGTACTACTACGGAGTAGAGTCGGATGATTGGCTAACGGGAAGCTGTTCTTTTATCGCTGGTCTCTCTCTCGCGGCATTAGCCGGGGTGTGGCTTGTTGAGATTGGGGGCCTCTTGGACGAGTATGTACTGCGTGACTGAAAGTGCGGGCGATGGGGTGAGGTTTAAGCTTTGGTTAGACGGCGATGATTATGTGAATGTGATGTGATGCAAGGTGAAGAAGAGGGGAAAAGAAGATGGAGGAGAGGAGAATTTGAGCCGGGAAACACTTGGACGCCGGAGCGACGGAGCAACAGCCGGAGCGGTGATGATGCAAATGTACATACAAGCATCAACAAGGAGCAAATGCACGCATCTCTTGCTTCCATCTCTGGCGCGCAGAGGGTCCCTGCTGGTGCATCTGAGAAAATATGTGAGTGATGCTTTGACCTCGTGTTGATGCAGGTACAGAGCAAGGTTCTGCTTTTAATTGAATTGAAGGCTCTGGGGTAATGATTTCGTGCATATATACTCGTACCGAGTATCATTTCGTACAAGACCAGTAATATGGCGGAGCGTGATGGCTGTGATGATGATGGGGGCAGCAGTCATTAGAGGGGATGCAGGACGCTGAAACACGCACTGGGCCATTTGGGGCATCAACTGCGTCTCTCATCCACGAGTTTTGCTCCGTGCTTGTCGTAGGTAGCGGTTACAAGTGAGCAGTACTCCGTAATGCCACGGAGGTAATATAAGTCAGCAGTCCTGGTGACATGACCGAGCTGAACTCTCTCGTTTCTCCTTCGCTGGCGCGTGCATGAATTGGAATTCCTCGGATGCATTGACCGAGCAAGATCGTGCAAGATGACGCCTAATTAATTCAGCAGTTGGTGGTTCATGCAAATTCATCTATGCGTCCATGCACCGTCCGGCGAACCAAAACAGAGCGAGAAACAGAAACAAACAAACAAACAAATGGCTTGGGTTGTCCGTGCAGTGATTGACTGATTGATTGATGCGATGCGATGTGATGCAATGACATGCGAGTTGCGTGCTTCTTGCAGCTCCAAAGCATCCAGTACGACGAGTACTAATGTACCTGTTGTAACAGCGACTTGTGCAGCGCACCGAAGTGCACACCAATACGCTGGTACCGCTCAAACATCGAGATGCCTCAGGAAAGAAGAGATAAAGACACAATATGTGCCTGCCTTCTACCACTTTGTCGACGGCTGATATCAGCTCGATGCGATAAGAGAATCGCTCTCAACACTCACCTCTTCTGCTTCTTCATCATCGTAATGTCGACCTCGTTCCATCATCAACCTCAAACAAATACATACCTTGGCCTGCACTCGTACATTTTTGTTCCCTGGTCAGCTTCTCCACCACCCGGCAAGGCCCCTTTGCCTTAGCCCTCCCGAAGTGGTCCTAGCAGAACTCGTACCGACGAGCGTCCTTGTTCCTCTCCTCCATTGTTTGCGGCATCTGATACCTCTCTTCTTCCTTTCTTACTCTCCTACTCTCTAACCCTTCTTCTTTTCTTTTTTCTCCCTAACCTCGTCACGAAAATCCGAGTCCTGGCAAGTCCTTGTCCTCCGCGCGGCTGGCTCTCCGATTTTTTTATACTTGAGTTTTTTTTTGTCCTTTCTTTTTTTGCCCGGCCCCCCGACTCGATACACTCGTTACACCAACACCTACCGCTAGAATAATAATAGAACGCCTCGTGTTTTTGGGGAGGATTCGCAGCCATATACGCGTCCGATCAACCCTATCCGCTCATTCATTGCAGCCTTATTGAAAAGAAAAAAATCACCAAAAAAAGTTGTTTCAGCCGATTGACCCAGCAAGCTGCCCATCAGCTTGAATTGGATTGCGCCTCGTCTCATTGTCTCCTTTTCCCTCGGTCGGCCGCCTTCGATTCGACTTGCGCGTTAGCTACTCGAAAGAAACCGAGTCGCCGTACAGTGCGCATTTCGACTTGGCCAAGCTGATCAGCGAAAAGAGACGGTCGCGCGTCAGCTGCATTCCATTGCGTGTGCTTGGGCTTGACTCACCTTTGGTTGTGTCCAGCTAAGCAGAGAGCCGTTGTATACTGGATCCAGTGTTGAAACCTGGCCGCCCACACGGCTCGAGCCACGTCTGACCCAGCCGGGACAACAAAAAAACACACCCAAAAACAACAACAAATAATACGTCTTTAATTTGACCCCCCCCCAATTCGCTGTTCCTGCTTCTGCGGCCTTGCTTATCGACCTGGTAGGCTTTCGTATTGCCTGGCTCTCGCAAACACAACAAACAACGAGACAGGACAAGACAGGACAGGACAGCCCGCAGCCTCGGCGTCTTTTTAATTTATTCCGCCTTTGCTTTCGCTCCTCGCCTGGATCCCTTTTTTTTTTTCCTTTTCTTTCCTACTGTTTTGCGCTTCTCTTCTGCTTCTTTTGGCCTTCCAAATTTCCCGCCAATTTCGCCTACCTGTTCGCTCTGCGCTTCCATTTCCGCCTGTGCGCAGCGCATCCACAGCGTCATTTCGAGGTCTTGCATCCTCTCTTTTTTTCCTTTTCCGCTTACCTCGAGCACCCCGGTTTGCTGCAGCAGGGCCTGCAACGACGCCGGTTTTTCGTGCCTGTATCCATTTTCCCCGTCCAGGCCGCTCACCAATCGCCTGGTCGCCCCCCCTGCAGTTTTTCTTTTGCCGCTGCACCTCAGCAACGCCAGGGGCTGCGCGGTGCCAAACGCCAGCTCACTCACCCAATTCCTGCGTTTCTATCCGTTGTCTTTCGTCACCAACCAAGGAAACAAAAAGTCAACCCCTCAATTCTCCGCATCGCTCGTTGCGACTTGTCCTACATACAGTACGAAAACCAGCAGCGAAAAACGACGACAACTTCCGCCGGTGCAGCTGCGGCACGGCCTCGAGCTGCCACCTCCCGAACCCGGTAGGGGATTGAAGCAGCAAAAGCACCTCTTTGATGGTCCGCCGCTAGCCACAGACGGACGTTGCGCTTTCTGGCGAACTCGCCTTCATCAGAATGGCGTCGTCGTCAGTCACCTCGGACCGGCCCGATCTCTCTGTGCCAGCAGGAGACGGCGCCAATGATCCCTTCTTCTCCGCCTCGTCGACCGCCCCGTCCCATCTGCGATTTTCCGACTTCGACCAAGAGCTCTTTGCCGCTGGTCCCGGTTCCGATCCGCGACAAGCGAAGCGCGCCCTGGAAGCTCACCTAGCAGAGACCGACCGTCGCCTGGACGAAGCTGGCAAGATTGGAACCGCTCTCGTATCGCAGCGCAAGGCCCTCGCCGAACAGCTACAGGAAATCGAAAAGCTCCAGGCCGAGGAGGAGCTGGCGCCCGAGCTGCGCAAGAAGCTCGTCAGCATCGAGAAGGACTACAATGATTTGGCTCGAGAGTCGGCAAGGGTCTTTTTGCCCAAGCAGCGAGTGGCGAGCACCAGCGACAACAACCAAGGCTCGCCCTACACGCTGGACAGCCGATCAGGCAGGGTGAGAATATGCTTTTCATTTTCCCTTTTCCTCTCCTCCCTTTATTCAGCAGAGAACTGGGTCGGTCGGTGCCTGTCTATTTATTGCGCATATGGCCGACCCATTACACATTTACACATGACACATAGATTCGCGCTGCTTCGCACATGTTCCTCCTGATCTCTACGAACCCCCGTCAATCTTCAGTTGCTAATCAAAGCCATCGTCAATCATGGTGTATAGCGCTCCGCTAGTCCTTCCAAATTCGAGAGTCAAGCTACGGGCTCACCCGCCAAGCTCAGCGTACCCAACCGCAAGATGCGAAACCAGCCGTCCAACAGAGTCCACGACATCGAATTCGCCGCCGAAATCAGCACATCGCTCATTGCCCAGGTCCGCAACCTACAGGCATTGCTTGGCGAACGTGATGAACAGGTCAAAGACCTCCGCAACGATGTCTCCCGCCTCGAGGGAGAGTCAGAGGCCCAGCAGCAGCGTCTCAAGGTTCTTGATGAGAGTGAACATCGCTTCAAGGAAGAGAACTGGAACCTTCAGACCCGACTGCAGGAGATGAATGGCCAGCAGAGGGAGGCGTCCGACCGTGAGAAGAAGCTCGACAATGCTCTCCACGCCTCCAACGCTGCCAAGTCTGCCACCCAAAAGGAGCTGGATGAGGTGAAGCTGACGCTCTCCAAGCTGACCGAGGAACACGCTGCCTCCACCAAGTCCCACGACATTGAGCTCGGCACTGCCAAACGCGCCATTGCCATGGCCGAGGGCGAACGCTCTGCCATGCAGCGCAAGATTGACGAGCTAACCAGCCAGAACCTGGAGCTCGCCAAAGCCATCGCGGCCCAGAGAGCAAAGGCTCAGGAGCGCGAGTCCTCTTCAGGCACTAGTGACGAAGATCTCGAAGCTGCTGCCATTGACATTACACCTGAGCATTCCCCACCACAGTCTCCCGTCAAGGGAACCACTCCCAGGCACTCCATGCTCGAGACGGAGACTCTCAAGACATCTCTGCAGCATGCCCAGCGAACCATTCAGAGCCAGCGAAGCCAGCTCCACCGTGAAAAGACGGAGAAGCTTGAGTTCAGACGCATCATCCAAGACCTTCGCGACGATTTGGAAAAGGCCAGAAACGAGCTTGAAAAAGGCCCCGCTCTGCCCCCCGTTCGTCGTGGTCGCAGGGTCGAGCCCAAGGAAGTCAAGGTCAGGCCGCCTCGATTGCTCGGTAGCTTCCGTTCTAGCCGCCAAGAAGTTGTCATTGAAGAGCCAGTCGCTCCGGAAGATCCAGAATGGGAAGATACTCACGATGTTTCACCTCGCTCTTCTGGCCTTCGTGCTGGCCGTCGCTCTCCCGATCGACGCCAGCAACAGCTTCAGCTTCAGCTACAGCGGCAACAGCAGTCTTCTGATGTTTCCGATGGAGAGGAACTTGTTCTTGAATCAATCGAGACTAGCGACTCTTTTGAGACTGCTGCCGAAGAGGGTAACGATTCTGCCTTTGAGACGGCCGAACCAGGAACTGAGACGGAAGATTTCCAGACAGGACACGAGGACTTGTCTGATGAAAGTGATGCCCCTACTGAGGTTGCACTCTCCATACGAGGCTTTGGCAACATGAGACGACCTCCCAGCCTGCAGCCCGGCCTTCCAAGACACGCTAACCGAGAATCATTTGACAGCACTGCGTCAACTTCGACCGAGGAAGATGAGTTCTCAGAGTTCCCAGAGTTTAGATCACCTACCGCCGCTGCCTCTCTACGGAGAATGCGTACGAGCAACAGGTCATCAATGTCCCGGAGAAGCTCTCGACAGGAGAGTGAGGAGCCTCAGTTCCGGAGCCCCGGTGCGAGCTTCAGCAGCGGTGGCGGCGATCCATCAACCCCCGGCCAGAGTCTCTTTGCCGAGCTGCAGGATTTTCCCAGCGATGATGAATCATCAATCATGTATACTCCTGGCCGTAGAAGCCTCCGTTCCATGACGCCGGCTTCCACACGCCGCGCCGTTACGCCGCCTCCAGCGGTTCCCCGGCTGCCTCGAGTCATCATGGTAGATACAGGTGTCATGACCGACCCTATCGAGTTTGGTCCTAGCATCGCGCCTCTCGGCCATCGCACATCTCGCAGCTCGCTGCTAAGCGTGGGCGAGTTCGCTCGAAGACCGAGATCCATGGAGTCGGCCATTCCCAACACTGATTTCCGCGCATCCGCAGCCTCATGGCGCAGCGTCGAGGACGGGCCCGCAGGCTCTGCTACGTACTCCCGCCCCGCGTCTACAATTGCCTACAGCGATGCCGGTGCTCAGTACGACATTGGCGAGAAGCTTGCACAGTTCCCCCTGCCTCCCTCATCACTGCCCAGTGAATCGGATCTCATGCCGATTCCCGTGCCTACGCTCCCTGCTGTTCTTGAACTCTCCGTCATCCAATCCGAGGACATCGAGCCTCGAGAAGAACAACACCAAGAGCCGGCACCGGCCGCTGTACCTCCCACCCTGAGCTTGACACCAATGGCATTTGAGACAGTGGAGCCCTTAGCCGAGCCTGAGGTCCCCGCTCCTCACCTGGGATTGTCTGCCATCGTGGCCGAGCATTTGGAACCCGAAGCAGAGCCCGACGTTCCACCTCCAGACCTCACCCTCTCCAGCATCTTTGCTGAAGGACTGGAGCCCCGGGCGGAGCCAGAGCTGCCTCCGGCTGAATTGACTCTGTCGACAATCCTTGGCGAGGGCCTGGAGCCAGTGGCCGAGCCTGAAATCCCCCCAGCAGCTCTTTCGCTATCGACAATCGTCGGTGAAGGCCTGGAGCCAGTGGCCGAGCCTGAAGCTCCTCCTCCAACCCTCTCGCTTTCTACCATTGCTACCGAAGGCTCGGAGCCAGTAGAAGAGCCAGAGCTGCCTGCGCCGGTGCTGAGTCTCTCCACCATTGTGGCAGAGGGACTGGAGCCCAAGGCAGAACCCGAAGCTCCTCTACCTGAGCTTACCCTGGCCTCTATCCTATCGGAGGAAGTCGAGCCCGTTATCGAGGAGCCAGAAGTCCCCGTGCTTATTGCCGCCAAGGAGATTGCCCCAGAAGAAACTCCAGCTGTCGCCTTGCAGGAGCTCACTATTTCGCCAATCGTGACGGAGCAAGTCGAGCCCATCGCTGAGCCTGAAGTGGTGGTGCCCCCGCCGGCATCTCTCACCATGTCATCCATTCAGACACAGCAGCTAGAGCCCAGAGAGCTTTGGTTGCCAACTTTGACGCTGTCTACCATTGCTGTGGAAAATGTCGAACCCATCGCCGAGCCCGAACCCGAGCCGGTTTCCGCAGCACTGACACTCTCTGCTCTCTCCTTCCAAAACACCATTCCATTTGACGAGCTGCCTATCGATGACGAGGAGCTGTTCCTGCCATCACTACCCCAGCCCGAGCTCCCTGCTCTTGGCCTCTCCTCAATCGTAGCAGAGGACGTTGAACCCATCTTCCCTCTCGCTCCGCAATTTGCATTTTCTTCCATCTCATCTGTTGAGACTCAGCCAGTTAGCCCTGTCAAGAGAGGGGGATTCATTCTCCCAAGCAACATCAAATCTCCCTTTAATGATGAAGAAGATGGTGAGGTATCCGACAAGAACCTCTTTGCGTCGTATGTCACTCGCAGAAGACCGGAGAGCGTCCCCTCATCGCCTATTATTGCCGAAGATGAGACGAGTCAATCACTTCCTGTGTCACCGCAAGTCGACACTCCCGAGTCCAAACGGCCATTCAAGGAGATTTCAGCCAATGGAATCTCTCGTCCTGGTCAGCAACTGACTCAAACCAGCGACCAGGGAGCCCAGACATCACTGACATCGGGAGCCATCGACGAGCTGCTCAAGACTGGAGCTGAGACTCCTGCAAAGAGCCCTTACTCCATTGGCAGCCCTGACACCGTCGGGACTGTCAAGATTAACCGTGCCTATCAAGAAAACCTGGATAGCCCCTTCTCAGCCATCTCGAGCAAGAGCAGGACGCTTGATCCAGCGCCTATTTTCCACTCTACGCCCACGCACCGACCTGGCAGTGCTACCAGTGGCAAATCCTCGCTCGTGGACGCGCCTCCTTTGCCATCAAACCACCAGCAGATGATCCAGGCGGCTCGTTCCGGCTCATCCAGCAGCACGACGCAAACGCAGAACCACAGCCAGAGCCAAGGCACTATGGGCCCGCCTCTCTGGCCCGCCTCGGCAACAAAGCCAACACCGACCACCCCCAGCAGAGACAGACCAATGTCTCCTCCTTCTGGCCGCGGCACTCCTACTCCTCGCGCTCCTGTCCGAGCCGGCTCGTCTCATGGTACTGCCGAATTCCCGCTGCCACCTCCTGTCAGGCTTTCTGCTGCCATGTCCCGGCAGACTTCCGTGTCCTCGTTCGCATCAGAACTGGACAATCGTTTTGGAATGCGGGCCAATGAGATGGGTCTCGACCCTAGCGGATTTGGACCCAACACCGACCCCAGGATGATCCAAGCCATCACGCAGACCATGATTGGAGAATACATCTGGAAATATACGCGCAAGACTGGTCGCGGCGAGCTGTCTGAGAAGCGACACCGCCGCTATTTTTGGGTGCACCCATACACGAGAACTATCTACTGGAGCGAGCGAGACCCGTCAACGGCTGGTCGTACTGAGATGAAGGCGAAGAGTCTCCCCATCGATGGTGTGCGAGTAGTGACAGACGACAACCCCATGCCGCCGGGTCTCCACCGTAAGAGCTTGGTGATTATCTCTCCCGGCAGGACGATCAAGTTTACCTGCACCACTGGCCAACGACACGAGACTTGGTTTAATGCTCTGTCATATCTCCTGCTGAGAACCAGCAATGGCCACGATGGTCAATCTGATGCGGAAGAGATGGCGACAGACCTTACTCGGGAAGACGTTGACGAGTTCAACCCTCCGTTTGGCCGGCACCCTGCCAACGGTACCTCGCGTCCCTCGGCCCCGTCCCTTTCATCGTACAACTCTCGCACCACTTCACAGGCCGAGGCAATCTCCCTAGAGATTCCTACGCTGACGCCATCAGGGAAGCATGCTTCAACCCCGATCAGGCCGTCCCTTACTGGCAGCATCAGCAGCAAGGTAGGCTCGTACTGGAAGGTGGGCGGGTCCAAGCTCTCTGGATCGATCCGCAGCAGGACGGTTAGCGCCCAGAATGTTAGCATCTACCAGGCGAGCGAGGTCCACGATAGTGCTGAGGATCTTCGTGAGATGATTGAGCAGCAAGACAGGGAAGCAGACCGGCTGGAGAATGTCAGAGCCTGTTGCGATGGTAAGTCATATGCGAATGAGAACCGTGTGTAAGTGACAATCTGAAACTGACCAGAAACAATTAGGCAAACACGACGTCGGGACACTTCCTCACACCACCAAGAAAGGAGGACGCAGCCACAACCATCATCACCACCACGTTCACTCCAGTGGACAGTCTGCCATGAATACCCCCATGGCATCTATGCGCTCTCGGGCATAAAGTTTCTTGTTCATTCGACTTTTGCATTATTAATCAACAACGTCTTGACTCTATCTCTCTCCATCTCTCTCTCATAGAAAAAAGGGAATATCCTTTCTTCTCTCTTATCTCTCTCTCTCTCGCAAACGTGACGACCATACATCTAACGGAAGACCCGCCTTATGACTCTGAACGATTCTTCTTTCTTCTTTCTTTTTGTTTTGTTTCTCAATTTGATCTTGTTAATGCTCACAGACATTTTCAGGTTGTCATAGATGACTTTTTGATAAGATACAATTTGTCACTGGCACACCGAGCATTCTGTTTTAGCCTCTGCATATTCTGACCTTTGGAAGAACCATTATTCTTAGAATGCAGTCCCCCCTCTCTCTAAAATTGTTTCTTTCTTTACTGTCAAATCTCCCCCATCAAGGCACAACTGCTTTTTATGCAGACGAAAAAAAAAAAGAATCCCCATCATGCTAGGGTTGCAAACAGATACATGCATTTTTCCTTATGGTGCTTGTAGCAAGGAAACTAAACTGAAAAAAAAAGAGGGATTTGTTTTGGCTCAATTTTGTATGTTAACTAAGGTGCCTATTTGGATGTGCTTCTTGCTCTGAAAATGAACTGAGAGTGGGAGGCGTGTCTGTAGTAGGTATGGGCATATCGGACATTGCAAATTCAGTTGGCGTATCAGTATCATTTCGGTCTCTTACTGCATAGATGCTTGAGTCTTGTCACGATGCTCTGTAGAATTCTTGTAGTCAGCGGTGTATTATCAACGGAATCGCTTGGATCCAAGTACATTGATGTATGGACGGTAAAATCACAGAACAAGAATCGTATGTCTAACCAAGTACGTGTAGATGGAATCCATTGCCATTGCCATTGTCATCGCCATCGCTGCGTCCTAACGCCTATCCTAATACCAAGTTTACAGTGTCAACATCGTGTGCATCCCAAGCTTCCTGCGTCACATAGCCGTAACCTTTGCGATACGCTACACCGTTCACCCACTCGATACAGAGGACGCCGTAAAAAGGCTTGTAGGCGCGTCTGTTGAGCCACAGACCACGTCTACGATCGATGCTCTCGGAGTATAACCGCCGGCAGACGACGACGAGCTCGACGAGTTCGTAGAGTTGCCCCGAAGGGCTGTCGGGAGGAGACGGAAGAATATTTGGGGGAGTTTCAGGCTCATCTTTTACGTCTGGGAGAGTTTCTGGATCGTCTTGTATGTCTGGGGGAGTTTCAGGCTCATCTTTTATATCCGGGCTGGCCTCATCTTCCATATCAGGGCTACAAGCCTCAGCTTCCATATCAGGGCTACAAGCCTCAGCTTCCATATCAGGGCTGGCCGCTCTCGAGAGACTGGGCAGTGGTGTATCGGCAGTTGGGAGCTGGACCCAGCCGCAGACCTGGTCGTCATAGTCTAATAGCTCGAGATGATAGTCCATGGCGCCGGCTACCATTGTGCAGCCAGTCTTTCGCAAGCACGTGAAATAGGCGCGCTTCGTGGTGCAGGAGAGGAATCTGCATTGCCGCATCTGCCTCGCACCGCGCTTGGCATGTACCGGGAAGGGGCGCCAGAACAGGCGGTTTGGGAATTCGAGGTGGCTGTAGACGTACGTGCCAGCGATGCCAAAGGGGACGCTGGGCGTGTTTTCGATGTCTGGGCCGTTGGCGCCGGGATACTCTTCCCTTGTCCAGCCGCCGGGGATGAATTCTTCGATGCAGGGCTCTATGTAGGGCGTGAACCAGGAAGACTTGATGCGGTATCTGTCGGTGGATGTTGGAGTGTCCTGGCAGAACCAGTGGACGGTTGGGAACGTGAACCATTTCTCGTATCTCGAAGAGGCTTCCTGGGGCTGGTTCGGATAAGTCACCACCTGGTAATCTTCTTCATCCCTCAAGAGGCTCAGATAGTCGCTCTTCCATCCGATCCAAGACCACGAGGGCAACTCGGCGTTGGGAAGAAGACCACGAGTCCTGTTGGAATGTTCTCGTCTCGTGAGCCCTCTGTATTTTGCGCCGGCCATGTTGTAGTACCAGAATCTGGTGCCCCAGAGCAGCGCTGCTTCGAAGCACAGGACGGGCATTCCGAAGAGGAAGCCGCCTTCGAAGGAGGGACTGATGAGTTTCAGGATGCCTGCTATCGCTGGCAAGGCATCTTCGGGGTAGGTCATCCCGAGATTGTTGTACGAGCGGAGCAGATTGCCTAGCACATTGAGATCGGGGCGGCGTCTCAAGATTTTCGAGGACTGCAGGACAGTTTCATTGGCCTCATCCATCGGAGAGCGTAGGTTTGGGAGATCTTCATGCCATGTTCCGCAGTGGCAGGTCCAGTGAATCTGTTGATTCGCAAAGATGAGGCGGCGATGAGAAAGAATGTACTCTTGGAAAGTCCAGCCCCTTTTGAAGTATTCAGGCACGAATATGTGGCTGACGGAGGGGAGATCTCTGACGAAAACCTCTCGATTCTCTGTCCATGGGAAGATGCCCTCGAGCTTTCGAGGCGAAGAGCAGTTTTGGAGACCGGGCAGACCACTCATGGCATCGCCGTCGGTGGAGATGATGGTAAATTTGGCGGATGCGTAGATTGCCCCCATGTTTTGAACCTGGTTTGACAGATGGGCCCTGTCTTCGTGTATGATACACACTGCGTCGACCCATAGGTAGCGCTCCCTGATGTTTTGAACAACGTATATGGCATCTCTGATGATGGGCAGCTTGGTGATGAAGCTGTCAGAGAGACCGCCCGGTATTTGCATCTCATTGATCCTATCGAGGCCTACTCGAGACCAGACGGATGTTCCCCATCGGTAGCTCAAGGCGACGAATCTCATTGACCTGTCGCCACGCACGAGGCAGTTTTCTTGGGTATCGATGAGCCAGTCAGGGGCTATCACTACAGACCTGTCCGATTCTCGGCATTGGATTCCCATCCGATCGATGCAATTGTCCTTCCACTTAGTGGCGCGACTGAGGTCTATCCAGGAGACGTCGATCGTTGTTTCTTGGGACGATGCATTGGAGTTTGGGGGCTTTCGCAGAATGAACTCGTAGGACTTTCTGCTGCGGCACTTGTGGTCAAGAATCGTGATTGTCGGCACGCCCTCTCGGGATCGACACAGTTCCACGCCATAGGCCGGATACGTACGCTTGTAGATGCGAGAGGCAAGCATCTTGTCCAAGAATTCATTGTACAATTTGAGAATGTGTTCCATCATGGCCTTGTGAGTCTCACAAGTCACGGCCAGATCATGTTGGGTGACACGTATAAGTGCCGGGTAATGCTGGCACTCGCACTTGAAGTCGGGAGAATGATGTTGCAAGATGAAGGTTGCATCGCTCCCGGCGAGTAACTTCTCAGTGGCAAAGCACAAGTTGCATCCGCTGTCCGGGAGAGTTTCAACCTCTCGGGACCTGATCCAGTGAGCGTTAGGTTTTCCCCAAGCCATTTTTGAAGATGTCTTTGAAGAAGGATGAGGTGAAATAAAAAAAAAGGGTATAAGTAAAGTAAAGTAAAGCAAGTGTAAGCAGTTGACACTGTAACAGTGATGAGCACGTATCGGAAGCTGAGATTGTATTGGATAAGGTAGACTTTGATACATTCACAGAGCAGATAGAGAGAAAGAGAAAGAGGTAAACAATACCCAAGGTGCTGAGATACTGCCTAATAAATACATGTACCGGTCTCACACTTGAGGTTACACAAACATGTCTCCATCACGTGAAGTCACTGGTAACACAAAAAGCAATTCCCCTCTGTTTTGCAAGTTCTGTTGGTGTAATCGTCCAGGATTTCCCTTGGTGGTGAGCCGTGACTACGTACGTATGTCCAGTTACGGACGACTGCATCCAGTTCAAAACGCCATATTCCGGTTCCTCAGGCGGCTGAGTGAGGGGCTGTGGTCTATCACGCCAGGATCACAGCCCATGCCTGCATTAGTAGTGGTTACTACTTTTGGACAGCGAACTTTTGATCCTCGCCGGCATCGCGGAGCTAGATTCCGGGATTGGTCAGTCGATCCTTTGGGCGGCACATGAAATGTTCGGGCTGGAAGATAGGGGCATGTTGTGACTCCAATATCCTCCCTGCAGCAGTTGTTTGTCAAACAACACATCAGCCTCAGGTGACTGATCTTTCGTCATCCATTCAGCCATCTAATCTCGGAATGATCTTGGCACGCATAGGCTCTCATCCATGGCGCGTTGCAACTGGCCGAGCGGGATTCCCCTCATGGTTATCGGTGCGTATTGTTCGGCTCGGTGCATGAATCTCTGCCGCATCATTCACTCTGCCAAGGAGAGAGAGAGAGAGAGAGGGGTCAGGCCTACTCGCGTCTGTAGGCTATACCTCTCTGCTGATGCCTTCGTTTGTGGAGACTAAGAGACCTGAAAAGGGAAGCGAAGCTTGGATCCATTTAGTCGGCGATCAAGCGGGAAGAGCAACCGGGTAGTCGGAGAGTCCATATGATTTGACTTGACGAGTCATGCACATACTTATGCAGCTTGGGATACTTGGGCTGGATAGCATGAGATAATGTCCACGTAGAACTGTGTCAAGACCTCTGCATGGCTAGGAACCGCCCCGAAACCCCTCCCGTGGCCAGAATCTTTAGGGCATCGAGTTTGTGGCCAAACAGCTCATATGACCAGAGCGAGGCCCCGAGTAGCTCCTTATACCACTCTTGTCTTGCAGCAGGGCTCATCCAAGTCAGCGCCGCGGTAAAAGTCTGAGAGTCGGAAGTCTCAGTGGCTTCGGCAGGTTGCCAGCCCCCCAAATTGCTACTCACTCGGAACGCGGTGGGGATTCCTCCTTGTTGCGAAGGCACCGTCATGCTACACAAAAGGTGCCTGTTAGTTTGAACCGCTGCGAGAGCATAAAAAGGCAAGGGGAAAGTAACACACCGGGTAAAGACGCTGTAGGCATACTCGAAGAGTTGACGCTCAAGCGCGCCTGGCGGAAGATAGAACCATGATAACTCGAGATACTCTACGCGATCGAGCCCTGTTGAACCCTCGTGACCTCGGGCTATTGGAAAAGTTTGATATGTTAATGGTGATGACATGTGGGAGGACGATGCTGCAAGGCCGTCCAGTATCCGACGACAGTCGTGTAAAACAGCTCTTTGCGCATGTTCGCTACCCCAGACTGAATGTACTCATGGAATAAGTCAGCTAAACGTAATAAAAACGTATTCACTGTAACTGGTTGCACGTTTTCTGACCTATTAGTACGGCAAATTTAGTGTCATCCTCGACATCACGAGCCCAAAAGGCCTCAACAAAACCTGGCAGCGCCCCTGCATCGTCCTTAATCTGATTGTATATACGAGGGCCGTGGACCCGGACCGAATGGCGCTTCAGTTGCATCCACACAATGTCCACGAGGTAATGGCCCCAAGATGTCTGTCTATTCCGCCATTCGGAAATCACAGACATACTGCCCTCGTGAAGCTCGCCTTGAGATGTAAAATAGCCCTGCGGGAGTGGGAACAGCCGAGTCCTTGCCCTTGTGTCGCTGATGCTGCGGTCGAGGACCCGGCGGGCATGTTCTCTGAGGTTGAAGAGGTCGGCACTACATTGGCGTGGGAAATCACTTTGAAGAATAGAGGCTAGGCTGGTGAGCGATGAGGTTGGTTGTTGTGGTGGATTATGGGCTTCTTGTGGTTGGACTTGGTTGATGAGCTGGACCAATTTTCTCGAGGTGGTAGGTGGCTCGTTTCTGTGAGGGGATTGCAGTGAAGGTTGTAGGCTGTCACAAAGATGCTCAGCACGATGACTATCGTAGTTGATTCCATCCCAAACAAGAAATGCAGTAAAAGTGGCCGAGACATTCGCAGCAGCAGCCTCAGCTGGAGATGGATCGGCGAATGTCGATGCATTCTTCTCAAGCCACACGGCATGGGAGTGTAAAAGGCCATTGCCACCATCGCCATCTGTCAGTGAAGCGACGAGAGCGTTCCATCTCTCTTCAATAGTTGAACCACGTTCCTGCGACGACACGTCCTGGGTGCTGAAAGTGACTGATACAACATCAATTATTATTGTGGTGGCTCTCACTGCTTCGCCGAGTCCCAAAGCGCTCGATATTCTTCCTGCAAATTTGGCACAGCGGTTGGAAACGTCCGACGCAAGTAGCGCTACTAGGGGAGTGAAGCCCAGAGAATGCTGAAACTTGTGCCAGGCGACGACGCTGTCCCAGTAAATTAAACAGAAGAAACCAGCCTCTACTTCTGCATCTAGCCTCAACCCCCATTCAATACTACAACAGCCCGGGATCGAGCTGATGTAGCGCAACGTGGCGTCCAAGAGCTTCCGAGGCGGTCTGGAACCATCACCAAGGTCGACACCGGGCTTGAGGGAGAACTCGATGATGCTGAGGATTGGCGTTTGTGGGCTTTCATCTGCAATTCCTTCAGGGCGGCTTTTTCGCCAGAGCACGCCGCTGACAGCGGGACCGAAGCGTGGTGTGGCGATGCGTCGCGCTTCTTGTTGAAGTCGAAACTGCGTCTCTCGTGCCTGTCGCATCGCCTCCTCGTGAGCCTGGTGGTGCGACATGGTGATGGAGATTTTGGTGGCGGTTCCATTTGGTGACAGTGTCGGAACCAACATCATCTTACAAAGGATTTCTTCAAGACGTTCAAGGGGTTTCCCCGCTCTACCAAAAGGCACCCAACAACAAAGCCAACCTTGCATCCTTCTTGGGATCTTTTGGCAAAATGTGAGTAATGCTGGCTGCCCAAGGCCGGCTGGGAGCGGCAACCACTGGCCGCTGTCTTTTTTTCTCGCCAACATCCTCTTTCAAATCGATGCTCTCGGGTGTGCCAATTATGCAAGAGATCCATGGATCTCACCTTACTCTGATAGAGCCTTGTATACGGGATACTGCAGAAGACTTTGCGCTGCCTCAATATCCACCGCGCCAACACAAGACGCCAATTTCACCTTCGGGATTGCATCTTCGGCCAGCCGCTCCATGAGCCAATCCACCTGTAATGAGTAGACCACGCTATTTCACGACACTATTCCTTGTTGCGGGATACGGCATTATTATGAGAGGCCTAGACTCAAGATAATTGGTAGGAAAAGATTGTGTCGGTGAGTTGTTCTAAGGCCAAGACTCTGACCGACGGGTTGCTGCCTTCACGATGCTAGGGGGTATTATTTGTCCTTGGCCTGGGCGTTTTCGAAGAAGCAAAAAATCTTACATCTAAGCTTAAAGGAGAGAATATTTCTGCCAGGATCGGGCGGGTTAATCGTATTCGCCGTCGGGCATGTTTTTCGTAGAGAAATAAACAGAGTCAGACAAAATCAGGCCGAATTGCCCTGGAGGTTGATGGCGAACACTTCCACCGAGCCTTACCAACGAGACTGTGGTCTCCACGATGATGATAGAAATTTTTAAAAGAAATTGCCAGAGCCCTGGCCGTAAGCAAATTTATAAAAGAGCCGGCATGGACTCTCGCGACTGGTGTCTGGGACTCTATCAGTGTCGTAAGAAGACAGGATGGCTGGATTCAGGCTCTCGCGCCTGGTGGCCTTACTGACGCTGGCCACAACGACAGCTGGCCAGATCACACCCACCGGAGCGACTGTGAAACTTGGCGAACTCAGCTACTTCATTAACCCCCACCGAGCCGGAAATATTCCTCGATCCTCACTCAATGCAATCAGTGATACACCAACCGCTTTCGGGTTCACTCCAATCACAGTAGTGGCCACAGCCACCAATCCCTCGGACCTAAACGCGGTCTTGACGAATTGGACGAACATTGACGACGTCTTCCAGGCCGGTTTTGCGCAGGTTGTATTTCTTGCTGGTCAGAAAAGTAGCAGCACGCAAAACCTACTCGGCACAAACGCAGTTGTAGCTCCGCTAGATGTCTCCGACTTGCCCTCTGGGCCTTACTTTGTCGACTCGGCGGGCTCGGCATACAGAGCTTACCGTTTGTACGATGATTTTGTTGGTGCTTTCGCGGAGTCGCTTCTGCAGAAGCCGGACGGAACTTTCGAGACGCTCTCGGCCAAGATTAGCTCCTCCGCCACGATGAGCATCGGTGTATCATCGAGACTATATTTCACACGAACCAAAGAAAAGCCATTAGCTGGGGTTCGTATTGGAGTGAAGGATCTCTTCGACCTCAACGGCGTAAAAAAGTCCAACGGCAACCGGGCATGGTACCACTTCTACCCGGAGGCTGAGAAGACAGCTCCTGCAGTCCAAAACCTCATCGATGCCGGTGCTGTCATCGTCGGCCAACAGATTCCGGCGCAATTTGCGCAGGGTGGCACTGCCACAGCGGATTGGATCGACTACCATGCACCGTTCAACCCCCGAGGAGATGGTTATAATGATGCTGGAGGCAGCTCGACAGGCGGTGGCGCATCCATCGCTGCATACGATTGGCTTGACTTGGCCGTTGGAACAGACACTGGTGGAAGTATCCGCGGTCCTGCAGCCGAGGGCGGAGTCTTTGGCAACCGACCAAGCTGGGGAAGCGTGTCGGCGGACGGTTGCATGCCCCTATCTCCAACGATGGACACCATTGGCTTTCTCACTAGAGATCCCACGCTCTGGGATGCGGCTCAGGCGGCGTTGTATCAGAGCAAATATACCTCCTACGCCGGTGAAACGGCGATAAAGTGGCCGAAGAAGATTTACAACATTGGCGGTTGGCCGGATCCAGCTGATCCCACACCGCTTGACGACCTAACGCAGACTCTTGTGGACATTAGAAGCAAGATTGTTGAGTTGACTGGCTCAGAGCTCCATGTGACTGAGATTGCAGATGAATGGACCAAAACGAGACCCAAGGCTGCCCAGAATGCTAGTATAAACGAAGTCCTTGATCGTGTGTACGCCATCAAGATAGAGAAAGATGTTGTACGGCTGGTTCGAGAACCATTTTATGCCGATTATAGCGGTAAGTCAAGAAACCGGGTTTATGCTCCTCCCTAATAGAAAATAGTCGATTAACACATTCACACAGCAAAACACGACGGTGCTCTTCCCGCTGTCGATCCGGCCAACACCAACCGATGGGACTTTGCCGACCAGACACCAGACTCGGAACTTGTCGCCGCCGAGACCAACAGAACCATGTTCCGGGACTGGCCGCAGTCAGAGTTGCTGATGACAGACAGCGACACTTGCTCCTCAGCGATTATCATCTACGCGACAGTTCTCGCCGATCCCGTGCCGCGTAACGTCTACCTGAGCCCACCCAAGGTGAACCCCATATTCTCCCTGTCTCGTATAGCACCGTTTGCAGAAGTTCCAGACTTTGCGATTCCAGTGGGGGAGTTTGAGGCGAACAGTACCATTACGAATCATACACAGATGCTGCCTTTGGGGTTGGGCATCATGGTGGCCAAAGGTTGCGATGGAGTGTTGACGAGACTGGCACAGGATATGGTGAAGAGCGGCATCATTGGGAATTACAAGGCTGGTGGGACAATGGAAGGCGGAGAGGTGCTGTTTAAGTGAGGGGGGTATATTGGCACAATTTAATCAAGAAGAGCCAAGAGGCTTAATGTATAATGCTAAGTCCTGAAATACTAATTGATATATATATCTCTATTTAATAGCCAGTTGGAGTTGCTACAGAACCACCAGCAGACCAAGCGCACAATCCCACATCAGCATTTTCCAGAAAATTAATCCTTGACTGCGGTTCAGCGTGCGCCCATGTCGTGATATCAGTTGGAGTGACCGAATCTGCAAAGTTGAGCATTCAACATGTCAAGAGTCATGTCGAAGAAAATATTCTGTCGATGAGTCTGTATCACTAGCGTCAGGGTTGATCGTGGCGTTTCTTCCAACATTTTGTGCAATTGATTCATCAAGGTCAATATGCCATCGCTGTTCCAACAAGCCGCCTTTGAGCTCAACCGGTGTTCCGCCGGCCCGGTTAGCTCAATCGGTAGAGCGTGAGACTCTTAAGAGGCACACGATCTAATGTCGCGATATCTCCATATCTCAAGGTTGCGGGTTCGACCCCCGCATTGGGCTTTTCCTATACAAGCACCTGGTTGAGAGTTCAAGGTGGTTATCATTTTTTTTGCTGAATTTCTATGACTTTTTTATTTGGACTGTTTTATTCCATCTGCTGTGTGTCTGCCATGCTTACTTAGTTCTCTGTTTAACCTAATCTCGTGGGAGAAGGTTTGGTCTTGTACTACTTACTTCACATTCCCTCTTCCTCATACGGTATTATAGCGTGGCGCAGGTGATCACCATTCATTAATCATTTCTTCTTCCATGACCCCAAACAGCTTTTCAGCCAGTTCCTAACTTTGGACTGTCTCAGCTTGGTAGGTTGAGTATTAACAACAGTATCCAGCGATGTCGGGGTGATTTCTAGATGTTCATCGAGATCCAGCAGTGTTGGAATGACTGCTTGGCTCTCATCAACATTCGCGCCTGGTGCCCCCTCAAGCCAGCCTGGAAATGGTATGTCGGGAAGGGAAGTACCTGTGATACAATGCCCTTCTCCACTCCTCTCTAGTGCAAATGTTGAGACGCCCTCCGCGTTGAATCAAGACGGAAGTGCCTGGGTAAAGGTGGCGGCGGACGTCGAACCTTTGGGTGCTCTTCACCCAGCAGTCAAGCGGCGTCAGATTATTCGAAGTAAGTCCATTAGGGTCGGCGCCTTTGTCCAAGAGATACTCTGCAAGTCGAAGGTGAGTAGATATGTGAAGCGCCTGGATAGTAGCCCCTTGCCCGTGGGACAGCATCGCTTGGTGAAAATGATTGCTGGTAATACCCAAACCGGTAGTATTCATGCTGACTTCAATATTGGCCCCTGGCTCAAAGAAGACAGCCATGACCCTCTGGAAGAGGTCTATAGCCATAATGGTCGGAGTGGTCGGGGTGGTCCATAGATCAATATGTTGTATCCGATCCATCAACATGAGTAATCCAAAGTGACTTGCGCGGATTTGCAGCCCTTGAGATACCATATCTTGAAGAAATTCCATTGCGCTGTCTGTATCGAATATCCCCCGCTCAATCATATGCAAGAGAATGAGAAATATCAGCGCTGTTCTCGTCTCCTTATCATGCTTCAGGGTGTCTTGTAGATGCAACTTGAGCTCGCAGGCCAGCGCCATTTCCAGTGTCGTGTAGCGCACGTTCGTCATATACTCTGGAAAAGCCTTGTTTACCAGCGTTCCTGTCCATTTGACGCCTGTGAAGGAGAAATATGTGCTGTTCCCTGTTGTTGACTCTGCTTCCCGTGCATAATATGAGAACATCTCAGACACTGGTATGTTGATGCCGTCATCAGAGCAGGATGCCCCCCGTACAGCTTCATATTTTGAAAGAATTGTATAACCATTTTCCTTTACAATGCGATATCGTTCTCCAAGTATAATGCATTTGAATTCGGGAAATTGTATAAACTCAGCCAGAGTTTGATGCAGCAGCTGAAGCTCGTCAATATCAGTAGTTTCGACCAAGCCACCCGAGTGCGTTCTCAAGTGCTCTTTAGTATAGACGCTCGCGCCACTCTGGTCCATCTCTAACATTCGCGGGTATATATCATTGACATCTTGAATATTGGTGCATAACAAGATTTTGAACATCTCCTTGAGATGAATTGGCTTTGCTGACTTGCTGACTACCTCAAGCAAGCAAAAGGCCTCCCAGCGGTATGAATGTGGTATCCTTTCAATAATAGTCTTGTAGTACTGCTCTAGGTCTGTGGGCAGCGACTTAAGGATATCCACGAGCGCTGCATGAAGATCCTCAAAAGCGATGCCGGAAGTGGTCAATCTAGCAGCGTTGTCCAAGAGATCGTTTAGCACAAGTTTAACCCATAGGAAGACGCCTCTCGCCTGGTTGACAATCTCTTCGACCAACTGTAATATCTCTTCATAACCTGGAATTTCGGGATGTATTGTATGTAAACAAAGCTCTCGAGTGTCATTTTTAGTATAGTCATGAATTTGAATGCTGGGACTGTGTCCGAAAGCGTCAATAAACGGCTGCCAAGGTCGGCTTGAGAAAAGAATCTTCAGTCTAGTACGGCTACAGGTACTTTCATTTGAAGCAATTTTTTTAATGAGTTGGCAGATGAATTCTGGCGGGCCGTCATGTTCGTCTAAAGCATCGATAAACATGCAAAGATCCAAGTCAATCAGCTGTTGATTAGTAACGAGACTGATTGCTCGATTGAGATGCTCGAGATTCCAATTTACCGTTTCAATACGACTCCGTTCCGCTTTTCGACACGAAAATCTCCTCTCAATCTGATTAATCAATTTCTCCAGCTCAACTGTTTTATTTTTTTTTAATATTCCATTTATCTGACCTTCGGGCCATCAAATGGTTTCTGAAGTTTGATAACTGCAATTTTATGTCGATAGCCACAAGCCATTTTTTGACCAAAAGGATGAACTCTTGGTTCCTTGTCCACGGTTTTTGGATTGTAGAGAGAATATCTTCCAAGGCAGGAAGACGACTGGGCTTGTCGGTCATGTTCTCATTGCGCACTGCCAACAGAGTATCTCGAAGGGGATAGACCTGGTTCAGAAGGTCTTCATCGCTGTCTGTGGCACCGATGGATAGCAGGGGTTGGACAACCATCCTACGAAAGGCCTTCAGAGGGGTCTCACAACTTAACACCTTATGAAGCTGCGTCAAGGTCTCATTATTTGGAGTAACTTTGAAGAATGCAACCAAAGCTTCCAGGTCATGAGAAAGGCTTCCAAGATTGTTTGCATGAACAGCAGCTTGGTATGTTTGTGTAAGATGCGATCGGATAGCCAGGAATGACTGAGGGGCTTGTTTGAGAACCTGGCTCAAGATTCCGCGGTGGAGACCTTCAAGAGACTTTTGGATCGCTGTACCGCGATGGTGGAAGAAGAATGATGCGTGGACAAAATTAGCACTGCGGCGCCATATACGCAGGTAATCCGCTGTGAGCGGGTTGTTGTGAAGGTACTTCATGAATGTTGATTTGCCAGACGCTGGCTTCCCCGATATCCAGAACAGTTTTTCATCATTCTGCAGCCAGTTGGTTAAGCCAACAGATGATTTCTCAAAAGCCCATACGAAGGAGTGACCAGCTGCTACGTCAATCTGCGCCAGTCGGCTGTCGGCTTCCGGGACGTGAATTGCCTGCGTGATAGCTATAAAATATCGATTCGATTAGCATTCTCTACATATAAAATAAGAGTATATACCTACAGCGGATGTCCCAGAAATCCGGGTCCACAGCAGGATCGACATGATTCACAAAGGTCTGGGTTAGTTGGCTGTCAATATTGAAGGCTGCCGTGTTTTCAATAGGATGGCTCGCTTGCTTCCTCATCAGCGTCTTCAATACCATCCTTGAGCATGCCTTGAAGCTTACAGGCAATACGATGAATAACCTCGCTTCCTAGGGATAACTTGACCATATCCGAGTGGTTAGCGTTGATTTGTATGGTCGAACCCGGTTCGGAGATGCAGCGTTGACTTGTTGCAGAGAGCGGAGAGACGAAAACAGTTCCAGGTCCACATCTCTTGTACTTTCCATCGACTGGCTATAACTGCACTTAGCATGATGTTTTCTTCACAGGAATGAAAGATGGCGGAGACATACTATTACTGTTGGCGTTATATCTGTCTCGTACGCCCAGAGCAGTTTCATCTTTTGAAGATGAGAGATGCCCGAGAATTGCTCCTCCAATACCCTGACGAAGGGCGATTCATTCGATATTTCTTTAACGAGAGCATCTTTGTTTGGCTGACCCTGCAGCATGATCTGTAGATCCGAGACATCTAATCCTTGACTTGGAACTCCAAAGAAGATCGCTCCTCGAGTACGATTCAGGATTAATTCGTCCCTTACATCGCTATCGGCCAACATTCGGAAAGCCTCCTTCAAAACTATGCCTCCAAGGCTATGGGCGAAGAAAATGAGCTTTCTGGGACCAGGATCGGCCCATCCTCCTTGATGAAGAGTTTGGATGAGGCTCAGTGCAATATCAAGCACTTTTTGAAACGACTTGCTTCCAGCTAACTTCGTATCGTATCCATACAAAATAAACCTAACTTTTGGAATAAGTTGGGGGAGGGCGTCTCGAATCCACATAAACGACTTGTCCTTGCCATGTGGCTGCCATGAGCCCATGGGGTGACTCGCAAGGCCGGACATCACGATGCAGCTATACGTATGTTTGTGTCAGTTGGACCCTTGTGTAACAGGGTTAAAGATTGCTACATTTTGTGCTTCAAAACTAACGTACTCATAGTGATGTTCGTGTTCCGGGACGTCATTGAGAGGCGATAATCCGATAAAGGTATCATCTAGGAGAAGTGGTGCAGCCCAAGTAGGATCCCGCAGTGGCCATTCACCTGCGTCCGGATCCCTGCTGACAGCGTCCGGAAGCCTCTTAAAGGATAGAGTCGCGGTCTTGGTACGTTTACTGACCCATCTTTCACAGCCGAGAGCCAGAGAGGCTACACTGACGTCTCCCTGATCACCGTTGGCGATAAATCTGCTGAGAAGAAGGGCTACTCCAAGTCGATCCAGGTGCTCAGGAATACCCCGCAGGCGATAGACTTTGCTCTCCACGGAAGACATTTCTTCTACCAGCAAGACATGTGCCTCTTATTTGTCTCTAACTCTGGCCAGACACCGATAAAGTCGTCTCGCCTGGGCGATGCCCAACGGCTTCAGATCAGCTTCAGTTGGACACTACGCATATGTTTGTAATGGCATGGCCTTGATGCGGCTGAATATGCATGGATCCATCGCTAAGGATCAGGCGGCGGTTAATATGCATCTTCCACTGGGCCACACGAACCCTGTCATTCATGGTGCCCAGCAGTCGCCGAATCAATACAGTAGATACGTTACATGTAGCATACATATCACAGTGCTAAAATACATGTATCTTCTCCCGAGGCTCCAGCCTCTTTTTGCTCTGTTAACGTTTGTTTACAAACGTATCGATATCTACATCTCACGCTCGATCTCGAGCTTGTTTTAATAGACTACAAGCCTCTATCATCGACATTAAATGGCTTCACCAAAGGGATAAGCGGCTCAATATGGGGAATCCCTGAAACCTGGCGCTACCAAATTTATGAAAGCGTCTGGTCATCATGGGACTAATTGACGTGTTCTCTTTAGGGTGAATTTGCACTGACTTGGGTTTACTAACGGACCCTAGGTATAGATTGTTAGCTTAGCTCGTTGTTCTCTTCTCTGCTGTGCTCTGCTTACTTTGCGTAGAGTGGTCATGTTGTCGTTACATATGCTCCATTCGAGTTCGCTGAATAGCTCATATAGGACAATCTTGAGCTGCATTAGTGCAAAAGAGACTCCCAGGCAGGTCCTTGAACGTGTCGAGAAAGGAATAAACATTGCCTTCGCTTGCTGGACCCGGAACATGCCATAAATACTCGAGACGTCTTTTCCCCATCTGTTGGGACGGAATTCAAGGGCATCCGATCCCCAGATCTGCGTATCAGTGTGGACTGCATATGCATTCCATCCAATCCATATACCGGCGGGAAGGCTGATGTTGCCCCCTAGAAGGACTGGACGGGTTGTGTAGCGGTTCGTGAGCGAGGGAAAAGGCGGATGGAGACGCAAAGTCTCTAAAATAACCGCTAGAAGAAGGGGAAGCTTGTCCAAATCTTCGAAACTGTATTGGACCGGCACAGAAGAAGACATTTCGGCGCGTAATGCAGATTGAATCTGGGGGTTCTTTGCTAATAACATAACGGTGGACAGAAGGACTGATTCGACTTCCTCGAAGCCAGCAAGAAGTAACTGCTTCATATTGGAGCGATAATGAAAATCTGAAATCGCTCCGTCTTCCAGAGCAACGTTTAGGCGATTTCTTATTAAGTTGCCATCGGCGCTGGACGTATCGTCTGCTTTTAGCTTGGAAATTTCGAGAACGACTTCCTCAAATTCCTTGACCAAGCGAAATGCTCGACGATTTGACGGAAATAACCAAGGAAACCGTTGCAAGATAGGGAAGACCATAGTAATCCCCCCCATAAGGCCCTTCTTTTGGTCTGTTAGGACCCGAGCCAGTCGATTGGCAATATCAGGTACATTCTCTAAATTGATGCCCATAAAGTATTTGGAACAAATAGAGAGTGCCCAATGCTGCACATGATTGTCAATGTCGATCTCAATTACGCAGCCTTTATCCTGCACCTCGTGCTGTTGCCACAAATTGGCCCGTAACTCTGAAGATGTCTGCTTCATGTACGCAATGTCAAACTGTCTTTTGATCGCTGGCTGCAGAATCTTTCTTTGTTTCTTCCACACCTGGCCAGTTGTATCAATGATATTCTCCCCAAATAATTGGGCTAGAGGGCCCCACGGGACTCTCGCATATGAGCCACCCTTCGCGAACGTAGTGTCGTCGCAGAACATCTGCATTAGATACTCCGGCTTTGTGATGTGGACACTCCATTTGCCAAGATGCCAGATAATAACCGCGCCGTGTTTTTCTGCTAGCCTGCGTACATATTTATTATAAAAGCTGACTCTTGAGGTACCGTAAAAGGTGTCATAAAGTGTGATCCAGATTGGAATTCTGGGGATATTTCTAGGGAGCTTGTATGGATAGCAGGTGGCATATAGAATAAGAAAAATGGCGCCAATGGCAAGGATATAGATACCCATGATAGAAGTTAAGAAGTAAGACTTCATTAAAGAAGCAAGGACAATACAGTAACTGTTTTAAGTAGAATATAGCCCAAGTTGGCTACTTATACTGGTAGTTCGTAATGCCGTTGAGTTACTACATATGTATTTACATAACGCACGTAAGCCTGCTGCATATATTAGTGATAAGTGTTGGCCCCCTTTTTCCTTGACCCCGGTTCTTTCTGCGGATGGCAACGTAGTGGTGAAGTCATATCAGAGTGTACGTGTTGTGATATGGGAGCTTAAGGCTAAGATCGGAGCGACTCCATAGCCCGGTGGCAGTCGAGATTTGCTTTCTCCCTTCGATGAGGTCAAGGAAAGGGCAGAGTTGTGTCGGTCTGAGTAATACACCCTTGTAAAGGTAGTAGTGCTAAACGTAGCGTCATATCTAGGTTCATTTCATTGAGGTCATCTGGGATGGCGATGTGCCGAAGTGAGACATTAGGATGGCGACGTGCCGAGTACGGCAAGGGATGCCCCCAGTCCTATAGAGAACCGGTCACTGCAACCCAAAGCAAGCTCATTATGGACGGAATCTGACCCATCGATAGAGACATGGTCAAATACTTTTAACATAATGACATAGTACTGAGACCTGACATATACCGTGACATGCTATGCATAGTAATCTTGAGACACAGAATAATGGGTGAGCATTCATTACTAAGAAAACATGAAGATACTGGAAGGCTCATATTTCCATGTGGTGGAAATTATAAGTATTTAAAGGCTACCAGAAAATGGATGAGAATATTGGCTAGAAAACATCGTCAAGTTGCATCTTCGCGCATTCACCATCTCAAAATAGAGGGGATTTCTGAACTTGACATACAGACTTTTGGACTCGCTTTTTTCCAGTCACCTTATCGGATTTGAACGATCATATAGACAAAAGATGGCTCCGCTCAAGATAATCGGCGCAGGCTTTGGCCGAACAGGCACACTGAGTCTTTGCTATGCCTTGGATATGCTTGGGTAAGCCTGTACCTTTTTTCTGAGCTCATACTAGCTAAGCTAATACTCATGAACCGACCCTTATCAACAGATATAACTGTCATCACATGGAAAAATTAATTCTCGACCCGTCGCAAGACCCTGAGGCTTTTGAAGCTGCCTATCACACCCGAACTGCAGACTGGGATAAGATCTTTGCCAACTATGACGCAGCAGTGGACTGGCCATCTGCTGAGTTTTGGCCTGAGCTATTGAAGCAGTACCCGGATGCCAAGGTGATTCTTACCGTGCGTGATCCAAACGATTGGTACGCTTCTGTCGGCAAAACGATCAAAGAATGGCCGATGGACTCTACCATCCGATGGCCAGAGCGTATGCTAAAGACCAGAGCCATGGCACGTGTCATTGTCAAGGAGGGAGCTCTAAAGGACTACACAGATAAGAATTTGATGATTTCCAAGTTTAAGGAAAATATTGAGCGCGCCAAGGCGACGGTTCCAGATAATCAGCTTCTGATTTTCCGACCAAGTGAGGGCTGGGGTCCTCTTTGCAGGTTCTTGGGCATTCCTGAGCCAGAGGCTGAGTTCCCCAGGTGCAATCGCCGCGAAGATTTTGTAGACAGATTGCGCTGGGTGAGAGAGTCCCTGGAGAATGGCAAGTTTCTTTCAGCCATGTAAGTGGTTCCAAAAGAATCCTGTGGATGATGAAGTGACACGAATGAATTTAACTTGTGGATTAGGCCATACAGAGGGGACATTATCAATGTGAGTTCAAACTAATGAAGTCGGTTACAATCGAACGCGGAGTATGGTGTTTCAAGTGTGTATCTGGATGACGCTCTGGGAGGATTCAACATCCGCACTGTTTACATATATGGCAATTCCAATATAGCATATAAATCCATAACAGTCTTAACGCAAATTAATTAAGCATGAGCTGAATTATGCTCACTCTAACTGCCGTCTAAAGTCACCATGACTTCTTAGCTCTACTCTCATATGTCTCGGCGGCGCCTTCAAACATGACACGGATGCCCATCCGGATACTAGTATCTGACTACGGTGTATAAATGGGGATAAATAAATGTCGAGAGAGTCATCCATTAATCATGTAATTCGTTGGCAGCGTCGGCAATGGCCTTGATTCGAATGTCAAGCGATGCCAATTCTTCAGCAAATAACATCTCTTCCCACATAAACGTCGACGCGAATAAGCATCCCCATATGTGATTACCATATTCAACATGAACTTCACTTTATGATAGTGACCAGGTAGCATCCGATATTATCTAATTAACAAGGTATACATGTGGAAACACACATGTTATGCTTTGGTGGCAGTGATGCGCGCACCACCCAACTGACGGCTAGAAAACAACGCATCAACAGTATCGTAGAATAGAGTAAGGGGCGCATCGGTTGTCCCTTTTTGGCGGTTGTTGACTGCCCGTTCGTGGACAAACTCGGTCCACTCCTCTGACATGTCCTCAAATTGAACGTCATGGAAGCCGGCATTTGTCAGGTCGCTTATATACTGATCCCGGCTCGGTAGGTAAGGGCAAGATAGCACGTCGCGTAATTGGCCTCCAGCGTCTTTACTGAATGCTGTCTGAGCAAAGAAGTCCTCAATGTAGATTTTACCTCCCGACTTGAGCGTGCTGGCTGCTTTTTGGAACAATATGTCTCTGTCGGGGATGTGCAGAATGCACAGGAATGAGACAATGTAGTCGACAGGAATATCCAGAGTTAGCTTTGTAAAGTCAGCGTTGACTGAGCGTACACTTTCAGAGACACCATTTCTTTTGGTAATGATTTCAGCGAGCTGGTGAATCTCGGGCTGCAGTTCGATGCCCGTGACATCAACGCCGTAATGCTTGTGCAAATAGCGGCCAGTGGCACTGAAGCCGGCGCCAATGTCGACGACAGTTTGCCCCTGTTGCATCCCTAACGTCTGGCCTGCATTCTCCAAGGCAGTATTGCCTAAGTAGTGCATGCAATCGAAATCCGCCGTGTCGTCGAGGTCCCATGTGGGTTTGCCTTGTAGCGCATCTAGACGTCGGTTGGCTCTCTCCAAGTTATACAAGGCCATGTCGCCAACAGGCTTGTTGACATTGTTGATATCGCCCATTTTGTATATATCCGGTGAGTCCGCTCTAACAATAGGAGATGTATCTAGAATGTCTGCTGGTAAGACTTGGGTCACTATGCCTGGCTGGACTTGAGGGTACATAGTCTTACACGATCTGTAGCGTCGATACCCACGGTCTCTCAAGACCTCCGTGATTGTATTATAGAGAAACTACCGTGAAGAGATGAGTGAAAACAGCAAGTAAAGGCAAGTGGTGATTTTAAGCAAAGCAAACGGTATGGTGTCGTGGAATCGTGATTGGAGTATGTTGGTGATGGAGGCAGGCTTAGGTACATGTAGCTGGGAAGTACAACAGGATTGAAGGATGCATGTATATATGTCGGAATTCAGTGAGTAAAGAGAGAGATGAATGGAACATGCCCCTCTTTCAGGTCGTTATCTACTACCTGGGCATTAATGCAGATGCAAAATCTTATATAGATGTCGGTGAGTTAGCCCAAAGTATAAATCTCAAGACAGATTAAACAGAGCTCGAGTGTATTCACGCATACATACATAGGTACAGTATGATGACACCCAGTGCGGCCCGGCTTTGCGCTGTCAGGCCCACACGGGGATGCAAGGGGGACGGGCCTAAAAGTGCCGAAAAGCTGCAGCTAAAATTATCCCAGTTTTCAGCTGTATGTTAGTAGTTGTGTAGGTATGTACATACGTATACTCCGTAAGGCGCCTCAGCATTGGCATATCAAAGAAGAAACAAGCAGAGGCAAAGAGTTCAATTCGGAATCGCCGGGATACCATCGCCTTGATGACTCCAATGTACGGGTTCTCATCATAGTAACAAACTTAAACAACATATTATGTGATGCGCCAAGCTTGGGAATCGGAAATGGCCATCGGCAGTGGCTTCTCCCTGTTACACATGTCAGCTGAAAAGATGCAGCATCCCCTTTCTGGCCAGGCATGTGATGAGAAGAATAGGCTGCGGTTTTCGCCAATGTCGGTGAGAGGCGAGGTTGTCCTTGACAACTCACTCAGCATTGCGATTCTTCTTCTTTCTCTTCTGGATCGGAGATTCCCTACGTAGGACACTGTCTATGCCCGGAGAATAAAAAAAAATAAGAATACATGTAGATATAGGGCTTATTCTCCCTTGAACTGTGCGATTGGTCGAATTGCGTATGAGCTGTAATATTTGAGTAAGCTACGTAGCTGAAACAGCCTCGTGACGTGTAAGCTACCTTATCAAGAGGCATGCCTTACATTTTACTCAAGGTACCTAGGTATGCAAGCTTCCAATCACTGATGACTCGGGGCTAAGGGAGATGGATGGTTGTATATTCGCACTGATAGAAGGAGAAAACATCAAAGGAAGGCAAAATAATAGAATGGATATCGTACCGAGATATAAATTAAATTAAATAAAATAAAAAGGGAAAAAAAATTGAACCACCGTGATCTTTTAGCCAGGTGCTTGTTATAGGAAAAGCCCAATGCGGGGGTCGAACCCGCAACCTTGAGATATCGCGACATCAGAACGTGTGTCTCGTAAGAGTCTCACGCTCTACCGATTGAGCTAACCGGGCCGGTGATTAAGCGACCTGGCTAGTGCTCCAAGGTGGTTGCTACTTGTTGGAATCTAGCGATGCTATCTCGATTATAGATTCTTGCCATGACATGACTCGGTTTAGCACTGCCTACATGTACGATCCGTCCATTTCAGAATCGAAAATGGCCATACAATCAGCTTCACCATTCTCACAAACATCAGCCAAATATTGGGCAATTTTATTTTATTTCATCTGAGAGTCAGCGGAGAAATCTAAGAAAATTGCCTATGCACCCCTCGATCAAAGTTTGCACTGTTTGGTCAAAGAGGCCAATAGTCACAGAACTTCGGGCCACTAACCCAGCTTGATCAGGGAACAAATGCTATTCAAGCTGTGACCATCTTCAAGTCCTCACGAGGCACAACAGGAATCGTAATGGAGCTGGGAAACGAGACTCCAGTCAAGATGCGGTTCGTGGCCCCGGCATGGTATGATGCATCGTATTCGCGCTCCCATCCCGGTGGGCATCCAAGGGCCTCCACTGGCGAGATTTCGACGCGCAGCCGATGACCTTTCAGAACACGCCCGGTGGCCGGCATTATCTCGACATCAATCTTGACCACTCCTCCTGGGACGAGAGGCCGAGCATCCTCGCGCCGATGAGTGTGCCAGGGGCGCTCTGTCGTGCTGCGCTCAGGATCGGTTACTCGACGGGAGACTTTGAGGCATCCCCAGGTTAAAGGAGCGGCTGACCCAGTTTCGTACGTGCGATACGGAACCTCTCGCTCTCCATCCATGACACGCAGAGCAACAAAGACGTCAGCGTCAGACGTTGTGGACGACACCCACAACGTTGCCCGGAAGTGTCCCACCAATTCGAGGGCTTCCTCCAACGGAGCTGACTCGAAGCTGCCATGGGCATTGCCTTGTTTCCATCTTCTATATCAGCCGAATATTCAGCAACTCCTTCCTGGCTGGGCGCGCGAATAGAAGTGTGCCCAACACCCGCGTTTGTGGCATCCAGGAACAGCTCGCGATATTCAGTACTGGGGACAGGCCAGGTCGATGCAATCGCCACTGCCACCCTCCATCACCCGTTCGAAGCACCATGCGCACAGTTGGCGGCTCCTCGGCCAGTTTCTTCCCCTTGAGGTACTGGTCAAAGAAAGCCTCCAAGTCAGGCTGGAAGTCTTTGTACATGTTGCCAGAGTACACGGCATCCATGACCATGAGCCTTTTGACTCGTGAGGATAGACTCGAAAACGCTTCGAATCCGGAACGCGGGTGAATCGTGTTGGTCATGCTCACTGCCGTCAGGACGGGTATGTCGATGCTAGAGAAATTGGCAGACAGAGCCCCGTTACCGTAATAGTACTCGTCATCCCAAGGATGACTGCGGAGGCCACCGACATAATCTTCGACCTCAGTATTGGGGAGCTTGACGGGCAACACCAGTTCATTCCACCACCAGCGACGATAGCCCTCGAGGAAGATTCCACCAGGATATGCCAGATCACGGATATCTCCATCCGCAGAAATCGGAGCCATTGCCTTCAACGAGGGTGGATGCAGCGCGGCCACGTGCCACTGAGTTGTTGCGTTATACGAGGCGCCGTAGAGACCAACGTTGCCGTCGCTCCAAGGCTGCTTAGCCGCCCATCCAATAGCGTCATAGTAATCACGAGCCTCTTGCTTAGAATAGGGGCTCAGTTTGCCTGGGACATTGCCCACTCCACGCCCGTCCACCAATACAACAACATAGCCGCGTGGGACCCAGACAGAGGGACTGGCACTTGCCGCATTCTCAGACCACCTCCAGTATGGATGAAGATTGTCTCGATCTCCCTGAAACCAGGAATCTTCACGCTTCTCGCTTATCTCGCGGTCTTCGTCATTGGATATAGCTCCTATCCGAAACGCTCTTCCGTAGATACCAAGTCTCAACAGTACAGGATATCTTCCAGCATCAATAGGGTGAAAGACATCCGCAAGGAGGTAGCTGTTATCACGGGTGGGAACTCGAACATCTCTAAGGGCCTTGATACCTGCCTGAGCGCGTCGCAGATGGTTTCGAGCTTCTTCCACGCCTCGAAAACGGGTCCCGAGCTCGCTGAAGACGGCGCGGACGGCAGGGGATTGTTCGAAGGTCTCGATGTCGGAAGTGAACGAGATGCCATCTGCATGCCTGTTCACAATATCACGTACGGTATCATCGATTGACACGCCATTTCGGAGGTCTGTCTCAACTGCCAGGCTCTGGATGAAACGCGCTCGGTTGACCGTCTCTGGAAGTGCTAAGTCTGGATTTCCCAGCTCAGTGACACTATCGCGGAGTGCAGCAAGCGTCAATGAACCGCCAAGCGCGGAGCCAATAGACAGATTGCCGATCGAAAAGCTCACGATTTCGCCAGGTTGGTAGAAGAAACGTCCGTGCTCGTCAGTGACGCCTTGTTGGGACGCTGTCCGATATCCTAAGCCAACCAGCAGCCCATCGTCAAATCGGCCACTAAGAAGCTCGGGAAGTTTTGATTGAAGCCCGGCCATGGAATTTTCACGAGTTTGTACAGTTTCAAATAGTCGGTTTCCTGCGAATTATGCAAGTGAATTTTTTGAGGATAAGCGTGCAAGTGACGGGTTGTCCGGAAGCTTTTCACCAAGACCTTGACCCTGACAGCAGATGATTGTAGACGCCTCCATCATCATATCTATACCCATTTCGAACGTCCTTACCGACAATGATTCAGACCACTTTGATTGCCGAACGAATTGCCGCCGGATGACACACTGCCAAAGAGATGATACGCCGCTTGAGGATACGCCGCTCTCTAGCAATAGATGTACCGCGATGCCAAACGAGTCTCCCCGCCCGTGGGATAACAAGACTATGGCTCCTGTCATCAAGGGATTGTGTGACTATAAGACTTGTAATGCGAACTGCAATGGATCTCGAATTATCATCCGGATAAGAATAGCTGCCTACACCGCTCCCCCAATCGAAAATCTCAACTGGTTCTAAGATTTTTAACAAAAAAAGTCAAAGATGCATCTCATTACAGATTTCGCAGTCAAGGAGAAGTACAGTTATCATAAAGGGTTTGGAAATCACTTTCAGTCAGTCCAATACCCCTTGGAGGCACGGAAGGTGAATCAAGTTCTGATACTTAGAATACAGATCCGAAGCCGCTCCTGGTGCTGTTCCTGTTCCCAACAACCATCCTCAACGTCCTCCTCTTGGACTGCGCACGGAGAAAATGTCCGGGACGTCTTTAGTCGGCCCGCGATCTCACAACTTATACACATACATGTATCGCATCGAGTCCTCGCACGAGCATCACGAGTTCACTCAGTGGAACCACCATCTCGAATACGCCAATCCACCCCCGGCCAAGAACCTCACTCCAAATGCTGTGTCGTGGCCCACTGTTCCATGGCCAGAAAAGGGAGACTGGATCTCCCAGCGCTTGGTAGGCAGTAATGGCGACCCTCAGCAGAAGACGGGTCTATCCATCTGGTTCTTTAATGTTCATAAGGACATGGATCCGCAAACCGTCTTCAGCAGCCTGGATGGCGAGGCTCTTATTGTCCCGCAGTTCGGCTCGCTGGATATCACGACGGAGCTTGGCAAGATGCTAGTCAGGCACAACGAGATCGCCGTAATTCCGCGAGGCATCAGATATCGTGTGACGCTGCCTGATGGAAAGCCGTGCCGAGGGTACATCTGCGAGCTCTACCAGGGCCATTTCCGTCTGCCTGAACTCGGTATTATCGGGATGACTGGCCTGGCCAATTCCTATGACTTTCAGATACCAAAAGCATCTTTTGAGGGCCACGTTGAAAAGGGGCCGAATGGTGATCAAATTGCCGTCGCCAACGAGACGTCGGAATGGAATATTGTTTCTCGCCTGAACACAAAACTGTGGCGCTGTTCATAGCCTACGAGCCCTTTCAATGTCGTTGGCTGGCAGGGCACACTCTATCCTTACAAGTAAGATTTGGCGCGCGTCGACACCATCGCAAACATCCGCTACGGCCACGCCGATCCCTCCGTGTTTGTTGTTCTGACGGCTCCTTCGTTTGGCAAAGCCCCCGGCACTGCGGTGATTGACTTTGCCTGCGTCGGCCCCCGATGGCAAGTTGCCGAAGGCACGTACCCGCTGCCCTGGTTCCATCGTAACACGATGCAGGAGTTTGTTCTCGGCATCATCGATGACCAGCGCCTTGATACTCCGCTCAACGACCCCAAAGCCGACTTTAGCCCCTTTGCAGCCTTTCTCAACGGGACAATGGTGACACATGGGCCTGATGAGAAGCATTACCAGGCGATGAAGGCATCGGACACTACTAAACCGGTCATGGTACAGAATGATGGCCTCACTTTCGGTCTCTTTGAGTTTGAGTGTCCCCTTTATTTGACGGATTGGGCTATGGAGTCGGCGAAGCAGAACTCCAAGAAGCAGTTTTCAGGTCAATTCGCTGAGACTAAGTAGCGAGATGAGAAATAAGACAATTGCATATGCCAATAGAATTTCTAGATTGAATCAACAACCTTTCAGTAGCTTGTGCCATATAACTTCTAGCATCAGCAGTGTTCTAGCTTGCCTTGATCAGGTCTTGACATCCATACAAATAGTAACAAGACTTGATTCAGCTTTACGTATCTCTATGGGATTGTAGATGTACCTGATACAGCTTCCCCTTATACAATGGCAGAGCACCTATTCCTATGGTCGCAAATACAGCCAAAGGTTAAGCCCTTGCGTATCCACGGACGACAAAATCCTATGAATCAGAAATCCCTCCGCAAATCTTTTTATCCAAGAGATATTTCACCGTGTTAAAATGAATGTGATGGGCTGCAAAGCCACTCCGTTGACGAAAAAAAACATGTAATTATCCAGGATGTTACAGTTTGGCGCGAAGGGATCAGGGGCGATGTGCTTGACCGTCGCTGCAGAGGTCGAGGCCCGCGCATGAGTGTGATTTGGACTGCAGCCAAATGTCCAACCGGGCTCAGGAGTCTAAACTAAGGTTGTAATAGCATCATATCTTTCTTCTCGAAGTCGGGTCATCGTGTTTTGCGTGCGTATGCAGCCTCGGTCGTCGGGCGTTCGGTGGCCATGGTATGGAGAGGGAGGAAAGGTTCGATCAAGGGGAAAGGCGTCACCCACCGCCAGACGCAAAATTACCTAGATATCGGTGTTGGGAATCTTTCGACCATCACGGTAACAACATTATGTCCATGACAAATCCTGAGTGGTGACAGCCTTGTGGCTGTTGTTACTGGAGCACGAGTTTGTCACTGTTACATCCCAAGACGGCCCGTCTAAAGATGGTCCGCCCGACACTAGAGAGGACCTGAACACATCAGTTTGAGTTGGAGATGGACTCTGTTTGCCCGACAAAGCACTTGGATACTCCGCCCGAACTGCAACACGGCTTGTGAACGGCGTCTCTGGCCACGACATCAACGATCCCAACATCAATCGCCACCCCGCCCTCGGATACGCGTGATGTCTGAATACCGCCGCACTCGTTCGATATCCTCGACGCCCAAGGGCTGCCTCTGCTTGACAACAACCAACATAATCTCCAAACGCAGTCACCTTTATGAATGAATGTTGAGTTCGCTGGATATTTGAATACATTAATGGCTAATCATTAAAATTCTAGTCTTGATCCGATAATCTGTCTCATCCCATTTAGATACGTCGACGACTCAGCTTTTCGATGCCATACGCTATGGGAGACCCGTGCAGGTGTTCTACTCGGCCGATTTCGACTTAAAACGAACGAGACGATTGAATAAGACGATCAGACGAGACAATGGCACTGCTCTAAACGCCAATCAAGGATATCTAAGAGAAAGGAGGGGTTGTTTGTCGAGAACTATACGAGAGTAAACCTTATTTGATGTTTCATCATTCATGGCAATTAGTCTGGAAGCCCTCATGCTAAAATTGCAAGAGGATAGCTGTACAGCAAGGCGAACCGAACCACACATGTTCCAATTTGAATAGATAAGGAATCACAAATTAAAATGCATTAAAGCCTTCTGACCAGATCCAATTCGAGTCTTTGGTGATATAGTCAAAGCTATCAGTACCATCTTGAACAATAACATCTCCCCCAATGCTGAATTGTGCGCTAGGTTCCTGATACAGAGCGAGAGCGGGATCTACCAGCCCTTCTGAATGGTCGATTGATGTCACCTCCTTCAGAGACAGGGCATTGATGTGGTCCGGAAAGAACAAGATGCGTGACACGATCCAATGGTCGTCGTCACCCGGTTTGCTGTCTGCCCACTGCAGATCAGTCAACTTCTTTTCGTATCGCCGGAAAGAGTCTGTATGTCGCTCGTCAGTATACATCTCCGTTACATCTATATTCCGTTGCAACCTACTCAAGACGAATTGGCCAAGGCCCGAGAACTCTGCAAATCGCTCCAAGGTCATGGTCAAGATCTGCAAGGAAAGCGACGCCCTCTCTGCCAGTTCTGGATCGGCTCGAGTGAATAACTTGACGAGCAATTGGAGGCATGTGGGAACCCATAGAACAGAGGCAAGGTAAGGACAGGAGCGTGGCACATCGTCGGCCGATGAATCTCGAAGGATGGAGCAAACGGTCTCGGATGCGAACAGCGCCCGAGAAAATGCTTTGGCCTCGGGCGATGTGCCATTGTCGTTGCCCTGTCGTCGCTGGCGGGACAAATCGCGACAGATGTTAAAGATGTCAGAGGGTGTTGCATGTTTGAAACATCGAATCTTGTTAGAGGTGGCAAAGACACTACATTCTGGTCAGTGATGTGAAACTTCTGAGACAAGACAGGTCGAGACTTGCGATTCGAGCAATAAACGTAGATGAAAGTGATCGGTCGAGATCTTAAAGTGCCCGGCATCTCTCGTCTTCGATTCCATAGGCATGTTCTGTTTGTAAAAAGTAGCACACTCTTGGATTTTCGTGAGAATGTCGTTTGATTCAAGAGCATCGTCATGATTCATAGCCTCCTCGAGCATCTTTGCGCCAAGATGCATTGTTCTGATCCGGTATGCCAAGACAGAGAGTTGAGGTTGTACTGTCAGAGATGCTCGCAAATCGTCCAGGCCCGCTGGTAGGAAATCCGACGGGCTGTGACGCCCTTGGAACCAGTCCTTGTCGTCACATGGAAGCATCGTTCTGCATTTTCCCCAATCAATCATGCGTGGCCTGTCTTTCGTCACACAGATGAAGTTCTCCAGATACGCAATGACCCACCAGGTGCGCCGCAGCTCCTCTTTCTTGGCCCATATGGATTTGCAAGGATCTGAATCGCTGTCTCTCGACGTGAACATTGTTTCGTCGTTGTAGTCGACTTGATCCAGGCCGCAGTCATGGGCCAGTTGCACTGTGGTTGACAGCAAGGAATACGTCCGACCACTAAGTCCGATTCCCATCTGGGCAAAAGTAACAATGGCAGCAGCTTGTACCACCGTAATCGACGGCCTCTGCATCTCACCGCTTTCAAGCTCCAGCCTGTCCATTCTCGAGGTTTCATTCATGAGGAGCCGGTATGCCTGACTGAGAAAGCCTTGACCACGCTCCCACCGCTTTCGGCTCTTGTAGCGGATGTCATCTTGGCTGTCGTAGCTACCAGACGCTCGACGCAGCAGCATGCGGTCAAAAAGGTGAGTTTCAGGATGATCCGAATATCTCGCCGCCAAAGCAAATATGCTTGACAGGATGAGCGTTGCCTGCTCGTCCAACGCGTACGAGCCACTTTCAACCCGGCTGACAAAGCTCGGTTGGTGTGAAGGAGGCGGATCTGCGGATGAACGTAGTCAAAGAAGACATCTAACAGGTGAATGATGAGTGTTTTGGAAGGAAGAGGAGAGTCCTCTCTCGAAGAATTGCTCAACGGTCGCTGCAAAGGCACGGATTCGAGGGTTGTCGCTAATGCTGTAGCTTCGAGTGTGGGATCCAGGCTTGAAAAGGGATGAACCGTGTCTTCAGAGAAGGAAGATTGAGGCCAGCTCATCTGTCCCAGAGGATTTTGCGACCAACTTTCTTCCCATTCGCCATTGTCGCCGAGTGTTGAGCCCGAAGTTTCTGTTTCTTGGGGCGGCAGAGGGTCTAATTCGGTGGGTTAGAAGGTGTCGATAAAGTGATCAACTGCGCTCACCTTTTGATTTGTCGTTCGTAGGTGCTATTCTCTTGTAGCCCTTTCTCGGACCAGGCTTCTTTGTAAAGGCAGGGTAGATACAGGTTCCCATAGTTTGAGTGCATAGCAAACACTGCGGCTTCGTCCCGCTACCTAAAGGCACGTACGTAACACGAACATGAGCATGGATATGGATATGGATGCAACAACAATTCATTCTACGCCACAGAACATCAACTCACATCTCTTTTCCCTCCTGTATGCAGCAATAGGTTAGCTGGCAATGGCCCATCCATCACGCCAAGTAGAATCCAAAGCCGAATCAAGAAGGAAACTCACCGGCTGCAATTCTGACAGGCTCGGACCCGTTTGCTTTGGTGAGAGAGCATTTCCAGCAGTGGCTGAATTCAGTCGTTGGGCCACTGACACAGAAGCTCTATGCAATACGAATCGCACCACCCTTGATCTTTCGTCTGCAGCAAGCCGACATGTCCAAAATTAGGCACAAACAAACCCGACAAGATTCCGCCCAGGTACAGTCACTTGCTGGTATTACTGTCTCTCCCCTCGCTTAGTGCATTAGTCAGCGCGCGACACCACCCAAGATGTGCACAGCATGACGCCTGAATCCTACATAATCCAGTACCTGGGATGTACTATTAGTACCTGGCAGTAATGCAAATGTCGACAAAGAGTCGACTTCTGTTTCAGATGGATGTCCTCGCTCAACATGCTGAATTGATAAGGGCTAAGTATTCGTCCTATCGCAAGGTCATCGTGATTCTCAAGACACGTACCATCACGGATGAGCATTTACTTCTATGGACTCCATACCGCCGTTACTTACGTGCTAAACATGGGGGATCTAGGCGTGGCGCAGTGGTCGTGTATACTTCATGTCATATGATCAGGCTCGGATGCAAAACCTCTGCTGCCTTGAGAGATTATGGACCTGTCGACGGCTTATTTACCTGGGCAAAGGTGGTCGGCATAATACGTCTATAGACAGATAGACAGATATGATGGGAATATTGGTTCAATATGCCTCGCAAAGTACGATCCTTACTTCCCAGGGAGGCTTCATCTTCTGACCCATTTATCGGTATGCAGAGAGGCATCGTCAGGCGTTCAGCGAGAGGCTGTTCGACAAAGCCCTTCTACTAAGCGAAAAGAAAATTCTCGGCCGGATCAGGCCACCATGGGCCAAACAACCTTCCTACATGAGTAAAAAGATTACCTTTCCTCCGCGACCAGCTCCTTCGGCGTGTCCATATTGTGAGACAAGGACTCCAAGTGACGCCGCAGTCAACGACGCTATTCGACCGGGCTGGCGAGCTTACCGCGTCTCTGGAGGTATTGAGACAGCAAATCCATGGATCCCCACTGGTACAGGCCATTAAGATAGTCGTCGTTGAATGGGCGCACGTAGCATTCCTCGGGAAAACACGTTCAGTTGAACAATATCCATGGTCGCTCGGCCTGCCAGCCAGCGTACATGAGGCGCCAGAGATATGTCAAATCGACAAACTCGCGCGCTATCTGTTCCATTGCAAAGATCTCCTTCGTATCACCAGGAAAGGAGAATATGCAGATTTGTTTAGAGATTTCGATGTAATACATCTCGAAGCCTTTCCTGGCATCTCTCGGCCGGTTATCAAAGAAGATTGCCATGTCCACGCTGAGATACAACAAAGTCCTTCATTAAGAGAGTCCACATACTGATGTGCAAATTCGTCCGAAGCTCGATGTTTCATACCTAACCCTTTATGCCGGGAGTTTTACAGCTCTGAACCCGCACCCTCGGATACACTTCCGAAATAGCAGGGGGGCGAAGTCCATCCATGAATGGGTCAATGCCAAACACTTCAAATGTTGCTAGTGTCAGCTGCTTGGCAAGCTGCCTTAAACGGCAATTGCAGGTACAAGGAAAGGTGGTTAGCGCCGGCTAGCCTTGAAGTGTGTGCCACAGGTAACTACCTCTCTAAGGAACTGCTGGCCTGAATGTCGGGCCGTTTCGAGCTTCCAAAACAAATCAGGTGTCCCTGTAGAGCCGCCCTTATTCGTGCAAAAATCCTGCAATTCATGGACTCGTATGCCTACAGTAGAGCTCGTACGGCGGATATTATGCCTCCAGTAGATCGGGCTCTAAGGGGCTCTGTGCTGATCGGTTGGGCGCTGGCCATTCGGGAAACAATCTGGGGTAGACTTAGGAATCACAAGGGATCTGAGACTGCGTTGTGGTTGACTCAGTTTTGTCTACGAGTATATATAGGGAGTAAGGTTCCCTCTCAAGTGTTCTCGTTCGTACATCAACATCAATCATCCTCTTTTCACTTCTAGTTCATACTTTCTTACTATCGCCATGTTCTCTCACAAGTCTGAAAAGGCGCTTCTTGCGTTTGCTCTTTGTTTCTCCGCTGCTTCTGCCTTGAACCCATCCTGTGCTCCAGGAGGCAATTTCGACCTTAGCAGATTCGTACTTCAGTTGCCAAGCGGCACCACCAACAATCCGGACCAAATCCCCGCCTCAAAGCTCACGGGCTGTGGTGGCTATCAAGATCCTGGCCACCACTACTTCTTCACCGAGTCTGGTGATGGCGCCATGGTCATGAAGGCCCCAGGTGGAGGAAACTGTGCTACCTTCCCGGGTGCACCACGCTGCCGCTCCGAATTCGGCGAGACTCAATCGTGGAGTTCCTCAGCTGCAACCAACCGCTTGACGGCTGACCTCCTCGTCACAACCGGCAGCAGCATCTGCATTGGCCAGGTGTTCCAGTCAAACTCCAACAACAAGCCTCTCGTAAGTCTTGCGGGCAAACCACTACGCATCACCTATGTTGCTAACAAAACCAGGCTGAGGTTTACTACAACGGCAATGGCCAAATCACGGTCGGTGTTGAGTTTGTTGCAACTGGTGGTCAAGGCCAGGACTTGAACAAGATTGGCACTGTCACCCCTGGCAGCCGATTTACTTACGATTTGCGCTTCGAGAATGGCCAGCTCCAGTTCGGTCTCAACGGTGGAGCATTGAAGACCCTGAAGCAATATTTCAGCACTCCCCAGGCTTTCTTCAAGATGGGTAACTATAACCAAGGTGGCGACGACTCTGATATTCACGTTTTCGGCCTCACTGTTCAGCACTAGATATGTGCCGTTCAATAGATGAACCAGAGGTTACATGTAACTAAAGAAGCATCTCTTGCATTTACATGTATATATTATGTTACGGACCAGTCTTAGGTGACGTAACACATAAATAAGGCAGAGGATAATAGCACGTGTTTCGGGGTTCACTTATTGTATTAAACTGCAGCAGTCATTGAACTTGTATTGATATTCAAAAGTCTGGTTCGCTTTAGTTATACCAAAGACACTTTTTCCATCCAATTTAGTAGCCCCTGGCCGTGCTGGTCTCGATGTGCATGATGTCACGGCAAAAGTGATTAAAGGCGCTAGCGATCCATTCTTTGCTCCGTCAACTTATCCTCATATCTAATACTTCTAACACTACACCGCGGCACATGATAAAGGATACCTGCATATTGTGGCATATGCACAGATTACGGAAATATTCGGTCCAGCGCGGACGGACATTCCACATGTTGATACGAGATAGTGGTGCTGTGCTACTCCTGGTAGGCCTGTGTGCGGAAGATCTGCAGCATATCCAGTTTCAAAGAAACCTAGCCTCGTGGGCCGAACTTGGCGTCCTGCCTATTCCGGGGTAGGCGTTAGTAATGTACCTAGTAACATATCGCGCAAAGTTGCACTCACTGAAATGCCACCCAACCACCTTCCGCACGCGGGCGAAAAAGCAGATCTTGGTTCAATAGGTAGCTGTAAAGTTGCTATAATTACTCCGTAGCTGCTACATGATGATGCCATTGGTGGTAAGATCACGGCCCGTATGATTCCCGGGACCTCGTACGAGTAGGCGAGACATGCGAACAGGCAGGCCCCTGAGATTCTAGAAGTATTTGCCGAGAGGTGTTTTCCATGTTCCCACCGGAGGCTCCGTTGTCGTGGAGTGCCTGATTGATAACTGGAGCCTCTGGGTCGCTGGGTCGCTGGATGGACCAGCTGGTCCAGAAACGGATGCAAGGACTCAGGGGCAGGAAGTGGATGCGCGGAACAAGCCAGAACATGCTGATGATTTGGATTGTCCACATGTGTTTGAAGAAGCATGCCCGGCCAGCTCGCCTTGGGATACTTTGTGGTGATGGCTGCAGTGGGCCGGCTGGATGGTCCCAAGGGTTCCGCCTGATGCACAACTGCATCGCCAAAGACCTTCTCAATATTAAGTCGAGGCAAGGGTCTCTCAATGTCGGACGAGTATTCGACAGCACCCATAGCCTGGCACCTGAATCCTACATAGTCCAGTACATGTACCTAAGATATACTATCAGTAGGCAGTGATGCAATTGTCGACAAAGACTTGACTTTTGTTTCAGATGGATTCCCTCGCCCAACGGGCTTAATTGGTAAGGGCTAAGCATTACAATTTGCACTGTCATAATGGTATGCTGATTCTCACGACGCGCATCATCACGGATCAGCATTGACTTCGATCTAGCATCTTATGGCCACAAAATCCATGTACCTAGCTTGTCAACTTGTGTAGTCCACTCTTTACACTAATCGGATATGCATAGACCGGAGAACCAATCATCAAGAGCCTCAAAGATGCGGCTCCAATGTATATTCTCCTACGGAGAATATACTATATCTCTTTTGGTGCTTGAAAGTGGCCGTTGTTGATGATTAGAATTCACTTGCACGCCACTTCCACCGCTTATGAAGGCTGCTCTACTATCACCGATATTTCGAGACCGTTGGCAAAAGAGCGTGTTTTAACGCCGAAAGTACAACAAAGCGACCAAATGTTATATAGGTAGCTTCAATAACTGTCAGGTAAGATCCATCGTCTGTCTATTGACCTTCAAATCCTCGGCAACTTATTCCTCGGCTCCCCAAGAAATACCTGCATCATGGCATCAGAGTCAACTTTTGACTTTATCGTTGTAGGAGGTAAGGATAATGCCCAATCCAGGAAAAAAAAAACTTCATCATATGTACTGACAAGTAGTAATAGCTGGCACTGCAGGCTGTGTTATAGCCTCTCGCCTGGCCAAGACATCATCAGCGCCTCGCGTGCTTCTACTCGAGGCAGGCGAGGGGAGCGATGGGCTTGCTCACATGGTCCCTGGCCAAAGAGGTACATTCTGGTGCTCTGATGCAGCCGACAAGCTTAACTATAGATACAAAAGTGTTCCCGAAGCCGAGCTAGGCGGACGAGAAATTCAGATTGACCGTGGCCGCGGACTCGGTGGCTCGACGGCCATCAATATTCTCGGCTGGGACTACAGCAGCCGCGAAGAAATGGACGAATGGGCGAGACAAGTCGGAGATGTGACATGGAGTTGGGCAAAAACTAAAGAGGTGTTTAAGCAGGTACGAGTACAGTGTTCTCGACGGGTGTGGCGGAACTGGACTTTCACACCATGGGCGTGTAAGACTAACCCGTCCTCGATAGGTGGAAACACTGCACGATGATACACCTGCAGAGTTTCACGAATACATCTACTCTGAGCCAGAATCTCGCGGCACTGGGGGGTTAGAAACACCCCCCTTCAATAAGTGCGGCGAGCTCAGCTAACCTTAATCTACAGGCCTGTCCATGTATCTCTTCCTTCCACCTGGGCGCCTGGCTTGGAGCTCCTTCTCAGCGCGGCGAAGGAATACGGAGTAAGTACAGGCATATGAGAAGCCTATTTGAGCCGTCGCAATGGATGTTAATATCGTATCATGACAAGATTCCCATGTTGCGAGATGTTAGCTCCGGAGATCTTGGGCTCGGCGTCCTTTCCATGACATCATACAACGGGCTGCGAGTCTTAGGCGGATTCATCATACCTGTCTGACATACCTCCTAATCTGATCATCAAGACGGAATCACCTGTGGCACGAATTCTGTTTGACGGGAAGAAGGCGATAGGAGTCGAGTTGACCAGTGGCAAGCAATGTTGGTTACTTCCCACTCAATCCTCTAAGATCCCTCAAATTGCCTCGACTAACACCGAATCACAGACTTTGCTACTCGGGAAACCATAATCAGTGCTGGTGCTATCGACTCGCCAAAGATTCTGCTGCTCTCTGGAATCGGGCCCCAGGATGAGCTGGCAAGCCACAGCATTCCCGTCACTTCGGTCCTCCCAGGACTTGGAAACAACTTCAAAGACAAGTGTATGGTCTATCTAAAGGCCCATCTACAGCCAAGTACAGCGCCTAGCATCAGCATGAGTGACATGGCCCGTTGGCAGCAGCAATGGGAAGAAGATCGAACGGGACCAATGGGTGTTGAGCCCTGTCGGATTGCGACGGGATACTTTAAGCTTGACAATCTAGAGACATTCACTGAGTTCCAGCAGCTTGATGAGCAGGCAAAGCAGCTGCTGGTGCGGCCGCGGACTCCTGCGTACGAGACAGCTCCAGTAAGTGAGATTGATGCAATGCGGTATGGTTAGGCTGAGTTTCTGATGGGCAATATTTACCACCTCAACAGGGAATTTTTGCGGATCCAACAACTGGCGGCTCCCTTTTCGGGACGCCTGTCATTTTGATGCACCCTCAATCGACGGGGAAAATCTCCCTCCGAAGCTCTGACCCGGCGGCAGCTCCTGTTATCCAGTTGAACTACCTGCAAAATCCCTATGATCGTCGAGTCCTTGTGGAATCGACCAAGAAAGTGATCGATTTCATATACAACTCCAAAGTCCCTGCCGTTGGACCCATCGTAGGCCTCACAGGTAAAGCAGACGAGGACATTCTGGTACAGCAGTCTCCAAAGATGAACTTTGATCACCCCCCATATCTGGGAATTCACTGACATGAAGCTTTCAGCAATTCGTTCGAAATTGCGTATCAACCGCTTGGCACCCCCAAGGTACAGTCAAGATGGGAAAGCTAGACGACGACACTGCTTGCGTAGGATCGGACTTCCGCGTCATCGGCGTAAAGAATTTGCGAGTCGCAGATCTGAGCGTGGTTCCCGTGACTTTGAGGTAAGTTTCGTCGAGGCGTTTTTCAGCGTCAGTTTGTCTTAACAAGTCTTTTGTTTAGCAACCATACCCAAGCCAGTGCGTACGTGATTGGTGAAATTGCTGCCCAAAAGCTTATCAGCGCCTATGGCTTGTAATCGTTTGATGCCCTAGACAAGTACTCAAGTGGTTGATATGAATCTATTTATACCTAGAACTAGATGAAGGTGAAGAGTAGGCTAAGCCGGCCCCATACACTGAGTATATATATTATACAAAAGAAAATCGATACATCCAAATGCATAGATAGAAATGGCGCTTTGGGGTATGTATTAATGCCAGAAACTCCGCAATCAACATGTTCCCCATTATCGGAACCAACTCGTCGGTCGAGGTCCCAGTCCACTCTTCTCATATGCCATGTCGACCATCTTCATCTGGGCAATGGAATCTTCCCTCTCGACCCAGTACTGCGTCTTGCGACCCTTGACATTTATTGACAAACTGCTCCAGCTGGTGTCTGTACGACATCCAATAGGTCTCGCCAGGCAGATTGGCAAACTCACCACCAGCTTCTTTCCAGGTGTAAGCCTTGCGGGACGATGTCTCTTCCCATTTTCTTATAACTGCGCCCTCCTTGGTGCGGATCTCGTTAATTTCCTTAACATCAATACGATGCCAAAAGACACCGTGGACGAGGCCCTGAAGAGTCAGCTCACGCTCCTGGTACTGTGTCTGGCCGGCTGAGAGAGTATCGTTGGGGATGATAGCTTCCTTGATATAAACAGTGACCCAAGAGGGCTTGATGATGGCTTCGCCCATGAGCGTGCTAGAGGCGATACCGATGCCACCATTGGGGAAGCGAAATGTGGCCTCGAACTCGTAGTCACACTTGTCGTGGATGCCGTCGGTAAAAGCCTTGGCATCGCAGCTAACGCATTCCTCGGGACTGTCGCCAAAGAGCAGACGCAGGGCCGCAAAGTTGTAGGTACCCATGGCCATAATAGCGCCGCCAGACAGGTTGTAGTTGAAGTGAATTTGGTTCTTGTTGCTAGCCCACCACGGAATCATGGATCGCGTCTCAATACGCTCGATCTCGGCGGGTTTGACGAGAGAGCGAAAGAGAGCCCAAGAAGGGTAGAAGCGGTTATGGAAGGCCTCGAGCAGCACAGGTTCATCTGGCTGATCCAGCTCAGGCAGGCTGAAAAGAATCTCGGCTTCGGTAGAGTTGGACGTGCAGGGCTTCTCAAGTAGGACGTGCTTGCCGGCGCGAATGGCACGGACAGCCCACTCGAAGTGAAGACCGTTGGGCAAGGGGATGAAGACGGCATCAATGTTGGGATCATCGAGAATTTCTGACAATCGGATGAGCCTGTGTCTGAGGAGAACTATGTGACTTGTATCTACCTTGATAGGTATCCTTGACTTCGAGGACGCCGTGGGTCTTTGCATACTCCTCAGCCTTTTTGCGATCGCGGGCGCTAATGGCCTGGACAATGACCTCGGGGTGCGTTTTGGCAGGTTTGAAGAGAGCAAGGGGACTGTAAGTATGTTTCCGTTAGCCACATAGATTTCTATTAGTAGAAAAAGAAGACAAGACAATGCGATAGGCTAAAGCTGAAGCTGTGGAGAGCTGGGCAGGGCCGGGTGATGTTGAAGAGTAGCATCGTCGCTTGGGACATCGGCTCTGGGACTCAACAAATCCAATCTAAGCCGCCCCAGATTTGAATGATGTAGTAAATAATCAAGGCCTACGCAATATCGGCCGCCCCTAAGACGCCGAATCTTATAGCATCGCTGCTCTTTGGGGGTGTGGGTGGGTGGAAGCATCCATAGATTCGACTGATAAGACCCATCTTGGGCTGTTGGCGTTGATGGTATTGGAACGTGCGATGAAGCTTTAAATCAAGAGAAAGGTTTATATTCGTAGTAGAGATATCAAAAAGGTAGCTGTCGTAGAGGCGAGGATGTTGTCTGATGACTGGAGGGAAAATGGCTTCTGTCGATCCAGCTGGCCATTGCAGTTATATATGTGTGGAAGCAGAGGATGCCGACGAACTGCGGAAATTGGTCGCTTCCATGATGATTCCTTCTTGTTGCTGGCTTGCGTGTCCTCTTGCGTGTCCCTGGACTCTTTTTAGTCTGTTGGCTGCACTGAAGGAGATCGAGATCCAAGGGAGAACATCAAAGCATCAAGAAAGCCTCGCGGAGGAAACAGACGGATCGGAGAGATACATGTAGATTTCAGCGCTGTAAGTGGACGATAGCGTTTGTGGCGTTCTAGCACCCGGCCGGCGCTATCCCTGTAAGGGCCGTGCCGCGCACATCAGGCCCACTGTGAGAGATGTCCACTCCACTATGAAATTGATCCCCGGGCCCTGTCAGTTAGCGTCACACCCGCTGTACTCCCTGTAAAATAGGCCCAAGTGCTGGTGCTTTTAGCTCCATCTGGAATTGAATTGCGCCGTTGCCGTTTTGTGGCTTGACCGGGGGATGCATCGCGGAAGCTACATGTACGTATTTCGACTTCAACGCTGCAAATGACTTTGCCCTCTCCAATAACAAGCTCGAAAATCACAAGGAAACGGCGAATTGCATTGCAACAAGAGAAATGTTGGATTCTCATTGCTGTTCGATTCCTTCAGGGTTCTCCGCCTGCAAAGTTGTTCCGTCGGTGGCGTCTCTTCCAGTTCACTCCGATGGTCCTGGCGTGAGTTTCAACTTCAATCATACGCCAACAGATAACTGAGCAGTTCGTCGTCACGTGCCTCCATCGAGATTCATTCTTGGAGCCATTATCGCCATCATGGCCATGGGTCCAGAAATTCGAGGCGAACCTTGCAGGAACTTTGTTTTTTGTTCAGCCAGCAGCCTCAATTCGCCATGCAGAGGTGCCCTGTACAGGACATGCAGTCAAAACATTCACAGTCAAACTGTCTTGAATCCTTCCAAGCATTTAATTGTGCCCGCATGTTGACTCCATGTACGTTAGCTGCTGAAAGTTGGAGATACACATCTCAGTGTTCTCAAATGCACCTCTCCTGGCCGTGATAGCAAGAGATTTGCAAGTGGTGTGGTGTGTGGTGGACAACGCACCAAGGCAACTTCAACTTCGATATCAACCATTTCACCTTCTAGCCACATCATTTCGCGATGGCGATTCTTCTTCGGAAACTTCTTCAAAGCTTAAAGCTTTATTTGATCTCATTTTGTCCTCTTCTTGGTGCTGCCTCGAATACGCAGTGCGAAAGACAAAACTTTCCACAAAACGACTCATCCAAGGAAGAATCCGGACTGGGGAAAAGCCCTAATAAAGCGCCACGAATGAAAGAGGCATATACTCGTACATGTATGGAGCTGGTGGTGAGACTTGGTAGCGACGTGACCTCGCTCTTCTTCCTCGTACTTTTGGCCGTAGCCTCTCGTCAAGTCCATTGCGTATACGTGCTTCACGCCACCAAGGATGCTGCCGTTGTCACTAGATCTGTTATCTCTTGCGAGGCGTAGAACGAGATAAGAGAGAGCAGATATTGTCACACGAAGAAGCGGCTTCTCAATACGTACCTAGAACATCAAAGGCCTTGAAACTATAAGGCTAGCCCAGCCCATTGACTCATAGCCTAGGCGTTTTCTTGAGCCTTATAGTTTGAACTGATGCAAAATTCGAGTTCAAGAGACGCATATAAGGAGGTAAGAAGCCCTCCAATATCCAAAAAGAAATCTCCCACCACAAATACTCTCCAAGACAATCCTCCGCTCGATATCAGTATCACTGCAAAGATGTACCCTGACAACCAACCCAGTGATGCCTCTGGCGCTGCCAACTTGTTTGGGAATCTCCCTCCCGGTGTGCCTGGAGCAGGAGCAGCCTCGACTGGTAATAACACACAGGCTGGAACAACAGCACAAGTCCCAAATGCCGCTGATGCACCTGAACCAACCAATCACTTTGTCAATGCTGCTTCCATGAGCTTAAATCATGCTGCCCAGGTCATGGAGGCACATTATGCTGCCATGTTGACGGAAAGCGCCTCCATGGAAAACGGAGCTGGTCATCAAGCCGACAACTTTGAGCATATCGCCCACCCTAATAACTTTGAGTATATCCCGGAGTCTAACAACTTCCACCTTCCGCACTCCAACAACCTCGACCTTCCGCGCCTTAACATTTCCGACCTCCCGCACCCTGACGAATTCGAGCGCGCCCTGCTTGAAGGTTTAGAGGAACTCCCGGAAGACGCAGACTCTGCCTTCCCGGTCCAGCAGCAACTGGATGAGCAGCCCCAGCAGCTGCTTCAACCCAATGTCCAGCAATGGCAGCCACAACCCAATGAGGAGCAACAGCAGCCGCAACAGCAGCCGCAACAGCAGCCGCAACAGAAATTGGATGAGAAAATCAAGCTACTGAAGGACTTAACTGAGCTACTGGAAACTCGACACAGTGTATCTCCCGCTCAACTTCAGGAGGGTTTAAATCAGCTGCTGGGATCTCAACAAAGTGCATCTCGCGCTCCATTTCAGGAGGATTTAACTCAGCTACTGGAACCTCAACAAAGTGCATCTCCCGCTCTATTTCAGCAGAGTGCAGTGCCAGCTATGGCTCAACCTACCCAGCAGCAGCAGCAGCAGCAGCAGCAGCAGCAATCTAGGGCAAGCCCTTTCCCCCAACGACAACCCGATCTTCACGCCATGCTTGAAAAAACCTCCATAGTCACAGGCAATATCAAAGAGGTTTACGCGAAGACCAGCGAGTGTGTTGGCTGCGTGAACATGCGGGTGATCCAAGGGATATCTAGTAGGCAACAGGAGTTGGCTACGTTCCAAGTCAATAACCAAGTGCTTCAGTGGGTCAAGGACTGGGTGAAAGAAAATGCAAAGGATCCCAATGCCCCAATCTTGAGGGACACCCCCCCAGCACCCGACGCCAACGGCAACTGGAACGTGTACGAAATTTTGAACGGCTACAACCGGAGCTTTAGTTCTCTGTACCTGAGGGCAATGTCTGCCTCGCGTGACCTGAAGAAGGTCCTTCAAGGTCTACCGCATGAGTGGATTTTCGGAAAAGGGCCCGATGTCGTTCCTGAAGAACTTCGTCGAGCCGTGATTGAGTGCCACACAGTCGCGCTCAACACTTTCAATGCACTTTTGGCCTTTATGGAGCACGATAACAATCTTCTGCCACACAGGTTCACCGATAATTGGAACTTTGACGTCCTAGGCACCATTAATCAGACCCAGGGCAATCAGACCCAGGGCCAAGGACCAAAACCCTCCGATGCGATACGCTACCTTACAGAGAAATGCCATGAAACGATTTCCGCCCACACCCGTTATGTTCACAGCCTCTTGCGAGACCTCCGCCCATACCCTGTGCTGCCAGGCCTACAGCAAGTTCAAGCCATTACCGATGACCAGCTTCAGATGCTACTGCAACAACAACAACAAGAAGCCGCGCGAGACTGCCCAATGCTATCAGTCTGCCCATATACGGCGGGACCTGATACAGACAACGAACAGATTAAGATGCTGGAGTTTTGTGTTTTCTACCGCCTTAATTTCATTCTGCAGAGACTCCCCCGGATGTAAGTCTAGGGCGAAGCGTCTCTATGCACATATGGAGCAATTATGGATAATCGTTCATGTTATCATTTCACATTGAAGGACATTCTTCTCAACGTGCCATGCTGGTTATGGCATGCAGTTCACCGAGAAAAGAAAACAAGGAAAAAAGAAGGGAAAAAGAGAAAAGGAAAAAAAAAAGACTGTTTTTGTTTGTTCAATGGTTTGGTTATGGTTGGATTGTTTGTTCACTGGATTGGGTACGGAAAGATTGTCTGTTCAATTGGTTGGTTATGGAAACATTGTTTGTTCAATGGGTTGGCTATGCGTAGATATCTACTAGGTACCTAGGTAGTGAAAAATACAAAAAAAGTCTGCTTTCGTAACCACCTTGTACACAATGCATGCTAGCTCTGTGATAGATTAACGCATGGTTTTCTTTCAAGATGGTGTGTCTATGGCCATCTATTGTACTTAGTATCCATGATTGTGATGTATCGAATGATGACACTTGGTAGTGTCCATGTTCATATCATCTACATTGTACCCTCGCATTTTAAAATCCAGCGATGTTGAGCGGCAGTCTGTTTCAACATCATCCCATATGCAAGGGAGAATATAAATGGGGAAGAAGTAACACACGTTGAATCTAGTTCCCTTCTCCATTGTCACTTTACTGCCGTTTTCGAATGTGACGCGATGACGAATAAAGTATATCTCATCAACAAGATTCACTTTCTAGCGCCGCAGCAACAGTCGCCTGGAGCAACAAAAGTATGATACACGAGTATTTCTTGGTGAGATAGGGGCTTCCATTTAATCTTGATGGCGTAGTTCGGAAATTTCATGCAGTGCCAATCTAGGTTCTTCCCAAACTCTGTCGGATTAAGCCGCAGTCACTGCGTGCGTGTACCTACCTACCTAGGTACTTATATAAACAACAGTCGTCCCCCAGCATTGGTGTTTGTTTTTTATTCCACCCCTCACACACATTCTTTTACCCCTTCAAATCATTCCAATTTCACTCTACTACAAGTACCAAGTCATATTTGCTAGATTCTGATACATTTTATCTATTATCTACATCCAGACACTGCCGATCAACTGAATTCCATCCCTTCAGTAACGATGGATCCGGACGTGGGAACCCCCCAAACAACATTAAGATATTTCCTCTTGCACTTCGAGTTGGCTGGAGTTACAAGTGTTTTGATGAACTCTCCGGACATTGGTTGCACAGTACTATTGGCAGGCTCAGATCATTGGAATTTCGAAGCTTTCAAATCTAGTGATGTGGTATTGATGTGGGTCTTTATTTATCGACTCTACCTCTATTCTGAGATGATGGAATATCTACTCTGGCTTTATGTCAAATTCTTCTTGGGTCAAAGCACTCAATTCACCAGAGATGGCTATAAACCCATGTATGCTAAACCTCAGATTATACAGATGGGTGCAGTAATGTATGGATACCAAGTATTGTTGCCTCAAAGCTTAGTGGCACTGTCGTTCCTGCGAAGATAAGAAGGATTGAGAAAAGGGAGGATATATCAAGTAATTTAGATATACATTGGGTATCTGAGAAGATGTTATATAGTTATAAAACTGTGGATTATGTCCAAATAATATGAAACCCCTCACTAGGTGCACGCTTGTAAAGATGGTCAATATGCCGAGTTAAGATTTGAAGCCAGCTTCGGCCTTTCCCGCGCTCTTTTCAACAGTAAACCAGGGTGGTAATTGTTCGTCATCCCCTAACTCAGTGTTGGGTAATTTGTCGATATAGGTATCCGCAGGAAGGAACATCATTGCTCTTGGTGTAGTAGGATTAAATTTCGACTTTGCAGACCTTGGCTCAGACTTAGGAGACGAAGTGTTGATGGTGGTTTTGACAAATGGCGCATCACTTCTACCCATCTGCCCATTCACCGCAGAATGTGAGATATGATCGTTGGCTCCGATCAATGCGTCTGTGGTAGCAGCCCGTTGAGTCAAAACGTGATTCAGTCCCATTTTCCTCGTTCCTCTCTGCCCATCAGTGATATCATAAATCCGGTTAGTGTGGAAATCCGATGTCGCATCTCGGATAGAGTGTCTTCTTTGGCCGGATGGATCAGAAAGCCGTTTGGAGGAGCCATTAGTAGAAGCAGATTGGCGACCGTGAACCGGACAACTAGGACAACTAATAACCTCGACTCTCTCAAATTCCGACTCATCATGGGCACTCTGGGGGTGTTGATGTTGGCATTCAGTGTGAGACATCCCATCATCAAGTGGGTGTTGTGAGTCCTTGTCAGAGTGTCGCTTTCCAACTCTAGAGTGCAGTATAGTATTTATCACGGAGTCTGCAGAAGTGGCCCTTTCAGACTGTGGATCAAATTTAGCTGCGTCGGTAGATGCAGCTCTCCGTTTAGGCTGACGGCCTCTGCTTACAGAGCGTACTGACTTTGTTATGCCGCGGTTGAGCGGAGAAGCTGTCGACTTTTGCTTTGCATTGTTGGTGAATGCTTGGTGACTACTGACACTGTTGTTGCCATAGCCTCCCAGTTTAGAGCCATCATCAGACACCTGTGAATGCACATTAGGAGGAGTTATCCCAATTGTAGAACTTCGGTAATAGTCTACCGCCACGGGCGTAGGGATGTATGCTCGAGTCCCAGGCCCCAAGAGACTAGGACTCGCAACAATGGGTATCATATGATCCATCGCAGAATCTGCTCTAGTACTGTGCTGGCCATCGTTTGCCAGATTTAGAGACGGAGGGCGGCCAATAGCTAGCCCGGTTTGATGATGATCCGTGTTGTGTCTATTTCTCGACTCGGCTCGTTGAGAAATTTGCTCGATATGCTGCGATACTGCGCTCGGGATATTTTGCGGGCTTAGTGATGAATCAGATCTGCCTCTAATCCCAGAGCGACTGGCATTCCGTGACTTTGGTGACGAGGGTCTTGAAGGATTCTTCCCATTTGGGGACTTTACGCGCTGCGCCTGCGCCTCTGTGGACGATTTTGACTTTCCAGTTCTGTTGGACGACGTGTTCGATCTTGGAGACTGTGAATATTGGGATCTGGTCTGCTGTAGCACCGGACCTCCGTTTATGATCTCACTCTCGCTCGTTATATTCGGTGAGGGGGTGATATTCTTGATCGCTGCCCATGGAAAGGGCTCTGCTTTCCGCCCAACCGGCGTACTGGGAGTCCACTCTCCACCGACGACTGGAGTCCGGATTATGCTGTCGTGTGGTCGCCAAAACCAGCGGGGCGACGTTGTAGATGCAGCAAATGGAGTTGTCGGAGAGAAGGAATCTGCCCCATGGCTAATGGTCACATTGCCGCCATAGATACGTCGCTCAAACTCATTCTGGAAGGAGTTTGAGGGATATCCGCTCAGGGGAAGGCCACTGTGAGGATATGGTGTGCTATCTTCTGGCGGTCTTGGATTGGAACGAATTGTTTGCGTTGAGACCTCTGATTCATTGGACCTGACTGATTGTATCGACTCTGCAGATCTTATGGATATTGCGCTTGGAAGGTTATCCTCAGAGGTTTGCTGATTTTGTGTCGAGGTTGGTGACTGCGGAATAACAAGTCTTGGACGCACAGCCATGGGGGTTGGACTAGGGGCAGAAGGAGTTGGAATATTGCCATCTGCTGCATTAGTCGTCTGGCTATGGTCCACTGATCCGAATGGAGGTGGAATCGAGATGGAAGGCGCTGGTCGCTTTGCCGTTTGCTTGGGGGAAGATTTTTGCTGGGTTTCCCCAATCAACTGGAGTGGAGATGTCTGTTTGCCTTTCGTCGTATCCAACACTTGAGGGGGAATCGAGGTATCGGTAGGCGGCGACTGCTGGGTCATAGACGGATCTAGAGCTTCAATAACACGGTGTGTCTTGGTGTATACTGAGCTCTGGCCATTGGCATGAGAAGGCAGTTCGAGCGCGCCAACAGGTTTGTTCAAAGCACTGGCGTCTGGTCGATAAATCATCTTGGCATAAGGCGGGTTGGTCGTGTCCACAACCAGCAAGTCTTTTTCACCTCTCCCCAGCAGACCATATACTTTCACTTCTCCCTCCTGTATGCCTATAACGGCACTGGTGCCAGTGTATGTTGCTTCATCTTCGACGCCAGTGCGGTTGCAGAAGACGACGATGATTTCGTCTTCATTATTAGAGCGGATAAGTGGTTCTAATCGCGTGACCCAATATGTCAATGTATCCATGTCTGGCTCATTGGGCATTCGACTGTAGTGGCGGCGGTCCTCTCTGGTCATCCATGCCATGGAAACAATGACGAGATTAGATTCGACTTCAAGTACATGAAAGGCGAACTCGAATGCGTGCCATGGTGCTTCAAATTTATAGGGACTAAGAAATGTAAATTAGCACACGACACATGACGTTGGAAGAGTACAGGTATGTTAAAGCTCAACACCTGTTGACTTACTTGATATCCATGCCTTGTAACACACTGTTAGTAAAATGTTGCATAGAATAGGAACGAAAGTTTGTTTGTGGACTCACAGATGCCAATAGAAGTATTGCCGAGTCCTGGAATATATCCATCGTAGAATCCACGATTCCCTTCTAACGCCCATGACTCATCTGTGTAGTAAAGGAAAGACTTCCGATAATTGGCGATTGTTTCCCCATCACCATTCACCACGATGGCCGAGTTGTAGTACTCGGGGCCTGTGGGCCATTTGGGAGACACGTCGACTTTCTCTGGGTATCCAACAAGAACGGTGCAGTTGTACTTCAAGGCCATCGTCCGAGCCCATAGCGCAGTGATTCCCGAGCCTGAGGGCTCAAGAAATGGTGAGATGTCTTGCAGAGACTTAAAATTGTAGCCTAGCGGAAATCAGGTCATCTACCAAACTCGCTTGGTGTTTTGTTGCCGCAATATACGAGGTGAGAGCTCAGCGAGCAGACATAGGGTGATTCATACCAGAAAACGCCAGCTCGGGCAAGACAAGAAGGTCCAGATCCTCTGGATTTGCTTTGGAAAGCACTGCATCGGCACGGTTCAGATTGTTGTCAACATCGCCCACCTGGGGTGCAAACTGCAAACACCCGATTCTCATCTTCGTTGAAACGCCTCAGACCGCAAGACCAAGATAACCAAGCCAGCCTCTTTCCTTTCCCCTAAGCTTCCAAATATCTGCAAGAAAAATTGGAACTGCAAGTCAGGGTTTCCGTATTGCTAAATCTTAGTAGAATCTGAAGAATGGGAAGAGGCGGGCTGGATGGATGTGAGGGGTGGACGGCTCTTAGTGTGAAAGGGAGCCTCCAGATTATTTATCTCCCCCCCTATTACGGCTGGGAAAAATTGAAGCGAGGGCCGTTAGAAAGAACATACTACAAGTACTGCCTATTGCGCCTTTTACGCCAAGTAAGGAGGTGGGAGGGTCAGGAAGCAGCGGAACTGTCGTAGCCCATCTGTCCTTGACAAGTTCGCTGTCGTTATGTATGTTGGTTGAACATCTGTAGCAGTGTGCATGTGGGTACCTGTAATAGCCAACGGTAGGCCAATATTAACCGCTCAGTGACAACCCCGCTGCATCCTTGATCATCTGCTTTTGGCGCGGATTGGCTGCAGACTGGAAACACCTGCTGGGCGCGAACAGATGGTGGGAGCCTTAGCCTATTAGAGTAAACGAGGAATAACACTAGCCGGGGGAAATGGGCCCATTCGCATGTAATTTGAACCAACACTCGGTAGCATTGAAGAGAAGTTCCTGTGACAGTTTACCAACCCGAAGCATACTTCTTGTCCTCGGCAAATCATGCCCAAATCTTCACTTTACCTGCGAACTCAGCAGAGAGTCTACTCGTATGATAACAACATATATGGAAGCAAAGATATTGTTAGATACCTAGTACCCAGGTAGGAGTTGGGTTCAATAGGTAGGTTCAATAGCACCAGGCATGCACGAAGTGCTACGTGCGTAGTAAAGTAACTCGTTCCTCAATTAGTCAACGCGGCAAGTATGTAGCTCTCCTGTAATAATTTATTTAATCAATTATTTTTTAGCATGCATATGAAAGATTTCAACCCCATACCTGTCATTTCTAGCATACGTTCATTTCTGTTATCATTTCCGGTCACGCGTCCGATATTCTGCTACAATTCATATACGTACGTAAAGCTTCGGCTTTTGACTTATTGCGGCTACATGTACTCTGCTTTTCTGAACACCACGCCGCCTTTATAGAAAAAAATTACTACTACGGCAGGATTTTCTCACCAAGTGCCAATACCTAAGTGTGGAATTACCTAAGCAAAAATTGCAAAACCCGCCGGGCATAGTCTTGACATGGCTCAACTAAAGCGCGAGGTGAATATTCAAATAAACACGCTGAGCGATGACGAAACGCAATGCCTATTCGGTAGTTTGCTCGAATGATGTATGGTCAGGATTAGCCGCCAAGCCGTCGGCGGCAACGAAGCGGCAAATCACTAGCCGAAAAACGAAGTAGACATCGAGATAGAAGGTAGGTACGGAGCAGGTATAGGTTATGTTCACGCTATTTACCCTTATTTCTTATTTCTTCCCTTTTCGAATATGAAGCGGTGAACTAGTAGAACGACAACATAGAATGCCTTGATCTCTCCGTATGTCATACGCCCTCGTTTATGTCAAATGTCCGAGAACAGGGTAGCTATTGCTATTATTGTAAGAGTGGGCGTGCATTGAAGAGAACAGCGATAAAGGCTAGAGGATAATGAAATCCTTCAAATAATAGATTGTACATTTGCCAGTCACCCTTGGCAACATATTGCTATGTAAAGAAAATACAACTGAGGGTGATAGAAAAACACAGCGAGTATCTGACTCTTATTGAGAAAAAGGTCAAAAGAAAATGCACAAATAGCGCAGGTACAATACCGAAGTAGAAGGCAAATGTCAAAGAAAAATGAAAAGAAGCAGATGAGACAGTTAAATGGGAAAGAAACGAAAAAAATGCTGATGAGCATGAAGACCATGGCTCTATTGATGTGCACCAATTCAGTTAGCTCCTCCCTTGTCCTCTCTGCCGGTGTTTTGACCGCACTTTGGAGACATTCCATATGCTTCATTCCGGCACTCTTCCTGTAAATTTTCAACGCCATGAGATGTCGTAGAAGGGCGAGTAGGAGTGTCCACCGCAGCAGTTGGATATCGTTGCATCAATGGATACATGGTGAACACATCGGAATATGGTGCGGGGCTATAGTACGACTGTCCGAACGAGTTGTACATAAGAGGACCACCTTGTGGTGTCATGGGGTGAGCCATTAATGATTGGATCGGGTGAAATCCATAAGGCGAATAGGTATAAGGCTGAATGATTGGGTAGAAGCAAGACGCCGCTGACTCAATACTATACGCCGGAGAAGGCTCTGCAGTAGTCTTTGTCGGAGACTTGGTTGGAGTTTCCAAAGTTTTTTGATCGTCATTTGTCGCGCTGTTCCCAAATTCGACGTCCTTGGAATCGCGGAGATGCTCATCTAACTTGCCTCGGTAACTGTCATTGGAACAAAATTCTGGTTCGTGCGTGCTTTGGATAGCTTTTGCTCCTCTTGCTTCCTCTTTGACTTCGGCATTGTCAGTCAAATTCTCCTGTTGTATTTTATCTCTGCCCTTGGTGGTGCTGCGCCCTTCTACATCTTCAAGCTCGGTCTCCTTGACATAGCTAATCACCGGTAGCTGGCTAGTGGAGCTATTCTTCGGATTAATTGGGAGGCTAACAAAGGCAGCAGAGCTTTCATCGCTGATGGTAGGTCTGGTAATGGTGGAGTGGGTATAGCGTCCAGCATTTGTTCGAGGAAGAGGATGAGATCCATCTGCCTTTGTAGGAGAGACTTTATTGTCCTCCTCGTTGTCGGCCACGGTTGGAAGATATGTTGCCGATAACCCTGCAGTTGGAGGAATGAAACTGTCAGCAGTCATAATACGGTTGCCACGACCATGGTGAGGGCCCCCTTTGGTCCCATGCCAAGTGGACGGAGCGCCAATGAATGTTCCTCTTTGAGATCCATTAGTGGCGTAAGAAGGCCCATTGAACATTCTCGTACGCTTCCTCTCAACTTTGATAATATGGCCATCAATAGGCTTGCGGTGCTATTAGAAGCGTTAGCGATGGCCGCATCAATGTGTAGGACCTCTGCCAAAAGACAGAGCCAACTCACATAATTCATGATAGCCTTATCAATAGAATCGGGTCGGACAAACTCTACAAATCCAAAACATGTTGTAGTAGCTAAGTTCAAACGTTAGTCCTACTAATGAGCAAGCGTATAAAGGAACACTTACTTCTGTCACCAACTTGAGGAATTTCTTTTGTCGCAACCTCAGCACAGAGCACTTTGCCGCACTGGCTTGCCAGAGACTCCAAAACATCCGCCGTCATATTCAAGGGTAGATTGCCAAAATATGCCGATCGACGATCTTTCTCGTACTGTGCATAGCTCTGCTGGTCGCTTTTCTTGTGCTGCTGCCGAGTCTCAGCCTTGGGGTCGTATGCGTCAACCCGAAAAACCGGGTGGCCCTCAAAGGCCTATACTCGTGGAATCAGATGTTAGCTCGATTCTGATACGAGTTAAGCTAGAAGAAGGAGGCGATAACCAATCAGCAGACATTACATACCTTTATTACAGATCGCGAAGAGTCATAGCGTTTGTAATGAACGACAATAGCAGGCGGGAAATTCTCTGTCTTGTGGCTGTTGAGACCCAGAGGATATGCCTTGGCTATTGGTCCTAGGGCACCAAGAAAATCTATAGCTTCTTGTTTAGTCGTTTCAGCTCCAGAGAGCTTATAAACAAGAAAGCATGCTATGGAGGACCTTGGTTAGTTTGCCATTTTGAAACGACCGAAGAGGAGTGGTATAGCTACAATGAGCAGTGGCCTTCTCGACACGACAAGGGCGGCCGAGTATAACAGCACCGTTGCCGTGTTCTCCAGCATTCTCAGCATCAGAATCGCACTGTAAATGAGTTTTGAGTTAGCAAATAACGTGCTTGTTAGCTCAGGCGTGATATCTCTGCTTACCGTGAACTGACAAAAAGCAAACGGCATCTGACGACTGTCTCGACGGATCTTGACAAAGACTGTGCCAAATTGCGAGAAGTATTTAGTAACTTCAATTTCTAGTTTTCGGTCGTCGAAGGTTTGAGTTAGACTTGAAAGTATTGGTTAGCAAGAATTGAGGAGGGGCCTTGATTTTGTAGCAGCAACTTACTTGGCGACGAACACGTAGGCTGACGATGGATAAATATTCTGCGCATTAACCTGAAGAGGCTCACGAGGAATCAGAGACCAGTTGCCATCCGTTTGTGACGCCTGTTCTTCGCCCCCGTTTGAGGCCTCTTCAGCACTATTTTTCGCTTCCATCGAGGATGAAGCCCTGCACTCCGCTTCTGAATTTGGTCGATCAGTAAACACATCGTCGCTGTTGGTATTTCCAACTTGAAAGGCAAGTGAGCTAGACAAATAAGTTTAGTATACAGCATGAGAAATCAAGGGCACAAGGCTGAGGGTAGAGGCATGAATACCTTTCATGCTCAGCACACTTGGCACTCTGGGCAATCAAGTTGCCGGACGAGGCAGGTCGCTTAGGACTTTGACACTGTTAGAACCCGAGGAATTCTTTTCTCTGAAGACAATACAGGCTTGGGTATGACTGACGTGTTATCCTGTTTTGGCAAGCTACGTAGGCCTTTGCAATTTTAGCGACTGAGGAGAAGGAAGCGAGAAGATATAGCATGCTACTTACCAGGGTTGAAAACATTCTCTTGATCAGACGAGAGCTGGCGGAGGATGTCGAAGGACGATGCCTTCATGAGTGTCTTCTTCGGATGGCGAAGAGAAGAATGCGCTGGCATCTTTGCGTTTCTGAAAACATGTGTCAATGTTGTGATCAAGGGAAAGAGGTAAAAGCTGATAGTGAGGAGAGAAGAAATAATATAATATTGATAGATGAAAGAACAGCAGTGGAGAGATGGAAGGGAGGTGGAAGAAAAGTAAGTTGTGGGAAAAGTGAGGAAAGTAAAGCGAGAGCGCAAAGAAGAAAGAGGAAAAGAAGATAGAAGTAGAAGGAGAGGAGAGGAGAGGGATAGAGGCCGCGCGTATGTACGCGGATTCAACTTACTTGCTTTCACAAAGAGGGCCTAGTAAAAAGAAACTCTGCCTAATGCAATGAAAACTGACCCAAAATCGGCCTTGATGACGTTCGATGGACAAAACGCGACTGGGGTTCCCTCCAAGAAAGAGAGAAGAGTAAATGTAGAGTAACGACTAAGCGACAGATGATTCTGAGAGCAGTTTTGAACTGCTTTGTGGTGGTGGAAGACTCGCAAATCCGGATGAGGTTTGGCTTTGAAAAAGGCGGTTGATGGTGGACGATTAGAAGGTTGAGGATTGGAAGTGAAGTGGAGAGGGGGTAAACATCAAATGGATTGGAGATGGATTGATTGGTTGCCCGGAAACCCAATCACAGCAGTGCCGGCAGATGGCAAGGAATTGACAGTAAAACAGCCTACAGTTGGCACCACTTTTGGTAGCAGCCGTCAACTCCCTGAGATTAGGGGAAAGGCCAAGTAGAGGTCAACAGCATTAGTGATAGTTGTCCAAAGCAATATGTATCAAGATCGACTTGAAAATTCTAGAGTTGTTCTCGTAGAATTCAAAACTCATCTAATGGAGACTGGAGATATAATAATGAAGGGACTCTAGCGTACGCAATCTTTCAAAGAATTTTGGGAGGCTATCTCAGCTTGTTACCAACTTTAGGGCATGTGAGAATCCTCATATCAAGAAGACAGCTGTTGAAACAGCTTTACCCATGATATATCATTCATTTTATGAATACAAGAATTTCAAGACTACTTTTATGAAATCTCACATTGATTAGAATAGTAATCATACCTAGTAGTACCACAATGAGTTGCGTCGGCTACCATTCAAAACACTCTACCGAGACCCCCACAATTGAGTCCATTCAAGCTTCCTGTCAATCAGCAAATCGTGCTCAAACTAATCGATTTGTATGCTACCTCATTAATATATTCTAATATATTCCACTCTCCTACTGCAATTCTTTAGTACTACTCATACATTTACCGGCCCAGTTCCCTTGTACTTTACATTTTCAAGTCTTTCTGCATCAGCATCGTTACACGCTAAATGTCTGTGATACAGCATATAGCATCACATCCGTTGATAGCATGGATTTCCCTCGTTTGTTCTACCACCCAGAAACCGAGAAACCTGAGCAGCTACTTGGACGCAGGCTTCCACCCGGCTCGTCTTGCCTGCTCCTTGTCGATAGCTTCCTTCTCTTCCAGATATGCTTCCAAAGTTGTAGGAGATGTTGTGCCCCAAACTCTCCACGCGTCCGATTCAAATGTGACCGCATTGACCTGTCTGGAGAGCACCACATATTCCACCTTGTCTTGAACCTTGACGCTGCCAGGGATCGTCTCTCCTGTAGACGCATCATACCGAGACACCTGCTGGGTGGATGAAATGGCAACAACGGCTTGTTCGGTCATGAGGTTCTTGTCGTACATGTTGATCTGGTGGATCTGATGTGCTATTCGTTTGGGATAGAAGAGCGAGCTGTTGTACTTGGTAACTTCGAACTGAACCCGCTCTCGAGGATTTCGGCGGTCTATCGCCGCAATGAGCTTCTTTGCAAAGTCATTGACGCAAATTCTTTCGAGTGTCGCTTTGTCCCCCGCAGCAAAAGCCTCCAGCACTTCTTGATATAAAGCCTTGGCTGTAGGCGCAATCTTGCCACGGCGGGCTTTCCACTGAGGTCGAGTCGTCCAGTTTGGCATGGATTTCAGCTTGAAGTTGAGCAAAGAAACGGTTTCAATCACCCAGTGCCTTAGCCTGCTCCATTGATATTGCGCAAAATCCGCAGGGTTTAGCGGCAGACGAGATAACGGGAGGGTTACAAATGTGCCTAACGAGAGAGAGCTTTGTGTTAGCCAGAGCGCATTCAACTACATCACCTATCATGGTAAAGATATAAGACGTCGCCGTTCATTTTCATCATGAGACATCATGAAAGAAAGGAGACAGATGGTTAGAGAATCAAGGACATGTGCGAACCTGGAAACAGCGGACCCCCTCCATCCTTGAAGTACTCTGCGTTTGCCATTTTCTGCAACTGTGAGATGCTCTGCTCCTTCGTCATCTTGCTTGAGCCGGCACGAGCCGCACGATCCATCTCTCTCATTGTCCTGCTCCTTGATGGCTGTGTCGCATATTGTCGAAGCATCTGCGCGGCCAATGGCCTTGTGGCGCATCTTGGAAGATTATTCGCAGTGCCATGGCGAAGTGCTGGTGCCGCGATTGAGCGCATTGCGGAGGCGGGAGACATGGTCCTGACTCGAGTCGTACAAATGAGACAGTGGGAGAGACTTCTTCTGCCTTTCCTCAGAGAAATTATGCCCAATTCTCAGCACTCGAGCATCGTCATTATCCCACCAAGACAATCTCTAAAAAGCCGGCCCAGGTGTTGAACTTCTGCGGTTGGATGAAATGGGTGGATTAATGATAATCCAGATGCCGACACACCCTGTGCGGAGTGTCAGAATGGTCAGGCTTCTAGCTAAGGGCCATGATTCACACCATCTGCCATGTGCGAATCTCTAGCCTCTTCATGTTTGGTCTTTCTCTCAACACCAAAAGGCTGCACATCGTCTCCCGCGACCAGATGTAAGGCTGAGAGATTTGTCTGCTTTGTGATTCACGACGCGGAATCTCTCATGTTACTCAACTTTAGGTGAGCCGATTGGCTCGTCCGCTGTTACTGTCGTCAATACGCTTGTTTGCCCATCATGAGAGCCACGCAGCCTCTTGCAAAGAGCTTTCTTGCGCGGAGTTTTGACGAGCTCAAGAGGCGCTCCAGCATAGGTAACCAGCATCGCACCCTCTGATCGCATATACATACCTTCGGATTCCCCATACGCTCTCAAAGCGCTAACATTCGCATCATCAGCCTGGAACCTCGACGCCGTCAAGGGTCCCTCAGGCCCCCGCGAGCTCTACGACTTCCACAGCGCCGATTCCGTGAGCAACTGCATTGTCATGTCCGACAAATTGATCGGCGGTTCCTCCACCAGCAGTCTCGACTTTATCCATTCCTCGACCTCCTCCTCCTCCTCGCCGTCTCACGCACGCTTCTACGGCCACATCTCGACCTCACTCCCACCAGATCGCTTGGCAATTCAGCGGACAGGCTATGCCGCGTTTCGGACACCAGACCAGCCGCCCACAGTCTTCGGTCGCTCTGTTTGGGATATAGACCCTTACACATATCTCGCATTGCGGATCAAATCCGATGGCAGGGCATATTACGTCAATGTACAGACAGAGAGTGTTGAGCCGACAGACCTACATCAGCATCGGCTATTTGCAAAGCGCCCTGGGCAATGGGAAACGATTCTGATTCGGTGGAATGACTTTGTGCGCACAAACCATGGCTTCGTCGTTGAACCACAAACAGAGCTTTTAAGACAAAGAGTCCATAGTGTAGGCATTGGGCTGACGGATCGCGTGGAAGGGCCCTTTGAGCTCTGCATCGAGAGAGTGTGGGCAACGAATGGAGCTGAAGAGACACGCAAGACGAAAGAAACACAGGAGGGGGAGCTGAAGAACAGGAAGGGCGAAAAGATTCAGTGGTGAAATCGCAATAGTAGCATGTTGGACCAATTCCATGCAAATGATTGATCCAACATGTATGAGCGGGGAAATTATCCGCTTCGTTGGCATGCGAAACTACGAAGCTAGATGATATGATTGACATTGTTCAACGTCGCCCACAATATATCTAAGTTAACTGTGATTAATCTGAATGGCCTCATTCAACCAAGGTGGTCCAAGCTAAGCAAGCTATTGTGGACCAAAACCTATTCACTTTTGGCAGGTTCTCTTGTCTACAGAAGACTTGCTCATTCCCTTTCAAATACAGGATTCCCGATCTTGTTCCAGCAACATGTTCTCAAGTGAGCGAGTTGTTCATATTTCAATAAAATATTCTCGATCGAGCAAGTTGTTATATACTTGTTTAGACAATGTTACCTTGGTCAGTCAATGTGGTCTTGGCTGAATGATCTCGTTGTCCAAAGGCGACGATCCAACTTCGCTGAAGTACTCACAATCACCGCCTGTGAACTCCCACCGTAGCTGACCGCAATCAACGGGCGTAGTTGCATATATCTACCATGTGAACACTTTCGTAGAAATCAGACTCATATGCATTCGACTATATGGCGCATCCATCAAGAATGTTTGAATTGCGTTAGGTATCATTACATGCAATATCATATCGAAACCAGTCCCAGGGCCTGCTACCTTCACTCTCCTCCTAGTACGCCTGCTTGCCATTCCTAAATAATTTCAGCTTCCCGTGTTCTCCGAAACCATAGTACAAGCTTATGGCAGTGATGTCAAATAAACGTAGTCAATGCTCCCCCTTCTCCGAATACCTAACGTAGTGGAATGCGGGCACCGGGCATGATATAACTTGGTCACCTAATTCAGAAGGTGCAATAGAATCCGTTATGTAGGTTATATTGGTTGTTAGGGGGTAAGCCGGCATCTTCTAAGTGTAAGCAAGATGTTGGGACATAAACTGCATGCGGCAACATACCTCTCTCGCCTTCGTTCTCCTGGTAGTCCAGCATCTTATCAATATCCCAAGGATTGCCGACATCGATCGTGTCGCTCTCAGTCATCCCGAAATATCACATTTGCGGCATTTCATTCTGATATTGTTGTGCGGCAGTAGAAGATGCCTAAGTGTAATTGTAAAGCTGCCGTGTGTCTGGATATGCGAACTGCAGCAGGAGGTGATTCACTGCATTGAGATCGTCGACTAAATGAGATTTGACGCCTAGGACTGGCACTCTTTTCTCTTCGTAATGTGTGCCTAGAAGCTCCTTGGCTGCTTGAAACGGGTCTGCTTCTATTACTTTAATGAAGCTTGGCCTTCTTGTTATTGAAAAGATAAAAAGAGAGCCAGGCGAGTTCTGATGCGACTGCTACCAGCTTCATTTATTTTTTTAACGTTTTTCTACTACTATACTAGTAATAGTGTGGCCATTTGCCCGAGAAATTGGTTCAGCAAAAATATGAAGCTGCAGCAAAAAAATCATGAATGCTGCGAGAAAAAAGTATCCCAGTCTCCGTCAGAGCCTTGTGTAGTGTTGGGAATTACATGAGCCCAGTTCTGCTGCCAAGCACTCAGAAACATTGGAGTGTCTTGGGGTAATCCGAATTCAGTGTTTGGTATGGAAATCGAGGCGTTGCCTACAGCCGTGGGAAATAATTCATTGCTTAAAGGCCACTCAGTAGTTTCAGGAGCAAAACTAGTTTGTGAAAGCTGTTGGTGATTAGGCATATTCATTCTTTGGCCGTGCTGGTAAAAATGAGATTGAGGAGCAAGTGTCGTTTCTTCGAATTGAATACTGGCTTGAGCTTGCGATTCAGATGGTGAAACAATGGTTGCTTCAGTGTTAAAGAGAAGATGGTCTTGGAGCGGTTGCTGAATTTGACCCGTCGAGTACTGTCGTAATGCGCTCTCCTCTTGTGATTGGTAGAGTATTGATGCTGCTCCATGTGCATCTCTAAACTCTGTGGGAACCTCGTGCATGTTTTGGTGGTGATATTCGATCTCAGAAACTAAAAACTGTCAGATCCAGTTACCAAACTTAGAAGAGGAGCCATACCGTTGTCATTATATTCGTAGACAAAAGATGCACAATTCTTACGAATATCATCCTCATTATAGCAGTGGCGCAGGGTGTATGTGATCGCCTCAGCGCCATTGTCCATCACATACGATAGAGAAGAGGTCTCTCCATCATGCTCGTTGATGGTCCATTGACCACCAGGCCGTGGCTCTAGAGCTGTCAAACCGGAAATTGGTGGAATTTTTGGAGATCCCATGATGGTATCGGTCGACTTGGTATGGTAATTGGCAATGCTAATTGTGAAAAGAGGTTTTCAGGTAGTGGGATCGGAAATCCTTCAGTGTTTATTTAAAGATTTAGCAGGATGTAAGGAGCGAGAGTATCAACTCAGGAGAGCAGGCAGCTGAAGTATTTCTCCTCAAGAGTGTTTGCCTTGCCTAAAATGTGTTTGTCTAGTAGTAAAAGTGAAAAGAAAGATCGAGAGCAGAAACTGAAGTCCATGATTTCGCCTCACTTTTCACTCACTTGCATCTCAAGTACTGTGCAAGTACTGTGAAGCTTTTCCTTGGGGGGGGAGGCCCACGCCACCATTTATATACGTATTCCATGCGCATATCCGCTAAGCACGTCCGTTGTTTGTGTTGGTTCCTTACCGGATTCGCCATTAGAATCTCCCAATATCTAAATTCATGTGCATAGATTATAAATTGTAGCGTAGAGAAAAGTCATCTTTCTAACTGAGGTCATCTACATATGCATTAGATTGCAGTCTCAGTAAAATTCTGGAAATAAGCTCAGAAGTCCAATATAAGGGGGAAAGCCATTGTCGGCTGTTGGAATTTTTATTCTGGGCTATTATTTCTTGCCTCAGAAGTATTCGCAGCCGTCTGCCAATCTGCATGAGTATGATGGTTATTCCATATGCCCAGTATAGTAAAGAAAAAGTCCAGCATAGAGTTTCTTCATTTTGCCATAGAATCAAATCTTTCTCCTCCTGCCGAGCGTAGTTGACTGTGCCTTCACAACTTCTATAGCAGGGGCACACCATACAGGGAGGGTGCCATATAAATCTACGGCTGGGGTACCGGTAAAGTTTTGGAGAAAAAACGCGAAGTGGGACGGCTGAAGTTTAGCTCCAACACCTTTGTTTGTTAGCATATTGTTGGTCGAGAAAAAGCCAATTCCTTCCGCCACAGAATTTGGAGAATGGTCCCAGAGGGAGTGAAAACTGAAGTGGAGGGCGCACTGACCTAGCACTAAATAAAGGGGGGCTGGTGGGTATTCAGATTAACTCACTTGGCAGCTCTCAATAGCCACTAATAAGTGAACTACCATGCAGATTCCAGGCTCACTTGTAGCTCACCATCACCCATAGCTTTTCAATTCTTCGTGGTACTGAACTTTGGAAATGTTTTATTTCTTCAATATTTCCTAATTCTCACATCAAAGCTATCAACTCTGAATCTACGACTACTTTTTTTTTCCACGATTCCTCCTCAAGCGCCTTTCGGATTTAGAGATTGGCACCCAATTATCACCCGCGAATAATCATTCTGATCCAGCCATCTCTACGTCATCATGGATATGTCACAGCAAATATCTTCTCCGAATCATGAAATTGCAGTTTATCTAGCCGCCATCTGGGATGGACTGAGAGACCAGATAACCCCCTTCCTCAGCGTCCTTTACATCGATGACACTATCTACCGAATGCTGGACAGCCATGGGAGGCGCTATATTGCCAGGAAATTCATGTGAGTCCAATAACAACAGCGAAGATGTTTGCAAGTATTGACCTTGCTGCAGGGAGCATACGAGAGAAGCCGTAATGTATTGTCGTGATGGTAACAGAGGAGATCGTCATTATCTCGGCCCACCGCGTTATTTTATTGCCAATGGCGGAGTGATACATTCTCCTGATGGCCTTGAGCCAATCTGGGCGATGAATGATAGCTTGAATACTCGCCTTGAAAGCGTCGCAGCTTGCCAACCTACGGTGCCACTTAAGCCAACCAAGATTCCACGCCCTCCCAATGCATACATTTTGTACCGCAAGGATCGTCACAATCTGGTTAAAGCTGCCAACCCGGGTATTACCAACAACGAGATATGTAAGTTTTCCTCCATCTTTAGTGAGACTCCTCAGCTAATTACTTTTTACTACAGCTCAAATCTTAGGACGAGCTTGGAATCAAGAATCGAGAGACGTACGGCAAAAATATAAGCAGATGTCAGAAGAAATCAAAATCGCGCTACTGGAAAAGCATCCAGATTATCAGTACAAGCCTCGAAAATCGTCAGAGAAACGCCGTCGCACTCGCCGCAGCCAACAAGCACATGCTATATTGGTCGATGCTAATCTTGCTGCCCCCAACGATGGCGCAGTTGAAGACCATTCCGTCACCTCGGTTTAGTGCCTCACACGATTAGATGCTGAGAAGATTCTATGCGAACGCCTTCAGCTATGGGCTATCATTCTTGCCCTATGGTACGCGTGCAATAACTATAAACCACAAAGCTTCTAATCTGACGAGTTTCAGGATAAATCTGCAACTAGGCTAGATATCCTAGGCGATGATGAGCGCGAAGCAAGTCGCTTCCTCCGTTCTCACAATAGCTGGACTTTGTACTGCCAGGTTTGGTTGAGAGAATTTGCCAAATATTAGCCCGCAATAGGTGCATCAGTGCTTTGTAAGTGTGCATTTACATCAAATTATATTAGTATCTACATGTGCTAATGTATCGTTACACACAGCAACTATCATCTTAACGAAGCAGAAGAACGAGATACCCCATGAGAAGAAATCTTTGTTATAATTTGGTTGAACGGGAAACGGAAATCTCTAGTCTGCAAGTGGAAGGTTAGGACACTCTAAGCGAAGAAAAGACAAGGGAGGCAAACTACGGGCATCACTGCATTTGAGACAGATTGATCACCACAAAGTCACGCATCCAGCTGAAGTACTTAGTAGTGTTAGCTCTACTTGAGCTTCATTGCTGTTAATTTGCCATATAGAGCTATTAGGTAGTAGGACAACAGACACTCAGATTTCACGATTCCTTCATCTCAATTCTACAGGATGGCATACAGCAGTCTCCTAAAGCATTGCGTTCCGAATGTACTTCTTCAGGCATCGACACTAGATCCCCCAGGTCTACCCCTTCAGTAAATGCCAATACCAGATCTATTAGTTGCTTTCTTCTGACATAGACACTAAATCTATATACTTCTACTCTCTTCACATGAACGCCACCGAACATCCCGTAGATTTTCGTAAAGGGGTATTACTGATGCCACTCGGCATTTCAGGACACCATGAATACGAGTCCAATGCCGCCAAAACAGTTACAGTGGCAAGCAGACTGCTGTCCTCTCATTGGAAAGAAAAATGCCGCGGACTCTACAGCCCAGTACGCAGATGCATCCAAGCTCAAATGCAACCGGCGCTCTGCTACGATGGTGATCCGTTCCAGTCGCTACTCCAAATGAAAGTACCGCAACGCCACTCAGAGCCTCGTTCTTTTTCGCCAGAGGGGCCTAGTGGTCGGGCGCAGATATAGAATGACCGTCCTGGAGCAAGCGTCAGCCACAAGCCTGTCTGAGCACGTGGTGAATATGATGGCGTCCAGGCAAACAAGAAGGGTGAGGGCGTGTCTCCATCATTAGATCTAGCAACCAACAACATCCGCTAAGAGAAGAGGTGTGGTGGTGAGAGCAAACGAGCCAACAACTGAAGGTCGCAAAAGCAAAAAGCAAAAGCATAAAGCATAAAAATAACTCGCCAAATGCTAGAGCCATGTTCGGAATAGTCATTGGACTCGGCTGAAAACATGGAGGTGGAGGAGGGGAAGGAGAAGGAAAGGGGGAAGGAAAAGGGAGAAAAGAAAAGAAGAGGAAAGGAAAAGGACGTACCACAATTCACACCCGGTCTCTTCGTGGTGAGGCTGATACAGGGCTCATTATGCTCGCATCGGGGAAGCATCCGCCTTCCCAGAAGTTTCGACCAGGATTCTTTTGCTTGAATCGGATCAAACACTTTGGCAGCAGCTTCCATCGACTGGGTGGAGGCTTTAGGAGCTGACTTCGCTGGAAACGCTGAATCCGGCAACCCTTCCGGCCAATTACTGCCGCTTGTCTCTGGTGGCAGATTTGCAACCGGGGAAGCTAGCTGGACCTGGTGTGACGACAGGGGCTCAAAGGGCTGCGTTGTTGTTTGCTCGCCAGAAAATGGGGCGCTGGTACTTGTGGTCGTGTCGCTGTCCTTTCTCCCTGGCATCCGGTTAGTGGGCGAGGGCTGAAAAAAGCCCTGTAAAGTTTTTTGGCCTTTGATGCCAGCGCGAGAGCTTCTGGCATTCTTCTTTTCCGTGGCGCCCAGATTAGTGTTAGCACCAGTGTCAACCACTTTGTTGCGCTTCGGAGAGGGTGGTTGAGCACGATCGACGGACCCCGCAGCACGTTTTGTGGATTGCGCCTCTGGCTCCGACCCAGTTGGCGATTTCGAATCTGCGGAGTGGCTAGCGCCGCTCAGTCCGAGCCTGTGATGAGCGTGGCTCGTCTTCGTCTTCGTCTGGCTACCAGGCTGCTCCAAGCGTGCCAAGTCGGCCACAGGCTCTCCTTCTGGGGTAGACTCTGTGGCGCTGGAAGGCGCCAGTGACGAAGAATAGCTCGACGGCTTAGCGCCAGCTTTCTTCGTAAACATGTCCCGGATGCTCTGTCGCCGGTCGAACTCAGGAATCAGCTTGGCTGATAAAGGCAAGACGTCCTTCAGATGCCATTCACGGAGGCGTCGACCGTCCCTGTCAACCATGCCAGCTGGATTGACAAGGTTCAACAACGGCACCTTTTCGGTCCCAGTCGTAACGACGTCAGCTAGCGTAGCAAAAACCGGGCAGTGATCAGATCCCATTAGGCCTTCCTGGATGTTGGCCTCTATGAACCAGTCTTTCAGCCCATTGCTGCAAAGCACGTAGTCGATGCGGCTGCCGTTGTTGGCCGGCCGTGTGTTTCGTTTCGTATCCCAGCATGTGTTCATGCCCTCTCGTGCGGGGTGGAATTCTCTGCATAGATCCCACAGCGCAGGCTGCTCCCGCCCTTCATCCCGATCTCCTTGCACCGTGCCTCCGTAGACCAGATGATTGAAGAGGCGGCGTGAAGGTAGGTTCATCCACTCCTCTATGCTCAGACCTTCTTTTCGAAGGTTCTCGACAACGTTGGTGGAGTCGGGCACGGAGCGACTCACGTTCAAGTCCCCCACCAAAACCACCTCCTTGCCCTCAGCGACCAAGTTTCGCACCCTAGCATCGAGGGCCTGCAGAAACTCCATGCGAAATTCCACCCTTGACTCATCGCGGTTAGCCGGGCTGTAAACACCCAAGAGCACAAAGGCAGGGAATTCGAGAATGACGCATCTTCCTTCGGAGTCCAGTAGCAGTTCGTCGATATTTCCTGGGAGCTGTCCTGGTCTTGGGTAGCCCCCAATCTGTTGGTCTTTGGGTAGGTTCCGGAACTGTGTCGATGATTTGGGAGGACAGAGCACACCCAATATGCCTTCTTCAGCCCTAATAGGTGCACAGGTAGCATTCCGCGTGTATATGGCAACGCCAGAGTAGCCTTTGAAGCACCATGTTAACTGCTGTTGCTGTTGCACCCGCGGACAAAACGACGGTGTTGAGCTAAATGTACATACCTTTCTTGTGCTTCGGTAGACTGAAGTATACGTCCCACCCAGGAACCAGAACCATATCATCCGTCAAGTCTTTCCGCTGAATCTTGGTCTCTTGCATCACAACAATGTCGGCTTCGAGAATATCGAACATCGCCTAGGTGGGAGATGACGTGTTAGCACGGATCGGCTTTGGTCAGAATACCTTACGGACCTGAAAAGTACGCTTTTCTCTCCATGGCTGATACCCAAATGGATTTCTGCAATTGCATAAGTCTATAGATTCGCTGCTGGCGCGCGAGGAATGGTGAGACAGACCTTATACCGTTGACTTGAAATTTGTCAGCGTCGTGGTTATTGTCAACGGATATTTTTGAAGTTCTTACCGTTCCACGTCGTAATACGAAAGCCCATCTTACCTAGAACTCTTCCTTCACTCTTGAACACTATCGCAATCTAGCCACTCTTCCACCGCGTGTCGCAACGAGAACATCCCGCTTCACTGGGCCGAATCGGGTGAGGAGATTCGATAGCGGGAGAATGCGGTTGGGCGGGAGGAAATCCGTGCGCATTAAACAAGTGATGGCGCCCAAAAACAATCACATCGGAAGGATTAGCAGTTTTAATACAGTCGCAGAGGCTCACATGCGCCGCCAAGGCACTGCATAGCAAAGCGTAGAGAAGACGGGCGGATGAAGCTGCCCCACGCATCGCGAGAGCTTGCCAACTTCTGCGCGCGAATACGTCACGAGCTCACGTGACGACATCAAATTGACTGCAGCCTGGAGATTGAGGCATCCATGGCCTGGTCTAGCCGAGCTCCATCGAATATGACCTGATCTCACAATCTGCACTTTATAGACTCAAACATCGACGAATTCGAATCGCCCACGATGTTTGCCGCCCGACAGGTTACCCGCAACGCCCCGCGCTTCGCTGCGCAGCTGCGCACTCCCATGCAGCGCCGCTTTGCCAGCACCGCCGAGAACGAGTTCATTGCTGAGCGCCAGCACATCAAGGAACACGCCAAGGGCACCACTGGTGAGTGTTCAAGGTCCCGGTCGCACCAATTGGGTTTGAGGGAAGCTTCTAACTGTGTGTCTAGAGCTCTGGAAGAAGATTTCCATCTAGTACGTTCACCGCCGGCTCTCGATTGAGCGAATTTCCGCGCCGCCCAGCGATGGATGAGGGGAAAAGCTCTTTGAATGCGCCGGATATGTTTGGATCAAGACGAAGAAGGCTGACAAGGTCAAAGCGCCGTCGTTCCTGCGCTGGCTATCGCCGGTGCCAATGCCTACTGGCTGTGGACTGAGCACTGGGAGCACTGGAGCCATCTTCCTCCTCTGCCCGAGCGCACCGAGTACCCCTACCAGAACATCCGCACCAAGAACTACCAGTGGGGTGATGGTGACAAGGTGAGTCGTTGTCCTGCCGCGTATTCCATGATCTGCATGCTAACTAGTATCACAGACTATCTTGTAAGTTCCTTTGCTGCTCGTCCTCAAGAGCAAGATTTTACTGCGATTGCCATCCCACCTTTGGCATAATACCATGACGAAATGCGTGTGCTAACCATGTTGGAAAAAAAAGCTGGAACGAGAACGTCAACTATCACAACAAGGACAAGACCAAATAAGCTGGAACAATGGCTCCCGGAGGAAAACTGCTGGTATTTGTAGATTACCCTTTTTGGGACCCCTCTGTATATTTCCCTTGGAGCTTCAATCGATTACACTGTCGCTGAGGAGAGAGACTTCCATGTTGCGTTTGTGCCATGGCGACTGAGCTTGAACCGTTTTGCAATGTACATTATTCCCTTGTGTCCCTACCTAGTACTAACCTAGTACCTACTACGTACGTCCAACGCTTCTAAATGGTCTCCATTTATACCCCAGCCCCGTAGCAGAAAGCCAGCTCCCACCTGCTATTGCTACATTGTTCTACTGCCCTTGTGATCATATACTTTTACCACCACTATATTTGTAACTGAGATTTTATAATAAAGAAGGAGTTGTACAATAGTTGGCCATGATTCTCCGAGAAAATCCCGGCATCATGCACGAAATGCTGCTTCCTCCCGATCTGGTATGTACTGCCACCCTCGATCTGAGAAAGGTTATACCTGCATTAGGTAAGCTGTTTTTGAACCTCCCAAGATACCTCAGTAGCGCTTTACTCCCTCCAACGCGTCCAGCTACCTCATCCAAGGTACTACTAATACAGGTTCATATCACGTCAAATATACTTGGCTTCCCCCACATGAAAGCGTCAATAACACATTGACCATAGGCGCTGTCTGATCGATTCTTCTCTGAATTGCTCCCTTGTCCAACGTTCACGCAAAGTCTCACACGCTAAGCTGCCAGCTAGCTGTAATATGGAGAAGCATTGAGCTTTGCGGGCTGGGCTTTACAATCACGATTCCACCTGCTGGTAGTCGCAGGATTCCCAGTATTCGATTCCAAACCGGGTGTCTCAAGATTCACCATGTCGCGATATCTCACGCCGGCCAAGGTTGGCCTTCTTGTCCTCATCGAGCTTTACGTTGAAGAGGCGATCCCCAGCGATGCAGTCGTGCCTGTCCTGTCATTCATAGCGTCTCATATGATAGGCTACGATCCCAACGGTCCTTCTACAAGCCAAGCGACGAGATGGACAAAGGCTGAACGCGCCGTCAGTCTGGTGGTCTCGATTAAAGACTTTGAAAAGCTTCTCAGCAGCTATCCATTGTTGACGGGCTTACCCGGGAAGAGACTATGGGACCAATTTCTCAATAATCTGTGGGGGATTGATTCGCTTCACGCACTTGAGGATTTCTTCACAAATCTGTCATCAATGTTTCCCAAATCAAAGGAAGAGCTTCGAAAAGAAGGCCTGGATCCTGACGAACCCGAGCTGGGCGTCAAGCTCTCTCACAACTCGCCTCTTGGTGCTTTCATCCGCAGAGCTCGCCTTGAATACCAACGTCTTCAGTTCCATGACTGTACCGAGCTCTGGAAGGACTTTGTTCGCTATCGACAGCCAACATCTCACTACCAGAAACGGAAGAACCCGGATTTTAGCAGATACAGCTTCGACAATGTGTTGCTGCGTGGCGAGCTGGAGGATTGGGATGTCGACAAGGTTGCGGGCTTGGCATCAGTAGCATATGGCGACATGTTGGCTGGTGATCGCACCGGAACACTTCCCGTCAGCATAGAAGACGTTGAAAATCTACTAGACTTTCAAATTGAGCAGATGCAGAGTAAGGCTGCCAACAACACGGGGACCAATTCTCCTGATCCATCGCCATATGTTTTGCTGACGGTTCAATATGCAGAGTACGGCAACAGGATACCTCTGGAGATTCGGCATCAGTTTCACGACCTCCTCAACGATACCTTCCTAATCCCAAGTCTTACACACTATATCACGTAAGTCTGCGCTCTGTCTATTTGCTCTTTGTCTGCTGATGGCATGCTAAAATACGTGTTCAGCTTCCTCGATGCTTGGAGAGCTGGAGATTATCCAACTGCATTCGAGTTTCTGCACCGGTATTTCGACTACACAATGCAGCATCGTGATCGTCTCTTTTACCAGTATGCTCTGATGAATTTGGCTGTTTTGCAAGCCGACTTTGGTTGTTATAAGGAAGCCATGACGGCGATGCTTGAAACAGTAACCGTAGCGAGGGAAAACCGCGATATGACTTGCCTCAATTTCTCCTTAAATTGGTTATTCCACTTTGGACAGGCACATCCAGAGCTCATCCGTGGTCTACAATCGGATAACCTGCTCGGTACGGGAAAAGAAACGCTGGCCTTCCTCCGGGTCAAGGCCAGAGAAGCTGGGATGTGGACTCTCTGGAGTTCTGTGCTACTAAGCGAGGCAAAACTCTGCCTTATCAACGGCGACAGCATCGCGACCGCTCTTGAACACATGGTAAGAAGTTCGCAGATTATCGTGGAAAAGAATATGAAAGGCATGTTGGGGGCGCACCTCAGCTTGTACTCGTCGCTCTGGGGTAGGCTCGGCCTTGGTCATCTAGCCGCCGTCTCGTGTGAGATCTTTTTACGTTGCCACACCTATCATTCCATGTTCGATGACGAGCTCAAGATACTCAGCCGGTTCTGTCTAGCGCTTCTCGACCAGGGGAAATATCGCGAGGCTATGGAAGTTCTCGACAACGTCGACGAAAACTCGTTGCGCTCATGGAAGCCTAGCCAGTATTGGTATAAATACAGGGGGATTATACGACTCAAAAGGGACTTACACCACGATAACTTGGATGGAGCAGAGCAGCTCTTAGACCAGTTTCTCCAATCCAAGGGCGACGACTTTGAACCCGACCTAGCCTTTGTGATTGACACCGCGCATATAGACTACTTGACACGCCGTGGAGACCTATCATCAGCCTCTGAAAAAGTAGACAAGATGATATCGGAGCTTCAAGATGAGAATAGGGACATATGCCTGCGTGTCAAGGCACTTCTTATCAAAGTTTCGCTTTTAGATCGATGCGGACGGCCTCAGCGTGCGTTTTCAATTGCTCTCCGAGCGGCAAACTTGTGTTTACGGGCGCGGCAGATGTCTCTGCTCTGGGCGTCAATCGGCGCAATATCCAATATACTGGTGTCCATGGGAGAGTTCGAAGCTGCCACACAGCTTCTCACCGCTGCATTGCCACGGAGTCTGGAATGCGAATCTCCAGCTCTCACAGCCAAACTATATGCATACCTCGCTGATGCCAATATGGGACTGGCAGGCCAGTCTCAAGACGAAACCAGAGCTGGTGAAGATGGAGAGACCCCAAAACGGGACCGCGAATCCAGGGGAAGTGAGGCAACGAAAGCAGCTATCCAACGACGCGATGAGTATTTGAATAGAGCGGCGATGGCGGTCCAAAGAGCATTTGACGAGTACTCCAGCATTGAAGACATCACCAACCAATGTGAGATGATGGCGAAGAAGGCGGTAATCATGAAAGTACTTGGGGATATGGCCTTGGCTGCAGATTACGCTGCCGCATATGTTGGGCTCAAGAAGAAGGCCGGGTCACTGAGTTTACAGAGGGGGGAAACTGGATAATATCCTGGGGAGCGGAAGCGGAGGCCAACAAGCCAGGCCCAAGGGAAACTGTAGCATGTTCATCAAGACACCTTGTCACCAAATCATCTTACCCTAGGGATACGATCTGAATATGGGAAAAGTAAACCATTAATAGGACGCATCTTCTATGGATAAAAACATGACGAAATACACAGTAATATCACCAAAATGACTAGGCCGTGAAAGCAACGATCAGGATATCAGAACTACATTGGTTAAAGTTGTTTTGTTCGAGAAGCTCGCAGACAGAAAAAAAAATAGAGGGGGCAGCCTTCTATTCCTCTTGGTAGGAAATCTTCCGCATTTCGCCGAGACGGTGTCTTGCTGAAGCAAGCGCGTTTTCCAGTTGCAGAATCTCAACCTGTGATGGTGAAAGTGAAAAGTCACTCCGGTTAGCTCATGTTCATCAGTGTTACAGGGAGGAAACAATTGTCAGCTTACCTGTTGCTCCATCTCGCGAACCTTGAACTCATGTGCTCCAAGCTTGGAGTAGTCTACCTGGTCCTCCTCTTGGCTTCGCTCACGAATCATGCTCTGAACTTGGCGCACCAGCGATCGGCATGCTGCTCCAACAGCCTTGCTGGCTTGCTCCAGGTGATCCTGGCTCTTGGACATGAAGCCAGCCTTGACTCGGCTGGCAGCCACCAACTGCGCCGTAGACGCCGCGACGTCGTTGGATGCCACAATCAGCTGCTCTGGGCTGTTGCGGTTGGACAGGACTCCGTCTGCCGTCTCGATGAGCGTATTGGTTGACGAAGCTACTGCCTTGGCCGCCGAGATGAGACCCTCGGTCCACCTGTTGTTCTTCTTGTAAAAGGCTGTTCGCGATGATGAGCCTCGCCCAGCCTGCACAATCTCCTGCTGTGTCGCCGTTGCCGCGCGAATGAGCTCCGCGATGGCCGTTGTGATGGCTGTAGCAGCATCCAAAATTGAGTCGTGCACCTTGACCTCGTACGAAGTGTATCCATCACGAGGCTTGTTCTTCAGCTTAGCAAGGCGAGCCGCCGCCGCCGCAATGGCGTCAGCCGCTTTGCTCAACTCGGAGTCCACCAGGTCTCCCAAGTCTCCCTTGTTGTTCATCAACTTTCCAAAGCCAGGAGCGAGACCCTCGACCAGCTTGTTGAGCTTCTGCAGTTTCATCTGCACATCGTTGTTGCTGTTGATGACAACGTCTGTCTTTTGCAGCGGCTCCATTCCCTCCAGGCGGAAGCTCTGTAAGCCCCTGAAAAACTGCACGGTGGATTGGGCCGATTGCCTTGCGCCCTGCATCAGCGCGTCAGTCTTTTTGTCATCCGTCGCCAGACGCACCACACCCTTTGTATTGCTGCACACATCGGCAACAGCTCCAGAGAAGACATTGATGGCCTTGATCAGCTCTGAGTGTGTGCTGTTGGGTCCGTCTGCGATGAAGTTGTTGAAAGCAGTGGCAAACTCCATTGCGCTTCCAGACGCCTTCTCAATCTGAGAGAGGACATATGTTGGCGACGCATTCTGGTTACCGGCTTGCATGGACGAATCCAACTCGTAGAGAGCGTCGTCCACTCGCGCGACACCGGCCTGCAGCACCGAATCAATAATGTCGTTAATCTTATCCAAGTTGGATAAGATCAGTGCGTCGATTTGTCCGTCCAAAGCATGATCTGTCTCTCCCTGGTTCTGCTTCAGCTCGTTCAACTCAATGAGTGTCTGATCCATTCCTGCTTTGTACACCTCAAGCTCTTCTTCTTTGTCGCGCAGGAGCTGTTCGAGATCGGAATCGCCATCTCGGATTTTGCTCTGAGCCTCCTCCAAGGCCCGGGACTTGATCCGCAGTGCCTCTTCCAAGTCACTCATCTCACGGTTGTACTTGGAGAGCATTGTGGATAGCTCGTTGCCCTTGCTACGCTCAAGATTGTCGGCCCGATCTTGCGCCAAGCGGAGCTCTCGTTTGAGCTTCTCTACCTCATCCTTGCTGCTTCCGCTGGCCCGATCCTTGTCGTGAAGAGCTCGGTCACGCTCTCGGATCATATCAGCTAGCTCAAGATTCTTCGTCTTGATCTCTCGCTCCAACTTTTCGCGCTTCTCAATGGCTTCCTGGGCGCTTGCGGCCTTGAGCTGTACTGCCTTGAACTTTTGCAGGAGATCCAGGTGCTCATGTCGAAGCTGAGAGTATAGCTTCGCGAGGGACTCATACTTTGATCTCCAAGTGTTGACTTGCTCTTGCAGCGCTTTGATCTGGTCGTCCTTGCTACTCATCTGGTGACCATAGCTGTTTTGAATTTGCATCAGCTCGCCTTCCAGAGCCTTGACACGTTGATCGTATTGCTGTAGCATCAGCTGGTCACGCTCGTATTGCGCCCGTGCGTTAAGATTCTCCCGCTCGAGTTCGGCCAGGCGACCTTGCGTCTGCCATTGCGCTTGTTGCGCAAGAAGCGCCTCCTGTTCCCGCTGCTGCTGTTCCATCAAACGCCGCTGTTGCTCTTCGAATTCGCGCTGGGCCTGCTGCTGGGCCTGTTGTTGCGCCAAAAGAGCAGCCCTCTGTCGCTCTTCAAGAACTCGCTGTTGCTCTTCGTATTCACGGTTTTGACGATCCAGTTCACCCTTCCAAAATTCGGAAATCTCATCTGGCTCCTCCGACTTGGGGGCTGGCGCGGGAGATGGCTGGCGCTCGATTTCTTGCTTTGGTCTAGCGGGCAAGGCCGGAGCATCATCATCGGTAGCAAGGAGGTTCGGCGGATCTTGCGGCAGTTTGGGGATTGTGATGAGACTTGTCAGGTATCGAAGGTTGGAACATTCGTAGTAGAATTTGACCAAGCGATAATGCTGAGCGTCGTACCGCTGACGGAGGGGCTGCAGTGCATCATCGTCGCCAGTGACTATTACGCTCAGGTCAGTACTCATTCTCTGCAGGTGGGAGTCTTGACTCACTGGAGTGCATGGCGCGCAGCATGCTGGTAATGAACTTGTAAATGCCGTAGCTCTCCTGAACCAGGGGCACCAGAGCTGCAATTCGACACTCATTGTTTCCAACATTTCTGAAATGCGAAAAGATCAATTTCTGAAACTGCTCTATCTTGTCTTGCAGCACCATCAAGTCAGAGATGGTCTCATATCCCTCGTTCGGGTCGTTAATGGCCTTAAGACTGAGGTACTCCTCATACTCAAAAGTGCCGTTGAACTCTGGGTGCTGTTGGTGAAAAGACAGCTTCGCAAGGAGGTAGTATACGTATTCGCGAATCAACGGTCCGTATCCTCGAACTCCTTCTCCGCTCATTCCGCGGTTCAGGGAATCAATCCACGAACGGTTGGCCATTGCTTCCTTCAAAGCCGAAGGATGGCCTTCCTGCAGAACTTTGTGGACAGTGATCAGAGCTTTGAATGTCTGGACTTCGTCGGCAAGAATGGGTTGGCTGCGTGGACATAGGGCGTCGTAATCAGCACAGGCTACTGCAAACCAAGGGCCTCCCAAATCAACTTACACCTTCATGGCTGCCCAGAAGGGCTGCGAGGTCCGGTGATCCCACGTATAGACGATACATGCTCGCACATGTTTGCGCTTGGGAGAGATTTCATCGGGGTTGGTGGCCTTCTTGATGCTAACGGCAAGCTCTTGATCGGTCCTAGTTGGTGAAACAGACACAGATAAGCAGGTGTCATCTTAAACAGGCAACCCATATCTAGATCTAGACGAAGAGGCGTGACAAACTTGGTATGCTCGGTGGTGCGTATGGAAGCCATGGTGGGCGTAATACAGCTCAAAGAGCTCGGCGGCGGAGCTTGGATAGGAGGCACACGATGGAGCAGTCGCAAGAGCTCGCACCCAAGGCGCTGGAGGTTAAAGGACAGGGACCGGTGAGGCTGTAATTTGCAGTGCTTCCGGAGAGCCGAACTGCCCCTGATCAAAAAGATTATGGCCCAATCTGCAGCACACAGAAAGGCAGAACTATGGCCAGTTCGGAATGGAGGGAAAACGAATGCGATTGAAGCTGCGGACAGGCGAGCATCGTCACCATGTGGGGCTTAGCGGGCCATTAATTACCTGGGCGACGCGGTCTTAATATTAATCCGATTTCTTTCAACAGACATCAGGAGGTTGAGCCTTTGTGCTGCAAAATTACATAATCTTGTCATGAGATTATATATCATTTGTTCCTCCAGGGTAATTAATTACTACCTGGGTACCCAGTAGTATCATGGTTCAGATCAGTATGTGAGCTGTTCATCAGAGGAGGGGGGTCTGTAGTTTGGACGAAGGCAACAGATCTGTAGTTCAGTGCGGGACTAGAGTGCGTTTGACAAACGCTGTGTGGAATTTAGATATAGCGGCGATGATGGTAATATATTACACAGTATCAACTCTATATTCTTCGGCTCACTTATAACAAAACTGTTATTGGAACAGTCTATTGGTGTATATGGCCTGCAATTGGAAGACAGCATTATAACAATACAACCCAATTGGCACTGTCATCCACATGGCATACCTCATAAAAGATTACGATGGGTTTGAACAAACGTCCATTACAAGGTCGCGGATCCAGCTGTTCACACAGGGAACAAAGCAAAATACCCATAATTGAGTCGACAAAGAGTGACTGCTGGGATGAGTAGACGTCATGCTTTACTTAGACGGTCAGTGCCGAGTCCAATGATATCCCAAGTTCACAATTCGAGCGTGAGATATTAAATTGCCATCTGATCACCAAGTCTATTAGGTTATATCTTCAATATCAGTCCCGAATACATCCAAAAACCAGCCAGTCACCACGGAATCAACGGGAGACACTGCACAATTTGTACAAGGTATTTGGATACTCGACTCTTCCAAGAGGAGTATTCACGGAGAATGAATGCACTCTTTGTCGATGTCATATTGTCTCATTTGCTATGAACATCAAATAAAAAAAATGCAGACCTTGGTCACATGCTGAGTTCTTTTTCCATCCGAACGCAACACCCTAAGAAAAACCGAAGCAAGCACCACGCCGACCCTTCCTTTAAATAGTGGTTTCGTATGCCAGAGGGACAACAGTCTCAGGAGGGTTGTCAGTCAGAGAGACTGTGACGGCATCCCGGGGGAGAGCAGGCTGTCGCTTAACCTGGACGGTAACGCCATCGGCTCTGGCCTGCTTCTTGGCGGCCGCGTTCGCCTTGACTCGCTTGATGAAGTCCTCACGGGATCGAGAGGGCTGGATGTGCTCGATTCGGACGTTGATGCGCTTCTCGATGTAGCGGTGCTTGACCTTCTTGTAGATGATGATGCCGACGGCGCTCTTGGTGACGTTGTAGATAACGCCAGTCTTGCCGTGGTAGACCTTGTAGGGCATACTGCCAAGTGTGTTAGTTTCCTCTTGAATTTCGCAATGTCCAGACTCCTAAGCACAAGGTTTCCTTACCCCTTCTGGACAGCACCGTTGGCCTTGATGTCGACAATGTCACCGACGCTGGGCAATTGTTAGCTGGCTTGATTTCGAGCGCCAGAGATTCTTCGGACTGCACTCACTGGTACACCTTCAGGTAGGTGTTCAGGGCGATCATGCCCTTTTGGCGGAAGTCCCTGCTGAAGGCATACTGCAAACCCGTTAGCAACGAATGTCTTCAACATCACCACTCCGTCACAGATGGGATAGACCAACTCGGGTGCCCGCTCGCTTTCCGTAAGAGTGACCCATCGCGCCTGATTGCCGTCGATATTTCGTTCGAGGATTGACGAGGATGGAGTTGAAGCTTTGCTAATTTGGCGTGGTGAAATTACGCACGGCGTGTGGAAGCGAATATGCTTAGATAATCCACTTAATTTTTTTTTCCGCCGTGGTGATAGGGCAGGCTTGTGGGATTTGGTGGAAATGGCACATGTAGCCCGGCTTAGGGCTCGCTGCGGGCGGTCACGTGGGTGAATTTCGGCGCCAAATTTCCTATCCACACAACCTTGATGATTTTCGAGATCACCTGCGCAAAAGTTCACCAGCAGCCACCAACTCCAGGAAGCAAGTCAAGTGAGTCTTGAGAAATTTCAATTCTGACGATCCAAGTCATAATCTCTGACTGTTAATACAGAATGGCCCCTCGTGCGCATTCCAAGACCTCGCGTGTCCCTCGTCGACCCTTCGAGTCTGCTCGTCTGTCAGTATTCACCGGCCACTGAACTTAGAGCATGGCTCTGTTCAAGTCGATTGTGACAAGGAAACTGACATGTTTTCATCAGGGACTCGGAGCTGAAGCTCGTCGGTGAATATGGCCTGCGCAACAAGCGTGAGGTCTGGCGAGTCGGTTTGACTCTGTCCAAGATCCGTCGTGCTGCCCGGTAAGTTTTGGTTGCCGTAGCCACCTCGAAGCGTTTCTCCAACTAATGGTCAATTCCTTGCAGTCAGCTTCTTACCCTCGACGAGAAGGACCCCAAGCGACTTTTCGAAGGCAATGCCCTGATTCGCCGTCTCGTCCGTGTCGGTGTCCTCGACGAGTCCCGCATGAAGCTCGATTACGTGCTCGCCCTGAAGATTGAGGATTTCTTGGAGCGCCGCCTGCAGACCTGCGTCTACAAGCTCGGCCTTGCCAAGTCCATCCACCACGCCCGTGTTCTGATCCGCCAGCGCCACATCCGCGTCGGCAAGCAGATCGTCAATGTTCCCTCTTTCATTGTCCGTCTCGATTCCCAGAAGCACATTGACTTCGCCTTGACCTCACCATTCGGCAGCGGCCGTGCTGGTCGTGTCCGCAGAAAGAAGGCCAAGGCCGCCGAGAAGGGCGAGGATGGCGAGGAGGAGGAGGATGACGAGTAAATGCATCACATATTGTGCTAATGACTCTCCTGCATAAGAAGCTGGTGGTGACTGAAGGATATCACAAGCAGGGAAAAAAAGGTTTCTCTTCCTAGCTTTCGGCGTTGGCCAAAGGATACAATGGAATGATTTAAAAAAAAAAAACATGAAAACGTAATTACCACAGGGATTTGACATGCCGTTTGTGAAAATGAAATCCCATGTCTGCTGTGAATGAAGTGCATATTGATGTCCGTAAAATGTCTGGCGATGGTATTGTTTTTGTGAAGAGATATGTATATGCAATAAGATCGCTAACAATGATGATTAGGTTTATGTACAAAGTGATGTCCTTCAGCTTAAGAGCTCGTCCGTGCCTATCAATTTTGCCATCGGATCCTGGGCAACTGTTCTCTTTCGGCGGTACTCATCCATTTCGGCTTCCGAGACCCCATTCATCATCTCTGCCTGCGTACGCTTCTTGGTCTTTGCGCTTTGGGCCGCTGATTCTGGTTCAGCCTCTTCCTTCTCCGTAGGCACCGGTTCAGCCTCCTGATCCAATACAGGCGCACCAAAGCGCTGGCGTTCAGCAGCCTCCCATGCTTCTTTGCCTTCCTCGCCAGTACAATAACTGTTCTTGATGAACGAGTGGCAGCATGCATAGCCCCATTTGAAATTTGACCACCAACTGCCCCAAACAGATGTGTGATTGTTGATCAGTGTGTCCTCCACGTATTTTGATTTTGCGCTCCTGAGAGGGGCTCCCTTGATAAGACCGGCCTCATCGTACTCAACAAATGTTTCAGATTCCGCAATGGCCATATTGCGCAGTGCGGCCGGCATTGCTTTATGCCCATCGCTCCCGTACTTGTCCAAGAGTTTTTGTTCCCGCTCCATGCGCCTCTGCTCCGCCTCTTCCGCTTGCTTCTTACGGTAGAAGGCACCGGCCGTTGGATTGGCTTGCAAGTGTTGTGATGTATCGCCGCTTTTTTCTTGAGCTTCCCACGCATATCTTTGCGCCTTTTCAAAGTCACCAGCATCACCGGAGGATCTCATGAAGCCTTCTTCTGCAAATAAATCGGCTGCCTTGTCTGCCGTTGCGCCTGAATTGACGAGTGCTCTGGTTTTGGGGTCATACTTTGCAGACTCCAAGTCAAGGTTCAGGAGATACTTGGCAGTGTCTTCTCGTATTCTAAGTTGTCTGGTTGCCGTACTTTGATGCTTGCTCATGTCGTTTTCTTCAGCGTATTTATCGCCATCATCCTTCTCATCGTCGTCGTCGCCATCGGTAGTCTTTTTGGCTTGTTTTCGCAGATCCTCCATTTGGTTATAATCGTCGATTACTTTGCGATATTCTCTTGCATCGTACCCATTCCAGCGATCTCGTTTTGCATCCCATCCAAGATTAACATCCTGGATAATCTCGTCCGCCTGAATATCCTTGCCCGTCCACTTGGCACCCTTTGCTCGTGGTCGGCTCAGACAGTCTTTGGCTTTATGTGTCATCGAACCGCAGTTTTCGCAGGCACCTTTCCGGTACTTTGTCGCGGCTGGTCCAGCCTTCTTGCCACGATCGTACCATTGCGACTTTTCGTTTTTCTCTTCGCGACGCTGATGCTTAAGGTAATCATTGTCATCACCTTCTTCGCCGGCATAGAATGGCCGTTTGCTAATGAACGATGGGATGTAAATGTTTTCCTCTTTGGAGGCGGCACCCGTTTCCGATTTTCGAGGCGGCGGCGGCGGCGGCATGGTTCTTGAGAGAGAGGTGATATGGAAGCAAGGCCGATTCTATTTGCAAGAGTCAAGGTATTACGGAAGGGAGTGGGATAATATGTGCGCTGTATCGGCTTTGCAAAGAAACGGGAGAAGCTGAGGATGGCTGAGATCTTGGTCGCGAAACAAGCATCCCAAATGTCAGTAAAGAGGATTGATAGGCCTTTATCGACACGTGATCACGCGCTTGAGAACCCCCACCAATGACGCGAGTTGACACGCCTCTTTCATGAGCTTGTGATAAACCGCGAGGCAATGCAATCGTCCACTCTCCGGCTGTTCTCGAGTCGAGCGTAATCTTATGGATCTGTTCGCTCAGAAGAATGGGCTTGTTCCGCCTCCGTCTGAATTGTATTGATCATTATCAAGCGCTACCAAGTAGGCATGATCCGCCACTTCGCAATGACGCCCAGGAAGCCCCGCCCTTGAATGCTACCAGGGTTCCTGTTATTCGAATATTTGGTTCAACTGAGTTCGGCCAGAAGGTTTGCGCTCATGTGCATGGGGTATTCCCTTATCTATATGTGGAATACGATGGCGACTTGAATCAAGATGCGGGTGAGCTTCGCTGTGTGGCACCCGCCTAACTTGTGCTAATAGATATCGTCTATAGTTGGGGCGTTTATATATCGCCTACACCTCTCCATCGATCATGCGCTGGGCATAAGTTACCGGCGCGATCAATATGGAGACAAGGTGAAGTATGTTGCGCGAATTACGCTGGTGAAAGGGATACCATTCTATGGGTACTCTGTCGGCTATAAGCCTTTCCTCAAGATCTACATGTTCAATCCTGTTGTGATGACACGGTTGGCGGATCTACTTCAGCAAGGCGTTATCTTGAAGCGAAAGTTTCAACCCTACGAAGCACATCTCCAGTATCTCCTCCAGTTCATGGTCGACTACAACCTATACGGATGTGATTACATCGAATCGTCGCAAACGTATTTCAGATTTCCAGTTCCTGCACACGATGCGAATACTCCCACGTCTTCACATTCCTGGAATGAGCACACTGTTCCAGCTGCATTCATCACGAATGAACTGACACTCCCGCGAGAAAGTTATTGTTCGATTGAAGTTGATATCGCTGCCCAAAGTATTGCCAACAGAGGAAAGGTCAAAGAGCGACCACTTCACCATGACTTTACCGAGTTTGTAAATCCCCCAGCCGGGGATTTAAAGCTCGTCTCTAGCATGGCCGGACTTTGGAACGCCGAGGCTCGAAGGCGCCAGCGTCAAATTCCATCCGGCCAGACGCTTACCCAGCATTTCGGGTCTTCTTTTCCACGTGAGGCCCTAGTATCGATGTCGGCGGCGGACTCTCGATTATCTCAACTGCAGGCTTGGATGCATGAAGAAGAGTATCGCCAAAAGGTAGAATTCTTGATTTCCAAAGAAAGAGAGCAATGCCACGAGTCAGAATTAAGCCTAGATACCTTTTTGAAACCGTTACTCCAGGAAAGCTCCATTAAAACAGCGTTACAGTCTGTTGAAGATCTCTACCCTTCTAATATATTGCCTCTACTGGGGCTTTCTCCCAGTGCAGCACACCCAAACAAGTATCCTAGTAGCAGTATCGAGGTCGATGAAGCGAAACTTCAGCTCTCTCAGCTAGATGAAGATGACTTTCTCGCAGCGGACTCGGATGCATCCGATTTAGAACAATTAGAACAAGAGGTTGGAAAGGAGCATGGGGATGTACCAATGAAAAATATCGACCACTTGTCGCTTAATCTCAGGAAGGTCGACTTCAGCAAAAAGCCCGAAACTGTGGGATTTAACATGCGGATCCTAGGGGTTGTTGAAAGTGGTTTTTCAACTGGCCAGATCCCACGAATCCCCGTACCATCTAGTCTTGTTGAAGCAGCGCAGCGCAACCAGCTTACCTATAAACGTGGTGGGAAGGCTGTGACTAGTCAAGGGATCAAAGCAGTGAACAAACGGACAGCATCGTGGCCACTGAACAACAACTTGGTTAAAAAGGCTAAACATGGTGCTGCATCTCCGGAGAAATCTTTGCCACTTTTAAGAGGCGCGGATGAACCAAGCATTTTTTACCAATCACAGCCTTTGTCTCAATCTACCAACATTTCCAAGTCATCGCAGCGCAATTTCAAGGAGGAGGGACCCAAAGCTTTTGGCCACGTTGTGACTTATGCTATCCCTCCGCCCTCTGCTGCCGATGTTACCTGGAATAGCGAACATGGCCTACCAGAAGTCATATACCCGGATGCTTTCTATAGCAATGAGAAGGATCTTTCATTACGACGACGGGAATATGCCGGCAAGGAGTTTCAGCTCATCAGTGATACCCTGCCATTCCTACCCGAGTTCGACCCAGCTGGCAATTCTTCACAAGTCGGGAGTCAAAATGCCGAGACAGGGCTCTTCCAGAAAGCCCGCATGCGGCAAGATGACCAGCGACTGAGGAAACTCTGCTCGTGGAGAAGCTGGGAGATTGCGCAACCTCCTCCTTCGTACGAAGAAGTTGCCGGGTGGCTGGTTCGGAATGAAGCTGCCAGCGTCACAACGCCCAAACCAAAATTGAGCCGCCCATGGCTCTCTCAAATAGACGGGCCAACGCCAAAGTCCAAGTATGACTTTAAGTATAGCCAAAAACAGCCCTCGTCGGCTGTACCACATGAGGCTCAATACATGAGCACGATGAGCCTCGAAATCCATGTAAATACAAGAGGGAACTTCGTCCCCAATCCTGAGGAGGACGAGATTCAGTGCATTTTCTGGCATTGGAAAGATGATGAGGCAATGGGCAACGCTGCACGTGAATTGCCAGGATCATCCAAAACTGGGGTCCTTGTTCTCTCCTGCGACGATGTTTTAGCTAACCAAGTGAGAAGCGTGGTGCCTGATGAAGTCATTCATGAGTCATCAGAGTTGGATCTACTTAATCGAATGGTTGAGATTGTCAGATTTTATGACCCAGATATACTAACTGGTTACGAAGTCCACGGGGGCTCATGGGGCTACCTAATTGAACGGGGAAGGCTAAAGTATGACTACGATCTTTGCAATGAATTTTCCAGGATGAAGGCACAATCAAAAGGCCGTTTTGGAAAGGATAGTGATCAATGGGGCTTCAATACGACTTCGACGATTCGGGTAACGGGAAGGCACATGATCAATATATGGAGAGCCATGCGTGGTGAAGTAAATCTTCTCCAGTATACCATGGAAAACGTGGTGTGGCATCTTTTGCAGCGTCGAATACCACATTATTCGTGGAAATCTCTCACGTCCTGGTATCGCAGTGGCAAAGCGCAGGACTTGAACAGGCTTTTGAAATACTACCGGACACGGACCAGACTGGACCTGGAGATCCTTGAATCCAACGAGCTAATCTCGAGGACCAGCGAGCAGGCAAGGCTTCTTGGCGTCGATTTCTTCTCTGTGTTCTCCCGTGGCTCGCAGTTTAAGGTTGAATCCATCATGTTTAGGATTGCAAAGCCGGAGAACTTCATACTGGTCTCTCCGAGTCGAAAGCAAGTTGGCCAACAGAATGCTCTCGAGTGTCTGCCATTAGTAATGGAGCCGCAGAGTGCCTTTTACAGCAGCCCTCTGCTTGTACTTGATTTCCAAAGTCTGTACCCTAGCGTTATGATTGCGTATAATTATTGCTACTCGACTTTCCTAGGGCGGATCACAGATTGGCGCGGTAAGAGTAAGATGGGGTTCGCCGAGTATAAAAGACAAGATGGCCTATTGAGTTTGTTGGAAGATCACATCAATATCGCTCCAAATGGGATGATGTTTGTGAAACCCGAGGTTCGGAGATCTCTGCTCGCCAAGATGCTAACGGAAATCTTGGAGACGAGAATAATGGTCAAGAGCGGGATGAAGCAAGACAAAGATGACAAAGCTCTACAACAGCTGTTGAACAACAGGCAGCTTGCCTTGAAGTTGCTCGCCAATGTTACCTATGGTTACACGTCGGCCTCGTTCTCAGGTCGGATGCCGTGCTCGGAAATTGCGGATAGCATTGTACAAACTGGTCGCGAGACGCTGGAGAGAGCCACTGCTTATATCCATTCGGTGGAGCGATGGGGCGCCGAAGTGGTGTATGGTGATACCGATAGTCTTTTCATCTATCTCAAAGGGCGATCAAGAGAAGAAGCATTCGTCGTCGGACAAGAGATTGCCCAGGCCATCACGGAAAGGAACCCCAAGCCAATAAAGCTCAAATTCGAAAAGGTCTACCACCCTTGCGTCCTGCTTGCTAAAAAACGCTATGTTGGGTACAAGTACGAGAGTAAGGATCAGACAAAGCCCGAGTTTGATGCCAAAGGCATAGAAACTGTCCGCCGTGACGGGACTCCCGCTGAGCAGAAAATCGAAGAGAAGGCGTTGAGGCTCCTCTTTGAGACGGCGGACCTGAGCCAAGTCAAGGATTACTTTCAGAAGCAATGCGAGAAGATGATGCGTGGCAAAGTATCGATTCAAGACTTTTGCTTTGCCAAAGAAGTCCGTCTCGGTTCTTATGCTGAGAACGGTCTACCGCCTGCAGGAGCAATGGTCAGTGCAAGGAAGATGTTGCAAGATGCCAGAGCAGAGCCGCAGTATGGCGAACGAGTCCCGTATGTGGTAATCACTGGAGCGCCAGGTGCCCGGCTCATCGATCGATGTGTCTCGCCGGAAGAGCTTCTCCGCAACCCTCACTGGCAGCTGGATGCAGATTACTACATCTCCAAGAACCTGATACCTCCGCTGGAGCGAATATTTAATCTTGTTGGCGCCAACGTGAGGCAGTGGTACGACACCATGCCAAAGATACGGCGCATTCACCGGACCCAAGGGGCAGGACAGAAGAAGTGGACGCTGGAGTCATATATGCACTCGGTAAACTGCATGGTCTGCGGAAGGAAAATCGCCAGCACCACGGAGGCCTCGCTGTGCCGCTTCTGCCTTGCCACGATACCTGCTTCGCTGCTGATGCTGCAATCGAGACTCACAGAGGCGGAGCGCAAATACGAGGAGACACTACGTGTATGCCAGAGCTGTGAAGGGATCAGTCCTCTGCAAGAGGTTACATGCGACAGTCATGACTGTCCCGTGTTTTGGACTCGCACGAAGCTGAAGACCAAGATGCTTCACGAGCAAGCGGTGACGAGACCCATGATCAACGAGTTAGATGCCAAGATGGGAGGCGTTTCGCTGAACTGGTAGCATAGACACACAAGAACCCGAAGGATAATGCACATTTACTGGCTCACTGACAGAAACTGGCATGCCACTAGATGAATGGGCAATTTGTCTATATTACTGATGCTCCCCTTGCCTAAACGCCAGCGCTAATTACAAAAAACTAAATCATCCTACTTAGGTAGCCTAAGATTTGCTCTGCGCGCTTTCAACCTATGTAGTTACCTATCCGTTCTATCCGTCTTGTACAAGTAAATCTATAATAATAAAAAGAGAGGAAGATGAAAATGCTCGGCATTAAAACCTTGAGTGTTTAAGATAACCAGGAGCATAGACTCAGCGTGCCGGATTCTAGTCATCCACCATCCATGCGGAATAATCATCGTCGTCATTCGGCTCTGGCAAAGCTGATGGACTTGGTGGAATAGGCCGGCTCGCTGTATGAGAACTTCCTGCTTCCAAGCCGTTAACTGCGTCGCCCGCGGAAACGAGAGGTGTAGATTTGATGCCACTGGCACTGGTTTCGCTACTTTCCTCCATCTCCGGGAAATCTCTATTCCAAAGCGCAGTCTGGTGTGCCTCGTCGTCGACTGCGGGGGTATTAGGCTGTGAGTCGTCTGGCGCAGCAACAATGAGGATATTTGGGCTATCTTCTTCTTCCTCTTGATGGCTATCTTGTCTCCTTCTCCGCGGCGGGGACGGGCGTCTCCCCGGTGAAGGCATAGCACCATGGTCATCTTCAGTCACAAGGGCGAGCGGATCCTCCAAGATGATGGGAGGGGATCTTCGCTTTGACGTGGGAACGGGCCCTATCTTGGTGCCACCATTTGTTGGCATCGGAAGTGGTGTCCCTGGTGGCGGAAGGGGCTGCCCTCGGCCCATGGGCTGGCTCAAATCGACAGGGGTATTTTTATCATTGTTCCTCATGGCTTCTCGTTGTCTTTGGAGGGCATTCCACCCCCATTGCCTTGCTTGGGCGGCTGCATTTGTGACTGCTGCCAAGGTATTCCTCTTTTGTGCTGTCACCTCACCATCGAGAGAGGTTGCGGCATGGGGATGTTCTCGCTTTTGGAACAGGTTACGGCTAAATGAGCCTGCCTGGGATTTCAGTGAGCTGGCGGTAGACGTCCGAGAGAGATCTGGCTCAGAACCCATTGTTGGTCCAGAAATTGATGCCGCATGTTGTTGTGGTTGGGGCGCAAGCTTGTGGTCGGCATTCATATCGTCGTCCGTGCTAGAGTTGAGGTGCAATTCTTTTGAAGAAGAGGATGACCGCCTAGAGACTAGAGTGGACTGTGACGCCTTTTTGGTTATCGGTATCGGTCCTGGTGAGGCATCTTGGGATCTGGAGCGCAATGCCGCCATATGGCTCATGGCATAGTCCGGTGGAGATGTCGAGGGTTTGAACAGATCAGCATGGGTTATTTCTGTTCCGACAATGGGCTCAGTAGAGGTTTTAACGATCCTAGGAGAATGGACCGGGGCTGGAGGTGCAAGATCCACGCTGGTTGATGACGCCAGACCCGACAACGGAGTTCCTAGTCTGTCTGCTTTCTTCTCAAGAGGGCTGGGCGCTGGCTCTAGAGGGTCAATTACTGTCATTCCTTGGCTCTTCTCTATGGATTGAGCATCATCAGAGGGTTGGACAACGCCGGCGTCGACAACATCTGGAATTTCACCATCGCCAACTTGGGCCAAGGGTTCGGTAGGCTGTGGAGAGGAGGACTTGACTGCGTCGTCTCCTTCAAATATTCCACCTCTCAAATGCTTGTGTTCCGTGTTAAAGAAGGGAACGTCATCCCAGAAAGGCTGAACTAACGTCTCAGCAAAGACTTCCTTGATGCGATTTTCTATCTGACGAGTGATGACGGTATAGGTGATTTGTCTCGAGCTGACAATGGGCTCGATGGTCATTTCCAACTTTGGCATCGTCTGGAAGGAGAACCATATTCTGTTGCTGGGAGGCGGTTTGATTTTAAACAGAACATGACCTTCTAGCCTGCGAAGAACCACGGCCAGAATCAGGTTTACTTCTCGAACTTTGAACCTCGCCCCCAAATCGATCCTCGCTGTAGCAGCAACCTCGATCCGAAAGCTCCCGGTGTATCTCAGGTCAGCCTCTACAACACATTCACCCTCGACGTTGAGATCTTTGAGTTTCAGATTGGCGAGGTATGGTGCAGCATCTCCGGTGTCTATTTGCTGGATCTTGATGTTGGTGAGGAACGAAGGTGTTTTGACGCGCGAGATCTTTTTGGTGATTTTTTCGTGGATAAATGATTCCAGGTCTCGGGTCTTGTACACGCCCAGGAAAATCCTACCAATGAGTGCGTTAATCCAGCGAAAGTGCGACTGGTCTTCCGACGAATGTAGCTTCTGTACGAGCGAAATGATGGATTTGAGGTCAAAATGTTTGGGGACTGGCGCAATTTGTTCGACACCGAATGTATGCTGTTGGTTTTTGAGCATGGCAAAGTAGAAATCCTCCTTGGCCGAGCAATTTTCGGAAAACAAGTAGAACGGCTTAGATCCCTGATTGTCCGGCGTATGATCGGGTTCGTTGGCTTTTCGCGTCAAGGATATTGCGTTTCGTTTGATAAAGAGTTCGCCTTCGGGTGTAACATCGCCTCCCGAATATATTCCTATTCTGTGGTGTGCTAGAGAAATCACATGTCGCACTTCGAGCTGCTCCTCGTCGTCGAAAAGCATTAGATGCCCGTGTCTGCGGCTGGTCAATACGAGGAAGGTGTTTCGTGTAGGATGAGACGTGTGAAGAAGCCTACCTTAGCACCACGTAAAAGACATTGCCTGCCTTCTTGGGTCTTTGGCTAACGCTGCTGCTATTTTCCATGGAATTTGCGGCAGCCTTGCGATCGAAGATGCTCCTGTACATTGTCTGGTAGACGCTTGGACTGGTTGGAGTCACGGTGGCCGAACCGATGGGTGTTGAGCGCTCCACGGGCTTTGCGTTGATTCCCATGGGTATGTATTCACGGCATACTGCAAAGTATCCGGCAGCGACATCGATGTCGGTGTTTGCTCTCTTGGATTCGCTGTTATTCCTCTCCCTCCTAGCTTCATCAACCGCAGTTGTGTCATCGCCGGGATGGACAATATCGCCCTCATCTTGGTCATCTTGGATGCCGAGGACGCGCTGGTAGGGTAGGTTATAGTATCCCAAGATGAAAATCGAAGCAACCACCAAAGGTACAAACGTCACGCCGCCGACAAGGTAGGCTACTAGAATCGTGGTCCAGGCAGCCATGGCGAGAGAATGGACGGACAGGCAGCTATAGATCCCACAGGGGACGATAGCGGCCCGCTACAGACGATCAAGGCGAAAACAACGCGAGGTGGAAAGAAACGATCATTATGCTGCGCTGGAGAAGAAGTCGACAAATCGATGATAATCAAGCTGTTGCATAGCTTGAAGGTGAGCTGGCCAGAATGATGCTTGACTTGAGGCTGACCTACGTCATGTGATGCTGGCAACCGGTTAGGTAATGCCGACCCGGGCCGTGTACCCTTCCGACTCATGTACCGAGCTGCTCAGCGAGATTATGCACTTGAAACAGGTAGTCTCATCAAAGTGGTACTTGGCTGTCGCACTTTGTACGGGTACTGCAGCTAGGAGGTTAGCAGCATTACCCGAAGGCTTAGCACTTGCCTGTACAGGTAGCAGATGTCAACAAAGACCTTTGAATGAAGTCTCCGTGCTATACTATTCAAATATAGCTTCAAAAGGAATCCTTTTACACGTAACATCGAGTAAAGCACTGTAGCTAGCCATCTAGTACCTGCTTCAAAGCACAGTTCAGACATATAACGCAGACGCTGTGAGCCATTTATAATGAACGGGCATAGATGAAACTGCCCGTAACGCCCTGTCATTGAAGATCCCAGCCGTAGGCCGTTGTAGTCTAGGGTAATAAGTGGCCGCAATGAGCTACAAAAGTCGATGGTGGCAACATCCATGTATAAAAAGACTCATCGAAAAGATGTTCCATTCACTTTCTACCTGGGTGAACACGGAGCACGATCAAATTCGAAATATTCATGCAAATTAGAACTTGTGATGCAACCTTTGTCCGTCTGCATGAATATCTCCATGTGTTGATCGCTATTCTGTAGTTCTTGGGAAGATTTCAGTGACTAAAAGCAAATGCATGAGTGTTTACAACCCAGGTATCAAATCAACAGATATGTAGACACCATGATGAATATTTTTCTATATACCCGCCTAAACTATCCCTTTAGACAAGCGGTTACAGCCAAGAAGAGGCATTATCAATGATCCATGAACAATAAATCACATCCTTGACTGATTTCTGCTTATCTAGAATCATGAAGGCAAAGGCGCTATTAGATCCGCCGTTTGCCGCCGCCAAAAAGCGCGAGAAACCTGGTGATGGGCTCCCCCACTAAGCTAAATGATCCATGGGCTGATTGGGAACTAGACCGGCCTGTAAAAGCACGCAAAACTTTTCCTCGTGCTCTTATTCCCTGGCGCGGTCCTAGACTATTTAGTATTTTCTCTGTCGCTCAACAATTCCCACCTCCCTCTGTACTTTAATTCGACATACTCCAGCTAAATCTTTTGTTTGGCAAATCGCGAGCGCTCTTTCAAGCAACCAAGTCGTGAAACAACAATTTGCCGCTCAAACATGGGCCAACCATCTTTTGCGGCGTCAAACGCCATCATCTACGTGACTTATGGCTTCTTCCTGTGCGTAAACTCAATCTCAAACTTGCATACGCCCTCTGCCTTTGTCTACCGCTTTGAAGCGGAGGGACAAAGAGAGAGAGATGAACAAGAAGAAAAAGAAGAAGAAATCCATTTACTTGAAGCTAACATGAATGGATATGCAGCGTCTTGGGCACGGGCATTGCCTGGAGAATGAGAAAGCAACCCAATACGGAGTTTCTCTCCGGCAACAGGACACAGACTGGTCAGAACACGCAAGAATATGACGCCCTTTTTTCTCCGGCGATCATCTTATTCAACTCTTTATTTCCGCTCTCCCCCTATTTCTAAAGCTAACTTGTCCGTGTTAATTGCAGCTTGGCCTCTGGCCTTCAACTTCATCGCCTCTGGTGAGTCGCGAGCGAGGGCAATTTTCTTTGCTCCGTGAAATTTTTGTCGCAGACAGAGACATGTCTACGGAGCGGTAGCAGCAACGTCAACTACAGCGCCTTGATCGCACTCAAGGAAATGTGAACGGAATTTCGCTTCATTTCTCTGGAAACGAGTCGAAAACATCAACAACTTGCGGAAAAGATGCCCTTATCTAGGAGGCTGAATAGGTTCGTAACCCACAAAAGCAATCTTCGTCTTCTCCCCTCTCTCCCCTGCGATGCGTCTCTCTCATTCTACTACTAATCAGAGGAAATTCTGGGGGCTTCACTTCCCTTGCCTTTATAGGCACTGGGAAGGAGGAGAAGATTAAGAGATCAAGATGTCCATCGTTGGGACAAAGAGGGGGGAGAGGATGCGGCTCACTACGGGCGCCGAGTTGAAGCAGCTGTGCGAGATCCAACCCCGGGCAGATGTAACATGATTTACTTTCTGCCTGTGGGAGATGTTGCGGCTGCATCAACGAAGCTGAGATTGTACCGTGAATACTCGATCAAGTTAATGCTTGCGTGGGAAACGTGCTGCCGCTCCAGATCCCCTTCCTTGTACCTTTTCCCGTTATTCGTGTCATGCTGACTGTCGCAGCCTTGGGATCCGGTATCCTGTTCTCGTACCCGGAACTCGCAACTATTGCCGGTGTTCAGGGTGTCGTAGTTTACGCATTGGCGTCGGCGCTGCCCTTGCTCATTTTCGCTCTTCTTGGCCCCATGATCCGTCGCAAGTGTCCTGATGGATTCGTTTTGACGGAGTGGACGCGTAACCGTTATGGCACGGTTGCTATGCTGTATCTGAGCTTCATGACGCTTGTTACCTTGTTCCTTTACATGGTTGCAGAGCTGTCCGCTGTTGGACAAGTGGTCAACGCTCTTACCGGTCTTGATGGACTTCCGGTCATTATTGTGGAATGCGTGGTCACAACCATTTACACATGTAAGTGCCCGCATAGGAGTGGAGTATAATGTGAAGATCTGGCTAACATTTATACGCGTAAAAGCTCTGGGTGGATTCAGAATCTCGTTTCTCACAGACGTCATCCAAGGAGCCATGGTGGTTGGGCTCATCATCATCGCAACCATCACCATTGGCGTCAAGGCCGAGATTGACCGCGATCTCATCGACTCCTCGGGCCTCACCAAGGCCAGTCTTGTGGGATGGCAGCTGGTGTACATTCTCCCCGTTGCCGTGCTGACCAACGACTTCTTCCTCTCCAACTTTTGGCTGCGTACCTTTTCATCCAAGACGGACAAGGACTTGTGGGTCGGCATTTCTGTTGCGACGGTGGCAGTCTTGTGTATCCTCACCTTGGTTGGTGCCACCGGTCTTATTGCTGCATGGACGGGTGCTTGGCCTGGAGATGACGACATTGATGGATCTCTTGCCTTCTTTGCTTTGCTGGAGCAGCTGCCGAGCTGGGTCGTGGGCATTGTGCTGGTCATGGTTGTCAGTCTAAGTGTCTCTGCGTTTGACTCTCTGCAGTCGGCCATGATCTCCTCGGCGTCCAACGACTTGTTCCGCAACAAGCTGAACATCTGGATCATCCGAGTGCTTGTGGTGCTTGTCATCATCCCCACTGTGGTGATTGCGCTCAAGGCTCCGTCCATCTTGCAAATCTTCCTCATCAGCGATCTCGCTTCAGCAGCTACGATTCCTGTGCTCTGTATTGGATTGATCGACTCATTTTACTGGTGGCGCGGGTTTGAGGTCGTCGTGGGAGGACTGGGCGGCATCCTGACTGTCTTCATCTACGGCGCCATCTACTACGGCGATGCAAAGAGCGGCGGTGAGCTGATCCTGCTCGAGCAGGGTCTCTATGCGGGCGATTGGGGTGCTTTTGGAGCCTTCGTGGCTGCCCCTGTGGGAGGCATCATCTGGGGCTTCATTGCTTTGGCGCTGAGGCTGGCGGTCCAATTCGCTCTGGCCAAGAGTCGAGGCGAGCGTTTCGATGCTCTTGATCGCCCAGTGGCTACGAGTGAGGAGGAGGAGGATGACACCCAGCTTGTGACTGAGATTTCGACCAGTGTTGCCGGCAAGTTCTTTTGAGCCGTTGGCTAGAGACGGGTGAAGTCATGATGTTGGGAGCTGATAGTATTCCTCTTTTCTTGGATACGACTAAGAAGAAGAATATGATGATGTGGTTAGTGGCAGTATTGGATAAGAAAGTTGGATGGTGGTGGTGGTTGCAGTGGTGTTGCAGTAGTGGTAGTGGTGGTAGTAGTACTCACAGAGCACTCTGGTGGCCACGACAGTAACATCGTGGTTGTAGGAGGTAATGGTAATCATATACTCAAAGTGGTCATAATGGAGATTGTACCTGCGCATCGAATTATTCCCCTTTTGACGGCACATGACCTCGTCTCCATGTCGCCCTGCCCATGTTGTGCTGCAAACTCGGGAGGAATGAGGTTCAACGTGATGTAACCTGGATTCGATTGGCTGTCTGGTGTCAGAAGTGAGGAGTAACATGGAAGGGAAGGCGGAAGCAGCCGCACTGGCCTAACCCAAACTCAAAGTCCGCTAAAGAACCCCTCCAAGCAGCACCCAATTGGGGAGGCTAGCTCCCTAACCCGTGAAAATCTACAGGCGACGCTGACGCTATAGCCTTCCCCTAATCGATCAAACGGATGGATCTGTGGGAGCTGCCACCTCTTCATAACAAACCAGATATGCTGCATTAGCCGCACTTGCATCATCGAGCAGAGCCTCGCGCAGAACCCAGAACCCGCACAGCAACAACACACACTCCACCTCGAGCTTCTGATCTTTTGATCTTAATCTTTACACTCCAAGGTTGCATTTCTTTGCTGAATACTCTACTCAACTAGACTCAACTCAACTCAACTTACCAAGCTTCATCTCCTCGCTACTCAAAAAAGCTCAGCCTTACCATCACTTCCTCCTCCTCCAAGCTCATGGCATAAACGACACACCTCTCTCTCTCTCCGATTGGTGATGGCAAAGGCGACAACGCCGCCTCCAAGCTACGAGGCCGTGTCCGCCGCTCCTCCTCACCCTCCTCATCCTTCACATCCTCCTCACCCTCCTCCGCCTCCCATCTCCGTCGCGACGCCGGGCCTCTCCAAACGCCGTCCCGCCTCTTCTCCCTCGTCCCCGACCTCGTCCCGATCCTGGCCATCGTCGTCCAACCCCTGGTCATCACCCACCAAGTCTTGGTCATCGTCATCATGTCCACCTCCGCCCGCGCCTGTCCTGCGACGTAACGTCTCGTCTTCTAGCCTCTCGTCCGGACGGCCCTCCGAGCTGACGCCTCTGACCACCAATGGTCCCCTGACCTCGACCTCCTCCTCCTCTGCTGCTCGCATGCGCTCCGCTTCCCTCTCCGTCGCCAGAACCGAAAAGCCTCCTATACCGTCCATGCTGCAGCCCCGCGTCGCCGTCGTGCTCAACGTGCCTCAGCCATGGCATCCCTGGCTCTTCGCCTTGCGACTTTGCTCGATCCTGCCGGCTCTGTGGTGGGGGCTACCCTCGCTACTACGCTTGCTGCTTCACTTCTTGCCAGGCCCGCCTGATCAGTTCATGCTCGTCAAACAAATTGCCATCTCGGGCAGCAATATGGATGCTCTCCAGACATCTCTCTTGTCCTCGTGCTCGAGTGAGGAAGGTGAAGCGGCGGCGGCGGCGGCGGCAGCAGTCTTGGCGGCACCCTACCCCATTACCGAGACAGCCTTGGCTACAATATGGGTGCGTGCTACATGATTTTGTTGTGATACTCTCCAGCTACAAGCCGTCAGAAACTAACTGGACATCTGGGGGTTCTAGTGCTTTGCCTGCGGCTACCTCGCTTTTTTCTTCACCGATTGCCTCATGTCTCGATGGTACGCTCTCTCTCTCTTCCCGTCCAATTTCCTTCCAAAACTGACACTCAGTTTCCTTGCTCTAGGCTCATCAACTATACTCCTCATGCCACCTTGGTTCGCCTTGCATCTATCAACGCCGTCAATGCCTACCTTACCCTCACCGTGTTATCCCTTACGGGGGGATTCCAAGACCCACGACTGCTCCTCCCCGGCTGGGTCAGCATAGCAACCGTACGGACAAGTCTCGTCTCCTTATACCTCGAAAGTGTCAGAGGCTTTCAAAGGTTGCATGGCTAACAAGCTCCGTCTGCATAGTCCCTCACCATTTGCTACCACGTCACGCATTCCAAAATCAACATTCGAAAAGAAACAATCACCTCGGTCAACGTCTTCTCCATAGCTAGCTACATCACTATGGTTGTGTTGTTAGCTCACATGCAGTGGTACAAGCCCGACTACCCCACCATGCCCATTGTATCAAAGGGCAGCCGCCTCTGGCAAAACGGCAAACGCCTCCTAGCCAACGTCAAGGCGCTGATTAACGAACACGCCCAACAGTAAACGGAAAAGACAAACGCATCATATGAAGAGGAGCGGGGTGGGAGTAAGGGTGTTGCCATTCAACAAACAAAAGAGCGGGAGAAAGAAGAAAGAAAGGAGAGCATGAGGAGGAAAGAGACATGAAGTGTTTTGTGTTTGGGCAGGGTCGGATATACTAGCGTTTTTCCATGTTTCTCTTTGCGACGACTTCAAAGTTTGAGAGTATTGTTTGGGGTTTTCCTTTTTCCTCTTTGATTTATTTACCGTCTCCCCAGTCTTGGTTCATTCTGGCAATACAGGCGTTGGTGTGTTGGACAAGGGCAGCTTTCTTATTCAGTCTTGATTACTTCTCCTTTGCGTTGCCAATATTTTATCTGCTGTACCGATAGAGGTACTTTGCCTTCCCAATATTTACAATTTGGTTTTACCTGGCGTTGGTCTAAACGGTGGGCAAGGCAGTTTCCCATACTTTTTTCCTGCATTGTTACCTTACGTTGTTTAGTTGCCAAGAACATTTGGGAGAGCGGATTCGCTGATTCTCCATTTCTCACCACACACTTTTCTTTTTCCCTCGAAAAAGCCTTTGGAGACATTCACGCACAATCACACTGAATCAAGTTACAAACAATGTACATATCGCGGCATTCGTCGCACCACACTTTCTTGGCATTATTTCTATTTGCCCTAGACTACGGCTAGGCCCGTCCGACACTTAGACCCGATTGCAAGGGGAATGATGAAATGGCCATTTTGCAGAATAGTGACCGACTGACAGAACCAGTTTCCTTGGCCCGTAGCCTAGACCTTTGGTCAAACGTAAAAAAAAAAAAAAGAAAAGAAAAACGTTGCTAACTTGACCTACTGTGCTGCAGCACAGCATGAGTAGGTGCGTAGTTAAGCCAATAATATAGCTGCCTCTCTATCCCGTCCTCTGTATGGCGTCCGGCCGGCCAGACCTTCAAACAACGCTATTACGCGCACGCCGGTGGATTGTACCGGAGAGGGCCTCTCATCGCATGAGACCGCTCGCAGCGCCCAGCAGAGGGGTGGGCGTACAGCGGTTTCGACTAGACGACGGAGGTTGCGGTAGGCGTCTGTGTGAGGTTCACAGGCTGCTCGAGCAGCCCCATTCCGACACGCTCATCACCAGCATGCTGTGAAGCCAAGTCGCTGGAAGGGCGGGCCGGGGCGGCGGCGCGAAAGAGGACGATTTAGGCACCGTGAACGGTGATGTTGTCGGGGTTGAGACCGAGACCGTTCTTCTTGTCAACGAGGAAATCCATGACCTTCTTGCGTTGGTCGCCCTGGAGCTGGATCACCTCACCGGCCTTTTCATCATTGACCTTGTTGCCATTGCAAGCTGGGGCAAGTCAGTATGGAGATCGCCAAATTGTTGGCACGATAGAATAGAAGTGACATACCGAATTCCTTCCTGAAGAAGGTGAGAATCTTGCCGGGGTCAAATTTAGCAGGAAGACCAGTAACCGTGGTCAGAGACTTGCGACCATTGCGCTCTGTGGCAAGATATTAGCAGTTGTTTTGGGGAAATGAATGGATGAATCGAGAGTTGGCCATCGACATCGCAAAGCGCGACTAAACATAGACCATGCTCAATAGATAGTGTGAAGGGGGGGAGAACGTACGTTGAATGCGAATATGGATGTGGTTCTCGACCTTTTTGATATCACCGGTGTCGTCGTCGGCTTCGGCGAAGGGGTCTGTGGCAAGCAAGCGTCGGTCAGCAAGATGAACAAAGTAGATGGATGGATGTGATTGTGGCATCCAGAATCAGCGTCTAGGGAGGTGCAAGACTTGTCGACATGCATGAGCGCGTGTTGCGACACATCGCGCACATCGCACACGACAAACAACCAATGCAGCCCAACCCAAAACAAGATGCGGGAGGGGGGCGAAAGAAAGCCCAGAGGGAAAAGAGAGAGGAAAACAGCAAGGCAAACGTACCGAAGGACTTGAGATTTTCGATGGACATAAACTCGGATGTTCCGGGGTTTCTCGTGGGAAAAAGGAAAGTTGAGGGAGGCGAGGTTGATGAACCGGCGGCTGCGAAAGGCGACGGTCTCTGAGGTGTTTTGGTTTTTGGTGATGCGGGACAGAGAAAAAAAGGGTCGGCGGGGAGAGGGGCTGAGCGCCTTTTGTGTGTTTTTTATGCGGTGACTCGACGAGCTTTTTAAATGCGCTGGCGCAAATGTAGAGGTTGGGCTGGCGACTGGTGATGTGACGACAAGAAGTTTGTGTCAGGTGAGCAACAAATCGAGAAGAAGTTTGAAGAGGCAAAAGGGGGAGAAACGATGGGAAAAGATTGGTTGAGATTTGATGCACAAAGAAGGTGGGCGAAAGGTGGGGGAGAAGGGAGGGAAGGAGAAGCCAAGGGAGAATGTTCGAAGCTTGGGCAGGTGGGCGGTACCTGGCCGTTTGCGGGCAGTCAGGGCGCAGGGCGAGGTACCCGGTACCTTTCAGTCGTTACGTGGTGGTGACTGTTAGGGCGGCAGGTGGCCAAGAGAGAGGCTGCTTGGGCTGACCCTGGGCTCCACAGGCAGGCGGTGGGCGGAAAAGCCTTGGAAACGAGGCGAGGAGCGGGCTCCAGTGCGGAGAGTCTAGTGGACAGACAGGGTACGAAGTGGCTGAAGACGGCACTGGCGAGCCCTACGAGAAGCAGCATCAGCAGCAGCAACTCCATACAGTGCATCGGGAGTTGCATTGCGAAGTGATGATGCTGCTGTTGCTGCTATTAGTGTTAATGTCAGCATCTCTGTATTGATGGATTCGAAACCAAAATCAGAGCCCGCTGTAATCACTGCTCTGTACAACACGAATCCTTTTTACTGCCGGGCAGAATCCCTGATAACTGTCACACACACTGTCGCACAGCGCAATCAGCACCCTAAAACGGCGCCACGCCACACAAACTCAGACTGACACAAGCCGCCGCAAATGTGCACACCGCCATGTCGCACTGTCCTGTCTCAGCCATGTTACGCAGTATTACGAGCATTGCCACCAAAGGTGAATTGGGCTCAACTTGGTTGGGTCGGGCTGGGCCTTGGCTGAGCCGTTGTCGGGCCTCCCGCGAAGTTGGCATGTCTCTCTGTCTGTCACCGGGCTGAGCCGATAGAAATGAAATAAAAAAGGAGTAGCTGAAAGATGTGGTAATGTGTCCCAAAGTAAGCACTTCATTTGCCCTGCAGATAAATTTAGTTTTGCATCTACTCCGTACATACGGCTTTGTTGCGTCAAAAGGAATGCAGACAGTACAAGACGCAACTCTCGAGTGACTTCACTTTGCTGCTCCGATAAAACACATCCACACACACAAGTGTCGTTGCCCAGTCTCGGGACATGAATATTCCGACTGCTTATCGCTGCATTTGCGCGTTATGTAATAAACTGAGAGCACCGCGCACAAGCCAAGACGTCGTAGCGGCACGGACTCGGAGTGTGAGTAATAGCTGGCGGGACGACACTGACAGTCAAGCCATTCGGGTTTGTTAGTTTTGGCGCATGTTTTTAATTCTCACTCAGCAAACCAGCACAGCTTCGTTGTGTTGTTCGCCCAACCACACAGCACCGGTTATTATGGCTTCCGACTTATCGCTGTGCTTGCAATGACAAGTCACATATGCATGGCGACACCGCCCAGAAACCCGCAGCGTTATTGGATAAATGCGGTCATAAAGGAGAAGGAAAAAGGGGTCGTTTCAATGTAGTATGTTCGTACAGGGTAGCCAGCCTGAGACAAAAAGTGACATGACGCTCGCTGGACATTGCGCCAATGCACTTTGTAGCTTCCCCCTCTTGGGCTTGTAAAGGAAATTATCGTGTCCAGGCGTATTTGGAATGCGACAAGACGAGTTTCGCGGACTCGATTATTGTCGGAATAAGTCGGTTCGATGGTTACACAAGGAGCATTGAGAGATAAGCATACCTAGGTATCAATGATGCCATAGCTGGTACCCAAGTTGTTCTCAGGTACTGCTAGGTAGATACCTATCGTGGAGGATTTTTGGCAGCGGTTGAACCCGTAGAGGACTTGTAGTAGAGCAGCTTTGTCGCGCGCCACGAGGCTCTGTCTGTCTGGGTCAAAACACGGCCAATACACGTGGCGTCTCGCCTTATCGGAGGGCATTTTGAGGTTCCTCGCAACCCCACAGCGGAAGCAACAGCGGAAGCCATCTCGAGGCAGCTCCCGAAAGACTGAAGTTTGAGCGGCGCCAGTGAAAAGCTTGGAGAGTGTAAAATTCCACAGCTGGAAACTCGAGCGCGCGACCTAAATATATGTGGAATGGAACTCGTAAAACTGTCGTTTTAGACAGCGCTTGTCAACGGACACAGTCTCAAGCCGTAACTGGCTGGCTGACACTTCTTCATTCCCCATTCTCGCCATCTCTTATTCGTCTTCTTCACGTTACACAAAGCAACAGGCATCATGCTCCCAAACCCATTCTCATGCATTTTCTTCATACCGGCATCTTCCCCGACTGGCAGATCATCTCGCCAAAGCGTTCCATTCGCATCGTCTTGCATGGTCAAGCGAGCAAAAACCACCACCGGAAGCCGATCCGACTGGCAAACGTGAATCAAACCCCGGCATGCAAATCGACTGGCATCACGCCGCGGAAGCTGATCCGGTTGGCAGTCGTCGATGAAATCCCTTCACCGGGGAAGCGTTCCAGAGGCATGGATATCGTCGAATCCTTGAAATTCTCATGCACCGGCTTTGGATCCGATAGGCAACTTTTGGGGAGGGGATCTCAGGTGTGGTTGTTCGGTTGCAGGTGTTCTGCATCCGCGATGCATCTTCACCTCCATCCGCGTATTTTCGTTTTTCTCATGCACCGGAAGCACTTCCGATTGGGAAAAATGATTTGACGATGGAGCCATTATCAGGGATTCGATGCGGACGATCGTCACCGGGGAAGTTCACCCTTGTATCCGGAGCGTGACCAGTTGCCCTTCGGTGTTCGTACGCAGTATGGCTGTCAAGGCTGTGTAGAGTCGCAGCGGTGTTGAAGGAATGGCCTAAAGCGAAAGCCATTCAATAGCGCCGTACTCGTACGAGGACTGTAAGAGTCTGGCCCCAGCCCACCGGGACACTCTAACAAATCATCTTGAGCGACTGTTACGATAGTCTCAAGTCAAGATCCTCCTACTGTAGAACCTCGACTGTAGGGATAGAACAAGCAGAGAGACTCCTGCAATAGCTGGGCTACGTCATTTTCCATTCTGGTGGGTTCAAGACACGCTCCAAGTTGCCAGTTTTGGACCCCCGTTTTTCTCTCGTTATCGATTAGGAAAAACCAACAAAGTCCACCCAAGAATTAGACACAGAACAAGCTCAAAGCCAATCTGGCATGTCTCCAGATCTGCGATACCTCTTCTCCGGACGCACAACTAAAAAGGGGGGAAACCAGATCGACTCCCGATCCAGTCTTGCCCAAACAAGGTGCGGTGCAGATTGAGGGGCTCACCAGACCTTTGGAGGGGTCGCTGAAGAGAAGAAAAAAAAAATTACGAAAATTCCCGAACCTGGACTGATCCGTCCCATGCAGTCAACGACCATCAGCCCTAAGCTCACCCTTGCTGTTCACAGTCACTCATATTTCCGAGGTCCCGGCAAGCAAGTCATCTTCAGCCCAATCGAGGTTAGATACACATCCAGATACTGTACAGTTACAAATAGACTCGTCATTTATCTGCCATGAAGTTCCAGCCGCAAGAGCTCCCGCTGGGGTCACCGCCCTTCTTTGAAGATGAGGCCAACCGCACGTGGGTGCCCCTGTACAGCCATGCCTGCTCCTTTGGGCCGGATATCTTTGTGGACAAGATGATGAATCTCATCAAGAATCCCAACCTCAACTCGAGCTGGCTGTTTCGAGCTGACATTCTGTACGACGAGGCCAAGACGAAAGGCAACACCAACAGCATCGGCAGCAGCAGTAGTGTCACGGATGCTGATAGTCTTACTGGCAACACTGCCGCTAGTAGTAATACTAAGCCTGCTCCTGTAGATGCCGGTGTCGGTGCCGTTGCCGATGCTAATGCTCATGCTAGCCCAGATGCTACCGTTGAGGATGAAGCACCCAAGCATCACGAGACCCAGCCGCCATCCCGGACGGACTCCGAGGTTCGCCCCATCGCCGTTGATATACGCGGCATGACCCTTGAGCGCACCCTCGTCCGCAGACTCATCCCCAGGAACGAGCGGAGAGACAAGCCCCTGGAGCAGACATGCGCCCTTTTCACGACCAAGCCGGCACAGGATGGGCATGACATCAGTTCCACGGCACTTGCGTCTGGATCTGGATCTGGATCTGAATCTGGATCGAGATCCGAATCTCCATCTCCATCCACACTCGTCATATATATGCCCCATTCGACCTCCGCAGACAGTCTCCCCTTTTATCACCCCAAAGTCCAGGGAATCGCGCACCTGCACCAGTGGGACGAAGCAGGCAAAGGCACAATATCCATTCACTTCCTCCCCTATCCAGAGCACCCTTTGAGCGACGCGAGGCTACAGCGGACAGCCTACCACCTTCTCGAGATCATCGACAAACACGGCCACGGCGCCGCCGAGGGCTATGTCAAGAGAGTCAATCACGATTTAGTCATCCCCCAGGACAGATTTCAGAACCGGTACGCACTTCTCAAGAGCAAGTATGCTCGTCAGCTGGTTGATTCGTGGGCCGAAAAGACGGACCCGTCGAAGCACGTCTTTGAAGACTTGGGGATAGCCGCCTTTCTCATCGAGTTATGGAACGACATGTATCCCAAGGAGACTACCACCTTCCCAGGCTTCGTCGACATTGGCTGTGGCAACGGGCTGCTGGTCTACCTGCTGACACAGGAGGGCTACGCTGGATGGGGCTTCGACGCGAGAGAGCGCAAGTCGTGGGCTCAGTACCGAACGGGGGGGCAGGCTTCCCCCTCTGGCTCGTCTCTCGAGGAGCGGCTGCTACTTCCAGCCATGGTCTCGAGAAGCGGTCAAGATCAAGCCAATGCCGACGCCAATAACGAGTCAAGTGACCTTTCCGATGGCGTCGTACATGACGGCGTCTTCCCGCCGGGCACATTCATCATTTCCAACCACGCCGACGAGCTGACCCCCTGGACGCCGATTCTTGCCGCCTGCTCGAGGTGTCCCTTTATCATGATCCCCTGTTGCAGCCACAACCTCACCGGGGACAAGTTCCGTGCACCCCCTCCCCAAGACAAGACCAAGGCCAAGTCGACGTATGCGTCGCTAGTCGACTGGGTTTCCAGGATTGCGGAAGATTGCGGCTGGAAGGTCGAGACCGAGATGCTGCGAATTCCTAGCACCAGGAACACTTGTTTGCTGGGGAGGACCCGCACACGAGAGGTGCCAGAGGCGGATATCGTCGCTCTCATCGCAAAGTACGGCGGCACGGGGGGCTACTACGAAAACGTGGCCAAGCTGATCAAATCTGGCCCGAGAGGTCACTAATGGTTTGATGGCAGATGATGATTTTTTTTGTTTCTCCCTGGGGAGCCGATTTACTACGATTCAAGGGCGTTTTGCTGTTGAAACTGCCCAAAAAGTCCATAAAGTTTTTGGAATACAGGGCCTCCGTATGGGAGAGCGAGAAGACAGACAGGAACAAAATGGCTTGAGTGACAATGGCAAATTGGGCTTTTTGCCAACTAATCCAAATCAGGTACCGGCAAGTGGTCGATGAGCTTCGTCTTGAGTCCCAGCCTCTCCATGGCTTCCATGGCGTTCTTGTCTCGCAGCTTCTCAGTCTCCTCTGTGCTCGCCAGCACAAACTTGTGCCTGAGCAGTAAGGCTCCCACGGGGACGCCGTACTTGGTCGCCGTCTCCTCATCAACCTTGCCTAAATCTATGATGAGACTCGACTTGACGCCAAAGACTACGTCGGATGTCTCATACTTGTCACCGCGGATAAAGAGCGTCCTGTAATAACACGGCACGATATCAGCTCAGCTCCCGGTCAAAGTCCAGCCACACACGTCTTGCTGCTATTCTTATGCGTTATGCTTAGATGGTGGGCAGGGGGGGGGAGGGGAGCCAGGGACAAGGGTAGGCTTGAGATGTGAACCCGGGGGGGGAATCCAAATTCAAGTACAGGTACAAGCACTTGTATCCGGAGGGGGGAGTACGAATAATACGTACGTGATGAGAGGATCCAGTCCTTGTTTCTCAAACATGAAATGCATGTGAGATGGCCTCCAGCAGTGGCGGTTGAGCAACTGCAGCAGCTTGCCCACCGGACCATCATCCGGGATGGGGTAACTGACGGGCTTGATGGCCTTGAACCAGAAGCCACCGTCCACGTCGCTCGTCATGATGCAGCGCTCGCTCGGCGACTCTCGATTTGCGTACTGCACGTCGTAGTGGCCTGAGGAATCCGTCTCCCAAATGTCCACCTTGACGCCAGAGATTGGCCGGCCAGAAGAGTCGGAGACGGTGCATAATGCGAGCATGGGCTCACCCGCAGCGTCAGTGCTCATGGACGAGCCTATGGGGAGGTGTGGCGCATCACCGGTGTGGAAAGGTCCGAGTACGGAGCCTTCCGTGCAATTTGGTGGCTTGGGATGGTCGATGGAGTCGACCAGCATCGAGAGGCCAAGGATATCGGAGAGAAGGATGAATTCCTGCCCGGAGATGTCAGTCCGGCAAGCCACAACTTGAGAAAAAAGAAAGACACGCTTATGAGACCCAATTACGTGTCACTCAAGGCAGCGTGATAAGACTACTATTGTCATGGACCTGGTACATGGTATTTTGGGGTCCAAGAGCCAAGGGTGGCAGAGGGATGCAAGAAGAAGGCTCCCCGAAAGCAGGGAGAGCTTAGAATGGAAAAAGGAAACGAAACAAGACCAGGCTATGGAGGTGCGGCAACCAGAATAGATGCCGGCTGGCTCCGCGGCTAGCCGATAGAGACGAAGGATTGCACTTGTTTTAATTATATCAAATGAAAGAAAGAGATAACACACCTGGCGGACATCGGTGCACATCTGGCCAGTCTTGGTGAGGAACTCAATGGTGGCCATCCACTCATGCGTGCTGAGGCGTGTTTCCCGTGCAAAGTCGTGGACATGGGTCACCAACCGCTCCATGAGATAGTTGAGCCGTGCATTGCTGCTCTGCGAATTAATTCGCACCACGTTCTCGGTGATATTATCGATGGTGAGGTCGAGCAGAGGAGGGGTGTGGTTAGTTGTGGATGCCATTGTCGAGTTGGTTGTTGGACGAATTGATTGAGATGGGGGGACGATTGAAAATTGAAACCGGGGAAAATGCCACAGTTACGAGGAGTGTGGTATCGCCGAGTTGTTGTCTCTCTCGTGCATGTGCAGAGCACAGAATAGTCGGTTTTCACTGGTCTCTGCGACAAATGGTGTGATGGTGCCCAAGGTGATGATGATTGCTAACTCCAGTCCGTCGTCCCTCAGCGTTGTTTAAATAACTCTGGAATTACTCGCTTCGGTCCCATCCCCAGACGTCCCGTACGTAGTTGCCGGCCTCGTCAACAGAGTTCTTAATAAGAGTTTCCTCACTCGTAAGCATTAGCCCAGAATTAAATAATAATGCTCAACCACCAGCCAGAGGCAAATGGCCAGAGGCCCCAAAAGCCAAAAGCCAAAAGCCCGCTGGTTTGTCAGTTCGGCGTCAGCAGCCCAACCCCCACTAATACAACCTCGCCTTCTCCTCACTGCCGTCCTCTGATCTCGCGGCCGAGACTCCAGTCCCAGCATCGCCCCATCTGGGGTATCAGTCCGCTAGCAAGGAGATCGGGGTCCGGCAAAAGGAGGAAGGAAAAAAAAAGAAAGATCTCTCATCAGGGGTGTGTGGACCGAGAAGGATTGCCGCTACGACTGATGGGGTCTGAATTCGTGCAGCTCGCATATGCCATGGTTTGCTGCGCGGCGCTGCACTTTCCAAGCAGCAATCACATCTTTTTCTTTCTTTTTCCTTCCTCCTCTCGCATGTCTCGCGTTTGATTTGCCTTTGCCCATGCATCCCTACCTGTCTCGCGACTTCGGGGCCACACCAGCTGGAGAAATCGCGTCGAAGGGGGGAGGGGATCTGGATCAAGCTCGTGAATCGAATCGCCGCCCTCTACCAAAAAAAAGAGCCTTGATGACGGCCTCACTTTGCCATGGCTAGTACCTGCTGTAGCCCAGCATTAGTACGACCAGATACCCGTAAACGGAATCTCCTTTTCCCACCGAGTGGGCTCTTGACAGTAGCTCCCGGCAGATCGCCTGCTCCCAACTTTTCCGCTACCGCTTCATGCCATGGGGGGCCCCTGTCCGTGTGGCTGCAGCACACGGGCGTGATAGAAAGCTTCCCGGTCCCAAATCACATCGAGTTCACTCAAAAGTGAGGCGGACAGGTTCGCAAATCGGCGAATGAGACGCGTGCTTCCTCTCAGTTGTGGTGGGGAATCTGTGTTCACTCCCATGCGCCTTTGCAGTCACCGAGATGGGACCATGCATCAAGAGAGCCTGTCTTTGGAAAAGAGGCGTTTGGAGGCTTGAAATCTCTCTTCTGATGGGCTCCAAAAGAGATGAGAGACACAAGCCAAGAGAGAAAGGAAATAAACAAGGAAATCATGTGAGCGGCCGGCGGCATCGAGGCGATATGTACTCCGTAGAGTGCTTTGAGGTGAGAAGATAAACAGTTGACAGACAGATTGGCACCCCCAGCACTGTCGTCTCTGTTTCTGAATCCGGGTTCTCTTTGTCTCTTCTCTCGTGTATGTATATCACCATCTCTTTCGAGACACACGTATAAAGAGTCGGTTTCCTCGTACAACAATACTGATCAAAAGCCTCCATATTCAGCAGAACAGATCTTCCCCGTCTCTGGTCACCTTGTTGTCAGCAGCATCAGTACAAGTTGCACCTTATTACCTACCTGTATCTTTCCAGTCGTACAGCCCTCTTCTCATCTGCCCTTTTGCATTATACCTTTCGCTCAATTAAACGATGCGGATAAAGATAAACAGCCTGCTCCTCGATCCCCTTGAAGACACCATGTCTCCAGGTCGTCCTAAACCCACCATGCCTCCCGATCGTCCTCGAGATCGTCCTCTAGCATTTTATGCACCTCAAGTTACCGGCAATAGCAAACTCCTCGCCGAATTCGAGCACACATGTCGTGTCTGCAACAACTTCAAGCACTGTGAAGACTTCGAAAGAGTGCACGCGTTAGAGGCCCGTCGCAACCCGCGAACCCGAGTCCGCGGTGACCCTGAATTCTACATCATCGAGATTTTCACGAATCACCTCCTCCGCGATGGCAAGGATGGTGACGGCGGCCTGGATGGCGAGAAAATCGATGATGCCGACAGGCTCCGAGACTGCCCATACTGCCGATTGTTATTCGATTCTCTCAATCATTTCTTCAAAGATAGTACCGTAAACTGGAGAGAGGATGCCCGGGAGAACCCTACCCTCATTGTCCAAGTCAAGGTTCGGCCTGGTCAGCCCCTGATTCTGAACTGCGCTACGGCCTTTATTGTTCACCACGAATTCACTCTTGTTCGAGCCGATCTGGAAGTCTTCATAATGGATCGGGGTTCCTTAACCGACTCTGACTTTCCTCGCGCGGAGCTGACAAGCCCGGAAGATGATGACTCGCACAAGCATCGTGCAAGTGAAGGCTTTTTTCGATACTGGTTCCGAGGCTGCTCGCGTTATAAGGACGCCACCGATCAATGCTATAACACTCCTAACCGATTGTTATATATTGACTACGACAACGATGAAGTCGTATTGTGGGAGTGTCTCTCCAACCCTCCCGGGTTTCCAGATGTCCCGGATCCGATAGAGTACGCGACGTTGAGCCATACTTGGCTCAACACTGACCCAGGGGTTCCTAAGCTCCTCACCTCTAATATGGACGAGTGGAAAGAGGGTCAGACGATTTCCGGCTTGCCAGCAGCCATTAGAGACGCTGCCAGAGTTGCCCACCTCAACGATATTCATTTCCTCTTCATAGATTCCATGTGCATCATCCAGGATAATCATGAGGATCTGAGAGTGCAAAATCCCATGATAAGCAACTACTTTCGGGATTCCATTCTGACCATTGTCGCGGCATCCGCTGTTACACCAAATGACGGGTTTCTCCATCCTCCAAAGAAGGACTGGATCACAAAGAAGCTTCAATTTGTAGCTCCAAGCGGCGCCGAAGCTACCATGACACTGCGCAGGAAATACTCCCGTCCGGAGACTTCCTTCGATGCCCTCGACAAGGCGTCGCATATTGTCAGCGTTGCTCCCGGGTCGTTTCGACGAACCGGCCCGCTCTATGGGCGACATTGGTGCCTTAATGAAGGCCTCTTGGGTACTCGCGTGATCCATTTTACGTCGGGAGGCATCATGTGCCAGTGCAGACGTCATGACTGTACTCGCGAAGGAGTGAAGGAGTATGACAGGTCTGATTGGTCTCGAGGGATGCCGGAGCGATACGGGGCACGCGATGCGTCGGAACTGTGGTTTCATGCTGTCGAATTCCACACCTCGTGTAAGAAGCTCCGCGGAGAAGATAGGCTCTCCAAATTGTCTACCTTGGCCTCCATGTCCGACATGGGCATTCAAGACCGGTATGTCGCAGGCCTTTGGTGGAAGAGCATGACCACGGGTCTGCTATGGGAAGTGAGCTTGCGCCGATCACAAACTAACACGAACGTGACCAAGATAACCCTGCCATTCACCAAGCAAAAGGCGCCATCTTTCTCCTGGGCCTCTGTTGACGCTCCGGTTGTGTGGCGAGACAATTACTGGACTTCCAGGGCTGAGGCAAGAGTAATTGGATGTGGCAGCATCCCAACGGATCCCGATGACCCATGTGGCAGCGTTAATGGGGCTTGGATTCGTATGGAAGGTTTCATGTTCAAATGTGAAATCAGCCAGACGCTCGAGGGTGCTGGCGGAGATCGCTTCCAGTATGCCTACTTTCGTGGCAAGGACGATAACAGGATCAAGGCATATCCTTTTGTTGGAGACGGTGCACTTGTCACGGTCAAGGCCAAAGGTGCCTTGGACCGGCTGCGCAAAAGACATGTTTCCAAGATTTCACGGCGCTTACGCAAAAAGGGGTTTCTGAAAGAAAGAGAAATCAACCCTCTCCATACGCGTGCATTCTTGGCGCGGAACCATGACGAATTCAAGCCGAATAGGCTGGGACCCAAAACAACTAGGGGGGTGGCGTTTATACTCTGCATCAGACAAAGAGGAGATTATGACGAACATCGTGAAGGAATCGTGTTCGATAGGTGGGATGGGTTGGTGTTGACCCGCTCGATGAGGTATCCTGGAGCCCTTGAGCGGATCGGCTGCATCAGAGATGTGCCCAGTACGTTGCTTGATTTGAAGGATCAGTTTTATGGCGCCACAATAGTGTAGTACCGTTTAGGTGCAAAAGACAGGTCTCTCGGTTTTCCTAAGAGTTTGTTAGTGTCTTGGTTGACCAACCGTGAATGAGAAATTCATGTGAAGTCGGATTTCTTTAGTGTGTCTTTTCATTCTTTCAATTCACTGGGTGTTGATTGGCCTGAGGGGTCTTGTGACAGAAGGGAAAAAGAAGAAGAAAAAGAAAGAGAGGAGACGGCGAGAGACAGGGACATCTGGGAACATGGAAGAGATGTGAGGAGAAATGAATACGAAGAGTGACAGAAGAGGAATGAGAGTAGAATATTTGTTCATCTCTTCGTTCTGGTTTGTCTCTCTCTTCATTTTTGGAAGCGTAGGAGGAGGTTGGAGGATGAAGCAGAGAGAAAATACGAGCTGCCCCTTATACTCTCGGAATGATAGGCACTTCGTTTGTTTCCCTCTGCTTTCCGCCTTTGCTCTCCTCTTGCGGTTTCAATTTGTTCTTTTCATCCCCCATCTCTGAGAGAGAACGTAAGATGAGAGAGATGAGAGGGCGGGGGAAAACGTGGGCCGGCTGTTGTTGCGGTGTGTAATGGCCGGTTCGTCTTTTTCTCTGGCTTGCACCCCTCTTATCTTACGTTTTCTCTTGCCAATTTCCCTTTTGTTGCCAGTTTCCCTTTGCCGCCATGACAGGTCATGGGTTCTTTTCTTTTTCTTTTTATTCCTTGTCATTAATGTTTAATACCCTCTTTGGTTTTAGATAGGTAGATAGTTTTGTCGAATTTGAGCGTCATCCCTGGACATTTGTTGCCTCTGTAAGCCGTAGGTAGCGCAGAATCCGAGTGTGAAGAGCGTAATGTCCGAGCGGTGGATGAGGATCTAGAGAAGAACCGGGAACGGTCAGTACTTTGAATTGAGATTCATTTCAGGCATTGTCAATACTCACTGGGTAGGCGAAGAAGCTGATATATCGAACGAGAAGAGAAGAAAAGAATAGAAGAGAAGGGGAAAAGAGGAGAAGAAGACATGAAGAATGTAAGTGGCTCCTTCCGATCGAGATGTTGCACGGCATTCTGCAAGACAACATGACGTCGTGTTCTCCCAATCGAGGAGGCACTTGATTATCGGCTTATGGGAAGGAACAGAGGCCGCAAACTCGCAGAAAGAATCATAATTGTCTTTTACATTCACACGGTATACAATGTTTCTGAGCAAATCACAAATCACATGCTGTCATGATACGCTATAAGTCACGAAGCCGAAAACGCTTGCCTTTTTTTTCATCTCATGTACATTTCTTCGTCATTTTATATACAACCATGCCTTTTTCTTATACCTGGCAGCTATATACTCTCCCCAAATACCAACATAATCTTATTCTTCACATTCAATTCCAGAATCTACGAGTTCGATGTAGGAAGCACTCCAGTCAGGCCACCGCCAAGATACAGCGATCCAATGTCCGTCAGCCGTCCCGCATTGTTCAAGAAGGTCGCATTAGGTCCGACATTGCTAACGTTGGACCGGAAGGCGCCGAAGTAGCTGTACCGCTCCAGATTGCTTAGGCCGTCCATGTAGCTGGCGCTGGTGTTGAAGAACTGCTGCGTTGCGGCCAGGGGCTGGTTGGCATAGGCGTATTCCGTCACCCAGAGCTTCTTGCCGGGGAATCTATTTCATTATGATCCAATTAGTCATTTTTCTTCCCATAACTGATGTTTCATAGCATCCGAAAAAAACTTACGCTGCGGTGTAGTCGCTAATGTGGGCTTTCAACCCATCAAAGTTGTCATACCAGTGCAACGACACGAAATCATACGGGCAATCCCTGCCGATGAGCTGAGTACAGTTTCCAAAGAACTGATGAAGCCAATCTAGCCCTGAAGGTGAACCTGTGCACGCAGGCGCGCCGACCTTGATGCCCCTTTGCTGCAGAGGAATGAAGTTGGCGATCCAAGCCAGAGCAGCGTTGTGTGGTGTCACATCGCTGCCACCCCACGAAGACGGAGCATCCGGCTCATTGAAGCTCATGACGTGAGTAATATTAGTACCACTGTTGATAAGATTGATAACGCTGTCGTGGAAAGCAAAGTCCTGCGAAGGGTTCGGTCCAACTCCCCACATCATGGGCACAAACTCGAACCTCGACTGCGGGATGGAGGCATAGTCGGAGCTGGGCAGGTTGCCATAGTTGTAGTACCACGTCAGGTCAGAGCCCGTCTGCACCCAGATCGAGTTGTCCTGCAGGGTCGTCGAGTTGGGAATGAAGATGAGACCGCGCTTTGCTGACGGAGCGGCGGCCGCGAGGAGAGGCGAGAGCAGCACGCCGGCGGTGGCGAGGAAGCGCATGGCCATTGTTGCGAGAGACTCGAAGATCCTGATAGCAGGATAGGGAATGAATAGAGGGAAGGACTGAAGAGAATCAGAATACGAGTGTAAGTGACGGTATAAGCGAAGGAGAAGAAGGCTCTACTGGCTCGAGAGCGAGAAACCTCAGATGATGTAGTCTCCCTGTGTCTTCTCTGCCCTGGGCATTCTAACCGTCTCCATGCCCAGGTTTATATACTCGAAATGTCATCGAGTACTATTGAGATTGCTGACCAAGAAGAACGAGAATAGCTCTAATTGTCTTTGCTGAACCCAGTCGAATCCCCTGTCCATCTTGCGTGGACTCCTTCCGGGTTCATGAGCAAGTGAGCATGCCATCGTGCCAGGGGCTCTCGGTGGCCATAGCAAAGGAGTTCGAAGCATCCAAACAAACTCCTCTGTCAACGCGAACTAACCAACATCTTACCCGCAGACCCCCGTTCATGGGACACGGCACATCTCGCACTATCGGACCGAGTAATCGGGAATTGACTCCTCTCTCATCCTAATACAATACGACTACCTAATACGCATTTCTCTCTCTTTCCCGCCTCTGCTTCTTCTTGTTTTTGAAGTATGGCGCCCGAGACTCCCCGAGAGATTTCGTATGTGTCCTGCATCGTGATCTGCTTCTCACAATGGAGGGGGAATTTTAGGGCCGAAAGAAAAAGGAGAGGACGGAAGACAAAATAGAAACCAACTGTGCATATGGATTCGGCCCTTAACCGCGCAATTAGACCCGATGGGCCTCACCAGCGTGTTTTCAAGCTTCCTGCTCAAGGTTAGCATGGCTTCATTGACACGACCGGGGTGTGAAGGACCCATGTGGGTGTGATGGGTGTAAATGGTCCGTTGGATCTCACGCTGTGCCTAACAGCGACCAAGGAGAGGAATGAATGAATGATATGATGCTCGACGCATAACAGATTACAGCAAATAACCACGATACCTCCTATTCATGACATCCCGTTAAGCTTTAGGGTCACTAACACGCCGCAGAGCCGGAAGAACACGACACCGCCAAATGAATGCTACTCTTACTCTTACTCCGTATCTACCTACTTGATCCTGCTCGGTACGATCCACGGCGCAATAACGCACTACCGGCTGCCTCCCCCGCATTCTCCGGCACATGTGCCTTGGCCAAAGCCGCAAGACGAGCCCGGGGTGCGTCAAAAGGATGCATCTAGCTCCTCTTTTTAGGGTCAATTTCAACATACGCATGCATCTGTTGGAGCGCTTCTTTATTTTTCGGGGAGATGCAAAGCAAGAAACGCAAGTCAAGCTTATGAGCGGCCGGCCCGATGCTAGAGAAAAGGAAAAAAAGAACGAGGCCAGGGCGGGTAGTATTAGTGCTTTGTTTCGGCCGGGTAAGCAGGCAACCTTACTTGAAACATGAATTTCTCTAAAAGGGTTCTACGGAGGTTCCCTGCCGAGCTCATCCCATCTTGGGTAGTTGCATGGTCAGGCTTCTTCTTCTTTTCTTTTTTGCTTGAGAAATACAACCACCCAAAGAGAAGAACGTAAAAAAGAAGAAAAGCGACAGAATAAAGAGCGAGGAAAAGATAAAGGAAGGGAGAATTGCGTCCAGAATTTGTTCATAAAAATAACCATTTGTCAAAAAAGGCGTAAATAGCCAAAAGGAGAGAAAGGAAAGTAACGGTGAATCAAGTACAAGAATGAGACAGTTGATGAATGAAAAGGAGAAAACAGGAGAGAAGAAAAGAAAAGAAGAAGAAAAAAACAAGAAGAAAAAGACCACCTGGAACCGCATGACTGGGAGCATCATTTTCAAGTCTATCCAAGATTGCATGCTCTACATATCCGGAGCCCAAAAACAAGACAAGACAAGGTAAGGTAGTAGTGGTAGTAGTAGTCGTAACTATCGGCCTCTAATGGCCGACTCGATCTCTCCTGCGAGATCCTATGTACATACATGAGAAAATATAATTTGAGCAAGCAGCAGCAGTAATAAAATGCTTTCTAGAGGTGCTCGCTCTTTCAAACAGGTACTCCCTTTGAAGCAGCCAAGACAACGATAAAAGGTTCAGTCCTTCTTATAAACGCCCTTTACACGCATCGCATCGCATCCATCGCCGTAACAGAGTCAACCCGCCGCTCCTTTTCTGCCACACATTGACGAATTGCTCTCCAAAATATCGACGGCAGCTGGCACACATATACACACTTGGCTGCTGCTGTGATATACACGCATATCAGGTTGACCATCAATCTCCCTCGTCAGATTCGCGCGATCAATTATAAATAAAACAAATCAAATTCACAATAAAAGAAAAATTGTTGCGTCACTGTAGGTAAATGAGACAGCCAGGATGGAGCTTATTTAGTCGTAACCAGCACCACGCTGCCAGGGGCTATAGACACACGCCAGTTAGTTTAGGACCAAAGCCATTGATATTCATGTCAAGACATACCTTGCGTTGTTTTGTGATCGGTAGCCGCCAGGGCTCGTGTTGCTGCCATACGAAGGAGTACGTCCAATTGGCGACGGTGATTGGCCGTGGCCCAACGATGAGTGAGAAAGCTGATCGTTGGCCGGGAAGAGTGGCACGGATGGGTTGACTGGGGATACTGATCGAGCCGGCTGGTAGAAGGGCTGGCTCGTCATGGACTGGGGAGCGTAAGTCATGGCTGTCGTATCCGTAGGGTGGCGCACTTCATTAGAAGTAATGGATGCTTCCTCGTCATCGAGCTTATAGCCGGCCTTGTCACCTCTGGCGGTCACTGCCAGGGCATCCAATTCGGTGGCGGCGCCGCTGTTGAGCTGCGTCTGTGACTTCATAAAGGATGCTCGGTCATCTGCCATGAACTGGTACCGGGCATCGGGGTTCTTGCGGATGATAGAATAGACGGTTGAGGCAATGACCATGAGCAGGAGAACCAGCGAGAAAATGGCGTTGAGAACAAACAGGATGACACCAACAACACCAATGGCCAACAGGGGCGCACCGAAAACGTTGGTGAAGATGAGCAGGAAGATGGAGTTGAGGAAGTTGATGACGTAGATGGCAATGTTGAACGAGTTTGTCTTCTTGTCCATCCAGGGGCGCAGGACCGACGTGGTAATGAGCATGCCGACCTCGAGGATGATGAAGCCAATGGCCTGGGCGACGTTTGTCTTTTGCGCAAAAGCCACAAACATGGCCTTGACAAGGGTGTAGACCAAGATTGGTCCGATGAAATAGTACGCGGAAGCACGGAATTGCACATAGAGGAAGCCCCATTTGTTGAGAGCCTGGGGATCGGAGAAGAGGATATAGGCTGGGTTTCCGTGCATGTTGATGGACCGGCGCGCGATTTGAATCACCTTGCTAGCACCCCAGCAGAGGGCAATGAGCGGGCAGAAGAAATAGAAGACGGCAAGGACGACCTCGGCGGCGGAATCGACCTGTGTAAACTCCCAGAAGCACAGGATGGAAAGCTGAGGGAGACCAATAAGGGCAATACGGTACAAAATACCCTTGAGAACGGTGCGCCAGCCATTTCGGAACTCGAGGAACTTGTCCGCCTTCATCACGCCCTGCTTAGCGAGGAGTTCGCAGAGACCCTTGAACAGAGTAACGCTGAGCATGGTGAAGATGGCAAAGAGCCAGAAAAAGGTCAGACCCGTAATGAAGAGGTTGGTAGTTTCAATCTTAGCCTGGAACGCCACACGCTGGATTCCGTACACGACATAGCCTCCGGATGGAGATAAAATGTTACCGCTTCGCTTCATGACGTTGACGGCGGCCTCGGGCATCATGGCCATACCACGTCTGACGAGGTCCTTGCCCATTTCGATGCCAGCATCCAGACCACGCTTCTCGACGGCCACGGAAACAGAGCCCAGGGAGCTGAAGAGGGTAGCGGGCGTGCCGCCGGTGGCTCGCTGATACCAGGTAAAGATGGTTTGCATGAAGTTGACGTGAATGATACCCATAGACCACTGGAAGTTCTGGGTCCACGCTTGGACAATGGGGGGCAGGCTGACACCGGTCAAGCCGATCATGGCTTGAGCTTGGAAGTAGCCAAACAGAGACAGTGAGAGGGCAGCGACGTGAGCAGCCGTGTTGGAGTGACCGAGTCCATTGAAGATGGCGGAAGAAACCAAAGCGATACCAGCAATGATGGCGGTAGCCCACTTGACACCGGTCAAGTTGACCGTCTTGCCGTTGGAGATGGCAGCCTCGACACAAGCAATACTCTCTCCGGTGCTGGTAAGGTTGATACGCACTCTAACGTTGGCATCGAGATCGGGGACGGAATAGGCGATGGAAGGGATGTTGGAGGCTGCGGAGGCGCTGACGGGAATGTTGAAGGGGATGTTGAACTTGGCAGCAGCCGTCATTGGGCACATACCAGCGAGCTTGATATCACAGGGGTCGAGGGTGGTCTTGAGAAAGGTGTAACCATAGGCAGAGGCCTCAATGTCGAACTTGACGTAGCCTTGAACGGAGGACGTGGCCACCAGATGGATCGTGGCTGAATTGTTGTTCGGGGTGTAGACGACGTTGAAGAAACTGGCCTGGAGACCCGAGTTGTCTTGACAGGTATTGAGAGAGGTGGAAACGAGCATGTTTTCGGCAAGGACTGGCGATAGCAAGGTTGCCATTGCGCCCAAGAGGAGCGAGCCGCTCCTTGAGAACCACATTGTGCCGGTTGATTTTGACTATTGCTCGTGATTTGTTTGTACGGTTGTTATTTTCTCTGGGTGAGAGCAGAGAGTTGACCTAGGATGAGGTTGAATTTGTCGGAGATGTGTGAAGAATAGATGCGCAATCAAAGAGCCGTTTTCGTCCCGCGGAACGTCTCGTATGGTTTAGAAGGTCAACGGAGGAGGGCGAAAGGGGTGTTTGCGCCGACGAGGATTTGAAGACGATGGTCCGGCCAAAAGGAGTCTTTTTTTCCAAACTGTATCGAGGGGTGTCAAATGTCGCAACGCAACGGCTGACGAAGGTTTGCCTTTCGATTGAGTTGTTTTCGCGAATCAAGTCGTCGTTTGTCGAGGTTGTCGGAGCGGATGTGGTTGTGGTTGTTGGGAGCGATTGGAAGCGCCGTGCCAGCGAAAAGGTCACACGGCGGCAAGAAAGGAGAAACGAAGGGCGAAAAAGAAGAAATCTAAGATGTTTAAAACGAGAGAAGGAAGCGAGCGACCATGTTTATCGTGAAGGTAAACGGATGGATGGATCTGTCGCCAAATAATCCATCCACACACGATGGAAAAATCTGGGGGAAAGAGAAGAACAAGAACAAGAAAAGCGACAGAGTTCCAGCAGTTGTGGAAAACGAGTGAATGAATGGATGGAGACTGAGAGCGGTACGAAGAGGGAAAACGAGCGAGAGTGTGCGTGTGGTTGCAGATTGTTACGAGTACGCGTCCATGGGTGGTGGCTGAGTCCCCCGAAGGCGCCGTTTCAGGGCCGTATGAAAGTAGGATCCGCTCGCAGATCGTGCAAAGCAGGTGAAGGCGCTTCGTATGGCAGCGGTTGATACGAGAGGCCGTGTTATTACTCGTTACTCCGTGCTCCGTACTCCGTACTAGCAGATTAAAATAAAATACGGGGCCCTGGGCGTCTCCTGAAAAGAGTAGCGAATTGCACGCTCATTCGACGAGGCGAAACGAGAACTGGGGGGGACCCCTGGCCGGGCCATTTTTTTCTGTCTTCTTCCTGTTCTTGATGTCAGCAAGCGTTGTTTACTATCGACTAGGTAGTAGTAGTTTGCGGGCTCAGGGGGGGCTGCTGCGGCCCATTTGCGATACTCCATACTGTGCGTGTGTGCCGCAGCCCGTCTCGCATTTAAAATCGCGGATCGTCCACCACTTCTTGGCCATCTTGGCTTTTTTGCGGGAGGGATTTTGGGCGTTTTTGGTTGGTGAGAGTGAGAGTGAGAGTGAGAGATGTGCTTGGTTCGAGGAGGAGAAGAAGAGATGAAGAGGAGAGGGAGGAGAGAAGGGTGAAAGATTCATTCCTCAGGCTCCTTCCAATTGCTCTGGCCTTATGCACACAGAGGCAATCGCAGACAAAATAACGAGGCAATTTGCAATGCGCCTGCCCTCTTTGCATTGTGCAGCATTTGCTTGCCCTTGCTCTCAGAGGTACCGGTACTGTACAGGTACAGGCTCTGGGCCAATCACAGCCTCGCAGTCTGCTATTGGGACCCACTTGCGCCATTCATGCATTGCCTCAACGGCTCAAATTTTAGTTGACGTGACATGCCAAACTGCATCGCCTCTTCAAATACGGGAGTGAGAATGTTCGTATCTGCACGTGTTTGTCTGCACTGCACAGGTGCCGTATCGTATTGCAATAGTACTGTACTGTACTGTACATGGAAAACTCGTACATACAATGTCACGATGGACTTTAAGCGGCATTAAAGCTCCAAAATCGGGTAACAAGTAACATGCAAGTATTGCTGATGCGATAATTTTGGAACATCTTAAGACTGGAAAAATGTCTTTTTATTTCTTTTCTTTTATTTCTCTTCTTCATCTTCTCTTTTCCGCTTCAGCCACGTCCCCCAGATTTTCATCTTCATTTGGACTTTGGCGCAGGTAAAGTTCAACAGCCGCAAGCCCCAAAACCAGTGGCGCGCAGATCAAAAATAGAGCCAGATAGTACCTGTCTGACAGGCTGAGGAAGCTATTCCTTGACTAGAAATTGAAAGGACATTTTAGCATTTGATCTTTAAATACACGTATCAGGGTAGGCAGCTCGGGGATCGAGGTAGTAAGTATACTAACACCATAAACGTAGCTTGTGTAAGGCTCCAGCTGTGCCCTCGCATGGTGAAAGTGTTCTGAGACGTTTGCCACGAGGACATTGTGAACATTTGGGAGGATGAGGGAGAAAATCATATTCCCAGAGGCCATTGCAGTGAAAAATGGAAGCGTGTGTCTGGAAATATGGATCAAATGTGTGCCTGATGTGATGAGCGTAAGTGGTGGTGGATGTTTGCGATGGTCCAAGTGAATTCTGACTGCGTGGGTGGAAACTGACGAGCAGCAGGTTTTTTTCCTTTTGTTTCGTCAAAAATATTGGTGTGATTTCTCAATTACCACTCAGATGAGGTTCTAGAGACAGCGTTTGCAACTTAATCTAATATCTAGTCATCAATACGTCGCCAAGAGAGGTCATTTCCCCCCAATATCAACCATACGTCTCCCAAGAAGCCCAAAGAGTTGTCTATCAATACCCGGGATGAGATTACTTAGTAGGTTAGGTAGCAGTAAGAAAACATGCGTGTTTACATGAAAAGCGGCATATCTGCCCAATCCGTGGTTAGCCGGTCATACTGCATGATAAGCACACACGGATCGGAGCCCTTTGATTGACGGGGTAATTCTACTGCCCGAGTGTGACAGAATATCTATATAATTACTAAAGCATTTGGTGATTCAATTTAAACTGAGAATTGTCAATTCTTGCGATGCTACTGCAACGGGTAGCACTGCGACATGCCAAGTGACAATGATTACTGTCATCTGGTGGCTCTGCTTGGAGTGCAAATTACATACATGCAACCACTCCGTGTCCATGGAGTATCATTTATTGTTAATATGTCTAGAACTGCCAAACTACCTATCCGTAACTCAATTCAAATACTACAATACAAAAATATTGATCTATAATTTGCATCATGATGTAACCCCAGCCATCACGCACACCCGCAAATTTTTATTGTCTCGGACTGAGCACGGCAAGTTATAGCCCGAGTCCGTGTGTGAGCGACACGGACATTCATGAGATTCAGACGGTCTCAGGTCTTACACTTTGATACGCAAAAACACAAGGAAAGGCAGGGCCGGAGCCCGAAACTTTTCGGATTCTCAGCTTTGCGAGGAAGAAAAGAAAGTTGATGGGAAAATCCACCTCAATATTGTCTGCCTTGGACTGAGACACGCGCTCAAGGCGTTCGAACATAGGAAACACGATGCTTCGCCACCGAGCCAAATCTGGAGCTTGTGCTGCTTACCGCCGATCATACGAGACATATGCGGGCGATAATTTTCGGGTTTTCCTACAATGACGACCGATTTACGACCGATTTCGCCCAATATTTGACGTGAACTGGACCCTTCCCGGCAGCTTGCCGCCGGCCTCATGAGACATGGGGGGCCGACATTTTTCGGTGTTCCGGCTTTAGCCAATGGTGTCGCCTCACATCTATGTGGTCCTCAAAAGAAGCGTCGTCATATTCAGTGAGACATGTTCAAAGAGTTGATCCTTCTCATCACATCAATCACATCAAGTTCCACGGCTCACCGCTGGCCTCACGAGACATGGGGGGCCGATAATCTTCGGATTTCTTGGTATGGCGAATGGCATGGCTTCATGCTACGGCTCCCAACTGAGACACGCATCTTTCAAACTCGAGGAAGCAAAGAAATGTGGTGCTTACCGCCGACCTCATGAGACATTTGCGGCTGAGGCTCTTCGGGATCGTCCTGTTGGCCAGTAAAATCGCTTCATGTTCGAAAAAGAGTAGGCTTTTGGTCTGTCCGAAAGATTTCGGGGTGGAGGAGGCTTGTCTCATGTTCATTTTCCTTTGGTATCACCTGTTAAATAGTAGCAGGAGACTATTGCTTTTTGTACGGAAAATGACGGCATCTGTCTCACCGACCGATCACCGGGCAAGAGTTCATCGCTTCTTCTCCACCCCGAAAGATCGGGCCCGCGTCTCGCTCCACGAAATCACAAAGGCGAGAAATGAGACATGCCTCCACCCCGAGATATTTCGGACTGCGAATGATTCTACTCTTGCTCGCGGGGGGAAGAGACGAGCCTCCCCACCCCGAAATCTTTCGGCCTCGCATCTCACTCTGTGATATCAGAGACATGCCTCCACCCCGTAATACCTCGGACTGCGAAAATGTTGATCGCAAGACATTGTCACCCCACCCCGAAATATATCGGACGGCCTAGAATGTGCTCTTCCTTATAACAGAAGCATGAGACACCGAGACAATGCCTCTCCACCCCGAAGTATTTCGGGCTCCTAAAGATGGCCTTGCTTAGAGAAGCAACATGAGACAATGAGGTAATACCGCTCTGCTCTGGAAAGATTTCGGACTGCGAACATGGATCTCTTGCAAGTCACAAGACATTGCTTTGCTTCCCCACCCCGAAATCTCGGACCTCGAAATATGCACAGAAAGCAATAATGAGACATAGACTAAATATGAACCTCTGTCCCGAAGTGGTTCGAGCTGCCTAAAGGGAAACTTGATGCTCTTGTTCACAAGACAATGGCTCCCCACCCCGAAATCTTTCGGACTGCTTAAAGCGCTGTAGTAATACCATGGAGGTGAGTACAAGACATGCTCCGTAACTTAACTCCGAGATGTTTTAGACTCCCCAAAATAATTGTCTCGGCACGCCGGCCCTGATGGGCCCTGTTCGGCCTGCCGCCTATGCGACAAAAAAGATCCGCTCCGAATATCTTCGGACAGCGAGCTGAGGGGAATCATCTCGATGACGAAAAAGAAAAACAAGTCTCGGCTTTTTGCCGTCCGTTCACGATGAATTGTACAACATGCTCCGGAGCCATTCCTCTAGATCGTGGGGGAAACCATTGGCTGCGGGGAATCGGCCGTTTTCCTGGGCGTTTGAAGCCGTAAACAGCCGCTGTTTTATGTTCGTTCCGTAAATGCAACTCCGTGTTCTCCGCTCCCCGCGCAAAGCCTGTGCTACGGGGACATATTAATTGTAATATATAAAAGATGAACGAGAGATATTGTCAGATTCAAATTATCTTGACACATACGATGCATTAGATTTTTTTTGATAGTTTATAGTAAACGAGAACGGTGTGTTATTCGCCTGACATGGAGTATTGCCTGGACACTGAATGAATGTTTGAATATGAACAACAACTCTAAGATGCCAAAATGCGTGTCCCATTTCAATATGCCGAACCTCATTATTTGCCAATTGCTTTTTAAGACTACTCTGAATAATAATTATCTTTACCAAAGCCTCACCATTGTAGACCGGACAGTCACTCAACTCCATCCCATCCCATCCCCTCCTACTCGTAACGTCACCTTTTCTACCCTAGAACCTATTATTGATGCAATTTCTCATGCAAATGCATGCCCAGCATTTTCGGTAAACAACGTACAAAAGCCCAATCACACCCAAGCGCAAGGCAGCCTATCAAGACACTCATTTCCTCCTTATCACCTTGAAGCCGCAGTAAAGTCCGGTCTGGCCCCCTTCCAAATGCATTACCTGCATGCCTCGATATTGTATAGCCCCCAATATGATGCATCACCATCACCGCTCGCAATATTGTTTCACACCTGAGCCGCCAGGCAGGCAACAGCCTCAAGCATCACCACAGACATATCCTCGCGTGCCAAAATTTCTTTTCATTTCTTTGCTTTTTCCTCCCCGAGCCTCATGCAATACGGATAGATTGGTAAGCCGAGACAGCACATTCAGCAGCTCACATCTCATGCCGCCTCAGTAAGCGCAACCTCTCCCTTACATATATCCCCCACCTAGTATGCCTCACTGCGTCGCGTCTTTTCTTTCTTTTTCTCTCAGCTTCGATTCGAACGCGTCCCCTTAATATCTGAACGAGCGCTGATACGTTCGCCATCTGCTGCGTGAGGCTAGGATCCTGGCCGCGATACCGGGACTCTGGCCAATAGATCCGAGACCCGTCTCAGGTCTCCTATCTCGTACATAATTAGATCGTTTTTTTTTCGGGTCGATGGTCCCCGGGATGAGTCTATCGCGGAGATCGAGCCTCCAGACTTACGATAGATTCTAGTCGTTCTCACCTACGGCAGAGCTCGATCGGCGTCAGCCGCCGGGTCTCGGCTGATCGGCTGGCAAGGTTCGCGGGGTTCATCCAAGCAATGCCGTGGCAGCCCCTGGTCGGAGCTGAAGCCATCATGTAAGTGAGCCTGCAAGTGACCCTGTAGCCCAGAATGTACCTGTAAGAAAGTGTGTGCTTGTAGTAAGTCAACCGGCAGGCCAACCAGTAAGAGAGAGCGCTCAGACGGATGGGCGTTCCATCTTGAATCTCAGAGTGAAAATCATCTATTTAAACCCACCTTCCCTCCATCCTCAGATCGCTTTCTCTCTCTCTCACCACCACCACCTTTAGAAGCACTTCATCACACTCCTTCAAGTTCCCCTCCCCCTCCCTCCTCTCCCCCAAGGGGCACCCTCACCCTCACTCTGGGCGTTGTCAGAAACACTTCTTGCGTCGGTCCGTCAGAAATGTCGTCTCCGTCTGGAGGGAGCAAGACGCTCAGAGAGTACCAGAGATCCAGTCACTCCTTATACACCTCCAACTTTCTCTGGTCGAGGCACTGCGGGGTGCCCTCACGGATATCTCCTTCTCCGCCCCTTCGGTCTTGGTCAAGTATGTAATCGAGTCAGTATCATACATCCGTGGGATTTGGCTAACACTCTGTTCAAATTAGTCCCGCTCCTCTACAGATACATGCCCAATAAAATCTAATAAAAACACCAAAAAAGAACGCTCCAAGAATTGGGTATGTTGGAAAAAGAAAAGTACAAAAAAAGACTCCACAGAAACAAAAAATCCAAAAGAAAAAAGCATCTGCCGTCAAGAAGAACATTGGAAGACATGCTTTGCTCAACAATGTCGGACCTATTGGCCTCGTCATTGTGTCAATTTTAGCAAGCATGTAACATAGTTGCAAGTATTTGTTTGGACTTTGTCCGACGCATAGCCCCTTTCAGGAGAATCCACGCTCTCTCAACTTATCTCGTGCTCCTGGAAGGGGCCAGAGCATATAACGAAATCTGTGTCCTAAGGGTTGTTGGAGAAATGGCTATTTCTCCCCTGTTTTGGACGAGTTATCGACATGCCTGACTTGCAACTTGGGGATTTGTTATTTGGTCTTCATGGGTATTATAACGCCGTTGTTTCAGAACACTGCTGCCCACATCAACGTGCGTGCGCAACTCTGTTAAGTTGGGCGTTATAATAATGGACTGATTCGTCATTTCGATGACTGAAACTTCTATCGACAGCCCGCCCTGACTGGGCGAAAGAGTCCAGCACGATAGAATGGAGGAGAGAAATTGGGAATGGGAATGGGAAATCAGGGTATATAGAGGGACTTTTGGGATTGGAGGAATGGGAACTGGGAAACACTGTGGAGGACTCAAGGCTGGGACGGGAGGGGGAATTGGGACTGGGACTTGTTATAGAGCGGAGGATCAAGGTAAGGACGTGTGGGGGAAATGGTGGAGGAGTTTCATGGAAAACCCTTCCCGCTTCGTGTGGGAAGAACTTTAGGGCCGCATACCATCAGATAAACCTGTCAAAAGGTTGGGCAAGATCATGGTATGCGGCCCCTCCCCCAAAAAAATTTGGCCCTCGGGGCCCTCCTGCGGGGTGGAGGAATTACCATGGCACAAAGGATGGATTGGATATTGGGCCGGGTCAGGATGGATGGATGGTATTGAGTTCGGGTTCGGGATTGGGATAGGACTGGGTAATCGGTTTGGCTGGGAATTGGGAGGAAGAAAGAGGTGGAATTTGGGACGGATAGAGGTGGATAGGGATTTGTATATAGAGATGGGATTGGATGGGAACTGGGATGGAAATTTGATGGATGGATGGGATGGAAGGGTTATTAGAATCGCAGCCATGGTACAGGAGGGCCCCTTTAGAGACTCCGAAATGGAAATTTCCATTTCAACAATCTTGACATGTGCCTGTGACAAGTGATACGAGCAAGCAGTAATCATCCATCAATCCTGTTTCACAATGAGGGGATTGCAGCACAAGGCGACAATGCTTCTGGATGATCTTGGGTATCTTCAGTAGTTTGACCAATGGGCGAGCTGTTGCTTGTTTACTGGCAGGGAGCCTGAGTTAGCGGATGGCAAAGAAGATGATGGATGAAGAAAGGAAGAAGGGTTGAATACATGTAGCTTGGAATGCTAGTGCAAAAGAAACGGACTGCTCTTTGAGACGGACTACCCTTTCGACGATGTCTAGCTACTCGAAAAGACTTCCAACGCGGTACATATGGAGATGAAATATACCCGATTCGATTGAAAGTGGCTAAGTAGGTAGCACGGCAAATTCTAGAAAAGTAGAAGACAATGAACATGAGGAGGAGAAAATGAAGGAAGATAAAAAAAAATAAAAAATAAAAATCAACTGATCGAGACGTCACGATGGCTCCGGGATGTGCAGCACAAGGAAGGGGCAGCTCCTTATCGGTGATATCATGTACCTCAAGAAGAGGAACAAGAATCACCATTTTATCATCCTCAATTGTTACATGCATGAAGACAGACATATACAGCTTAAAAATAGAGGAATAACATGTTGCTGTACAGACAACCCCAGGTATTCTATATGGAGACGTTTGTGGAAGTGCATCCGCATCAGCTGTCTCGTGCAATCCCCATCTCCTACCTGAACTTTAGCTATGGCTGCTATGCTGTATAATGTAGTGTCACTGGAGATCGAATATCTGTGTAACTGAAGGTGATGGCACTTCAAGGGACTATCATCACTTACAGATGGTCCCTTGCATCAAGATTGATCACCTTCTTGAGTAACCACCTCCTCCATGCATGCTCACAAGATGAACCTGGCCTAGTCCACTGCAAAATACCCATCCCCTATTCTCTACTAGACTTCAACAGCCATCCACGCGGCAGATGCATCTCATCAAAAGCTTCACGACTCATGAAGCACACTCATCTTCGAGCTACCCGCATCAACGATCTGTCACTCTAAAACCTTGGCGCCGACATCTACATCGAAAATCCATGCAAATCACCAAAAATGTCACGTGGACAGCCTCTGCTCGAGCCTCCCCCCAAAACAAAGTCCAGTTTCAGCAACCAAAAAGACACACGCAGAGACAGAGTTGAAGCCTTTCTGTAGCCTCAGCGCCACACACCAAACCAGATGGCGCATCGCGTCCTCTTCTCCGCATGAACTGCATCCAACAAGAGCTCAAAGTTGCGGTTTCACACCCCCTCTTCAAGAAAACGGCAGGCTGAACAACGAGCTGAAGAGCGACTCGTCAAAGAGAACTCTCGTGCCATCAACTAGCAGCTTGTCCTGGCCATGTGGTTTTGGCCACCAACGCCCCCTCCAAAACTTCGGATTTGCTCCCGCCCTGATCTTCAGCATCTTCACATTCTCTAAGCGCTGATCAAACCGAGCTAGGCAAGTCCAAACTCGAACCAGCCCAGCTTCATCTTCTCCGCACGCCAAGCTAGTCGTCACTAAAACTTCTCCAACTTTGATGTTCAGTAGGGGTGGGTGTGTCTTCATCTCCCAAGCCCCAGATGTCGCCAAAGACCCTGTAAATCGCCTTCAGCCACGCCGCCAAGTGGGGAGGAGAAGGTACATCTGAGAGAAGTATCGTCGAGCATCAGCGTTGAAACAGGATGCCCTCGCCAGACCCTCTAAATAAAGGGCAGTTTGTGTGCTGATAGCGCGTGCTCTAGCGTAGTGGAAATCTAGAGCCGCCCATCCGTCAAGCCCTCAACTGTCTGATGGCGTCTTGTCCTATCAGTGACGTCTCAACTATTTTGGGTAGCATCAACTCTGTTGGTTCCTCTTCATTCCTCGAACCCATTAGCGAACTTGATACTGCGCTCAGCGACAGCTGAGTTGCGTGGCATCGTGGCATGTCACTGCAAGATATCACTTGACATGTTGTGGCAGAAACGGTGGTGATGCCCTCTCCTCCGTGGCTGGGCTTCTCGAACAATAGAATGTTCTCCTCGCTTGCCGCTTCTGGATAGTAGATTCATCTGCATCGATCCAGATTGCCGGCAAGTCGTTTGCGTACGAATGCTGTATTTGCCTGTGTATCGAAAGATGTATCAGCGTCCAATGGCAATCCGTGATGCATACGAAGAGGCACCATGATCGGACAATCATCTCACGGATTGTCTCACAATCGTTTACCCCCACACAAACTCTCTCTGACCGACAATAATGCCGGCAAGACGACGTTCCGAACATCCCCGTCTTGGCACCCATCGAATCTCCAAGATGTGAATCCCTTCACTTCCGGACTTGCAAGGCCCGAATCGGGTCAAAGACTGCCGGCATACGCCTTACACTTGACCAATTCATGAGGCTTGCAAAACTCCGAACCCCTGGTCGTTTTGGTGCCGCGCTTGTGCTTTCTCTCACACAAGAAGGTTGTTATTGTGGCGCAGATCTCCTCTATTGTCCAAGATGCAGGAAACCGCACTGGTTTCCACAGATTGAGAGAGATAAACTCAAAAGGCCTTTCAGCTTGGAGCAAAAGTGGCTGAACTTCACCACGTGGGATTGACGGCCCTCCCGAGGACTGGTCTGTCGACACAGCGAACCATCATCGCCCGGTCGAGGAGTGGGTGTGATGATCATGATTTGCGCCCTAAACCTCCCATCTCCAAAAGATCTGGGTGCCAAGGGTGCCCCCTAAGAGGCGAGGCGTGCAGGTGAGAAAACATGGTGGCTTGAGAGATGAAAAGGCTAGATGATTCTCCAAGCTAATATAGCACAAAACGCTCTTCTCAGACCGACCAACAGCACACCACAAGCAGAGGGAATGCCTCATCTGGTAACAACACGCCCTCCTGGCGTGGGCATCAGCAAGCAGCAATCTGAGCGCCACGGAAGCCCATCCAAGGACCTATTTTAGAACGACGACAAGTAGTGGCATTTTCGAAGCTTAGACTCTGCCTCACAAGTGCCGTCCAATCAGACAAGGCTTGGCAAAAAGCATCACAAGCATTCGCCCTATCGCAGAGCAGCAAAGAAAAACACCCCAGCCGTGAAGAGAAGATAGCAACTGGGGCTCTTCTCCAAAAGCTAAGCACAAACACATGTCTGTGGCTTCATGCAGCCACCATTCCTCGAGGACAGCCAGGCCGACTCTCGTCGATAGAGGGCAAGAGGTGTGCAACTTATATTTCTAAACTAGGACAAATCACATACCAACGTTCCATCACATCGCTTGTATGGCTGAAACGTTGGCGTGCTGGCGGATAAGGGGGAGCAGAAGATTGAGGCAAGAATATGCGACATAGGATGCTGTAAACGAAGTCGATACTCAACTATAGACGAGCGATGGAATGATGTTAGTCCGGATTCTCTGCCACGGCTCATGCTTACAGCAGAGAGGAGATTTGCTGATATCAGCTGTTCTCACTTCATGTAAAAATGGCGATGAATTTGTGCATGTGCAGCGGATAGTGCTCCCTTCGCACAGTCTTAATCTATTTTGTCAAGAGCGGTCGCCCAGTTAGGCGATCTGCGCATCAAGTGCTATGGTATGTGGTTATAAAGTAATCCATCTTATGGTGGATGTCAGAATCGCGTGGCTTGCAGAGATGGACAGTGCATGAAAGCCGCAATAATGCAAGTCTTAGTCAAGCAGACTCTGTCCACGATCTTCTCTCTTCATTGCAAACGATTCATTGCGACGTCTCCGTGCCCTTGTTTCTAGACAAGGACGAGCATCACATCGGCCTCAGTCAGCTCTTCCCGAGGACCCCTTCAGTCCAGTATTCATCCCGCTCCTTCAAAAATCGGTAAAAGTCATTGTCGGGTTCCTGAATGGTATCAACGCCCCAATCACCGCCGGCACGTAATATGCAGACCTTTTGATCAAGTCCCCAGTCAACAGTCCGATTGATCCGGAATGCGCTCTCGAGTTCTCGCTTCCAAACACCTGGTCGCCTGCTGGTCCCAGTTCCATACCTCCGCGGACCAGTCTTGCTACCTCCTCTGGCTGAAAGAATGCAGCCGTTCGCGCTCTCCCCATGCGTTCGGTCTTGGTAGCACTTGTTGAAGTGCTTGTCGACTCATTATGTGATGCTGATGAGTCTGATCCCGGTGTGTCTGCCCTGCCCAGCACAACGACCCAGGCAAAAGTCTCCATGGCATCCCCGCTGTCGTCGACGCCGCCCTCAATGCCAACCCAGTAATCGGCCTGGGGCTCTGCGTCGCGGGCGTTGCGAGCTCGGTTTCGTGCGCCCTGCAGGGTTTCTGCATCCGTCATGGGCTGGTCAGCAACGCCAGATGGCACGTTGAGACCGGTGAAGGAGAATGCTGCAGACGGGAACATGCCACCAAAGGCCTCCTTTGCGGCTGAGATCTTGACATTGTTGCGTGAGGCGACAATGACTCGGGTGACACGGGTAGCCGCCTGGTCTGTCATTTCAAAGCCTTGCCGAACCCTTGCTTTGCTGTGTTGCTTTTTCTGATCCCCGCACTCTCACTCTTTCTGCCCGCCTTGTTTGATGTGCGCAGGAGAAATAAAGATAGTAAATCGTAATTCAAGAACGTCTGTAAATCAAACTTGTAGAATTGTAGCCGTTGTGTGAATGCGCTTGTCGATTTTGTAGTGCTTTGAGTATCGGAGAATGAATTAGCGATGTCCTTGATGGGGTTTTAACTCGCAAAAAGGGCGTAGCGTCGCTCGGAAGCCGAGTGAGTCTTACGCCGGCTGAAGACCCCTGCTAGTCCGACCCGACAGCACCTGTAATGGACCGCCCCTGATTATTACCTGTACGGAGTAAATGCAGATGCATTCACGTCTTGGCGGAAATGATGTCCGGAGAAAGACAAGGTGATGAAGGGAGTGAAAAAAATGTCAAGTTCTTTACTCTACCACAAGCGATAGGCCTTGGGTGTGATTTTGTCAACTCTTTTCTTGAACATGAAACAAAAAACTATGGCGGCGGTGCGGCATCATTGTCCGGATTCGCCAGCGACAGATAATCCACACCCATCGCACCCTCATCGACATTATAGCTGCCAGCATCGTTGTCCTCCTCTAGCAGGGGGATCTGCTGTCCCCAGACCAGCCCGTCCATGTCCATGTTCCATGGCCAGTCTTGGTCCAGCATGTTTACAATGTCCCCAGTGCTGTAGCTGGTCGAGGCGAGTGCATCGGCTCCCTGGTCTCCCCAGAATCCAGCCGCCTCATCGCTTGGTCCCCCCTTTTGCAGGCCGGGATCTTGGAGGCCGCTGCGTTGCCTTGCGTTTGAAATTTGAGAAGTGGCCTCCAACAGGCGACTCACGACATCCCGGCTGCGACGTGCCGTGAGGGACCAATCTTTCATAGCTGTAAACAGCTCGAGAGTCGTCTCGATCTGGGCCTGCCACTGGGCGACAGACGGATTATCAGGCTGCCACAAGATGCTTACCAGAGGGATCATGGCCGCTTGGTACAAGAACCACACAGCGTTCCATCCAGACATTTGCTGGCGCATCCATCCCTTGGAAACGCTATCAACCGTCTCTCGAGCAGCGCCCTGGCAAATCTCCACAGAAGCAATATCATGCTCTGATATGGGCAATTCAGCCTTGCTGGCAAGAGTAAGAAGAACTGGGCGGTGTAGCAGCATTCGTAGATTCCAATATCGCCATGTCATGATGCATCGTGAAAGATGCAGTGGCTCTACACAGGGCTCTGTAGAGCGTAGAAGCCAGGGGAGGTTGTTGAACCAGTCGACAAGAAGGCCGTCCAAATGACTTCGATCTTCCGCGTTTAAGAGAGGAGTGACTGCAAGCATGTCTTGAATCTTGGTGGCGATCTTGCAGAATTTAATGTTTTCGAGCAGAGGCATGATGCCCGCGTATTGTGCAGAGTCATGTTCCTCCTAGAATGAAGAGAAAGAATCAGAAGCTGCCGATTAAAGTATAGAGAAGTTGTGTCTATGACAACGCAGAGAAAGGAGAGAAAAATCAAAAGGGATTTTTTCAAGGGAGCATACCTGCTCTGGAACAAGTTTAGGAGGTTGGATGTTGATTGCAGGTCCCCATCGGCCGAATGAAGGGCGTCCAAGAGTCGTGGTTCCCCAAGTGTCGAGACAGAATATCGTCCACCAGGTGCGTCGCCGTGACTCGAGAACCGCAGGGTCGGATTGCGGCTCCTCCGGCGACGGTTCTCGATGCAGCCCGAGGGCAGTGGCCATTCTGTGAATTGCACCGATAATGGCATTGGCCATGTTTGGACGGTTGATATAATGGAGGTAGTAGCCTCCCAGCAACGCCAAGGCGTGGATGGTCTCGATATTGCTGCTCCCAAACGCACTGAGATGGATGTGCTCAATGGCTTGATTGTAATACTTGATGTGGCTCAGGTTGCTGGACGGCGTGGACATGATACTGCTCGTGGCAAAGACCATGTTGACGAGAGAGAGCCAAGGAGCATCGCATCTTCGACCTTCGTTGTAATGTTTCCGAAACGAGGCCTCGTCCAATATGGGCGTGAGGACATGGACACGTTTGAAGTAGGCATCGACAAGAGCTTGCCCCTTGTATGTCCATGGAATAGGAGAATGTACCTTGGATTTAGTAACTGCACGGAAGAGAGGAACACTGCTGTGTGCATTGTCATCGCTGGAAGCATCAGGGGATGATTGTGCTGCAAGCAACACTTGTAACTGAGGTTGGATCTGAAGCATAACCGTCAAAGCCACCTTGACCGATGAAGCGCCGAGATATGAAGCAGCCTGTTTGTCCATGTTGAGAGACAGGGCGTTTACATCATCAGCTTCCGCCGGCAATGCTTCCTTTTCTCTCCGCTCCTCATCCCATTGTGAATTTTGGGCAGGCATCTGCTCAAGCTCCTTTGGATGATGTTGTTGCTGCTGTTGCTCCAGGTCATCGGGAGAGGGAGGAGCCGGCGAGATTTCAGCTGTTTCTTGCTGAACCGGCTGATCTAGGAGGTCACGGAGCTCCTGGCGGGACAATGCCAGCAGATGGGAGACCTCATGGTTGGGATAAAGACGCCGCAGCACGGAGCGGCACTCTTCAAGGCTGCGTGATAGCTCCTCTAGTGATCTAACGGTGAGAGAGAGCGGGAGTTAGCCAAGTGAAAAGGGGGAGAAGAAGAAGAATAGGAAGAAGACATAAAGAAACATAGAGACATACTTTCTTGACGGGACAAGACGCTGGCGATGTTGCTCATACACGCATCGTCTCCGAGAGCGACTGGACTGGCAGCGGTTACACGGCTGCTTACCGTCGCAACGAATCTTGCGGCGCTGGCACTCAAGACAGGCGTGGAGACTCTTTGCGGCTCTGCTGCCGGCCGTGTCCTGAGAACGATTGCCGTCCGAGGACGATTGGGGCGAACGATCCACGGCTTTTCCCTGGACCCCCTGGACTAATGAAGTCGTTCTCTCTGGTTAGCCAAGATGCTACAAGGCCAGAGACAACTTGTGCGTGAGAGGACTCGGGAGAGAGACTCGGGATAACAATAGGGGGGTTGCTTGTGCATAGATAGACTCCACCCACAGGTGTAGAACATTCCGTCCAGATGGTTGATGCTGTTATTACCAATTTACCGTAGCAGTCGCAGTCGCAAGTGAATCGGAGAGTGAGGAGACTAAGGGCCAATAGGAAGGCCAAAACATATAGTGCCTCTGTTGGCTAGAGTGAAAGACGAGGTTTCGGCGTGTATGTATCAGGGAGCAAAAGGAGGAACAGATGTCCCGATCACGGGAAACGACTGATGTGGGATGAGATGAGGTGAGGTGATGAAAAGGCAAGGTACCACCAACACTGTGGTATTACCTAAAGCGAGCTGAGGCTGGAGAAAGAGGGGGGGCGATTCTTGCTTCGAGTTTGCCGATAGTGTAAAAAAAAATCAAAAAGTATCATTAATTAATCTAGCGTAATTAACAAACCACTCAATGCCGCCCAGCCATGTTTGAAAAAATGAATAAAAAATGTAATAAAAATAAAAATAAAGTAGAATGGAATCAACAGAATCAATCAATCCATCATGTGGTGAAACTCTCGGAGAAAAAGACTCGACTCGTTTTGTCGTGCTGAAGGAAAAAAAGAGTGGAAACCGGGGTTTCTCTACGTCCAAGCAGAAGAAAAAATAAAATAAAAAAAAATAAAAAATAAAAATAAACGAGAAAATAAAAAAGGCACCGAAAAATCCGGGGTAAAACCTAGCAAAGAACCGAGTGTTACTGTAGCCTCCAGAGTCTCCCACCGTCAAATAATCCATACTAAATCCTCGGCTACTACTAGTAAAAGATTTTCGATGGTCGCAGTTGCATACATATGCAGCACACACCTTCTTCACACGCTTCGCTTCCCCCCGAATCGAAATCGCAAATCGGCGCACCTGCCCACAAATATCCCCCCAAAATACCCCGTGGGCAGGTGCGGAATTCGGTGGCTAGTCCCTTTTCGGGAGGTTGGGCCGTAGCGGGAGGCGCTTCTCCGGGGGTCTGGAAAATGGGCCAAAGTATAGCAGCAGTAGCAGCAGTGGGTGGTGATACCACTGTATTCTACGGGCTTAGTACTAGTATTGGGTTATGGGGTTATTGGGACTATATTGGGTAGTAGCAGCAGTACGACTGTGGAGCAGAAATCGGTTAATGTCGTCTGGGGGAGGGGATTCTCACTGGCACGGAGTATTAATATCAATCTGGTTGGCTACCGGAGTAATACCTACTTGGACAGAAGTAGCTCCAAAAGCATTTTTACTCTTCCCGGGCAAAGGGGACTAACTAACATGAGGTTCATCCCACTAAGCTGTCACTAGCCCCCATATCCAGGTATAAGTTGATGCCGCTAGACGTTGGCAAGGTTGGGTTGCAATACGGATGTCGTGAGGCCAGGGGGCATGGATGTATGTAACTATGTATGTATGTGTGTGTGTATGGAACAAGGCATGGTGTTGACCAACATCGAATGGCATTCGCTGACCTGGGGGGGGACCACATGATGGCCAAGAAGTGTGTATGACCACCCGTACCAGTAATACTCCGTAAATTGCCGCTTTGCCAGATACCTAGACGGGCAAACACGTCCATATTAATTGCATTCCCACAGAGTAGCATCTTGTATACACACGCACGCACGAGACACCATTCGCCTACAGAGTTGGGTAGGTGGCAAAGTAGAATTCTGCCAAATATGGGATGGTAGGCAGAACTAGATGTTGGAGGTGTTAGATGGCGGCTATAGCCTCAAGTTGAAGTATGGCACGTGAGAAAAAGAGGCAAAAGAGGCACATATGGATCCGTACAGTTTGTTTGGCAGTTGTCATTCCGAATGTTGCATTGTTGCGCTCTGGCCCCCCTCTCATAGCCTCATATCATTACGTGAAAACAAACAGTAAAATGGCAAAAACGCAATTCCTTTCCATCCCAAAAAAGACCGTCCCGTGGAAACGCAAGCAACCATCAACCAATTCAGCCTCAATTCCTGCGTACAACTGCCCTGGTATTAGTGTTTTTTAATGGTGGGTCGTAATGACAAGTAAATCCTCCACGCCTTATGCCTTCTCGATATTAACGATGCCACCGTGGCTGTCCACGGCAACGGACTTCTTGGCGGTCGACGCCTTGACCGGGTTCTTGGCCTCGAAGATTTCGTCAAGCTCTTCCAACTGTAGAGAACACGATGAGTTAGCAAGATGTGCCATTGTAGACCAATGGGTGAATCAGTAATACTTACAGTGCGTCCCTTGGTCTCGGGGATGAAAAAGTAGACAACAGTCACCTGGACAAGATCCCAGATGGTGTAGATGATGTACGTGTGCCAGCCAATCTTCTTCATGGACACGGGCCAGGCAAATTGGTTCAAGAGACCAGCGGCATTGGTGGCAAAGCTGGAGAAGGCCATACCCTTGGCACGCATCTCGAAGGAGAGCACCTCGACGGGGTACAGGGCCTGCAGGGGGGTGATTCCGACAGAGTAGACGGCACCAAAGATGAAAATCATGGCCAAAGCGGCCTTGGATGCCGCAGGGTTGTTGTAGATGGCGTTGCCGTCGGCGTCGACGCCGGTTTGAGAAGCCGCAAAGCGCGCAGAGGCAATGGTCATGCCCATCCAGACGACGACACAGGCGGCAAAAGAGAAGAGCAGCAGGGGGCGACGACCCACACGGTCGACCAAAAAGGCACCAAGGATGGCCCAGGCAAACTGCTGGCAGTTGTTGATGAGGGTGATGTTGGCCTGCTGAATGGATCCAGTGTAACCGGCCGTGTCGAGGACCGAGCCGAGGAAGTAGGACAGCACGGCATTGCCGGCCCATTGACCAAAGACGGTGATGGTGATGTTGCAAAGGAGACGGTAGACGGCAGAGCGGCTGCGGAAAAGCGCCCGGTAATCCCACCAGCGCTTATCGGCACCGTCCATGTTGAGGAGCTGTTCGTACTCAAAGAGCTGCAACTGGACCCAGGGAGAGTCGGGGTTGCCGTTGCCGTGATACTTGGTGAGGACGGCCTTGGCCTGCTCCTTCTTGTTGTTCACGTAGAGCCATCGGGGGGATTCGGGGAGGAACATGGCGAAGATGCAGATGAGACCGGCAAAGAGGGCCTGGAGCCAGGTAATGAGTCGCCACGAGTAGTCACCACCGACGTTGAGGCCGCCTCGGGCAGCACCGGCCGAGATGATGGCACCAGAGAACCACAGGGTGTTGTACATGGCTAGATATTGAGAATTAGCTCATCTCTCTTCTCACCACGTTTGCTGAAGACACTCTCAATGTTCCCAATCAAGGGGGACGAAACATCAGGAGATGGGTGAAGTCAAACAAAAGGAGTCACTTACCTCCAACACGTCCACGGTAGGCAGGGTGGTTAATCTCAACAACGTACATGGGGCCTGCCGCCGCCGCAATGGAGACACCGAAACCAAGCAAGAATCGGCCTCCCATGAACTGGCCCTGGGAGTTGGACACACCCTGGACAATGGTACCAACGACGATGAAGATGGCACCCAGGAGCATGCCCACGCGACGGCCGAATCCGTCAATGGCAGGGCCGACAAAGGGAAGCGCGACGACACCACCAATCTGGTACATGGACGAGACAATGCCGGCCCAGATGCCATCGTTGCCGCCCTCGATGTACTTCTTCTGGAACCAGGGGTTCTGCAGCAGGTTGTTGATGAGCGAACCATCATAGCCGTTCATGGTACTGCAGAAAAATGCAATGATGGAGAAGGAGTAGATGAGCAGCTGAGCCGTGGTCCAGGCCCTTGGCGGCTCCTTCATCATGGCCTCCTGAAAGGCCGTGTGTCCGCTCACGACCTTGGTTTGGAGTTCTCCCTACATTGAGACAGAAAGTGTCAGTCACTCGCTCTTCCAAACGAGGTGGCAAAAAACACAAATCACAAAGGAGAAGAAAGAAAAAACTGCAATCGGGTGATTTGCCATACATGGTCGAGCTCCTCATGGGTGTGGATGTCGTCCTTTTCGCCCATTGTAACGGGGGGTATCTCTAGCCTCTCGGCCAGACCAGCTCTTCAAGTTGTGTGTGAGAGAGAGGTTGATGGGGAGGGGAAACTCTGCAATGCCCCCGTCTTTCGATGCGAGGGAGAGCCGAGTATTTGACTGCGAGTGAGATGAGGAGGTGAAGAGAGAGAAAAAGAAAGGTTGCAGTCCTAATGGCCAGGGGGCGCTGTCGCTTTTATGCTTCTTGTCTGTGTCCCTTGCCGCGTGCAATCCTTCCCCAGGCTCTTTCACAAGGTTGGATGGTTGGATGCTAATGCTACTTTTTTGGGATCAGGAAACAGCCCTTGTCAATAGGCCCGATCAAGCGAGCGTTTGTTTGTACGAATGAACGCCTTGCCAGCATCAGTTGCTTCAAGCCATCTCAGGATTGGGATTGATATTTCGCCGGTGCAAGTGATACGGGCGGATTATTTGAAAAGAAGCTCCCCCAGGAATTGGGCATGCCGTGCCGCTTATACGGCTTGTCTCCTTTCTCATACGATTGCGGTCAAGAGGCTATTGGACGGCGGCGTCGTGCCGTGGCGTCGACTTTCGGCCCTCGTAACATTGCGGGGGGACAGGCCCAAGCCTGATGCAGGTGCGGAGGATTCTGGTCCGCAATGGCTGGCGAGCAGTTTGGGAATAGCACAGCCTGAACCCCGGGTCGAGACGGCGCTTTGTCTGGACAGACGGATCCAGTGAATAGACATTAGCCTAAGTGGTGCGGATCATCCGCCTCTGGGGTATCTGGGCCTCTCCAGACTGACGATTGGGCCGAAGGCCACGCGATGCACGGAGAAATCCTACAAGTACACGCCTGCTGAGTGTCTTGGCGGGGTGAAGCATGAGATGGCATGAGGTGAGGTTGTGTGCTTTTGGGGTTGTCACCATGGATGTCAAATATTGATTTGATCCAGGCCCTTGGTGGCGGTTGGTTGGCGGATGGCGGTTCAAGCCTAGCAGCATGTCAGACGGCAAATCGCGAAGCTGACTCGCGCAAACAGGAAGAGCGAGGGATGAATTACAAAGTCAAGAGAGAGGCGAATGTGCTGCAAGCGAGAAGTGCGTTTGCATTGGTGTCGGTTTGGGTGGTAAGATGGAGATGAAGCCTGCCATGGTCTGACACGAACATGAACTGGTGACTTTTTGGTGTGCATCTCGAGACAAGTAAACAAAAAAAAATTGGAGGTTGCAGGTAGCCGAGCTGGGGGGGACCCAGTGCTGTAACTTCCATGTTAGCTCTGCATCGGTTAGCAGGGCCGGATGATTAATCAATCGGCATAATTCCCCAGCAATTTCGATCACTTTTCACAAGCGAGCAAGCAGGTTGTCGAGCGGCTGAACAAATTGAATCAACTAGAGTCCAATGTGATGGCAGCTGAAGCAAGCACTAAGGCTATATCCACGGGCAACGTGATCAATGCCTTGGGATGTGTGTGCAGATCTAGTGCCAGAGTTCACAAAATGCAACAGCATCGTATCGACTAGAGTCCTAGGCTAGCTTGTGATTGTGATGGCGGACAGGGAAGCAAGCATTCAGCACTCACAGGGATCCCTCAGGGCGCACTGGCTTAGCTTACCAAATCTCCTTGCAGCTTGCTGGGATTTGCCCAAAAAGAGAGCAGAGCAAAAGCCCGGCGCCAACTTAGTTCTCAGTCGACGCTCAAAATGGGACGAAGAGCTGGGGAATTACTCCGAATTCTCGTAACGGTTTAGTGGGTGCTTATGTAATGAAGCAAATTGATGCGATCTAGGGTAGACAAACATATGTAAGTAGGAATATCCGAAGAGCAAACTATATGGACATGAGCGAGCATTGTGTAAGTAAAGACACACAACAATGGCCTATGGTAGCCTCCAGCTAACAATTCAATGCTGAACAGATACAAAGTTATTTTAATATAAGAAACATACAGATCTTGCTGCTGCCGGCCAGCTCAGCAAAACAGGAGGGTGTAGACTCGACAGGCACACAGCATGAATAGCACAATTACAAAGTAGCATCGACCAGCAAGCACCCACGTGGCAGGTGCTCTTGGTGTCTATAGATGAGATGCGAATCTGACAGAGAGCCCATTCCGCTGGGTGAACCAGTCGGTTTCGATACCCGCGGCAACCCTGTCGATATCCACGTTCTCCGGGGAATCACCCTCGTGGACCCCCCCAAAGGAGAATTAGGGTTTCCGCAGCATTTGCCGTTTCAAGTCTCGGTTTGCGTTGATCGCTTCTGACGTGTGCCATTGGACGGCTGGTATTCTCTACGAGAGCCGGGGCTACTGCTGCATTGTCTTGTGAGAGTTTGCCTGGCCCGAGGAAGTGTGTTGGAAGCTGACAACCGACAACATGGAGATTCCTGTATACATCTCTGGACTAATCTAAGAGCCGATTGAGAGATTAGTCATCACTCTCAGTCTGTAATCACCAATCACAACGCTCTTCTTTGATCGTGCTCCCGAACGTCCTCCAAATAGAGTCCTTCAGTATATTGCCTTTTTTTTCTTTTATTCAAGTAAACTTTTATTCTCATCCTAAATTTTCTCAGATATCAAAGATCCTACACCACATCCCTTCTTTTACAGTCCAACAGCCTTCACACTCAAGTCCCACAGCTTCTTGGCCTCAATTTCGCTAATGGCATGGGGAGAAACGGTGTCGACATAGTAATCGGCAACTTGAGCCTTTTCCAGCAGATATGCGCCGTTGTGTTCTATCAAATGCAATTGACGTTAGCTTATTGCTTTTAAGAAATGACAATGAAGACGGGTGTAACGGGAAATAATTCCAAAAAAAGAAAGAGGAGGGGGACCAGCAGGAAAACATACCCTTGAGAACAGGATCAAAAGAAGCAAAGACGTGAGTAGCAATTCCTTGTTCATGTGTAAGCATCTCCTTCTCCTGCTCCCAACCAAACGGTGATCCAGTCATTCGAGAGACTCGCGCTATATAAAAAAAAAGGACAAAAATTAGCGATCCGGGTATAAACATCGGTAAACGGCCAGAACCTACCCAAGACCTCCAAATCGCCTCCCGGTGCAAAGTCTAAATGGGCTCCGAGGTTGGTAATGATGGCACCGGGATTCAAGCTATAAGCCAGAACGCCACGGTCACCGAATCGCTTGGCCAGGCCGATGGAAAAGAGGATGTTGGCCGTCTTGGACTGGCCGTATGCGTTCCACTTCTCGTACGTCTTTCCGCCCTGTATTGTCAAAGTCACATCTTCTGTCAGCCCATCCATAGAAACGAAACAAAGAAAACAAAAATGAAAATATTGTGTGTCGTTACTCACATCATAGTTCAAATCCGCATAGCGAATGCCGCTAAACCAATGTCCACCACTGCTGACATTGACAATCCGCTTGAGCTCACTCGCAAGAACCTTGTCCAAAATCAAGTTCGTAAAGAGAAAGTGGCTCAAATGGTTACACGTCAACTGGCTCTCATATCCATCCTCGCAAATCTTGTACTCCACAGCCATGATGCCCGCGTTATTCATCAACACGTCGATCGCCGGCACATCGTCCCAAGAGTTGACCTCGGCAGCAGCCTTTCGCGCGGAAGCAAACGAGCTAAGGTCCAGCTGCAGCACTTTGGTCTTCACGTCCGGGTGGGCCTTGTTGATGGCTTCGGCTGTCTGGTTCACCTTGGCCAGGTCGCGGCCGGCGAGGATGAGCAGCTTGGGCTGTGCGGCGGCGAGGGTCTCGACGTAGCGTGCGCCGAGACTGTTGGGTGAGACGCCCGTGGTGAGGATGGTCTTGCCCTTGATGATGGGGGCATATTCGGCGACCAGCTCGCCGCCGGTGATGTCCTTCTTGTAGGGGAAAGGCATGATGTTGATGTTAGGTTTGATGTGAGTTCTTGTTGGTCTTGACAAGAACAAGGAAATGATAAAAAGAGTTTAATGACGAGGCTATGATGATGCTGAAGAAAGGAGAAAACAAGGCTATGGCTATGAGTGTCGAATCCCCAAGAATCAAGAAACTTGAGGAAGCAGCACTCCTTCTTTTATACACCGCGTTGGCACACCTCCCTCATAGCGGATTTCCGCACCCCATCACCTCCTTCCCATCCCTCCCCCACCTCTCTTTCTATTTTGTCGTTGTATGTTGCCCCCAAATATCCGCCCACTTGCGTATTCGATTAGGTTCCCACTGGTTTTCTCTCCTTTCATTTTCTTACATCTCCGTTTTGGTGCGAAAATGATGATTAAACGTCAACCACGCAAAAGCCTCGCCGGCGCCATCCGGTTGTCGCTGGTTGGCTGTCTACACTTGCCTAAAGCGGCAACCGCCCGGGGCCTCGCCTATGAGCTTGCGGCCCTTGCGCCGGATTTCCGCACCTCTGCGAGCCCGCAGAACCGCAGCTGTGTCGGCATCTTAACGCAGCCCTTTCCGCAGCCCCTTGCGGACGTCGTGCTTTTGAAAAATGCCGTTGGGGCTTTTTGTCAACCTGCAACGCATATATACACGTGTGAGTGGCGTCTGTTGGTGCTTATCTTTTGTGATTTGATTCCTCAACATTGCTTCTTCAGCTTCATGATGCCGGATTAGGAATATGTACAGTAGCATTGTTTTATTATTGGCTTCTTTCCGCGTAACAGTTACGGAATTAAACCCCGGCTTTAACTATTTGCGCTTTCTCATACGCGTCCCATGATGCTTGCATCTCCACGAAACCCCTCCAAACGGTCAGGTTGCCCAGAGTCAGCTTCATAACAGGTTTGTCAACGTTGAGTTGTTATAATTGCCACGCGGCAACTCAGTGGGGGTAATTGGCAACCTGTTATTTATTGCAATAACACCTCAGTCGTATGTCGGTTGTTGTTTGCTGCAACAGTGCATTGAACATCTCATTCGTATTAAGCCATGCTCCCAATCCCACCTCGACTCTGCAAAACTTGATAGATACACGCGCGGCTTTCACCCCCCTGAAAAAGCAATCAACCTGGTAGTTGGAGGTGACAAATGACAGTGATAAAGGTAAAATCACCAAGACAATCATTATGCATGATAACATTGCACGCAGAATAACCCCCACTCTCTCTTCTCCGAGAAAAGGACAGGACAGAAAAAACACAAGAGCAGTAAACAGGAAATGGAAACGGGGAAGCCTAATGCAACATCAAATCAACTGCTTGCCAACAACCGCATCCAGACCAGTTAAACAGAAAAAAGGTAACACAAGAATAAGAAACAAAGAATCCGTACAACAAATGGTATCCGACAAGGTACATTGTTCATATCAACTCCAAATATGCCCCGGCCTCGACATTTGCCTCCCTCGCCAGCAAACACAGGCCATTTTTTCTGTTTTTTTCCCGTCTCAGTGAAATGCTCTCTAAATTCCCGAATACCGCTCTCTCTCTTCGTCATCTTTAACACGAAGCTTTCTCTCGCTCATCCACACGCATAACCTTTGTCCCATTCTTGATTCATGCAAAAATGTCATCATGCTTAGCTGACATGTGTCATGGTTTGCTTGCTTGCTCGCTTGCTTGTCGAAGAAGGGTTGGGAAAATAAAAAGTCAAACTCGAAATGCTGTCGTTATTCGTCATCAATTCGTTTATATTCTGAGCACATTTTTGTCTCTCAAAAAACACTCTCTCTTCACACTTTGACATCCATGTAGCGTATTTCCGCATCACTGCTCCTCTTCCTCTTCAATGGGAGCCGGAGTGCGACGCTCAACACGTCTCTTTGGTCGCCTATGCCGGCTGCTGCTAATGTTGCTGGCCGAGTCATCGGGGTATAGATCGTACTCTTCCATCTGCCAATCGTCGTCACTGGCATTTTCAGCATCGCTTCCAGCCCACGAAGGTCTCTCGTAGCCCGAGTTTTGCGAGTTACCCGAGCCGGGAACCGAGAGCACGTCGATGCGTCGTCGGCTCTGGAGATTCTGCATGAGGCCAGCCCCACGCTGCCGCAGGGCAGTTCGGACCGTCTCTGCTTGGTGGTGGAGCTTCTCGAATGCATCCTCCAAGGCCTCCATACCCTGGTAAATCTCACGCTCAATCTCGGCAATGGCTGCCATCTCCATCTCTTCGTCGTTGGAAACCGGGGGTCGGCTCCCGCCACCTGTGGACGAAAGGCTGATGAAGGATGCCGGCGTGGTGTTGCGGGAATAGGGCGAGAAGGGGGTGTTGGTTCGGGATCCCATGGCCGAAGGGCCTCGGAATGGTGTGGGGCCTCTTGATTCTACCCCGTTGAAGTCATCATCGGCGCCAGACCACAGGAATCCATCAAACCGGCCCGATGTCAAAATCTCCCACTCCTGACTGTTAATGTTGGACAAGGTAATGAGAAGGTCGTGGGTATGGTGATTCTTGATGAGGTATGTCGCGCTCTCCGCATCTCGAGGAACCTGCTGAAGGCGGTACAGCCGCTGCAGTGAGAGACCAGTCTTGACGATAAAGTCGTTGCGCGGCCGGTTGAGGGGAGTAGGGGCGCGGGTTGCTGGTCTCAGCTCTTTTGATCCGGCGAGGAGGGCGTTGAAGTAGGGGCGGTCTTCGGCGTCCAGGTTGGTCAGGATGGCGAAACTCAGCGTCTCGTCGTCGACATCTTGGGGGGGAGGCACAGGCGTTTCACCCGTGCTGGTGAGCCACCTGTCGACTGCAGACCTGACCTTTTTGGACTGGCGCAAATAGTGCTCCCTGAACTCTTCCGCGATGTCGGGATCCAGCTGGATGGGCGAGTCTGGCCTTGGCGGGGCTTCGCCCGATATCTCAGCTGCCTTGTGACCAATGTCTGCCAGGTCAAAGGGCGGCCATGAAGGGAGCTCAATGCGTCCGCTGACCCACTCTAGAACATCTCCCCAGTTGAGGCCGCGGTGAGGCTCGTTGGATTTCTCGCATATGATGCAGGAGCAGCCGTGAGGCGGCAGATCTCGGGAGAAGACGTTTTCGAGCCGGTCGAGCAAGCGGCGAGCGACTGACCGATGGCCAGTGGCCACTGCAACGGATCCCTGCTTGGAAAGGACTGTTTGATACTGGTCCAGGAGGCTGACAAACGGGGTGAAGAGTGTCTCGGCGCCGCTGAGGAGGGAGTTTGCGGGCCTTAGGGTGCCGTTGACGAGAGGCATGACTGATAAGAAATGTCTAGTAACCGGCTGCGAGAGGCCACCATTTTGTAGTAGGTAGTCTACCCTGGGTATCTCGAGGACGTCGACGGCGGGAGGGGGAGGCGGCGGAGGCATAGGAGGGGGAGGCGGAGGATGAGTGGGCGCCTTCATGGCGGGCGTAGCGGTGCCCGAGTTAATGGTGGATGCATAGTCGTCGCCGTCAACGCCGGAGGCGGGAGTACGAGATCGCTTCGAGTCGCCGTAGAGGTGGTGAGGGAATTGGTGAGCTTGGGTGGGCGTCTTGGGAGATGAGTCCTGGGCGCTGGACGGAGAGGAGTCGACATGCAGCGGCTCGGGTTTGCTCTTCTTGACGCTGCGAGTGGAAGAAGACCGCTTGGATGTGTGGCGTGAGGCGGAGCTTGAGGAGCGTGAGAGCACAGAGGACCGGAGCTTGTCGTGAATCTTGTTGCTGGGTGAGCGTATCAGGGTTGCCGCGCTGGTGGATGAGCGGCGGCTAACTTTGGAGGATCTCTCCTCGGTAGCGCGCGAGCCTGACCTAGAGACGGTCGACTTGTTGCCGCGGTCGTAGTCTTCAGCGCGCGAGCCTGATCTTGAGATGCTTGACTTGTTGCCGCGGTCCAGGTCGTCGGCACGCTTCTTTGCGGCGGAGACATCTGTTTCGGGAGGCGTAGGCGGACGAGAAGCCTTCTTGGACGAAGATCGATGAAGAGCGTCTTCAGGCCTTAATCGACGATCATCTCCACCTCCACTGCCTCCACCACCACCACCTCCTCCTCCACCAGCTGCACCGCTGCCACCGCCAACGTCGGTGGGTTCAGGCGTCAGGGGATTGGATGCCTTGGGCTGAGAAGACGTAGACGCAATGTCATCGCGGCTGACGATGGACTCTTTGCTGTGAGCCTTGTCAAAGGACGGATAGGGCAGCGAGATGCGATCCTTGTCTATGGACAGCTTGGACATGCCATCGACGCCCAAGTCAGACATGGAGGCCGGGCGCTGAGGAAGGCGGTCCCTCTCCCGATCTCTGTCTCTGTCTCGATCTCTGTCTCGATCTCTATCTCGGTCCCTGTCTCTGTCGTCCCTCTTCCGGTGCCGCCTGACGGAGGATGTGAGGGAATGCGTATCGCTGGAGCTGCGAGCGGATTTCGAAGAGCGGTGGGGGCGGTCTCGATCAGGTTTGCGCTCCGACTTTGAGCGGCGGGCTTTGTCGCGCATGCGGTCGTCGACATTGACGTCGTCGTCACGTTCCTTTGACGGCATCTCGAATCACCATCGGGGGCTGGCGGGATGGGCTCTCAGTTGGCGATGCGGTTTGCGGTTTGCGGTTTTGCGGAGTTCTGCGAGGCAAGGCAGAGGGATGGAGATTTCGAGCAGGGGTTTGTTTTTTCTTTGGTGCTTTGGGAGGACCCTTTGAGGTGGAGGGCGAGAGACTGGTTGACTGGGATAGGCCACAGGGGCAATGGGCAAACGAGAGTGGCGAGCTGCTGGCCCGGCGGGAAAAGCTGAGATTTGACGGTGCTGTGATGCAAGTTTGACTGCAGTCAGAAAAAAAAAAGAGTGAGGGGACGGTGAAGGGAAGGGGTTTGATCAAATCGAAATCGAAATCGATGCCGGAAGCTCACTCAGGCAGCGATGACCCCTACTAAAGAACGGGCCGGGAAGTTGGGGATGGGCTGCGTTGGTGTACCGGTACGAGGGCAGGGGCGAGCGAGGCTGGTACTGGCCGGTCACCTGTCGGGTGGCACAGCGAGCGGCAATGAGCATCTGCAGTGGGACGCGTGTGCTGGAGCTGCGGTGCCTGATGGCGAGGTTTTAGGTTGAGGTACAGAGGCAGCAAGTACTGGTACTTTGGGAGCAAAGTGACAAGGAGTGGGTCGTTTGGAGCTTTTGATGTGGGCAGACGTTTTAGCGGGATTGTGGCCTGAAGGTGCTGTGCATTTTTGGACGCATCAAAAGAGATCAAATTGGATGGTTATGGGGATGATTTAATGCAGTCTTGTGTTCGTCTGGAGGGGTAATATGTAGCATCTACGAATGGATTATCATGCATCAGAGATAATGGAAAAGAAGAGGCTGCACGGGCTTTGTTGGTAGTTCAAGGTAGAGGCGGCCGTAAGGCAGTGTGACTTTTGTGCGACGGCCGAGTTAAAGTGTGCACATCAGTTTTGGTGCCAAGATGGAAAGTGCGTGATGTCACAAGCTTAGGCAGGGCGCTTAAATTGAAGAAAGAGACGGGAATCTATGGAACAAAGAAAAATGGATGGAAAGAGGCGCGGGGGAAACGAAGAAGGGAAGAAGGGAAGAACAGATGGAGGATTACCTAACCCGTGGGCCTTGAAGAAGAAACGGACGAGTGCAAGTCGAGCTGCATGAGGTGAAGATGAAAATGACGCCCAACCGTGGCCTGACGCCGCTGTGCAATTGGAGGTGCGGGCGACGGACACGATTGGTCAGGTTGCACTGCGCTACAACTGCACTGCGTCTTTACTGCGTCTTGTTCTACTGCACTGCCCTTTGCTCTATTTCTGTTTCTGCTTCTGCTACTCTTGCGTGCGCCCCCTCTTTCCTGACGTGGCATTCGCTCTAGACTGTATCTTTCCATCCAGTTAAACGGTACTCGTATGTACTCGTAGTGTGTTCGTACTGTAGTGAGTGAGCTCTCAGTTGTGTTCGTTGGAGGTGGGGTTCTGGTTTGGATTCCATCTTTTGGCCTGCAACGGGAGAGCAAGGGCCAAGAGCAAAAGCTACCGAGGTACTCTGCATTCTTGCCTCCTAGCAACAGTAAGTACCATTGTACATCCCAATACCTCTTCTGGCGCAGTCCCCACTAATCGACAACTTTGGAGTCCTGTGCCTCATTATCATCAATTATAGTCGAGGTTTCACATGTTGCCCATCAGATTGAGCTACTGTATGGATTGTCTCTGGATGGTTGAATCGAAAAGGCTGCTGAACCAGATACCACAGCTTTACTCACCTTCTACTCTTCATGATTAGTACGTAAATATGAATAAAATATGATTACAATATAACCTCTACAAGTCTAGTAATAATACAGGATTGCTTGATACGACTGCTCACACTCTCTGAAATGCAACAATGCGACGATGCTTGCAGCTTCAGCCAATCGTCACAGTCCGGAAAATGTGATATTTAACAAACAGTGGAGAATCATGGCAACATTCGTCCCGTTGGAGCTTCAAATCCCACCTCTTGATTATGCGCACAGTCGCAAACGAGGCTGGCAGGATCACCACTGGTCCAATGATAAGACAGGTGTTGGCACACTGGCAACACACTCGTCGAATCAACGACGCTCGGCTGCAAGCCGGTTGCATTATCACAACACCACGAATGCATATCAGCATTGCAATCATGATGTAAGTCCTCCCTTTCCCCTCTTTCGAGTCTCTCTCTCTCTGTGAATATATAAACCCCGTCCATCATCTACATCCCTGCTCCCTCTCTCCTTCTTTCTCCTCTTCTTCTCTAACACTATCCGAACCAAGTCATTCACTCTTCATCCCTTGTTTTCTTTTTCTCGCAGATCCCTAACAGACACCAGCGTATTCCGTGAGGATTAACCCGCAGTATTTCTTCTCCAATGTGTTAGTCCAACTCGTCTGTGACTCATCAACAAACAGGGAGACTCTATATAGAGATAGAGCCATTCCGTTGATAACTCACAAACCTGTCGGGCAAATGCATTTGAGAAGAAATGCGCGAAGTAATTCCGGATGCTCGCCGGCGTCTTTTAGGGATCGATTGCCGCCTGCAATCGTAATTCAGCTTTTACTCTTCCCCGTGGAAGCAGAAGTAAGCTGACTTTCCCCCCTTCCCTCACTCTTCAACCGGAAATACCCAGTAGTTAACAACTCCGATTGTCAGTTGTGCTTGAAGCCAGCAAACCGAGAAACGGTGGAATCCTTCTGAGCGTAGCCCTAGGATCTCCAATGCTACCGTTAATCTGATCAACTCCAGAGTCCGCTCAGTCATCCCGAGGCTACAGAAGTGTGAAAGCCTTCCCGGCTATTGTCTCAGTATGATGAGCGGCTCCAGAGTCGATTAGATTATCGGTAGCACTTTGTTATCCGGGGTGAGCTCATCTGGGAGCTACTTTCAAGATTCCACACCATTCACCCAAATCCAAGTTTCGACAGCTCAAGCTTGACTTTCCATCTTTCCATCATTTCTGCGCCTCCTTGGACACTCAAAGTCGCACCAACACTTTGGGACATGCAAACAACCCTCAAACAAACTGTGGCTCGCAGTTTATCTTGCCACCACATCATACATGCTCTTATTTTCTTTGTCTTCTGAGGACAGGGGCTTCGAGCTGTGTCCAGTGTATGGGATGAACAGATGGAAAGTGTAGGATATAGGTCCATAGAGTGGAATTCACAAGCATGGCATCAATACACCGTGGCACCTGTAGTTCCTTCAGTGACCTCTCCCACATAAAGAATTAGTAGATTAAACTTACATGTAGTCACTGCGGCATAAAGCCTCCTCATAAACACAAGCCCCCTCATAAGCACAGGCCTCCTCATAAGACAGGGACCGTAGTAGCAACTGTGAAGAAAATTGTAGGTAATATCGTTTTTTGCAAGTAATGGATATCATGGAGCGTAATCCTCGCCCTGTACTAACTCAGAGACGTTGTAATCTATCGTATCCAACTCTATGTTAAAAGCCATTTGACCAAATGCTTCTTGGACTTCTTTTCCATCAAGGTAAACATCATGTTCAATATCCAAACGCCAACTCTTTATCCCTTCCAACCCACGCAGAGTATATACATGTATACTTTAATTGGGAAAGCAGAACAAAGCCAAAATAACTAAAAGACAAAAAGAAAAGATCTTCGCTCGCTCACAGTCGGTCCAGGAGACCGTTGCTCTCAAGAAGCAGGATAATCTGGTGCACAATCGAGCGGACGTTCTGCTGCGTCAAATCGACAGTCAGGTCAGCCTTCTTGGGCGTCTCATAAGGGTCGTCGACACCGGTGAAGCCCTTAATCTCTCCGGCACGGGCCTTTTGGTAAACACCCTTGCGGTCCGTCTTCTCGCAGTGCTCGAGCGGTGTGGCAACGTGGACAAGGAAGAAGGGACCGGACTTCTCAACCAGCTCGCGGGCGTGCTGACGGGCATCCTCGTAGGGGGCAATCGGGGCCGCAATGACGGCGGCACCGGCCTTGGTCAGCTCCGAGGCGACAAAGGCGATGCGGCCAATGTTGAGGCTTCGGTCCTGGCGGCTGAAGCCCAGCTCCGATGACAGCTCGGACCTGACCGTATCGCCCAGAAGCATAGACACGGACCGGCCACCGCCCTGGTTGAGCGTGGCCTGCAGAGCGCGCGCAATCTGGTCCTTTCCGCTGTTCTGGTAGCCCGTCAGGAAGACGGTAAAGCCCTTTTCGCGAGGCAGCGGGTTCTGCTCGCGCAGCACCTTGACGACCTCGGGATACGAGAACCACTCGGGAATCTCCTTTCCGGTTCGCAGGCGGTTGCGCAGCTCCGTGCCTGAAATGTTCATGGTGCGAGTGCCCTCGGGGATCTCGTTGGCGGGGAGGTACTCGTCACGGTCCGGAATGTAAATCATCTCCTGGAACTCGACCATCTTGATGCCCAGCTCCTCCTGGTGCTGCTGCACGAGGATCTGCGCATCGTAGGGGCCGTAGTGATCCTTGCCGTTCTTGTTCTTGCCGGGACCGGCGTGGTCACGGCCGACGATGAAGTGAGTGGCGCCGTGGTTCTTGCGGATCACGGCGTGCCACAGCGCCTCTCGAGGACCTCCCATGCGCATGGCAAGGGGCAGCAGGGCGAGGGCGGCCATGCCGTTGGGGTATCGCGGCAGCAGAGCACGATAGACACGGACACGAGTGAAGTGGTCAATGTCACCGGGCTTCGTCAAGCCAACGACCGGGTGGATGAGCACGTTTGCCTGCTGAGAACGAGCGGCTCGGACCGTCAGCTCACGGTGAGCGCGGTGCATCGGGTTTCGCGTCTGGAAAGCAACGACCTTTTGCCAGCCGAGCTTGTTGAAGTGCGATCGCAGCTCTGCGGGGGTGACTGTTGAATTATTGCTGTTAGAGTCTTGTCTCTGGTTTGTTGCCAGACAGGCACATGAAACGGCTTTGACTTACAGCGCAGGTCGAGGAAATCGTAGTGCTCAAGGCGGCTGATGGCCTCGAGCTTTCCACCGACGTAAAAGTCCTGCGCGACGCTGAAGAGATGCTTGACACCGGGGTGGGTGTCGTCGTCGCTGCCAAAGACTAGCTTGGCCTCTTGAACCCTAGTGTTGCGCGCAATCTTGTTAGCACAAATCTCGTTGAACGGGCAGACTTGCGCTGAGAATGCGTTCAGAAGAGCTTACTTGTCTGGCCTGTACACATCCTCGACCGTCAGGATGGCTAGATTTCGGTCATCTCGAAAGTCGCGCAGAGTAAGTCTGGCGCCCGGCTTGATGGACAGCTCGTCGATCTGGGCCTGGTTCACGTCGAGGGTGATGGGCATGCTGAAGAGCAAGCCGCTTTCGAGGCGGTTCTCCTTGACCACTCTGGCAGCGCCGTGTTAGCTGAATCGAGTTCCATGAATCCCAATGCCACCCTCCTCTTCGTGAGAATGCTAGAGACATACCGGTTGTAATCCTTTTCGGTCATGAAGCCTACGCGCAAAAAGACGTTAGCTAATTGCAATTGCGACACCAACCGATAGCTTCATCCCGTCTCCCCTCTTCTCGATTTGATTTCCATGCGCCAACAGCCGCGCGGGGCAGTGGAATCATGCGCTCACTGCAAGGGACCAACAACCATTGCGGCAATGTACATACCTTCCAGAGGTGAAAATCCACCATTGAGAATCAGCTCCAAGTCGCAAAGGTGACGCTCAGAGAGCACAAGCGCGGGGAGAGTCTCAGACTCCTCCAGCAGCTCGGCCTGGCGAGGCAGATCGCGAGCAAAGAGGTCCTTGAGGACGCCGCCGTGAGGAGAGTTGGCCATGGCTATGGTGGGGTAGTAAGAACGGTCTAAGTGCTTTTGCTCGAGATGGTGTCAACGACACGGCTAGTCACGCAACAAGCTCCGGCGGGAAGCACGCAAGCAAGCAACAGGAAGGATTCGAAAAAGAGCAGACGAGACGACACGAGTATGAAGACGGCGGAATGAGGAGGAAATTACGGAGAAGGGGAGAGGGAGAGGGAAGAAGAGTCTGGATGGGGGGTGGATGTCTCAGCACCAGACTATAAATACTGCAAGCTTTCTTGGGGTCACGCCGGAGATGCTAGAACGTAGCAATCCACATATTACACACACTTCCAAGACAAGGCTTGCCGTCTAATGGACGGACCAAATGATGATCCCGTAAGCAGCCCTTGGTGGATGGACAGGAACCGCTTCTCTCTTCACCCCCACCAGATGGATGGGATGAACAGATAGAATGCTTGCATGCTCGCATCTTGGTGACGGAACAGAGAACAGCTGCTCCACAAGGGCCAGAAGGAACTGACAAAGCTCCACCAAAATTTATGGAATGGCGGCATTTGGCTCGAGATTTTGGCGATGACGTGCTCGAGGCGCGATGCTCCGGGTCCCGCATGGCTTGAGGCACAAGGCCAATCAACAGCGTGCAAATGCCCGCCAAAGGCCAGATTAGCTGCGAGACACGGCGCAGGACGAAGTACGAGTGGTAGTAATTTTTTTCTCTCTTGCGGGCTCTCCAAGGGTGTGCCTGGAGCCGTTGTCCCTTGGTGGGTTAGCCGCAATTGCGAAATCTCGGGCCATCGGGGTTGGTGGAAGTCGCTGCTTTTGCGTGGAGAAGGAATTTTCTTCAACTCCATACTGCTTCCCTGTTGTATTTCCCTTGTTTGGGTTTTTACAGAAGGAGAAGAAGAAGATGATGATGATAGTGATGACGACGACTGTCTTCTCCTTTCCTCTGTATACGTAAACTCGTTGCTGATCATCATTGGTGTTTCGTGCCCGTTGGAAATTGAGAACACCAATGATCGTCAGGGTGAACCTGAGATGACAAAACAGCCCAGAAGACGAAAGAAAAAAGATACGCCTCCGACTAACGACGGCCTAAATCCCTAGTGTCTCCATCGTCCTTCATGGGGCCCCACGTCCTTCGGGCCATCGCTCTGCAACGTTGAAGGCAATGTGGGATTTCTCTCAATCTCACCACCGGGCGCCTCGATTTCGCCATTTTGGCTCCGGATGAGAACAGAGCGAAACAGCCTGTCGGGCCATGGATTCTCCAATGAAGCCCGGATGCTCGCAGCAGACCCTTGCTTGCCGCAGCGGCTCTCGGGGGGCTTGTTTTGTCATTCGTTCCCTTGCCCCTCTCTCTGCTGTTTTTGGCATTTCGGAGCATCGGCGGCCTGGGTAGGATTAGATTTCATACTGTACAGCATTAGTATAGTAGGACATGGATTGTTCGTCCGAGCGGATTTGAACTGACCTATGGGAGGCTTGGTTGACTTTGGCAAAGGTTTGTTCCACTTGCTATCAATCTTTGCGGACGAAAAGAAACATGAGTATGATCGTAGAAGAGAGTTTAATACAGTTCAGTTTGGTAGAGATGAACGTATTTCGCTGTACCTGAAGCAAGAGCAGTGCAAGAGCAGTGCAGAGTGGAGTCTTACCATCTACCTAGCTGAACACAGCGAACAATTCTAGAAGGTACAATGGACAGGCACTTGTGCTCGGTAGAATGTACAGTACCTGAGGTAGTAGAACATTGGACTGGGCTGGAGACAAAGAAAAAGAGTTTGTTGAGGCTATCTACAGTAACCTGAACCTATCAGGTGCCTTGACTGGGCGGTAGATTAATGCAAGTTCTAAAGTATAGTCTGAGTGCTCTTTACAACAGCCAATAGTACTTATAGCACTTCAGTACCTAGTACTAGGTAGTACTTGAACGAAATAAAAGAACAACAGGTGGAGTTGAATTCACTTTGGATCAGAGGGCTGAAGGCAAAAAAAAAAAAAAAGAAAAAAGAAAAAAAGAAAAAGGAAAAGGAAGAGTCAAGCACAAGGCTCTGGTATTAGGTTCAAAGTGAAGAGATACTGAAGATGATTGACCTAACCTTAGTACTTTGTTGCTACGCAACCTTGCCTTTTCTAATAATGACAATAGAATTCGACAAATCCATCGTCCCTCTCATACTTCTGTTCAATGGAATCGCCCTCCATTCGCAAACAGCATTCACTCAAGATGCCCCGTGTATTCAACGAGACAAAGGAGTCCAAAAGATATATAACACGGTCTCTCAACTATCCAGAAATACGTGGTCCTCTGAAAGGTAATACACCTTCTCAAAATCACTGTCACGACAAGCTTCCTCGATTGAAAGATCTCTATCACCGCAATTGCAAGACAAATCTCAACCGCAACAACAATATGGAGCAGTGCTCTTCAGATCCCGCCGAGCCAGCACCAGCGTCCCTTAGCTTTGATGTCTTTGACAGGGTTCTCACAAGATACATGGACAATCCTCAAGATATTCTCAACTTTTGCCTTGCGAACAAGGAATACTATGGGCATTACATTGGCACTCTATATCGACACAACGTCCGCCACGATGGAAGCTCTGCCTTGGAATGGGTTGCCGAGAGAGGGTTTTTGAGCGTGGTTTCAAGTATTCTCGACGTTCCTCGGGTGGACGTGTTTGCTCCCAAAGATATATGGGGTAAGGTTCTCAGCATCGCCCAGAAACAGAACAACATGCGCTTAGCTGAATTGCTGTTCGAGAGGCAACATGTGCAAGATTTCATCCAAATTGCGGCGGCAATCAAAGCTGGGAGGTCAGTGAATCTCTCGCAAGAGATAATCACGACACTAGACGACGAAGACTTCATGGAACTAGACGAGGAGTCCCTACTGGAACCAATGTTTGAAGCTGCCAAGAAGGACCAGCGGCGCCTCGTAGAGCTCTATCTTTCCCATGTCAGCGTGGATCTACAAAACGCCGATGGCTTGACCGCTTTGCACTGCGCCGCTGGCCGGGGATGTTATGATCTTGCGAAATTTCTCTTGGAGGTGCATGGAGCCAACACTGAGATTCGTCGTAATCCTGGTGGCTTCAGGCCCATTGAAGTGGCAGCCCGCGACGGCCAACTGAGGCTTGTGGAGTTGCTTCTTTCAAAGGGAGCTGAACCTTGCTGTGATGGCAGTGCCTTCACCTGGCCATTAACACTCGCAGCCGTACATAGCCATGAGGGCATAGTCAGGCTCCTTCTGCAAGATCCTCGAATTGACCCTCGGGCACGGGACGGAAACGGCGAGTCGTGCCTGGAGCTCGCTACTTTTTTCGGTAATACGGGAGTAGTCAACATACTTCTTGAAGATGGCCGAGTTGATCCTAATGAGCGCAACGGCATGGACGAAACCCCCTTGGGATTGGCTGCGAACCGGTGCAACCTGGAAATCGTTCGTCTGTTTCTTGACGATGACCGAGTGGACCCGAATGGACAACACATCAACAGCATGACTCCATTATTGGTGGCCAGCTCCTCATTCGGAATAAAGAGCGTACACGTCATTAACATGTTATTGGAGGACTCAAGGGTCGATGTTCACGCACAAGATGACGACGGATGTACCGCTTGCGTGCTGGCCGCGAAACATGGTATCCTCCGTAACGTCAAGGCATTACTTCGGAGTCCCCATATTGACCCAAACCAGGGGGATAACAACCAGAAAACGCCCGCCATGTATGCCGCCGCCGGCTATATAAGACAGACAGAAGCAACTCCCAACTATCTTAAAAGGAACAAGCATCTCGTGCTGAAGGCTCTCATTCTAGATGAGAGAGTGGACCTGAACAAAGTAGACGATAACGGACACACGGCGATGCACTGGGCCTTGAGGAAGTCCAGACAAGAAAATGTCCAGCTGCTTGCGGACTCGGGCCGAGTCAACTTGAACCAGGACTGCGGCCCTGGGCGCCGCACGCCGGCGGAAGCCTGTATTCTGAAGCATAACTCGTGTACTCAGCTGCTGCTCGATTCTGGTTGCCTAGACCTTTCCGAGACGAATTCACAAGGCGAAACCCCGCTGATGTTTGCCGTCCGGAAAGCTGGGAGCGACAACTGGGATATTGAGAGGAGTGTATGGCTGATTCTAGAGAAGCAACGATGCGGCCGGCTGGACCTTAGATACGACAATGGGCTTACACTACTCGAACAGGCGGTTCAAGCGGGCTCGCAAAGAATCGTATGCATGTTGCTCTTCACTGGCAAGGGGACTGTGACGCCGAGAGCGAAAATTTTTTGTTCGGATGAAGTTATCAGGGAGATGCTGGACCATCACCGCGGTAAACCATCCAGGTGGTGGACATCTCGGACGGTGTGGAAGTGGCTTGGATTATGGAAACCTGTGCTTTTCGTGAAGTTGCGCTGAAATTTTTGTATATTGACTAATTTAGGAGTGAAAGAAAGACTGATCTAGGAATGGAGGAAAGACTGATTTAGGAGTGAAGGACAGACTAATTGGGAATGAAGGAAAGGCTGATTTAGGAATGGAGGAAAGACTGATTTAGGAATGAAGCAAAGAGTATATAGAGAAGATAGAGTATGCGTTCTGGAAATGCAAAATACACAATGATGAGACTTTAAATGAGACAAAATACTGGGCAACTTGACACGTAATGGGTATATATATAGCTGGCTTATAGTCCGACTCTTTGCATACATTGCCATCCATCATCAATCTGAAAATTCCCAATATCAACAAAATCTCGCCAGCTACCCCATTACCCTCCTCAATGATACACGATACTATCCAAGAAACACTGGCCAATATACTCCTTCTCATACTTGGGTGGGAAGATAATGGTCAGGTAATCCGGCCAGTCCATCATGGGCTCAAGGTACTGAAACGCCTTCATGTATTCCCAATGCTCCGGATACCAGCCCGACTCTTCCCAGTCGATGATGGCGGCAACCTTTTTGTCTTCGCCAATGATTATGTTGCGAGGAGCAATGTCGCCATGAGTAAAGACAATCTCGTGGTTGTGAGAAAGGGCGTGCCTTGCGTACCTTCGCAGCATATTGGGCGTCGTGCTGGTAATGTCTTCCATGATGTAACTGTTAAACTCGCGCTCGGTCTCAAAGGGGCCGCATTCGTGAGGCATTTTCTTTCCAATCAATGCCTTGCCCCTATCAAGAGCCCCGATGTAGGTGCCCTTTAGGTCGCGCAGTTGAGCCATGTACCCCTTAAGCTCCCTGGCGATGGAAACCTTTTGCTCCTTCTTCAGATCGTCCCATATTTTATCGAGCGTTTTACCTGGTATGTACTCCATATACAAAGCCGTCATCCTACCGTCTTGCCAGTCGGTATCATACACCTTGGGAACTGGAATGGTCGTCTTTTCAGCAATAAACTTCAAGGTGGCTGCTTCATATTCACGGAGGGCCGGTCCGCTTTTCTTGACCTTGTTCTCACCCCATCTCTTTACCTCTCGTTGATCGAAGACTCTGTGAAATACTTCCCCATCATTTGGGTCTTCCATTATCTACCGCGTTGAACGACGTTAGTGTCGTGCCTCTCCTAGCAAAGTGAGGTGTAGCATTATTGGACTTGGATACCTTATTCTTTGTAGAGCTGGTCATTTGATGGACTAGAGAAGTTTGCAACCAGAAACTTCTAGTCAGAAGGCAGAGAATTGACTACTGGAGAAGAGCTTCTATCCAAGCAGTCAGCTTCCCTGGGCGCCAGTAGATTGCATAATTTAATACTAACTGACCTTCTGCTCGTCTTCTATTGACTCAGTTATCACGTCAAGTATAGTAGAAGCCTTGACTGGGAGAGTAGCGGTGTTGGGTATCTTGGTGAGGAGTAGCGCTGCCAAACCGCCTGCGGCTGAAGGATGAACTCGAGCAAGAAGAGGGGTTGGGAAAAGATATTTTCCGCTTCTACAAATCAGAGGAAGCAAGGACTCGAGCGAATCTGAGCGTGATTCAGCTTCCAACCTGCATGATACATGGATACATGATATCAGGTACTCAAGTACTTTATGCAAGAGAGTGTTTTGGGCCATCACCACAAGATGCAGCACAACAAGCCCAATTGCCTCGGGCGCGAGGTAGTACATCCATGTGACATCCCAGCAGTGTTCAATCACAGAATGATTGAGCATTGCTAGTAACCCGTCTTTGATAGATCACATGTACGGAGAATATAGTATTATTTCGGCAACCTGCCTTTTGGATACAGATCAAGTACCTCATATCGTTAGCATTAGTGTAGGATCTCAAGGTGGTATCGATAGAGCGGAGGTAACCTCTGTGTACAGGGCGAATGATTTATTGCCGGAAATTTCTCGTAGGCTTGCATTTGGAAAATACGACACCTACTAAACACGCAGAGAGTTGAGCTATTCATTGAAGCAAAGCATGTATTTTACTCTGTATCCCATTGTGAACAAAGACATGCCGGTATATGGTATTCAAAATGCGCTGGTGAACAAGGTCAATCATACATCTTCATGGGTGTGTACTGAAACCGGGAAACATGGTTGATACTTGCACGTCTATTTACACCACATGAAGCAACAACTGCTGCTTTGAAGTCAAGAAGAAGCAAGAAGCGGGCTAGAATGGCTTCCATACCCACCAGAAGCGCAAAGGTTTCCACTTTACCGCGCCTTTCTTTTCGCCAATTCGACCATCTTGCGATCGCTTCAATTTCCCGCCATGAAAAGGATTTAGCGCCAGGGCTCCCCCCACGGGGCGGCTGGCCGGAGCCACTGTAGATACTACTCCGCACAAATTGGTCATTCGTCAGGAGGGCCTCTCTTCAGCTCGAGAATCAAAATGGGAGCGAAAATGGTTAGGCTCAAGCGGCTGCTTCTATCTTCCGACGTCTTCCGAGAGATTGTCTCAACTACATGTACTGAGCTACCAATAAATCACATCCATCCGATGCGCTTCCACAAGAAAGACGTGCCCCCAATCACGGCCGTGGCTCCTGTAAAAGCAATGACCGGACCATAACCACTTCCATAGCCGCCGGCAGCCTGTCCCTGCCACGCCATGCCCTTGACCAAGGCCTCGCTCAAAGGTCCTGATACAACATTGCCAATGCCTCGGCCGGCTGCGAGATATCCAAAGATCATGACTGGGTCAAAAGCAGATCCTGCATTCGCAGTGCCTGTCTGGCTCGGCTTGGATGTAACCTGCTTGATAACACCAGTCCAAGTGGACGTATAAGATCCGGCGAAGAAGCCGTATATGACGCAAAAGACGTACAGGACGGCCATGTTGGTCGCAAATCCCCACAGCAAGAATGTCCCGATAACCGTACCCACGGTCGAAATCATGATGCACGTAGTAGGGTGAAATCGATCAACAAAGACCCCCATGGCGATGCACCCAAACACAGAAGCCACGTTGACGGCTAGGATAGTCAACGCGGCGGGGAATGCCTCAGAGCCGAGGATCGAGCTGGCGTACGACGGCAGGTAGAGGCCAGGCATGAAGAATCCCAGGGCTTCGACAATATTTGCTGCTTGATACATCAAGAACGAGCGGTCAAGCAAAAAGCCTAGCTTGAATGGCTTGTAGTTCGACTTGACAGAGACTGGGAGTCGGGGCTTGATAAAGTACACCACAGGTATCGTCAGTACAAAGAGGGCAACGGCCCAGATGCGAAGTGTCGTCCGTAGTCCGTATCGTCCCAGCAAGAACTCGAGCAACAATGGAATTGCAAATCCACCAAGGCCTGTGCCGGCCCACATTGTTCCAAATGCAATTCCTTTCCTTTTCACGAACCACTCGTCCATGTAAAGAATGCAGGGACCGTAGCAGATCGAGCCGCCGATGGCGAAGAGAACACCCTGGGTCAGGATCAGGTGCCAGACAGTTTGTGCGAAAGAGCTCAATGCAAGAGCAGCACACATGATGAGGAGCCCAGCAAGGGGACCATATCGGTTTTGCTTGGGATAGAGCCTCATGAGAGGGAAAACAAAGGGGGCGGACAGGTACATGGTTCCCTGTGACGACAATCAGCCAAGTGTTGGTGACGACTGCAATTGAGCAGCGGATGGAAGGAAACAGGGAGGAGAAATCCTACCATTGCAGTTGTACCGATTGCGGCAATACTAGAAGAGCCTTTGAACGGTTCATGAGTGCTGTAGTAGTTTTGGAAAATACCAAAGGCAAAGGGGAAACCTAGTCCAGCGAAAGACAATGTTATCGTTAGACATGCAGCACATGACGATACGCATAACAATAACCGAAAGGGTCAGACAGTGCACTCACCCCAGACAAGACACTCGATGATGAAGCAAGCCGTCAAGAACAGCATCGCGTCTTTACCCGTGTCGACGGGAGGAAGCGAGACTCCTTCATGTTCGTGTTCCGAGGGGACATCTGGGGAGAGAGAGGAGGAATCCCCAGGCGTGGTCGTGTCGAGTTGAATCGACTCTAGTTGAGGTTGGCTCTCAAAAGACGTCCGTCCCATTGTGATGACTTGCACCGGAAACTGCTGGCTTGGAATTGATGTTGAAGAATCACCCAGCTTATTCGGACGTAAATGTGATGAAGGGCGGTACGCAATGGAGGATGACCGAATAAATAGATAAGTCACGTTAAATCAGCAACTGCCGAGTCTCCAACATAGCGAGCTTTGTCTGGTCCATCTGCGGATACGAGACATTGGTTTGCTCCACAAATCTCTCTTTCGGCGCGCCCTTGTTTTGAGATAACATAACGGCGCGGGATTAATAATCGCTCACACCCGTTTTGGCGGTGACTTCCAGTCTGTAGGAGCCAACGTCAGCGCCAATGGTTCTCCATAAAGGGGATCTTCTTGGTCAGCAGCATGGAGTCTCACCGTAAAGGGTGGAGGGAGGGACTCCATAGATAGCGGGTTGCGGAAAAGTCCGGGGAAGCGCAGATGCTATATGAATACGTGAGAAACCCGAGCGGACTCGTACACATTACTTTTCAAGGCTCGTTTCCCCACACAGGCGATCAGCTCGTATTGTGGAAATTATCACCTTGGGCAAAGGTAGTTGCACAGAATGCACTGCCTCTTCGGAGCCAGCCTCGGTTGCAACTGGGCGCAAAGATGGTCGTACGGATATGAGCTCCGGGTATCTGCATCAAAGGATCATCAGCGACCAGACGACAGTACCAATGACCTGAATCAGTTCTAGCAAACCTGTGCCATCGCCCTCCCTCCTCGTCGATGCTTTGCCAATGCTCTCAATGCGGATTTCGCATGGAAGAATGGCAGTGCTGAGAGACAATCAGCGCAAATGCTGAATGGGTATGAAGAAGATGAAGAAGAAGAAAGGGAAAAGGAAAAGTCTTGTGTTGTAGCTTTTATGTGTTTGGTTTGAAATTTTCGTCTTTGACCTTGGCGGAATGGTGGTGGAATGGTTTGGAGGGCGGTGCACCATTCACGAGGAAGGAGCCAAAGACGCAGAACCGTACATGTACAGTGACTGACAAGGTACTTGGGTACAACATGGTGCAAGAGATGATGGCGTATTTGCTACCTAAGAAAACGTTGCTCGATATTGATATTGACATGAACAATATCTATATTCCTCTAATATCTACGGAGTACTGCTATGGCTATATTCCTCTAGAATATGCTACTATAAGTATATTCGTCTAGTATCTGCTACTATGGCTATATTCTTTTAGTATTTGCTACCGTAACTACACTCGTCTAGTATTTGATATAATCACTACTATTGAATTTGCGACGCGGGATGTTGAATAGAAAAATTGGGATGTAGAATAAGCATTCCCTTGTTTAAGCATAAGATTAACCATGACAATCCACCGTTATAGTGGTGGAATCCACGAAAAAAAATTGTCCAACCAACAGCAATACAACGCGCCCTCCACTCGACCTTTGATGCCTCGAAATCCTCAAGACACTGCATGCTTCATGTAGTCCTGCCGCTCCCCCGATGTCGAGAACCGTATACATCATGGTCTGAAACGCTTACAATCTCGTCATTGTAGATGATGAATACAAACAGGGTATACTCCATTCTCGTGCCGGAGGGAGGGGCCGAGGTCGATCTCTCGCGCAAAGGTTGGCCAGAATCATTTCTGTGGAAACTTCGTTAACTCCAGAACAAATAATAGGCAATAGCAATGACATTCACATACGACAGACAGGTAAAACATTCTGAGACGGGAAGAGACTCCGAGATGAGCTCTCCGCAACCTGGGCAGTGGACTAGTTCGCACATAGCAGGGCCGTTGACGAAGAGTGCAGTAGCACTGTACGGCTGGAGCTGAAGTGAATGTCTGGTCAAATTATATAACTCGGAGGATGCTATACGGCCGAGAAGAAAGAAAAAATTGAAAGAATGGACATGCAAACAATCAGGCAACCAATGTAAGAGATGGCCAACTTGGAGCTCGATCTCGCACATCTGGTTGCTAAATGAGCAGAGCATCCAAGTGTTCGCTTCCGCCTGCTTTATACACATTGCACGTCTATTCCTCGCTTTGAATTGTGCCGAACACCCTCTACCTGCCTGTCTCAAGGTCTCGGAATGTCACGAGCCTGGTATCAGTAAGACACAGACCGTCACAGAGGGGTACGAAATCAAGGAAAAAGAACAGAAAAGACAAAGGCAGGACCTGCCAAGTCCTTCATCCCCTAGTATACGTCAACAGAGTGGCGGCCTACTAGTTCCCTTTCGAACCACTCTTGCGAGCCAACGCCGTCGTGAGCACATTTTCTCTCCCCGTGTCAAGCCCTCCATCACACGTTCTCGAGCCCTCGTGATGGCCAGTATGCCAAACTCTGTTGGAGAAAATGTCACAGATAAAGGGGGGCTAGGCTGCAAGGTACAGACCGATGGATGGGCAAACGCCCACACCCTCTTTGGATGATCGACAAGGGAGAAATCGAGTTGATGGGCTCGGGAACTAACCGAGAGAATCCCAGATGCGTAGCGCTTCTTCGAGACGGCTAACCTTGCCTGTTGAGCATGTTGTAAGCGACAGATTGTTTAGCTCGTAGCGACAGCCGGTTCAACTGTTCCTTTGACTGAATCTTGAATCTCGATTGTGAGGATGCTGATAATCGATCCATACTAGCACTGCCTCATCGCAAGCCACCATCGCATCGTCGTATGGAGCAGTTTCCGCAGCACGCACCTGTCAGCTGTCACAGTCAATTTGGGTATGATTTATGTGATTCGCCATATCTTGAGTCACTTCACATGGGTCCAGGAATTGATATCAACCTTTAGGGGCTGTTTATATGGCTCTTGTAAGCATCAGAGTGGCTGGAGGGAGCAAAAATCTTTGTACGTGGCCTGCTCGTCTCTCCTAACAACCCCCCAAAGTTTAAGACGACATTGCAGCCAGTCAACGTGCTCGATAGGCGAAGTTCCGATCGAAGACGTCGTAAGAAATGGAGAAAAATTTGGAGGAAAAGGAGGATGCGGGGGTGTGAAGACAGAAAGGTAGGGTAGCATTAGGCTACACCCTGGCTGGTGATTCTTCTTGATGTAGTTTCGTGGTGTCTTCCATGTGAATACTTGCCCAAAGCGCCATTGCATTAATAGATGCCTCAGGAAGGCAAAGAATAGAGCAAGGAATAGGGGAATTTACCCAGGTACCTACTAAGGTAAGGGGTTGATAACTGATAATATACAAAGTACTTGTAGTATTATTTATTTATTTCGTAATTTTTTGTTCAATTTATTCCATTAAAAAATTAATTTAAAAAACGAATAAAGCAAAATTAAAAGACGAAATTAAAAGAAGTAAATAGAAAAATCAGGGGCACAAGGACAACACCATCTCGACATCACAGCCCCCAATGACTCCCTTCTACCCTCCACCAACACGACGCTATAGCGACGAACAAGAGCTACGACCGCACAAATCCTCCGTCTTCGTGTAACACCAAGCCTCGCTCACAGGGCTGACCAACAACAATTACGGTTCAAGGTTCACCCTGGCTAGTCAATGATACCCACGCACATGCACAGATACGATCGTGAATTAACAAAGTAGAGAGGGTATTTGTCAAGAGCCAGCCCTGGGTCGGGCATACATGTGCCGAGCATGGCAGATGCAAAAAGTCGATCTACCGGCACCTTTTTCGGAAATATACTCAAGCCTGGAATATGCTTGTCCGGAGAAGCGCCGTAGCTGAAACTGCACTAGACGATGGATCGAGTCCGTCGAGGATCATCACGACATCGTTGTAGCTTGCAAAGAATCAGGCCACAATTGCCCATCCTGCAGCCAACGCGGGCTCTATGAAAAGAAGCAACGTAGAAGAAAGGAGTTGGTCCACATCACACAACACAGTCTTTGGTAAACCAGCTGCCTTATAACCCGCCCCTTGTATTTCGTCCAGCCAACATGTTCGTCTTTTTTCGTCTTTACTAGTAAAAGCCACCCGACTTAAGCCCAAAATGCAGCGCCATGACAAACTCCACCAGAGCATCCAATCAATACAGAGAGTCGTCGTCCGTTTCTGAAACCCCAAACATCCGTCCATCTATTACCATTGGGGCCTGTATTCCATCCTCCATGCCGTACCAAATGTTTTGTTCTCCTCCCCTTTCCCCCCCTTTCCCAGCTCAAGCGGAAAACGCGCCAGCATACCCGCAGTAATTAAACGACAGAGGAGAAGAAAAAATTATAATAACTGACAAGGTATTCATCATACAGTTCTAAACAGATTTCGCGCTTGCTGATATCCTGTTGAGAAGAAGAGAAGTAAGAGAAGAAGGAAAGGGGGGTCTTGGGGGGTCTTTCGAGGTCATCCGGATGAAGCAGAGTGATGGTGAATTAGAATCAAGCTAATATTATATCAATGAATTGAGACCGGGGAATTTTATGCGTAGAGAGCCTCAATGAGGTAAATAATGCCAAACAGTAAGAAGGCAACGGCGCCACCGATGGTCACTACACACCTTTGGTTAGAACTCGTGCTCATCTAATTCACAAGGGGGGGGAGTATGGGTATGCTCTCTGCTACTTACCAACTTTGAGACTGACGCGTCCAGCGATGGCTCGGCCACCAATGACTGCAACACCCGTACAGATGCAGTGTCCAGCCAGGGCACCGAGAGTAACCCACCAATAGTCCTGTCCAGCAGCCATTGCAATGGTGGCAATCTGGCTTCGGTCTCCCCACTCGCCCAAAAAGGTCATGACAAAGGTCTGAACCCACGCAGGGCTGAGGATGAGGGAGCAGAGATTGCTGATGCCACTGACGAAGCCGCTGCCGCTGCCTGATTTGCGGGAGGGAATCCGGGAGGGTGACTCCGAAGGTGACCTGGGGGAGGGGAACCTGTTCTTGCGCGAGGTCCTGCCACCGAGACCCATTTCCAAGGCATCGCCGGAGATGGAGCCACCCCTACGCTCAAGCTCCTTTTCCTTCTCAGCAAGTTCCTGTTCGACTTCGTGCATCTCAGCAGTGACGCCTTCGTTGGGGTCCATCTGCATTCCCTCTCGCAAAAGTCTAGCTCCAAAGACAAAGAACAGACCCGCGGCAAGAAGACCAGTGAGACGCTTGGGGATCAGAGCCGGAACGGCATGGCCCAGAACCGCGGACAGAACCGTCATGACCAAAAGGGCACCAAAGGCGGCAGAAAAGACGATCATGCGATCATGCTTCATCGCCATGAGAGCCGCAACGAGGAACGTCTTGTCTCCAACTTCAGAGACCAGGATCATGGTGAAGGATAGGATGAAGGAGTGGAAAGGCTGGATAATGCCCTCTTCCTGTTCGGCAGCCTTTGCGGCTGATGATGAACCTCCGGCTTGAGGCTTGGAAATGTCGAGGTGGTCTTTCTTTGCGGAGTCGGGGACGGGCGGCGACACCTGCTTGCGATCCATATCGGGGAGATCATCAGGTTTCTATCATTGTTGTGCGTGTCAGTGCATTTATACATATAACTTTCATTCAACTTCTCAACAGTCCAAAGGTGGGGGGATTCGGGAAACGGATAAAGAAAGGGGAAAGCAGGCCGAATTACAGTCATACCTCGAGCCCGGTGTAGCCTGTATCTTCACCATCTTTGTCGGACGTTGATTTTGGCTTTGAGTTTTCCTTGTCGGCGTCTCCTCCCTTGGTCTTATCCTTGCCCTTTTCAATCTTCTTCTCTTCGCTGTGGGGGATCGGAGGATGCTCCTTGGGTGCTTCAGGCTGGTTGACAAGTTTCTCGCCAGTCTTGCCTTCGTGGGCCTTGCGGGCTTTGTCCTTTTCGGAAACGCCTCCCTCGGTGCCTGTGGTGCCATCCTGAGGCTTCTCGCGGTTCTTGTCGAACATGACGCCATCGTTGGACTCGGGAATCTTCTTGCCATCGACCACTGTGACATCCTTGGGCCGCCCCTTTAGGGTGGGCAAGTCCTTTTCGCCCTTGGTCTCGGTCGAGACGGTGCCGTCGGTCTCGACAAACGGGCCGAGATGAGGCTTGCCATCCTTTCCGTCGACGGGCGCGTCCTTGGTGGGCACGCCGAGGCGGCCCTTGAGTATCGCGACATCCGCTACATCGGCGGCAGGGATCGAGTCTTTGTCATTGCCGGCAGCGGGGTTTGTCGCAAGGGCGCTGGCGATGGAGGGGAGCAGGAGGAGGAGGAGAGGAGCTTGTTTCGCGCGGAATTGCATGGTGGCGGTAGATCTCGGTAGATAATGAGCGAATGCTGTTCTCAGCGCATCAGGATATTCGCAGGTCGGTGGGCACGACACGAGCCTTGCCGGGTGCAAGGCGTGGGAACAGGGCAATTCGAATGGAACCAGTGCTGGAATACGACCTCAATGGAGGCGAGATGAGAGACGGAAAGGGGGAGGATCGAATGAGCGATTGAGGATGCAGGCTCGCGTGTCTGCCGGTGGATGCACAGGGCTCGGAGGAGGATTAACTTTGACGGAATGCTTCTCGTCGATCCAGGTCAAAGGAGTGGCCAGGTAGGCGATTGCAAAGAAGGAGAGTTTAGAATAGAGGGAGAAAAAAAAGAAAATGAGGGAGAGCGAGAGAAAGTTGAAAAAGTCGAGGTGGTGAATTGGAAAAAAGGAGACAAAGACGTCCGTAAATGGAAGACAGAGAAGAGCTAGATCGTCCAAGGTTGGGTTGGAACTTGTTCTCTTTTTCTTGCGCCCCTCCAATTGCGTGGAAGATCAAATGCCAATGTGAAGCCAGGCAGGGTCTGGGTTGGGATACTATCAGGCAGGGCAAAAAGGTACAGGTGGTCGTTTAGGTTTGTGACATTATCCGCATAGACGGAGCAGGTACCTCTGCATGCTTGCAGTTAGTGGCATTAAGCCAACTGCGGACTACGGGGGCAATTGAGCAGCGCTACTTGGAAACTTTGTTTTTTTTGCCCCTGAAAGCGAATTTGGGTACACGCAGATTCAAGCCTAAGCCTTTGGACAGGTACTTCTTCATAATACAGCATGGCATGTTGGATCACCCTTCTGAAACAAAACGCTGGGCCGGATCAGGCTCAAGGCAGGGCATTCGCCAATCGGGAACAAAAAAGGGCTGCGCGTTCTTTTTGCCTCTCCTGACTCCTTACAGATGGGTGGCATTGCTAGGGTACAGTGTGGAGTCTGCAGTGGGTTCGAGAGCTGCGATTTCAGTTGTTTGGACCTGGACTCGTACGGAGTATTTTACGGAGCAGCTCACCCCTACATACATTTGATGGACGTTTATATCGATGCAGTTTAGGTAGGCGGTGTCTCTGGTTGGCGTGTTAATACGAGCAGCTTTGCCAGTGGTAATAATGCCGTCCATGCTATTTCCTATTCCTGGAGTCGGTAGTTATGGCAAAGGAAATAGAATGATGGTGCATGGGAGTACTCCGTACATTATTTCAATATTGGATGCTGCGTTTGTTGGGTGGCAATAACAGTGATGGATTTTTTACTGCACAACGACGACGTGATTAGTATTGATTGATAGAGCTGGTACGGAGTATGGCTTCTGTGTATGCGCTCTACTAATGTCCGAAAAACACTGCCAATGTCAAGACTAAAGATGTCTCTTGGCCACTCACACTTCAGGTTGTTATACCATAAAACAGAAGCGGCATAGAAAGAGGCGCATTTGACTGTAAGTGGCATCCAGCCGCGGTTGAGATTCACGGCATCAATCCAAGATCGTGGACAAGCTCGGAGCATCAATGGATCAAGACTTGCCCTAGGCACATCCCACCCAGCGCTATAACATGCCCCAACATTAGGCGTCCGTCCACTATAACAACACTCCCGATAGTGCACTTACAGGCGATTCCTCGCCCGCATCTTATCTAATCCTCTTCCCCTCGCCACTATCTTCCCCGCTGCACCAGATGGATGGCGTCACGGCTCTATTCAACATAATGGATCCAATACCACCGACTGGCGGGTCGCCGTTTATCGCCCATACAACAGCTGCTGCCGTAATCACCGTGCTACCTAAACTCCGAGGGCATTTGATCCTCTTTTGCCTGACAAATGTCCTCTAATCCGTAACATTTTCTCTCCGTAGACATCGGCCATCTTGAACAGCTTCGGCATTTGCTATTGCTCCAGAGCGGCTTCGATTGCACCACATTCTGAACCACCCGCTTCCGCGAATCCCGGCTCATCTATACATCTGCTGAGACTAACGACCGTAGTGATAATCCAGACGGTTGGTGACACCAGCAATGGAATGGACACCGGGCGACCGCGATGGTGATGGAGATGGCGATGGTCCCTTTGAGTGGGACCCCAGAGATGCGGAAGTAACTGGATATGGCAGCTGGCACACCGCCGACGAGAGCCACGATGATGATGATGAAGACCATGGCGATGTGTATGAGGATGCGAATGAGGGGGGTGAGAACGAGGATGAAGACGAAGATGACGATGAGGATGACCCCGACTATCGTGACGAGCCAGATGAGGACGATGAGGATCTTCACGGTAATTTGCTCTTATTTGCTCTTATTCCCCATTGCTCTACAAGGACTGCTTGGCTGAACCGAGTTGCTTTCTCTAGATCATGATGAGGAAGAAGAAGGAGACGGTGACGATCGGGTGGAGTACGCCTTTGGTGATTTCCGATTCCAGATTGTAATCGACGATGAAGAGGCGGGACGAGACGAGGCCGCCTTGAGGCTGATTTCACTATTAAGAGGTGAGATCCCTCTAATGACTGATGCTATTCTTTATCGTTCTTCTTTCTCCAAACGCTACCTGATTTGCCAACCTCCACTAACATCGATTGATATGACGTCCAGCTGGCCAAAGATCGGGGCTCTTAACGAGACAGCAGCTCATGACATTATTCCGCGGCACTGGCCTAGGCCGTGGGATACCCGTCACACCAAAAGATCCCAACCGGTTTCCCAAAGTTCCCAGCGAAGAGGGCAGAAAGCTCATGGAGTCTGGAGTCTTTGGCTTGAGTGATACTGACCTGCGGACTAAAAAACGAATCGCAAGACGTCTGCTGGATCGAGAGATTGGTCTAGGGGACCGGATGTCGAGAAAGCGAACCAATGGTGTTTTAGCTCAGGTTCGTACATCTTTCCCTCCTTTTCGATTGTTTTAGAGTATGTCCGCATATGTCCGCATATGACGATCATGGTGACGGCCGAACTATCTACAGTGTTTGTATATGTCTGATTTATGCTAACAACAGTCTGGAATTGCAGAGCTTCATCCCCGGGAGCAAGGCGGAGAAAATCATCCACTATGATCACCCCATCTACTCTGGCCAGTTCTCCGATGACGGTAACTTCTTCTTCTCATGCTGTCAGGACTTTAATGTGCGCATGTACGACACGTCTAATCCCTACAACTGGAAGCTTTACAAGACAGTAAGCTACCCCTTTGGTCAGTGGACGCTTACAGACGCCTCTCTGAGTCCGGACAACCGCTGGTTGGCGTATACCTCTATCCAAAGCATCGTCTCAATAGCGCCCACCGATCCACGAGACAAGGGAGAGCCTTACTCTCTCGAGCTTGATGACGGGGAGGGTCATACAAGACTCTCATTTTGGCGTAACCGCGGCTCCTTTGGAATTTGGTCCGTCAGATTCTCAGGCGATGGACGAGAGCTTGTTGCTGGTACCAGCGCTCACTCACTAGTCGTCTATGATATCGAATCCAGGAGAGTCCTCCATCACATCACCGGCCACCAGGACGATGTCAACGCCGTGTGTTTTGCAGACAAGGCATCCCCCCACATCATCTACTCCGGCTCAGACGACACAACCATCAAAGTGTGGGATCGGCGAAGCATGGGAGACAATCGGGAGGCCGGCGCCTTTGTAGGCCACACCGAGGGTCTGACATATATCGACAGCAAGGGTGACGGGCGATACATTCTCAGTAACGGCAAGGAGCAAAGCATGAAGCTGTGGGATCTGCGCATGGCCATGTCGACGGACCGGTTCCGTGAAGTCACCAAGGACAACGACACCCGCCTGGATAGATTCGATTACAGGCAAGACGAATATGATGAAGACGACTGGGACGTGCACCCCCACGACAATTCTCTCGTCACTTTCCGAGGCCACAAGGTCCTCCGCACGCTCATTCGATGCCACTTCTCGCCCCCGTCGTCAACCAACTCGCGCTACGTCTACTCTGGCAGTGCGGACGGCAAGGTGCACATCTGGAACATGGACGCCACTAAAGCAGGCGAAATCGACGTACAGGGGGCGACTGATCAGACGAGGAGGCTCGATCGCCGTACTCGGGTCTACTTTGACGAGCCCGGCGGCTGGGGCACATGCGTCCGTGATGCTAGCTGGCATCCTAGTGCGCCAATCATTGTTGGTGAGTATTTTCTTTTGGAGTTCTTCTTTACTTCGCTATGGCCCGTACTAATTTTTTCAAGCATCTGCATGGAATGGATACAGCATGGCACGAGGTACCTGCACAGTCCATGCGTTCAACGGGGCTTCTGAGGATGAAGGAGAGCCTAGGCTGGGAGACAGTGTCAACGAGTCGCTGAGGGCAGATCCAGAGACGTTTTATCAATCACGGTTCTAGATGACCTGGCGTTGAAAAATGGTATAAATGTGAAGACGAGGACAAAATGAAAGGTACATAAATGGTCTTGGATTCTTGATGTTACCACTACTGCTCCAATGAGCGCAGGATGATATTGTGACCTGGTGTACTAACCATAGATGAGGTCATCTCCATGCAATCACTTTCAACAGAAAACATCTTGTTTGGGTGGTGTTATACTTGTATTTGTCCCCATCTTGCACAGGTTCAATATTCTCTTGTTCGCATTAATTCTCCCGCATTTATCCGCCGCAAGACCTACATTGTGGCTGCGACGCTGCAGCTGTTCACAGCCTACAGTAGTCGCCTTTTGTTGCAGATTCTGCTGCCGTAACCTAACGTTACACGGACCATGACGCATTCTGCTGGTGATACTCCTTGCAGCCAAATTCCAGCATGAAGCCTTGATCATTTGCCGCCACATGCCCTTTGTCTTGCGCATGGATTTACACTTTCGCAGTCAAGCAACCACCAACTGTTTCGATGTATCCAACCTGAATAAGCAAAAGGCACCTATCAACTGCCACCTCAAGCACCGTAGAGCTCTACCTACCCGTAGCTGCATCCCTCGTGCCAACGCATATGCAAATTAAGGGTCCTAAATGCCGTTAGCAGACAGACGGACAGCTGTCAGATTGATCGACGCTCAGCGTTAATATGGGGATGCGCATCCCTGGCCCATCCCGTGATTCTGCAATTGGCGGCCCATGATTGGCCAGCCACTCGGGATATCGCTTTTCCACTGCCGATAGCCTTCTGAAATCCGGCCTGCTGTGGCGCATGCCTCGCGCATCCCAAGCCTCAGCCTCGCCCCCTTGCCCATTTTCTCTTCCCCCCAGGCCGGAATCTGCTGGCTTGAAGCTTCACCCACGGCTCCATCTTTTTTTCCCTCTTCCTCTCTAAAGATCCTCCACACGACCAACCCAGCAGGCATTCGTTGGCTCGGTTCCACTTGCAGCCTTGTATCCGAGGGAGGTCCCCAATTGATTGCCGCTGCTGGAAACTCAGATTCAGCGCAGCGACGCGCCGCTACTCCGTGCTTCTCGCGCCGTTCCGGTAACTTTTCTTCCTTTTTCTGCTTCTTCCTCTCTCGCCTAATTCATCGTCTAAACCCCCCCTTTCATTTCTCAGCTGGGCCCTTCAGCTGTATCATCTACAATTTTTCCTTTCTTTTTCTTTGTCTTCCTTTCATTTCCCCCTGCCACCGCTATATTCGAGTGCTACGAGCACTTGTTTGGCCCCCCCTGTTCGCTCCCTCTCCTCCCGACCTCGGACAAAAACTGCCTTGCAGCCACTCGCAAGCTGCCGACTGGCCGCAGCGCCTTCAGGCCTCGATTCGGTCCCACCCAGAGGAACGCGAAGCAATTGCCCGATCATCTCTTGCTGACGGCGAGGAGGAGACAAACTTCCTGCTGTTGCTTGAGCTTCGAGCCGCAAACAACCGCCTAGAACTCGTGCCAGCCAAGCTAGTCGTGGAGATAGCTTTTGGCCCCTCTTTCTCCCTTTTCTTACTTTCTTCGTCACTCCCAACTTTTGACCGTCAGCTCCGTTGGCCAAGATCCCAATCAACCCCTTGCGCCTTTGTGCGTTAATCCCATTTCCACGAGCCGCAATTGGTTTTGGGCTGCTACCACCCACATCGGCCGAGACATAGGGCACCATCAAGGGAGCGTCCGGCTGGAACACCCTATCCTGCAGCGCAATTCCAAAGGAAGCGAGACAAAGACCATCGGACTTGGGGAGAGATCGAGCTAGCTTTTTGGCTACCTTTTTCTCGGGGACTGTACGTACCAGCAAGCCTAGCCCTTGTGAACTTTTGCTTGTCAAACCTTGTGTCTTTTTTTTTTTTTTCGTTTGTACAACCTCATCTATCTATGTCCTTATTGCCATTGTCATCACCTTGATCTTGTTTGTAACTCCCCCCCTTTGTGGGCCAACAAAAGGCAAAAAGAGACGGGGGAAGCATCACGAGTACGCTAGACGTTTCCAAGGTGCCGAGAGGAGCATTGCTATCGGCCATTAGTGAACAATGGCCATCTTCTTTCACTCTACATGCCAAGAGGCACCGCATGTATCTCGCTTGAATATCCTAATAACAAGTCGTGGTTTCATTAGTGTCTCCAGCATCCGAATACAACAACGAGAAATTACATGTGAAAGTCCGTGTCGACGAACTCCCGCCAACGTACGAAACCGCCGAGATGGGTGACCCCGATTTTGACATTGATTTCTACGGCGATGCCGATGGCGACGCCAACGACCAGCCTCGTCAGGATGAACGCCGCCATAGCGGTGGCCACTCGCGAGATGACGACGACTATCACAGTCGGGACCACAGAAGAGACGATGAACATGAAGACGACCGCCGCTATGACAGCGGCCGTAGCGATGTCGAAGAGTCTTCACATCACCACGGTGTTAAGAGAAAATCAGAGGAGCAAGACCCCAACGACCGGCCTGTCGATAGCGGCGCCACGGCTGCCATTATGATTTCAGAGCTCAGCTGGTGGATGACAGATGATGATATCCGAGGTTGGCTTCGAAAGGCCGGCTGCGAGAAAGAGGTCAAGGAGCTCACATTTAGCGAACACAAAGTCAATGGAAAGAGCAAAGGGTAAGTTTGCTAATATGCAGCTCGGCATCCTAATCTTTCTTCTTCTTTTTTTTGCTGCCGCTACTAATTACTCAATCGTGTTTCCCCTGCAGCCAAGCCTATATCGAGTTCCACACCCGCCAAGCTTCCACCGCCGCCAAGCGTCAAATCGATACCGTTGCGATGGACAGTGTACAACCTGGCCAGAAGAAGATGACAATCTCCTACTGGAACCCGGGCGTCAACCCCTTCAGGACCTTGCCCAAGGACGCACCGGCCCGCGTTAAGGAGCAGCCGCGAGCCGCTCCCTCTGGATCCTACAGCGAGCGAGGCAACTACGGAGGCTTCCGCGGACGAGGAGGCATGGGTGGAAGCCGCGGCGGCATGAACCCCAACTACAACCGAAACTACAGCGGAAACATGGGCTATAATAATAACAACAACATGGGAGGAGGTGGTGGCTACAACGGCCCGATGGGCGGCGGTGCTGGTGGAGGCGGCAGCCACTACGTCTTCGGCGGCCGAAGTAGCCCTGGGGGCAACATGAGAGGCGGCCAGAACATGATCAGGGGTAGAGGAGGCGGCGGCGGTGGTATGATGGGAGGCATGAATATGGGAGGCATGGGCATGGGCATGCCAGGCAATATGGGCATGGGAATGATGGGTAATGGAATGCCAGGTACGCAAGACGCAGACACTTCACCTACCCCTAACCCACAGACCCCTCCCCTTCAAACGGTATCAGCGACAGCCTAGGAAGCTTCGTCATCATCCGCTACATCATCACCGTCATCATCGGCTCCTCCAGATGTGGACATGACCAATCAAGGACCAAAGGAGCAGCCAGTCCAAGAGCGGCAGCAAGAGCAACATTCTCAAGAGCAACAGCTTCAAGAGCAACAGCTTCAAGAGCAGCAGGAGGCACAAGAAATAGCCCAATATCTAGTGAAGCTTAAAGGAGACATCCAAGAAGAGGATATCGACGCTGAAGGAGAAACCATTCTTGAGGAGAGCGATGATGACAAAGACAAACAAGTCAAAGAGGGCGCTGCCATGAAAGCACAACCTCAGCAAGTGCATCAAGAGCAGCAAGTGCCTCAACAGCAGCAAGTGCATCAGGAGCCGCAAGTGCATCAAGAGCCGCAAGTGCCTCAAGAGCCGCAAGTGCCTCAAGAGCAGAACCCTCAGGTCAAGAGCTCAGGCCAAGTGGCAGATGCCAGTGCAACCGCGGCTTCATCTTCGGCCGCCCAGATCCAACAGCAGTATCAGCAATATTACCAAGCCGCTGCTGCTGCTGCTGGAAGCCAAGGGACTCGCCTCTTCTGGGGCTGCGCCATCCATGGCACCCCGGGGCTTCGCTGCATGGCTTGCGATATTGAATACTGGCGTCACTACCTCTTCTTTGTCAGCGGCTACCGTTACCATGGTCGCGTCCCACCACCGCCAGCCCCCATCTTTCCAATGCCACTTCACCGCCCCAGTCCGTCCTCAAACGCATCCCCTCCTCCACAACCTCTATGGTACACTGCTAACTTGTGCAACAGGCTTCCAGGGCATGCCTCCCAACTTCCCAGGCGGATTCGGCTTTGGGCAACAAGGCGGCGGCGGCCAAGGCGGAGGCGGTGGCGGTGGTAACGATGGCAACTGGGGCAACCCTCACGGTGCAAAGCGACCTCGTCCCGAGTAATGGACATCAACAAGGCCGATTTTGCATCCAATACAAGAAGAAAGACCTGAGCCATGGTTCGATTGCCTCTCGCGAGAGCACAATGGATTGATTTGATTGTATAAGGGGAACGGGAAGGGACCACTTGTCCCCATTGCTTTTGACGGACGTTGGGAAAATCACTTGTCAGTTTGCATCAGGAAGGGACTCTTTTTTTTCGACAGTGTATAATAGAACAAACGCCGGGTTATTAAGACGTCAGGAGTCAGAGAGCATTTGTGGAAACTTTGTAATTTTTTCTTGTCTTTTAGGCTCTTTGCTTTCATCTCTCCTTTGTTTATCGCATGTCAGGAACAGGGAAAAGGGGATTTCAAAACAGGTTGGAACAAGTTATGGTTCTAAAGAGCAAAACAATTTGATGATCAAACAAACGGATAACAAAAGGGATCGGTATCATAACTCTGTGCGGTACGTGCAGGTGATCGAGAGGGTATTGAATAATTCAATCAGCAGCAGAGGAAAGGGATGGTGAGGCGGGGACAAGCATTGTCCTCCAGTCCCTCCGTTGTTAACTTTCAATCCGCGATATCCCTGCTGTCACCAGATGCTTAATCTGGAGCCATCTGTCTGTCAGGATGCCTCTCATTTCCTCGTCGCCAACGGAACTGGCCTGCAGCTGCTCCAGCTGCTCCAGAGCGCTGGTGACGTCGGCGTCGTACTTGGTCAATACCTTCAGCAGTGCCGCGTCTATAATCAAGCTGTCCTCGTCCTCGTCTCTTGTCCCGTCTAGGATATCTTGCCACCGGTTAAGTGGAAGGCAGAGCATCCGCAAGGCAACATACGTGCGGTAGCATGCTGTTTGGGCATCAAGCATGTACTTCCCCCAGAAGCCGACGGCTTCGAGGCGGTGTCTCTGATCGCTGGATAAGGAAGGGCAGATGTACGAGTCGAGGCATGTTTCATCCCAAGGGTTCACGGACGACGGCAGCGTGAAGCCATACTCCACAAGCAGCTTGTCGTTTGCGTGAGGCCCGTAGCGGATGAACACTTCTTCGCCAGGCTGGTGAGTGCGTGTAGTGGTAAATGTAAAGAATTTGTCGTCAAAAGCGGCGACGCAATAGCCCTCAGGCGTGTGATTGAAAAGATCCGCTACAGGTTGGAGTGCCATGCGATCATCTCTGGGCAGCTTTTCTGTGCTGCGATCTGTGTGGTAGAAAGTTCGAGTGTTTATAAGGAGCCAACTATACAGATAGTCATCCTTGTTAAGCTTTGGGTATGCGGCCGTCACGAGAGCCCAGTCCTTGTTGAACTTATCCTGTTGAGCCGTGAGTAAGGCCTTGGCTCCTGGAGGCAGCAAAGAGCGTAGCTTCGCAGGCCAACAAATAGGCAAGCTGGAGGCAATGTCTCGCCGAGAAGGAAAGACGGGAGTCCATTTGTCAATGCCAGTGCCGTCACTCAGACAAAGAGAAACTGCAAGGATGCTGTGAACAGTGGCACCGCTCAGCTTCTTAGTGATATCTTTCGGAGTGTTGCTGAGAGTGCGCAAAGCAGATATAGGCACTTTAAGGATGACTTGATCAGCCTAGATATTCTAATTAGCATTGATAGTTGAAGGAGTGGGATTGGGTAGTGATATAAGAGAATCGAAGAGACTCAGTCAAATGCTGATAGTGGGGATTCGGGGAGAAGAAAAAATCAAAAGTTACCTCAAGGTGCCGGGTAGCCACAATACCAATACCTCGTCCGTGAAGAGCTTTTGGTTGAATGCCATTCAACTCGATTCCTATGGAAGTAGACCATTCTAACAGCTGCTCAATATCCTTGTCCATTGCTGCGGCTGGTGTTACAGGTAAGGTGAGCGAGTGAGCGAGCGGGAAACAGCCACTGTAAAATTATGCGATGTGGCGCTATGGAGCGATATGGTGAGTCATTTGGTAGCGTTGCCGGCAGTAGTAAATACTAGAGAAATATAGTTATAGTAGCAGAAAGCAGTCCTAGTAGCATATACTAGAAGAACACAATTAGATATTTAGTGAATACCTGTAGTAATAAACAAACAGATTTCCAGTTCCAATGCTTAAACTTTACGCAGTCGCTGGGGTGCTGCATAACCAACTTGAGTACGCTCAGTTGTTGAACGGCCCAGTAAAACGTGTAGTAGCGATTTTTTTTTTTTGGCTGACTTGATCTGGATGAATGCTGATTGCTAAGCGCGGCATCAGTAAAAATGATTGCCATTTCTTCTCAGTCTTGAAAAGACACCCACAGTGTATAATCAGTAGGGCCGTAGAATAGCTTCATCCGCCGGCATCGCGCCCTTTGTTTGCTCTTCAATCGCTCACTGTTGATTGTATCCAAATGTCTCTTGAGGATTGATATCAACTAAGGCAGAGAGTGTGGCAAACCGAACCTGGTTGAACTTGATGCAGCCGTTGTTGATCTTCGCAGCTTGGCGTAACGTGCGTCAATGCACATTGATTGTGTGATTGGGGTCGACTATCTGGGAGGTAGATTGTCGGCATAAGCGATGTTACTCTTTGACTCTCTGTCTGCGATTCGTCCTAGCACAACAAATTAGTGTCAATGCCTGAATGGTTGACAACGGTATCTTGACTCACCTCCTCGTAGCCAGCTGTTGAAGCATCGGTGCTATGGAAAGACTATGCAAGGCTTACGAAATGTGTGTTGAAGGAGCTTCCTGCAGTGTGTCAATACAAATCCAATGTAGGTAGAACCATTGGTGGGACTGGTAGCGAAATACAAGAGTGTTGACGATGGTATCGTCGTTCCTCTGGGAGGCCAATCTACTTCCAGAAACTGTTATTGCTATCTCAAAAGAGAGCCTGAAAACAAAGGGAAGGAGAGCGACAGAGAGCTCAGCATTGACTAATATATTCCTCGTGGTGGAATTGCGTGCTCTTTGATTATTCACCCTGTTATGATATTAGCCTGGTTCTATTATGCTCAAATCGTCTTTCATCCACGCTATTCATTGTTCAAATGTAGGATCAAAGCAGCCAAAGAAGTGACTTACGTATCAATCCTCGTAAAGGGCTCAGGAAGATTTTGGAAGCAAAGTTGTAGACTTCCAACAAGCTGCAAGAGCTCGACTAAGTGCGAGCGCCTTGGAAGACAAGAAACAAATTGTCGGTTGCTTTGTGTTGGCACAAGTAGCAAAATTTGTGAAAGATGGCAATGAAAGCCGAAAAAGCCAAATTACAGGACTATAACATCAAGAAGCTTCCGAAGCGCACCTCAAATTTGGTGTGATAACCTGCCTCAACGTTAGACTGCATTGCATCGTCTTTGCGGTGAAGAAATTGCTCGCATGCTCTCAATAGTTCGCCTCTGCTCGTCGGTCCAAGACTTGTGAAAAGAATTTATCAGCAGAATCCAATGAACAAAAACCACTGTGGCCTAAAAGAATGGCAATACCTTCTGGTCCTGAATACCCAATAGCTGGCCACAGACAGGCCTGGTACGACGCCGAGGAAACTCATGACTGAAAATCCCAGTTGTCACCGAGAGTATCTGAAAAGCCATAGCAGTGGCTAATCTTGTTCTGTTGTTTTCTCCGCGGCCGCATGTTTGGGCTTCTGTCACTGTTGAATTCCCGAGTTCGGTCAGGGGATGATGCGGCGATTGGTCCTCGTTGATGAGCCGTATTAGGGTTTGATAGACACCTCCGCATATCTTTGAAGAATCAAATAGCCAATGGCCGTCAAGAGAGTATTCAGTCTCTGAAGAAATAGTCAGTCATGATAGTGAGTCGAATTATGCAGAGAAAAGACTGACTGTGCGATGCATTATGGTCCATGCTTCGGACGAATCCCGGAAGTGGCCTTGTGCTTGCGCAACAACCAGTTTTGAGAACGAATCCAATTTTGTGGAAATGAATGTGATAGAGAGATCTCTCTCGACCAAGGGATAAGATGATAATGGAGGAAAGGAAGAAGAGAAGAAAACGAGGAGACATTACCTCCTGGTGGGCGGGGTGCTAGAAGCTCTTGCTCATCCAACGAAGTGTGATGGAGGAAGGAGCAGTTCCTCCCCAATACCATTCTGCGGGTACATGGCTAACATTTTTCTTAGAAACTCACTCTATTTTGAAGATAGAAAAATCAGCATTCTATGAAATACTTGTCAATAGTAGAAAATGCATTGGATTCACAAAAAAATCCGTCGACTCTCCTGCATGGTGCTTATAGCAGTGTGCTGTAACTAGTCTGTATCTTCTTCTTCACTCCTTTATTGCCGTTGTCACGCGTTCCGCACTAATCCACGACTCTGGATTCCAGCCAATTCGAGGCGATAATCCG